CTGTAAGTACATGCCTCCTCGCAGGATCGATCGACTACCGGAGGCCCCAAAAAGAAGTGAAAGAACGAAAAAATTTCGAACCCCTGCTAGGTCATGCAGCCATCCATTTCATCCCGCATATGTACATGTGTACGAAATCCATCCCATTCAACGATAGCGCTGGATGTCAGCGGGGATGGGATGGGATGGGGTGGAGGGAAGTTAAGCGGACCCATTGCCAAAATTAAGATACTACATACTATGTACTAGTACTCTCCCTATCCCTACTCGTATGGAGCAGATGGGGGGCAGATGGGGCGCAGATGGGGGGCAGACGAGATGAGATGGGGCTGTTGGCGTTTCTCGGGTCCCCGAATTCAGTAATTGGAATTGAACGGCGCTCATCTTCCTATTCAATCATCCGATAAGGTGAAACGCACCGCGGCTATTATATCCAGATCCCAAAGCTGAGTAGGAGATAGGGCCGGGGGCAGAAGGGCTCCACTGCCGCTCGTTAGTGGGCTTATGTACCACTTCCTTAAGTGGAACATTTAGTTACAGTGGATTGACATACGAAGTACGGAGTACTAGTACATACTACTAACTAACTCTACAGTTAGTGTAGTCTCCGTCGATAGGCTGTACTCACTTACTCGACTCAGAGCAGAGTGGAGTAAATTGGATTGGATTAGGACCCTCCCTAACTCTTTCTATAGTCCCCGCTTTCCCGCTTGCTCCACTTCCTTTTCTGCCGATCGCTGGTTTATCCCTGCGAGGGTGATAACCTATCGGGGAGCACGACTCAGGGTACCCCGTAATCTACTGTAGGTAGGGGTTCACTTCCTTCCCTCCCCCCTCCTGGAGGCTTGCTGACGCAACCTATCTGGGGTGCGGATCGGCGATTTGCTGGATGTTGCAATTGAATTTCGTTAGTACTTTTTTTTCCCCACCAATGGCTTTGGTCTTTTCTTGGACCCCTTGTCCCCTTCTCTCGGTGTGAAATGATAGGGTGGAAATTGTTGGAAGTTATTGAGTCTATTATATCACCAGGTCACTTCGGGTATCATCCCATCCATTGAATGAGGGAGGAGAGGACGATGATCTCTCCACGCTCTGCGGAGAAGGGTGTACGCGGAATGTGGAGACTCAGCCCATGTCACGCTCGTGATCTTTGAGATCAGAAGGTACAAGCTGACAAGTAACGTTTAGGGTAAAATGCGATAGGATGGGTTTTGGAGGATGCTTCGTGGGTAAGGTGGATTATAGTGGGGAATCAATCGTAAATTCCATCTTGGCCGTTCGGGTTGCTCTAGTAGTACATAGTATATGTCCATAATACTGTACGTATGAAGTACTTTCTCTCCCTCTCGCTCCCGGCCCCTTTCAGCTCCAATTGGGTTTCCAGTGCGAGTCATCATTGAAAATGCGTGAAATTAGCTTTGACTTTTTACTTTTTCTTGGCCCTGTTGTTTTCATGGTGTGAGCGTGTCAACTCTTCATGTGGTGGAGTCTTGGGCGTGTGTCTACGGTGTATACATTGACTCCACAGTGGAGTTTGTGGCTTGCTTTAGACAGACATTTGGACATTTGGGGGGGGGTTCGCATTGTTGACTGTAAGGTGTATTCTGTTGTACGACGTGTCCGTTATCGATAGCGGAAAAATGGGGCCCCTTTCGTATTTCGTGGTATGTGGCGGTGCTGCCCGTGTGTCATGACTCAGCATTTATCTTTCAGACACGGATGCACTATTGTCTGTTTTGGGTTTAGTGGCTGTTACATGTTGTGGAGCTTTTGTTCGAGAAGTGACTTGCGTGGCTGGCATGTGGCATGAAGCATGTGGAATGTGTTGCGCAAGTGTGTCACTTCTAACAAGCCATTTTTTTCTATTTATAGATGAAAACGGATGGGCGTTGTTTTTTATCTTCTTGAGTGTGGTTGATGAGTCTTTTCCTTTTTGAGGAGGCGTTGAGGTGTAGGATGAGGGAGATCGTCGATATGGACTCGTCGTGGGGTCCGTTTACTAATAAATCCAAGACAATATGCGTATGCGGCTGAGGTATACTTAGAATTTTATCCGGGTAAGTGAGACAAAGTTTTAGGTTGTTAGGGTTGCTGGTGTAAGATTCTGTTTTTGATGACTATACAAATTATACAGATTCTACCCGGACGTAATGGAGTTGGCTGTTTGATTTGTATTAACAGGATTTACCATCTTCCACAAGACAACTACGCCATCGCTGTCTTTGTTAAATGACAGCTATATTTAGAGAGATTTGGGTTGCGAGGGCATATTGCTGTAAGAAATGGCTCGGTGAATAATATTGAGTTACACTTTGATACTAGGCCCATTGTTGTCATGCGAATAGACCATATAGAATTTCATATGCCCACCTCATGAATCAAACAGATTATGAGATATGCGATGGCGATCATCTTCCATCGAAATTGTTTCTCATATTGACATATCTTTGATAGCCGATGATGTGAACATTCGGTCGCAAGGCCCTTTTTTGCATTCTCGAATGAATTCAGGGCCTCCTAGATGAGTCAGGTTGAACAGTAACGGCCCGAGCAGCAAGCACCTTAGCAATGGAGCATAGAATCACGCCCTGGCTGCTTCCCAAAGTCCAGCTCGCCCCATCCACGATATCAATTCTCGGCATCAGCGTGTGAGAGAACCATCCCGATGGTATTGGGCGGTTTAATTTGGATCCCTGACCTCTCAGTATAAATCCGCGAGATTGGAGAAGATAACTATTTGTCGGACTGGGCTAAACCGGTGGTCTTAGTCGGTCAACGTGGAGAATAGCTTTTCAAAGTATGGCAGGGCATCCAAGCGACCTTGATCCCTGATAAGGCGGCCAAGAAGCACATCGCGGTCGCTCAAAACCGTCCTCTCCATCGTGGACGGGGTTTCTAGAATAAAAAGGCTTCCGTGGTGATCGGAAAGGGACACGACACTGGCAGCAACAAGTCCAATGTGAATTTTTTAGAAAAAGATAACTCCAAAAAAGCAAAAACAAAACATACAACAGCAGGGATTCGCATGTGGTCACCCACCATACTACTAACCTGCCGGCGTGTGGCTTAAGTACGGCTGAGCGGACGGGAAGCCCTGTTCTCCACACCCTATGGTCGTATGTACTGGGTGTTCTCTGACAAGGAAATAGATATCGAATATTAATATCTTAACAACACATCTAGGAGAATATAGCATGGAGAGGGTTCAGGAGCATGCAAGATGTTTAGATGGTTGAAAGAATTGCTAGGGAAATTCAGGCTGATCACCCTCGGCGGCTGGGCTTGGGTTGGTGCCTTTAATTTTTTGGAGTTCAAAACATTCAAGACCTAAAGATAACCAGAAATTCTAAGGTTCGACAAAATATATATAATTGTCAAACATAACTACCCAGGTGTAATGGGGGTTTTAAGCGTTAGTCTCCTCTGAGACCAAATATTGGCACCCATCATGGCCAGAATACCTGGTCATTACCGAATTATCCATATCTGAAATTAGTCGCCTTAACTACTACTAGTCAGAATCCAATTTGACTGAAAATAAGTCGATTTGCCCAAGTGGATTATCTCAACACATTTCCCTTCACAAGCAGCTCCCTAAGGAAGTACACCTTTCCTTGCTTCATCATCCAACCTTGAACATTGCGGTCCCATTTTTCAAGATTCCAAGGTTCCCTACAATACACAAGTCCTTTCGAGCCCAAATCATGGCAACATTGAGCCAATAACGGTCTGAGTTGAAGCCCAAAATCGGGTGGTTCTCACAAGGCTTTGCCATGAGAAGAAATACCATTGGGACTTCTTCACCTTGCGCAGTGTCAACAGTGAGAATCTCTTTGGAAAAAATCTGCTGCCTTGACGGGTATCTTTGACCATATTCGTGTGCGGCACAGAGCAATGAACCATGATGTCTTCGGGTTTTTATTGTCACCCGTTGGAGCTTGGAACCCATAGAGATATCTCAATATTCCAACCAGAGCCCAGACTTAATTACTCTTTACTCAGGAAGTCCCTCCTTATTTTGCTTCCGCAAGCCCAGACACGCTGATAAACATTTGTCGGATTCTAATTGAGCTGCACCCGACGCATCTTCTTGACGTAGTCTGGCTCGTCGGTTTTGGATTGGTCGTTGCCAGCCGGGGCATTCCAAGAGTTTGCTGACCGTGTGTCCAGTTTCATATGCTTTTGTGGCCCTTGAACTGGCTCATCTAATCTGCCAGAGAATCCTCGTCGTCGTCGACCAATAGCCGGATGTTGACTTGGAGGGGGGAGGGGGTGTGTCTGCACCTATCTGGTTCTCAGTGGCCTACAAGACATGTTAGCCTGTAATGTATCTTCACCTGAACCAAAGCTAGCCAACAATAATGAATTTAATATATGAAATGGTCAATGATAAATCGTGTAGGATACTTTGATTCGGAAAAGTTATCAAATTTAGTTTACAGAGAATCATGCATTGATCCACGTCGCAGAGGTGTAGACCACAAGTGCAATAAAACAGTGGGAGTTAAGCCTACAGAAGGAGGCAGCCGAAACTCAGGTAGCGAATTCACCGTTAATAAAAACCTTTATCGTCAGTCGTTGGTTCGAAAAGGTTTAAAGGAGAGATTGAGAGTCGACCCTCGACTTTTGGTGTTTTGACCTCTGATTTCAACTAACAGGGACAAGCGCAGCCCAAGAGCCATCAACTCAGCAGCTACATATACGATCTAATACACAACCTGCCAGGGGCTGCCCTTCCATCCACGCAACTGTAATAATTCTAGTATATTCCGGATATAGCCCCTTATCAGTGATTATCTAGCACATACGACCATAGGGTGTGGAGAACAGGGCTTCCCGTCCGCTCAGCCGTACTTAAGCCACACGCCGGCAGGTTAGTAGTATGGTGGGTGACCACATGCGAATCCCTGCTGTTGTATGTTTTCTTTTTTTGGAATTCTTTTTGTATCTTCTATAACTAGGACTGTAAGCTTGTTTTTACATCTGAGCTAAGATATCCATCAGAGATAATTTCCAATCAACTCATTGGTCTTGTTCCAAATAATGGCGGAAGCACCGTTTCCCTCCAATTTCCCTAGAAGCCCATCGAGCTGCAATATTTCCAGCTTATCACCAACACAGAAAAGAGACCCTTTTGTCGTACCGTTCACGGTGAGCCCTTTCTTCTGCCCCTCTGTCAAGGCGATACCATTCCCACCATACTGAGAGCTAGTCATCACATACATAGAACGTTCTCCCACCTCCTCGGGGCTGCATCGGGTGATATCTGAAGGGGCATTGGGACCTCCTGCCGCTTTATCCTCGCTCCATTGATTACCCCAGCATTTTTGGAAAATCTCAGTAGAGAAAAGACCTGGGTGATGATGGATGAAGGTAATTTCACTGTTTTCTGGCCGCTCGGCGAGTCGTTTGAGGCTAATAGAGGTCATGGTCGCGCTGTGATGGGCATAGCTTTGGACACTGGAGTGTCCTGGTTCCTTTAGCTCAAGGTTGTCCAGATACAAGTCGGTTGTTTCAAAACCCGTGCCGAGAACATTCACAAGTCGGGGAGAATACTGACCAGTGCCAGTATTAAATGCTGCCCGAAGAAGTGGGAGCAGGCCTTGAATGAAGATCTGACGACTGTAATATCCCACAGCGGTTGCAAGCTCCCGCCCCTCAGAAGTTTCTAAATCGGCTTTGTTAGTAAGTACTCAACTGGATTGTTGGTAGTTGACATACCTTGGCGTCCAAGAAATCAGCAGAAAGGCAAAACAAGTCGATGTGTTCCTCACGGCGAAGGATCTCATCCGTCAGTCGCTTTGTCTCTGCCATGAGAGAAACTTGGCCCTCTAGGAATATCAACTCGGCAGTCTTATTCGAAGCACGTAAATAGCACAGAACTGGCCTGAATTCTTCCTCATTTCGACCGACAATGTAGGCCTTCAGAGGGGAGCCCTGATTGACGAATTGCGTCAAGGTTGCGCGACCAATCCATGAGGTTCCACCAATAAAGACGGCAATTTTTTGCAAGGGAAGCGCTGGTGAGCTGGGCATTGGAGGCTCTAAGAGCGAGGCCATGGCAAGTATATTGAGCAATGTTATTTATTCGAAGAATATATTGGAAGCACCTTCCTTCATTACCTGAAAAAAAATAGCCCGTTTTATATAGAAATCGTATACAAAGCTCCGAGAGCAAATTCGGATGTGTGTGATAAGTCGAAGATCAAACGGTCCTCCATGTCATGACAAATCCATGATTTCTAGTAGGTGAAGGAATCTTGCAGCCACGAAAGTCTCCGCTGGTAGAAAGCTAAAGATAGCTAAAGCGATTGTAAAATAGTGACGCCGCATCCAAACAGTCCCGAGTCCCGAGTCCCGAAAGATGAGTATAGTGTGCCGGACGGACGGACGGACGGAGAGTCAATGTTTCGGGCTCACAAAAGGCCGGATCGGAGGTGAACCCCATAAGTGTCAAGCCATTGTATGCAAAGAGAACTACTTAGGAGACATCAGAAGTGTGTTGTATTAGATACTCAAGTGGTTTTGTAAATTAATTCAGAGTATCTCAAGATGAATTGAAGAAACGAGCCGAGGACATGACAGCCATTTACGACAAATGTAATACTGAACATGAAAAGAGTGGGGAGCTGGATTGGCTTTCACAATATGCAAGGAATTGTACCATGTCTTATTTTGGACTGCGTGCTGAATACGAGGTACCTTCCGAATTCCGTCCGTTAAAATGCGGGGTTCTTTGCGGACAGTCTACTACTCCTACCCACACTTGGCGCTGGAAAAACGCTCGGGGTTAATAGAGCACGAGCGAGAGCCGAGACATATTCATTATTCATCCAAGCTGTATATAAGGGACACGCTATACGGTCTATCTCACAGGAAACTGAAAACGCTTGACTGATCAACGTTGGAACTCAAAATTGATACAGCATGCTTGTCTTGATCGCTGGTATCACCGGGTTCGTCGGTATCCCGTGTGCCAGGTCCGCATTTGCACGAGGTCTCAAAGTTCGGGGCCTAGCTCGCAACATAAACAATCTCCCGGAGGATGTTGGGAAGCGGCTCGAAGGCTTCGAGACGTTGTCGAGCCCCTATGACATCGCTGCAATGGACCGGGCCACAAAAGGTGTTGATGCCATTATCTGTACCTTTGCTGGCATCCCTGAGATGTTCATGGAATCGCAATTGTTGCTCATTCGGGCAGCAGAGCGAGCTGGAGTGAAGGTACGTAGCACCTAGCCCCCTTATGAACAGCTGGCTAAGTGATTTTGAGATCTTCCACGCTACCTCATGGAACTACGACTGGACACTTGCTCCTGGTTCACACGAGCTTTACGACGACATGCGGGGCTTCGCCCACCACGTGGCGCTCAGCTCGACCATCAAGCCAATTTACATGTTCACCGGCGCGATCGTGGAGTACTACTTTAAGCGAAGCCGATATGATTGGAACCCGGACACCAAGACATTCAGCTTCCACGGGCCTTCGACATTCCCCACCCGATATACCACCACAGAAGACATCGGCAACTATGTGCTTGAGGCGATAACTGCCCCGGATGCTGCTGATGGGGGCTTTGTTCGTGTTCAGAGCTTCGAAGCCTCCCCGGAGGACATCGTCAAAGCATACAATGCTGCGAGAGAAGGCCGCACCACTGCTAAGCTTAACTGCCTAGGGTCATTGCAGGACGCAGAGGATAAATTGACTGAGGGAAGAGCTAGAAATGGGAAGGGTGGTTGGTATAACTTCATTCGGTATATCTATCAATATCACATCCCGGCCCGCTCTTGGGATTATGAGCCGGTGGATGTTGCGCGCTTCCCAAACGTCAAGCAAACTAGCTTGGAGGAATTCTTCCGTCGCAACCCTGACGTATAGTTGTGTTGAGGTGTGAGTGCGTCAGACATCTAGGTCACCGGGCCGTCCCTTCCGTATCTAGATAGCTTGGCTCTCCTCTATCATCCGATCATCACTTTCATCCGTTTCTCTCCTTCGCATAGCCGTAAGCAGGTTGAAACACATCGTAGCGACTCTTGTTCGAGTTTGGACAGGTCGTGTTGCATAAAGATATGTGACTAAGGTCCATTTTGCAATTTTTTCATAGTAGAAAAGTTCACGAGAATAAATTGCACTCTGGCTATTCGAACATACCTAGTGTGCTCTGTTTACACGTAAAGACCGCGGAGTGTACCAAGGCCCCCACGGCTTTTTTTCTGATGCTGGCGATTTGGCCAGCACTGTAACAATTCTCGCAAAGTGACTAGCTCTAGAAGTTTCGAAATTTTTGTTCAAAGAATAACTTAGAACCAACCGTATCCGTGGATCGCGTTCGTTTCCTATGTCGGGCGGAATGACGGACGGAACGGACGGACGGGCGCCGGCTTTTTCGACGACAGCCCCAATTTCATTATCTCACGACTTCGGGTCACATTACCTTACCCTGCCAGCTGATTATCAACCAATTTCCGGTGGTCATGGCGAATTGCAGACTTAGGAATGATAAAACTTCAGCAGTTGCAAACTCAGAATCGCGATGAGCTTAAAAGGAATAGATCATGCCTATTTCCCTAATCATGCTGGCATCATTGTGAAGTATTGCCATTCTTTCCAATCTACTGCCTGAAAGATCAACGAAGCCATCTCACTTCTGACTCACTATGTCAAGCTCATCCCTGGTCAATTACACTACTGTCACCCGCGACATCGACGCGCCAATCGGCCAAGTTTGGGGCCTCGTGGCAGACTTCGGCGCTGAAAAAGCATGGTATCCAGGTGCCAAGTCTGTATCTCTTGAAGGGTTCGGACTAGGCAGCGTCCGCACCTTCAACTATGTCTATCCGGCCGGAAAGAATAAGGGCCAGGAATATATCTTCTCCGAGGAGCTTACAGAGTAAGATGCTTCCAAGCACTCCATGACTTTTCAGGTCCGAAGGCCCGATTACCCTGACATGGTCGCCTTTGGAACAACTGTCTTAGACTCACTCGGACCTAACAAGACCCGTTTCCGCTGGATTGCGGAGGGTTCGCCCTTGCCTGATGAGTTCATGGCAGTTTTGCGAGAGGATCTCAATGAACGGTTCGATGGGCTTATTGTTGCTATTGTCAATCAGCTAGTCTAGGACTAGCGAAATGATGTCCGAGAAGAAAGGAGAAACGCTGGATATTTCGAGCTCGACTCAGAGGGGGCTATATCATGATGTAAAGTAATTCGTGTCTAGTGTGTTCCGAGAGCTTGTGTTGTCAACAAGAATGTGTCTACTTTGACCATTATGTGGCCTTGAAATAACTAGATCAAAGGCAAAACGTTGTTAACTGGTCACAAGTTAGCGAAATGTAGTTTTGGAATCCTGCTAATGTGCTGCCTAAGTCTTCTCAATGACAATCTCAGTCGTTTTCCAGATCTGGGCCTCCTGGCCCCTGTGCGAACCTCTTCGATGTTGTTTTTGGCCCCATTCTGAGGACGACGGCTCATTCTCGTCAATTGAAGCGGCCGATGTGCATGGACTTTTATGCCTTTCGTCCATCTCAATTATGCTTTCCTCGCTTTCGCCGATAGGTTCCATATCGTACATCCTAGTAAATGCACGAGATGATCGAGTTTCTGATCCGGCGCGAGTCCGATTTGTAAGTGGCCCAGGGGCACTGGTGTTATACTGAGGCGTGGTTTTGGTTTGATTCGATGTTGACTTGAGAATACTGAGAGTTGAGCGGGCCAAGGACCATACGAAGGGGGCATTTGTTATCCAAACGCCGATTGAAGCTTCACGCAAGTACCAGAATTGGTAACTCGTGTCGTAGATGTCGATAAAGGTGAATATTTTGGAAATGACAGCGCAGAGAATCTGCAATTCAGAAAAAAAAGAAAAAAAAAAAGGTCAGCATACATCATGCAAGTGAAGATACCAACAACGTACCACCACGATACCCATTGAAAATATCACCACGATCGGAAGCTTGGATTGCCACCGTATATGAGTTCGAAACAGCATCGGTAGAATCACCAGAAGGATCGCAATATCCGAGCTAATATTGAATATGACATGTATAATTTCGAAGCGGAAATAAGTGGCGCATTCACGCTGAGGCGGCGGCAATGTCCAGTATCCAGAGACGGGGTGGCAGTTCAAAAACAAGGTCAATTCGGTGGCTATCCACCCAAGCGCGGTATAGACGGCACAGAATCTGACCCAGCGCTGTTCCTTAAGGTTTGATCTAAGACTTGTTGGATTTGGGCGTGAGGAATGGATGAGATGAACTCACGTAATTCGAAAATAAACCAGTAGCATGCACGCCTTCAAACAATAGATGGTGCATACTTGACACTAGAAGGGCGAATCAGAGGCAAAGCTTCGCGATTTGTTCAAGGCCACTGGCACTCACATGCTCTGAGGCAAATTCAATCTTTGAGCCCAAGATCCGCTGTTGGATTTCATGGGCAGTAAATGACTCAAATTGACCTGGTTCGTACAAGGTGCTTCCATATTTAGTGATCTCGATGTTGGTGACTACAAACGCAGTGTAAAAAATCTGCACAAGACATTTAGCCTCATTCGATCAGGGAGGGCGGATTTGGAGAAGGTAATTCGTACTATTGCCACGAACATCAAATAATCCTCAACTTGAAAGTGAAATCGCAGACGCTTGTACCGGGCATATCTGTGATAGTCAGTGGTCAATTCATTTGAGGCTGAGCCAGAAAAATGTACTGACAGTCGTAGGACGAAGAACCATATTCCTATACTGTACATTACCCATGACTCGACAATTAAATCATGTATCGAGCCACCACCCTGGGTCGACATCTTTTGCGTATGGGAACGGTGATTCTCCCTTTGCCAAGCTACACCGGAATTTCAAGAACACCATCAACCAGTGGGGGGAGCAATTGCGATTGTTTTGATAATTATAGTCCGTGTAGTCACTCGACCCACCAAAGCCGGGAAACGGCCTCATTTCCCGGGGCCGGGACCAATTCACCAAAGCTAATTTTGAGCATTGGGGGCCGATGGAGCCAGTAACCAAGGTTGGATATCCTTTTCCTAAACATAGATTCGCCGATACCTTGACCCATTTCAGGGGCTGGGATTCGGCTGAGTGTCGTGTGAAATTTGAGGCTAGAATTTTCAGCTTCTCTCTACCTTGAGTAGGTGGAAGCGAGTAGTATCTTGAGACTGGCTACCGGCTCTCGCCACCCAAATTGACTCCGTGCTTCTCCGATGAAGTCGGGTAGAGAGTGGAGAATAGATTCATTTGCTTTGTGAAGCACGGACGAGTAAATCACAAGGTGCGGAGTATTCCGACCGGATGTTGCGTGTCGAGACATGGCCAGGAGAGCCAACAGATAAACTCACCCGCAGAAGGATCCTTAGGTGCTTATTTGAGTTTACTACTGTATGCAAGTATGCAGGGATTATTTTTTTCTGGGACTAACCAGGCCAAGTAGGGATCAACAAGGGGGGAGGGGGGCTGCATAAATACTCGGACATTTTCAGCGTGAAAGGGATGCCAGAATTATACCGTGAACGAGGAAAAGACCGTGCATCTCAAGGTAACAGTGAGCTTTATTATAAGACCCCATGCAGAGTTGGGGTACTCTGTAGATTCGGGTGAAATGGGGCTGGGCCTGGAATGCGATCGCTGCAAGTGGCTACGAGCACCAGATTCGTTACCACTCATTTTCCACCACCAATCAACTGTGGAGTGCACCTCGCTGTGCACTGGAACAAGGCTAGTGGCGCTGCTAAGCATGTTATAAATGTTAAAATCGTGGGGGGCCAAGCCCTGGAACGGGCCGGGTCCAGGAGGTACACCCAAGCGAAACCACCTTCTCCCACGAACTCACGGACTTGCATGTCCACCCCGGCCCCTCTTGTTGTTGTTGTGTCCGCGAATTCGGCCCCTTTGTTACATTCGTCTACGGAGACTCGGCCCTGGCCGAACTCTCTAACTGCGCTTCTCAAAAGTCTCGTGGTTTAAACTTTCTCATTCCCGTCTCCGATCGTCGTGATCAAATTTTCTCAAGATCTTGATCTTAATCGACGCGCTTGCTCCCGCTCACTTTGAAAAAAAAAGAACAAGAAAAAAATTCACCCACGATGGAGCGAACTGGGGGAGACGAAGAGAAGAGTCTTCAGCATGCGCCAGCGGTTGAATCGCTGTCACCAGAGCCAAGCTCGTCGTCGCATTCGCCGAAAAATGCGTTTGAGCGATTGAATACCCGCCTAGCACAGTTCGAGTTCTTCGAGTCGCGTGGCATTGAGCGCGTCCCACTTGAGGAACGCAAGCCCAGGGTGACGTCGGCGGATTATATGCAGATGGCTCTGCTGTGGTTCAGTGTGAATATCACGGCGAACAACATGGCCGTTGGTATGCTCGGCCCGGCAAGTTACGGGCTGGGATTTGTCGACTCGGCTCTATGTTCCACTTTCGGTGCTCTACTGGGGGCCGCGGGTGTCGCATACATGGGAACATTTGGCCCAGTCAGTGGGAACAGAACTATGGTATGTTTTTGAGCTCACCGCGCACTTATCAACCAGAATATGGATACTGATGTAGTCAGGTTGTGGCTCGATACTTTATGGGATACTACCCTAGCAAAGTATGTGCTCTATTGAACATAATTATCATGCTCGGATACGGTATGGTCGACAGTATTGTGGGCGGACAAGTTCTCTCTGCTGTGGCTGGCAACAACATGACCGTGGCTGTCGGCGTGGTCATCATTGTAGTTGTCACTTGGATCGTGGTCCTATTTGGCATGCGTCTATTCCACATCTACGAAAGGTAAAGAAACGATCGCATTATTCTCTAGCCCGGGTTCACTGAGATACTAATGAAATCATTGATAGATGGGCCTGGATCCCTCAACTTATTGCAGCTTTCGTCCTTGTTGGTAGCGCTGGCCCCAAGTTTGACACTTCGATCGTATCTACAGGCTCTCCGCAAACAATCGCCGGCAATCGCCTCTCCTTCTTTTCGCTCTGTCTTTCCTCATCTGTCGCTTGGGCCCCGGCTGGTGCCGACTTTTATGTCTACTTTCCCCCCAGCGCAAAGAAGTGGAAGACCTTCACCATGACCTTCCTCGGTACTGGCATGGCCTTGACCTTTGCCAACTTAATTGGTGTGGGCCTTGGCTCAGGCACGGCCACTCATCCCGACTGGGCAGCGGCCAATAGCATTTCCGCTGGCTCATTAATCCTCGCTGGCTATAACGGACTCGGTGGCTTTGGAAAGTTCCTAGGCGTCCTGGTCTCCATGGGGCAGATTGCTAACAATGTCGCTGGAACTTACTCTGCCTCCTTGGGCTTCCAGATGTTAGGTCGCTATCCGGCTAAGCTTCCTCGGTGGTTCTGGACCTGCGTTGGTGTCATTATTTACCTTGTCTGCGCTGTAGCGGGCCGAAATTACTTATACGACATTTTCGAAAACTGGCTTGCGCTTATGGGCTACTGGGTTTGCATTTACCTTACAATAGCTCTAGAGGAACATCTCATCTTTCGCCGATCAAGAGGGTTTGATTGGGAGGCCTGGGCTGATCGCTCAAAATTGCCTCTCGGTCTTGCTGCACTGACAGCCTTCTTGATTGGCTGGGCTGGTGCGATTGTTTGCATGAACCAGATCTATTTCACCGGCCCGATCGCCAAGATGGTTGGTGACAGTGGCTCGGATCTTGGTATCTGGGTTGGCTCGTCGTGGGCCATGTTGGTCTATCCGGGTCTGCGCTGGTTAGAACTGAAGAAGTTCAACCGGTAAGTGAAACATGACCGAGGCTGTCTGGATATCTAATTGATACTCTAAGATAGATAGAAATAGTGCTTTGAATGATGACGACTATCAATGACAATCTGATTTGGCAATTCCAGGCGACCTCGAGAATGTAGCCAAGACCAACCAAAGGGAAAAGAAGGTGTAGTTATTGCCACAGTATCAGCAAGCAAGCTCGGTTATCCTCAAAAGTCTAAAAATATAGTAGGATACGCGCACTATTGTAATATGAGGGCGCCACTGTATCTGTCAACAGGAACGGTCTGCCAGATGAGACAGAAGAGATTGCCGGTCCACAAGATCTGTATACCTGCGAGGCTGCTGGGACTATTGCCTCTTTGGGCTGCTGGGACTATTCCCTCTTTTAGTCTAGCTGTCCTCACGGGGTTTCAAAAGTGGCATGCTCCACAATATCTGAAATGTTGGAGAAACCACGTTTGATAAAAATGAGATCCCTACAACGTATAGGCTCTTGCTCATTTTGGCCATCTGATCATCGTTCTAGGCCATAAGTTCCGCGTAATTCTTACTACTACCACTGTATATTTACCAGAGTTTCTCTAGACCAATTGCCAGATTGTAGACACCAAAAGACTTCTAGCATCTCTTGAGTCGCCGGAACAAATTGAGGTAACACCAATCCTCTAGGTAGGTTTAGCTCAAAGACGTTGGATTATGAGAGAACAGCTATACAGACTCCTATGCGTCTCCTGGTACAATTTTATCTTCCTGCATAAGCGTGCTCACTGGGTCAAAATAATCTTTTATCTCGAGATTATTTTGATCTACTGAGCTCCCATCCCCGGCTCTCGGGTAAACGTCGCTTAATTAAGCCAATGCAGGGCATACTCAGAAGGAAGTGGCCGTTGAACAAGGGACTAAGACAGAACAGTTTCTACCCCTTCATTCCACCCGATTGCTTACACAATGAAAGGGTTTCATGGTATGCTAGGGGGACCAAGCAGAAGTTTGAGCATTCAGAGCCTATGTGAAGAAAATATAAGTACCTTGTCCAAAATTTGGAGCCTACAGAGAGAACAATTCGACCCTTTTATCCATATAAAAGGAATCTACTTAATCTGAGATAAATACGCGGTTTTGAATATTACCTGCCAACCGCCAACATGTGGCTTAGGGACAGAGGGCTTCGACAGTTGAATCTTGGCATATTTCTCATGTTCTCAACCTCGGCTGCAAATGGATTCAGCGGCGGCTTGATCAACGGTTTACTTGTTCTCCCACAGTGTGAGCCTCCCCACGAGTTAGATGGTCCTTGGGAACTGAAATGACTGATATTACCATTCAAGTTGCCGTCTTCACACGGGAATTGAGTCCCCAAATGCTAGGGCTTGTGATCGCTGCAGGCGGGATCGGGGGAATAGTCTCTTACATACCGGCGTCCTATATTGCCGATATCTTTGGTCGAAAGGCCTGTGTGGGACTCGGGTCTATCATCATCATCGCAGCAGCGGTAATTCAAGCCGCAGTTCCGAATATCTGGGTGCTTTTGAGTTCAAGAGTTCTGGCTGGAATAGGGGTGGGAACTGCTTCTATCGCGGCACCCTTGCTAGTCACAGAAATAGCTCACCCACGAATGCGACAAACTGTGACCGCACTATACAGCTCTACCTGGTATTTAGGAGCCATTTCGTCTGGAATTGTTACTATCTCGACGTTGAGTATACCAAATGATTGGTCTTGGAGATTACCCTGCCTTTTGCAGTTGATTTATCCTGTCCTCCAACTATTCGGGCTGCTGTGTATCCCCGAGAGTCCTAGATGGCTGGTTTCAGCTGAAAGGAAAGATGAGGCTCTTGAAATTCTAATCAAGTATCATGCAAATGGGGTCGCTGGGGACAGCGGCGTTGCACATGAGTTTGAAAAAATGTGCTCATTAATCCCATTAGAAAAGACATTGAACAGAGAGGGCTGGAAAAAGTTTGTATCTTCTCGAGGGTATATTCACATACTGGCCATATGTATCTTGGTTGGGATAATGGAAGAATGGGCTGGTAATGGTAAGTCATGGCTAGACCAGCTCGGACACGGATGGTTATTAAATGATTACAGGGATTATATCATATTATCTTGCTCCAATACTTGGATCCATTGGAGTCAAAAATACTATGGATCAGGCCTCTTTAAACCTCGGACTTCAAACATGGAACCTATTGCTCTCTGGGGTGGGATCATTAGCATCAGAGAGATACGGCCGCCGAATATTATGGCTACTATCCACTAGTTTTATGCTAGTATTCTTGACCGTGATAGCAACATTAACGGGACTTTACACAGAAAAGGGGATATCATCTGCTGGAGTTGCCGTCATTCCCATGCTATTCCTCTTTTTCGCTGCATACGACATTGCGTATGCGGCACTGTTCTTTGCCTACCCGGCTGAAATTCTTCCATTTGAGCTACGAGCAAAAGGTCTGGCTGTAACCCTTTTGGCGGATTCCATTGGCGCATTTTCCAATCAATATGCCAATCCGGTGGCATTTTCGAGAATGAAATGGCGATACTATTGTGTGTTTTTAGGATTTCTATCCTTCTTTCTTTTCTCGATTTACTTCTTCTTCCCTGAGACAAAAGGCAGATCATTGGAAGAGGTATCGCAGATATTTCACAAGAGAACATATACTGAGCAAGACGGAGAAAGTAAGAAGGAGCCAGGGATAGAAGAAAGTATGAAGGTGGTCCGCTGCAATGTGGTCTAAAGGAGCAATAGACGAACCGGAGAATGAAAGTAGATATCTGACATGGAAAAGTAGAAATGAAAAGAATTTACGGCAAGGGAGTGATCAAACACCACTAGGATTCTTCAAGATACGCTATTCCTTGTTCATTTAGTTCGCCCTAGTGTGAGACGGAACTATTTTCACATAACACCATTGTTCGGATTTTGATGAAGACGCCGGAAATAACTTTACCCTATGGACCTCTAAATGTGTTATATAGACTAGCCGCTGATTTATACGGGGAAAAGAGAGAAGAAAAGGCACAAAAAGACAATATAGTACATTATTATGATAACTTTGCTTCTACCAGATTACCATCTAAGGTGAAAAAAGATAGAAAAAAGCCTTTGCAAAAACATACAACAGCAGGGATTCGCATGTGGTCACCCACCATACTACTAACCTGCCGGCGTGTGGCTTAAGTACGGCTGAGCGGACGGGAAGCCCTGTTCTCCACACCCTATGGTCGTATGTACTGGATATCTCTGTCAAGGAAATAGATATCGAATATAAATTATAGTGAAGCTAGGGATCTTCTTTATTCACATAAGAACAATTTGGGTAAAATAGTCTCTTTCCACCTGCGACCAGGGAGTGGGCAACTAGATAATCGGGATCGGCCCGAGGGCATTTGGAAATGGGCTAGATGGAAAATGCGATGGATAAACTTTGCATGTAGCTAGTTATCTGTTAACATGAAGTACGTGGCCCTCTTAAGGCTTGGAAATTTTGATCGACGTCATCGGATTTTCTTTTTCTAAATGGTAAAATTGTATCGATCGAATGTAACATAATTGCAGGAAATACCATAAAGAGTTCAGCTAAGAATGGTGTACAGCATGAAACCAAGTCCGAGAATATTCTATGGACAGATACAGTGTTTGTGGAATCGCGTACAAAACAATACTACCTACTAGTACTCTTCGAGGGTCTTCTTCGCTATTTGGGTAGCTATGTCCGTATAAAACGTGTCTATTTGCTTTTGGCTGATTTAATCAAGTACCAAGCATGAAATAGCAGGAGGAACAAGAAGCTAGATCATGCACCGATGATTGTACTTGAGAACTCAAATATTGACGCATACAAATTCACGCAATTCCATGGCGTACATCAGTGATGTGCCCAGAACAAAACACCAGCACGACCTCACAGAAGTCCGATAACCACATCGCCATAGATTTGAGCGTCTAAGTCAAGGCGGACCTTGGCATGAAGGTTAAGGTGAACCTTGATCTTCAAGGCGCCTTTCTCATCCGGATCGTTGAGCAACTTGCCGGGCATCTGAAGGCCAGCGCTGGAGATGGTACCCTCTCCACCGTGAACGAGCGCGCCGCCTCGAGTGGCGCCATTGGTGTCATCGTCCGACTTGCCGCGGCGGCCGCCAACGGGACGAGACTCGGAGGGAATGCTAATAGACGGAGTGGGAATATCAGCTGCGGGTGTGCTCGAAACGGGGGTCTCGGATTTGCTTGGGACAGCAGACTCGACTGTTGGGCGGCGAGCGGAAACGGGTCGAGCAGGAACAGGAGCAGAAGCAGCAGAGATAACAGAAGGAGGCTTCACGGGAGAATTGGGTGAAGTAAATGGATTGAAAGGCGCAATTGCAGATGGCTTTGGAGGCCCAGTGATAGGCTGGGCAGGACCCGGCCGCGATGGGGCTTTTTCGGGGTCAGATACAACCGGGGTTCCCGGCTTAGGCTCGGTGGGATTGGGCCGCGGGGGACTTGTTTCAGGATCAGATAAAACTGGAGCCTCCGGCTTTGACTCGGGAGTCACAACCGACGGAATCGAGTCGATTGAAGTTTGGGTTGTCAAGGTATGCGTGGACGAACTCATTGTGCCACTGTGAACACCTGCGGAGGAAATTGAAGATGGCGACTGTTTCTGCTTCTGCTTCTGCTTCTGCTTCTGCTTCTGCTTCTGCTTCTGCTTGGCCTTTCCCGACTTGCTTCTGAACATGAGGAAGATAAGGGGAAGATGGGATCTAATACCTGGCAACAGGGTCAGACATTCTTGTAGATTGCGAGAAGGTCTTCGATATCTAAGTGATAGGAGAGATGTGTGATGTATTGAACTGTATGATGAATGATGTGTATTGAACTGTATGATGAATGATGTGGTTAGTTGAAGAGGAGATGAGTGAAAAAAGATGTGTTTTTGCTCGACCTGATGCGGCCTTTTCTATACGGCGCTGGGCCGTCTCTAGACCATGCAATATGCGGTTATATAGACCAGATAATGTCTGCCAGGTGGGGCTTTCCTGTTTTGGCTGCCGCCGCTTTTATGAGGGCGCTCAGGCTCAGGCTCAGTGAGTAGATTTCAGCACGGGCTCAGACTCAGTGATCAGATCAGTGGTGTCATGTGATGGATGACCTATGCTCACTGATCGCTCAGAATTGCTCAGTGATCACTCGGTGCTTAGTCACCCCATGTTGTTTATCGTCCAATCAGGATTTGTCTCCTATCGTATCTCTAGCTATTCCCGAATTAGTAAGGCCTATAGGGTCATTTATTCTGTGACAACTAGCGCCCTCATGCTTGTAAGCTGAGTGTCTCCGTTTAAACGAAGAACTGCGTCATTCCTGCCCACCGCATCAAAAACGGGACTGAGCCAGCTTTTCGGGATAATTCGGTCAAAAATTATTCCTCTATCATGTATTTCTTCGAGTTTGTAATCTCTCAGATATAAAAGGTAGACCCCAATCCCCCTTCAGCATTACATGAACTATCCATCCCCCATCCACTTGTCCGTGCCAAAATTCAATCCTTTCCAAGGCGTTTTCTATTCAACCACAAATCGAAAAAATATCTGATTATGGGCGAAAAGCCTTTTTCGCCAGGCGTGATGATAGAACCAAAGAAAGGCGGCGTCTCCAACGGCAGAAGAATGGCTATCTCCCTTGTGCTTTCAAGGAGGAAGATGCAGTTCGAAACAAAGATAAGAAGATCCCAAAGACCAAAGAACTACATCAAGAAACTCTGAATCTTTGGTTTGAGTAGGTTTAAAAACATATTATCATAATCGACAGCAAGGCTGACTTCTCCCTAGCTTTACGGCAGACCCAGAAAACGGATTTCAAGATTACAAAACTGTTCCAGGTTGCCCGCCTCCGAACCATGAAATGGTGAAGGGATTTATTCGCTGGTATGCGGACTCTACTATTGGCCGGCTCAGCAATAGCGGGAAACCAACTGTGAGAACAACTAAGGCGTGCGCGGAGAGATTTTTCGGTGGGTTTAAAGAGGCTACCAAAACTGAGGTCCCTGAAATGGATCGAAAAGAAATATACGCTGTGAGTTCCCTCTTGCCTCTTTTTCCAGACAAGCTTTGACACTGTTGACGATGGGGTGCAGTGGATAAAAAATACATTAACGAAAGATGGTCAAGTCGTGAATGAGAAAAAAAACAGAAATTCAACTTCAAAAGAGACGACTTTTTAAAGGTAGTTTCTTCAATGTGGCAGGCTGATCACAAAAGGTTTATTCCTGGGTTGATCAAAATTCAAATACTGTTTGCTCTACAATTATATCTTTTCACAGGAGCAAGAGTCGGGTCTTTCATGCCTTCTGATGAGAACAAAGGAGAACGAGGTCTGCGATATGAAGTAAGTAAATCATATCTTGAAATGTTGTTCAATTCTAAACCATAATGTGAGCACATCAATTTGGTCCTGTTCCCTTCACCTACTGCTCAATGGGAAGTTGGATGGAGAGTCAATCAGGCTTGGCTCAAGAATAATCGAGATCCAGAATATACAGTGTATGTTGGAGAAGTCCTTTTTGTTTGTCTCAGAAAGCTAAACTACAATCAGTTTTGGAATTGGCATTCGTGACAGCAAACGATCACAATTCGCGTCTGGCGACCTTCTTCTTGGACTTGCACTGGGACATGGCGCTCTTTTCGGAATTGAAACCAAAGCAGATTTGGCAAAATATGATCTATCCAATGGAGAAATACCATTGCGATGGAAAGAAAGCTATTTGAAAAAGCCCATTTTTCGGAATGTGACAGCCGACGGACCTCAAGATATCCCTCTCACGAACAAAGACTTCTATCATTATCTTCACCTGATTTTTGACGCGGCTGGATACAGTGAGCACCCAACAATACATGATGCACGACGAAGTCTAGCCAAAGAAGTTGAAAGTAAGTTATTCCAATATTAAATCCCCTGTACATAGTCTGGTTACTGACGCTCAACACAGAAATGTATGGCTCCGCGCCTGTCTCCCAGATTCTAGCACAACGAGACCCAAAAACATTCCCAGAGCACTACCAAGCCCACTGCTCCTCTATAGATACAGTCTCAGCTGTGCTTGATGAGGAAGTTCAAACAAAACATATTGAGTATTTCCAAGGCTACGGTCAATTTTGTGAACCAGGTGTGCCTCTTGAATTGCCTGCTCACGTGAAGGAGGGTATTTTGATGTTACCCGAAATGGTGGAAATGAGAACAGACATCCAAATTGCTGAAGAACGCAAGGACCAAGAGAAGCACCAGTCCATGAAGCGGGAATATAGAGAGGCATTAGCCCGGCAACGTCGTGTTGACCTAAAGAAATACCAAGATTCATGGATACAGGCAAAAAGAGATCAAAATATTCTGAATCGGGGAAAGGGGAAGCCTGTACAAGTGGTAAAGGACATTTGCATACGTGCTCAATACCTAATCATGCCAGAGCTTGCACACATCGCAACCACCATGTCTTGTACAACTGAGTTGACCTTTGAAGAGAAACTTTCTTTTGTGGAGGACCTCCATACAATATGCTCCCGCAAAGAGGATGTTATTTACCTTCCCAATGAACAGCCAATTGAAGGTCTTTGTCCCGCAAACGGCTGTCAACTTAAGATTGAAAGGTGAGTCGCCGTTATTTCACAATGACACAGCTTCTGATACAGACTATCACAGACTTGCGAAGGGTGAGAGAAGCGCCCACATTCATGAATGCATTCGACATGAGAAAGGACTCGCCCTTCAAGTTCCTGAATCGCGGCTACGTTTTTGCTACGAGTGTATGGAATGGTTTCTATTACACCAATGGCAGGATCATTGCACTACTCACCTCCAATTATGGCAAACTCAGCACTGCGAAGTTGTCAAAATGATCTGGTGTGGCATGTACCGGAGTAGACGTCGGATATGGCGCATATACCTCATCTCAGTGGTTCGAGGAGTCTTAGAGCCTCCAAATACCGAAGAGATAGAAAGGGATAAGAGCTCCTTGACGATGTGGCCGCAAAAGAAGGGTTCGTGCTTTCTGCTTTCCTTCTTCGCACTACGGAGAATCCAGTTCCGGCACGGCGTTCGCTGATGTATATCGTCAAAGTCCAGCCATTAGTGGTGGACCTTCAGTGTTTTTGGCTGAGAATTATACACAACATCCGCCCTACTATCGAAACCTTCAACATAAACCACTTGAATCCCCTGCATCGAATCCAACAGGGCAAAGCATTCTCTCAGTGCCTTCCGCACAGTTCTCGAGAAGGTGGTATCCGGGGAGCTACAGACCTCGGCATTCTGGAAAAGCATCGAAAGCTCCTCCGCAGCACTGCGGATAAGGGTAGTCGATCGCAGTAGGCGCCATAATTCTCGCGGCAGCTTCATCAGCCTTTTTCCAATGGTCTCTCGTATCACCTTGACATCCTAGATTAGCGTTAGCCTGTGACAAGTGATGCGTATATTTGACTTCCGACAAACCTAGGCTCCGGATGTTTCGCAATAGAAAAAGTCCTTGCCCTTGGACTCGTGTAGCAAATACGTTCAAATGCGGGATATTGTCGAGGGCAAGAGCAAATCAGCAGCCAGACTAACGTCCATCAGCGCTGGTGTCTTTCGGAGGAGGCTCACGTATATCGGAAGAAGGACGTCCTCGTGCGTTTGAAGGGCGGACTCCCAGATCCGGCACACTCGCTCTGCCAGTCCATGCCGGTCCATTAGCCATCGCCGATTGCGATTGAATTTCCCCTCTGTAAAGTTATAACCAAGTTTGAACGGGTAAATCGAATTTGTTCCAGAGATTAGCACGCCGTGGACATAAATCCTACCAAGAAGGTTTTGGTCAAATAGCAGGTCCCCGTGGCTTGTCTCGACAACCGAGGACGGGTAGGAGAGGCCTCGAATATCCTACGATATTTGTAGCCACTGAAGAAATTCTTCAGGTGCCACCGGCCGACCCTGGGTGGTGCGTCCAGGGCCGATGAGCACGGCAACATCTCGCTCGGGGTGGAAGCGTAGTCCAGCAAAATCTTCGGCCCAGTCCGTCTGAGTGGAACTTGATTGGCGCGATGGGGTGATGGTACAATGGAGGCGAGACTTGCATGGCTCCCGCAAATAGAAATTCCAGGAACACCGGCTGGCCGCCACTTGCAACCTATACCCATCCCGGGACAGAGCCACGGCTGCCAGCTTGAGTCCGTCGCCGTGGGAACCCGCCAGCTGGTTCTGGTCGCTCTTGGTAGTGAAGCCCAACTGGAGAGACTCGACGGAAAACTGCATGCAGGCGTTCGCCAAAATGATTCGGCTGGATTTCTTGTCGTACTTGATGAATCCTAAGGACCGGCGACCCTCGGGGTCCGCGGGGTCTGGTACCAAGACGTCGTAATGATCGCAGGCGTCGACGAAGTATGGCCGGAAGGCGATTCGATCGATCTGGAACCGTTCCAATATGGCGTCCTTCCTGTTTTATGATTGAGCCTAATGATCCGATGAGATGAAGGATACAAAATTTACCAATTCTGATATATTTCCCGAAAGGCATCGGCAGAGGTCCAGTGACTCACGTAATGAGGAGAAACGCCGAGCGAGACAATTCGCCGCGAATGCACAGCAGTTGGAAATGATCCTTTCTGGCACTGAAGGAGTTCGCGTTCAAGTTGCTGATTCGCGTCAGTCATCTCGTGACTATCGTCACTGGAGTCAATTTCCATGCGGTCGGCCATCCATTTGCAGGGAGGTAGATGTCCCTGAGAATCTAGGCTCTTTGTCGACTATTTATATCCCGTCCGTCTGTAACTCTAGCGCATAGCTCTGGCACGGTAATGCATGGCCAGCTGGATAACGGTAACCAACGTCATGATATCAAGATAGAGCTAAGCAAAGGATCTTGATGGGAGAACGATGATCAACCACCACCTATCGTGCGGCCAATTGCGCTATCCCTTCCACCTAGATATGTGTATCATTCTGGGCCTTGCCACAGATCTTTCCATCGCCGGCTGACTTACGGATGGTAGGCTTTTGATCATATATGGAAGTCTTCAGTCTTGGCCTTGCGACGATTCTGCATCGTCGATAGTCGGTGCTCAACATTACGCAACAGTTACACGCAAGTTGTCAACAAAAATCAATATCTTTACAGAATTGGGGCATGCATCAATTAAATTCAAATTATCTTGTTGAGATGAGTCCACGACACGCTGTTTCTGGCCGACTCTGCAGACTGACCGCGGTGGTAGATAGCCTTTGGCTACGTCAATTTATTTATAATATGCAAGACGAGCCCCAGGATAAAAAAAACAAAAGCATATCGAAATGCCTTTTTTTGGTACTCAGTAAATCGTGGATATGCCCTCCAACCAAGCCATAAAAGAACAAAAGAAGGGACAAGCCGTCTATTGAGATCGAACAGCTCTGCGATCATGATATTCAGCGCCAACACCTAATTTTTGGCTGCCCAGTCCTTGAGCAAATTTCCAAATCAGTAATGATGTTTGAAAAGTTGAATTGCTCCGAAGTTTGAATGCATGTCTACCTTGATGGCAGAGGAACATACCAAGAATTCCGCATGCCTGGCCGCTGAGCCAGCAAAAGAGTCGTATGTAGTGTTGTACGTGAATGGTGAATAAAAGAGGGAAAGCGAAAAAGGTCAGCGAGAGATGTAAGTCGGTATTATGAAAGAAGCGACAAGTTTTCATCCCAGTGAACTTGCGATAATTCTTTGGAGTGGGGCTGTTGATGGTCTGCCACGTAACCTGTGAGGGGTGCTAAAACAAACTAGCCGGATACGGGACTCGATCAAGAAATGACCCATATCAAAAATTTAGTGGAAAATCAAAATTCTTTGGTTTTTTCCGAGGCGGCTCTAGCTTACCAAGGTAAATAGAGAACTATATGAGTCCTTGCGAGTATGAGTGATGCCAAGCCAATAAGTAGACAGCAAATGATTAGCGTAATCATTACTCTCAGCAAGTGGGCCACCTTGAGATTTTGGTGAAGGACGTAAGTGTACTTTATTATCAACAAGGTCACTTGGATTATTTTGAAAGCACCATGAGAAATACTGTCCATCTAGCGAAATCGAAAACTTCCCGAACAGGATGATTCCACACTGTCACTAGCGCATTGTATTACGTACGAGTGCTTACGAGGTTTCTAGTATTTGGCTATGCCCGCGAATATAAATTTCTGATATTCCTGGACTGGACAAGCTTTCTCCAACTTCAAGTTCAACTCAGCTGAGAAAAACGACTGCCCTCGTTATTTTGAGCCCAGATAAATCCATTATGAGGGTGCTTACAGTGTTCGCATTGTTAGCGACTTCCACAGTCATCGCCCAGCCACACGATGTCGCATCCAACAATTTTGAGAAACGTGCGGAGATGACTTATTGGCAAAATTGGTGTATTGCGGGAGGAGCGGTGCTGGCCGGAGTTGGGACCTTGGCCAGCGGAATAGCCGGTATCATCTCAGCATCTTCATCTTCATCTTCATGCACCGTCGTCACCAATGATGTATTGTACGAAGGCGATCTAAAACGAGATGCAATTCCAGATACAGCCGGAACTGGCTCACTATCTGTCAATAAAACAGGATTCATTGACTCTTTGGCTGAGAGCGGGTTCAACACTTCGTCTGAATTGTGGCGGAGTGAATTGAACGGCGATATGGCATATCACGGTAAGGGACAAATTTCGACTACTGAACTCCTGTGCTGACTTTTGATTTAAGGTACATTAAGCGACGGAATAGTCTACGTTCGAAACCTGACTTTCAGCACTCAAGGCCATATTAATGGCGTTTTTTCAACTGCAGATCTCGGCCCAACCGATAGGGGATCTCTTGAGAAACGGTATACGTGGAAAAAAAACGAGATTCAAGTATCTTACCATGCCACTGGAAAATGCCATACCACAGCCACCAGAACAAAGATCAAAAACATCGTCGAAGAAGCGATATACCACCAGTCTATTTGGAAGAGGGCGGCTGCATGTTTTACTCTGTGGTATGACGGTACTTGGCTTGGGCATGTCAAGGTCCTTGAAATGACTTCTGGGGGGGAATGTTTTAACAGAAGGAAAGGATAAGTCTTGTGTTGGCAAGAAATATGTCTCGAATACATGTTGAGTGCGAGGAAAAATGTGGATCAAGAGGGCGGAGAGGGCGGCGCAGAAGAGTGCATAGCGTCGATTACAGATGGGTGGAATTTGGATGCTTTTCTCTCAGATCAACTTCGTCCATCCGAATTTCAAAGGAATAAGAACAGATGGAACTATTGTTTAGTATGTGATATATTGAATCGAAGTTGTTGATTGACTGACGACCAGAAGCATTGGAATTCTCTCTTTAACTTGAAAACTCAGTCATATCCAGACTTTGCGCCCAATGTCTGGATTGAACTTAAGCATAAATGATAGTCTACCGGGACCGACCATAGAGTCCCATGAAGCTGCCATGAAAAAGGACAGAAAGATTATTTACGGCGCTTTAAAAGACCTTGGCCTACCTTAGATTGCCGGGGAAGAGAAGATTAATTCGGGGCTGATCGTACGGACTGAAGAGCCCAACAACTCAAGGCGCAAATCGAAATTTTGTTATATCTCAGGAACTAGGCCAGTTGGAAACCCGCACTATACGGCAAGTTTTAAATAACTTCACGCGCTACATTTTGAGCCTATATTTATATAGCCTAGCTTAATATGCCGGTGCCGCGTGTGGAGAAGGTGGTTTCGCGTCCCTCCGGGGGCGTGCCCGCCGCGTTGAAGAATCTGCCATTGAATCGTGAATGCGTTCAGAACGTCAATCGTAACGCCACGGAGCTATTGATGGAGCTTAATAGCAGTCTAAAAGCCTAAGTGAAACCAGATAGGGTGCGGGAACTCCTCGAAAATGTTTGAGCCCTTACTAGCGACCTTTCGTTGCTTCCCCTGTACGACTGGCAGCAGGAGCTCCAGTCCCTCTGTAATAACCTCTCCAAGGAGATTCATAACGCTGTAAAAGTGGCTATAGAGCCTTCATCTTGTATGGGCACTGTCTCCTGGGCTTGGGCAGCAGTATAAGCACTAGCACCGGCCTATTAATTATCGCTATCCTTATCATTGAATGCCATATCCGCTGTACCGGTCACAGTATATAACCGGGATGTAATTATCTGCCTCGATAACTATAATCAGGTGAACAGATATCATAGTAAGCCGTCTAAGGAGATAAAAGATTATACTAATAAGGTACGTACGGAGTATGTAAAGGGTACCCAGACCGCTATATTGGCTACAGTAATAGTGAAGGCAGTTCGCTAGTTAAAGTTGGGTAATCTCTGGCTCACTGTACAAGATATACGGGAAGTATAACTGATATAGCTGTATCAAGATATATAGGTTAAAGGCTTTGGTTTAACAGCCTTTGTCTATATACTGACCTAGGGGGCTATTATATACAGTATATAGGTACGCTCCTTGGTAGATAAGCCAATGATTTAGGACTTACGGGAGGCGTAGGGAGTAATTACAGAAGCAATAGTAGCTGAAAACTCCTGTTACTGGGGGAAAGATACCATAATTATAAAGATTAACTGGTTGCGGGTGCCAAAGGAGGGAGCCAAAATAGCATTAATTATTCTTAAATTCAGCAGGCTACAATCAGCGAATAAGGCTATTGAAGAGGGTATGCTCTGGGATTTGAACCGGTATTAGGCTCTCCTTTATGATAGGAGTCTCTGTATGCGGCAATGCTTTAACTGTCAATAATACAGATATATAGGAGCTTTCTGTGCTAATAAAATAAAATATGTGTACTGCGCTGGGGAGCATCAGTCTTGAGATTATACTACCTGTATGTACAGGGATAAGAAATGTGTTAATTATGAGGGTGTATATCTAGTGTGGAGTGAGGACTATGAGACGAGGATTATAGTGGTAGAACAGATTATGGCGATGGCGAAGCAGTACGGGTGATTCTATCTAGTACTGGCTGAGTTTAGCTATAATGATCCCTCAGTATCCCTTAAACCTCCCTCGCTAAGCTCTATAGGGATATCCCAGGTGTCCTTAACCGAAGAACTATTAAGCGGTATAATAGGTATTGCTGTTGTATCGGCTGTACGCTCCAGTAACAGAGAGTAAATTACCAGTATAAACCAGACTATCAGTAGGATTCAGGGAAAGCCAGCGAGGAAAACTGTGGCAAAAGTACTATCTAAGCAGGTAAAGAAGGTACAGAGGGCTACAGTAATAACTATCCTAGAGGACGAGATAGAAGGCATTGAAGAGATGTCCTAGGAAACCCCCTAGGAAGTACCCGAGGTGTAGCAAACACCCCGAGTCAACCTACCTAGGAACCTACGGCAGTTTAACTTTATAACTATCCAGGGATTATGTATTTTCAGTACCTTAAACAGTATAACGTATGATATTGACTTCTAGCTCCAGGTTCCTCCCTCATTTGGGATAAATATCTGAAAATAGCTTGTGAAAAATTGGCCTACGCCGCCCTCGCTGTCTGCTTCTCCAATTATTTCCGTCAACACTTACTCACTTGCTCGCTTACGCTCTCTCTCTCCCTTCACGTCTCATTGCTACTGCTTCTGCTGCGTCAACGCTTCAAATCTACTGGACTCTATGAGCCTGATCCATTCACCAAGGGGATAGCAGAGCCTTTCATAAAACAAGCTAAAACACAGGATCGATTGCCGCTCTGGAGGCCGTAATCAGCGTAGTTCTCGATTCAGGTGCCTAATTAACCATTTTCAACACAGTTCGCCGTACACACCCATAATCTATGAGAGGATTGAAGCTTGTGCATTGAGGTAAGATCTGGCGAAACAAGAGTTCGTAATGATTGATATTGCCGCTATAAAGGGTATTCGTACAGCCAATATGTACCGCTGATAGTGATCCGTATATATGAGAATTTATCTCATTTCCCTTTCCAATGAAATAAAAAGAAATCTCCCAAGAAGAGAGGGGGGAAAAGAAAGATTTAGTTTTTAAAATCCACGCTTTGACCGGTGAGCCCGCTCGCCCGGTGTATCGAAGATGCCGTTTGTCTCAACGGTAGTCTCAATCTCTGTCTGAGCGAAGATTTTCCCATCGGGAATGATTATCCTCTCCTCGCTCGAGTTGTCGTTCACGGTAGCGCCGATTTGGGTACCCATTCCACCATCTTCTTTGCCATTCAATGTGCCCATTGTGATCTGGTTTGGGTCGGTGACTCTGGTGAAACCTGAGCCGTATTTGCGAGCGTCGGTATTGCCAGACCAAGGTCCGTATTTTCTGCCACTACTGTACTCGCCGATGAAGCGGGGCAGGAAGCGAGATGCAATAGCCTTAAAGGATGGGATTGAGGCGGCAAATATCCCGACATTTGTTTCGATGACGGACCAGTACATAGCTCCACTAATAGCGTATGTAGCATCGGGGGATGTGAGCATGGCGGGAATATAGGTAATTCGAATGATGGAGGAAACACAGGCACTATGGTGAAACTGTATTAGAGCGGATCCAGACAATGAGGCAGTATTCGGTGCTCTTACAAAAGACCAAGACAGAGAATCAGGGCCAGCGCAATTTTCTGCTTGCGCGGCATCTGGAGTTTGAAGATGACGCGGATGGGAAGAGTGTAGGTCAGGAGATCGGTAAAGATGTTCAGTGCAGCGTTGGCCAGATAAAACACATTAATGTTGACACATTTTCCAGGACCGGTACCGGTCCAGGCTTTGCTGATTGTTTGGCATTGAAATGCGGCGACGAGAACGAAAGAGCCTGCTTGAGCCGCAATGACTCCAACCATGGCCCATGAAGCTCGGGTGAGAGTCCGGTCGCCCAGGCGAGTGTAGAACCATAAGACGGATGTTTTAATGAATCCAAGGGTTGCGAGATAGAACATTGAACTCAGCCAAACCGCCTGCACAGAGTTAGAATTAGCAAAGGATTCTACGCGATCAATTAATAGATGGCTGTGAACATACAAATCCATAGGTAATCATGTTGTTCGGATCAACATATTTCGCATGTTGACCGAGACCATTCTCAACCGCTGAGGTAGGTTAGCTCTTGGCTATAGAGACGGGCAGTTCATAGTCGAGATCAAGGAACTCACCAACAATAGTGACGGCGATGAATGCCCATGATAATAGCTGGTGCTGTCAGTTTCTATTTCCCACATAGAGATTGACTCGATCTTACACAAGCTCCGATAATAAGATCTAAATACTTGTTAGTCAATTCTCACTTAGCCAGGGCAGGATTACTCACAGTCATCAAACCCCATTCTACCTAGCACATAGACGCGAGCGAACAACCGCAGACTCAAAACAATGAATGTTAGGACGGCGAATGCAAGACAAATCCCGACAACAACGGGCCCTTGTGAGCCATGATCACTTGTGATGGCCATGAGGAGTAAATAAAAGAGCGAATGCGAACAAGAAAACGGCAAGTCAAATCATCGATGTCCGTTCAAGTTGGATGCGGTTAATTAGGAGTGTACGTTGACCAAGCCTTTTACTAGTATGTCACCAGGACAAGAAAGACAGCCAACGGTGTAGAAGAAATGAAAGAACGAAATAAGAAATAAGAATGAGAAATACAATGGAGAAAAGCGCCACAAGAATGTACCTTTGTCTTTATTCGAGGGCGGCACATGCCTGCCAGGATTTAACTCTGAAAAAAGAAAAGAAAAAATTAAATTAAATTGTCCGCCGTTCTCCGTACATATGCTAGCGGCAGCATGGCGCTGGTTCCTAACAGCTTCCAGATCCACCGGTTCCAATAACGTTGCCGCCAAAAGGTGGCCAAGCCCGTGGGGATTGGAAAGATCTTACCCAAGAGAGAACTACAACCAGACGGTTCAGAGACGATGCAACAGCTTCTCCTGGTTCAGACCGCCGATAAACAGGGCTAATGTCCGCTTTCTATCCCACGGACTAGGAATATGTTTTTTTTGGGCGTCGAGCCGAGACTCCAGAAGACTCGTCAAGGTTCAGAGCCATTTGATTTGCCAGCCAGATGCGGAGATGTGGCTAATGTCCCCCTTGTCAACAGTGCAACCGCAGGGAATATTTACTATGGGTCCACTACGTGAATTCGAACCACCTACTCCGTAGTACTCCGCACGATAGGTGTTCTCGTTCTCGTTCTGGGGTGGGCTCAAACATCAAACGGGAAAGGCCCTGAAGTCAGGAGGGTATATACGGAGAACGAGCATCGGGAATAAGCAGGGAAGAAAGAATGTGTGGGTCAGTCGGAAGGTCAAGTCTCGTATACTGCTGATCAAAAAGTCTGGGTTGCCTGGCATCAAGGTCCCCCAAAAGCAATTTTGGGTTTAAATTCTGAATATCTACTCCGTGCAATTACGATATTCTTCACAAACTAACCGCTATCTTGCGATGAAAGGGGAAGAGGGGAATTCAAAAGTACATATGCACAGCCGATGTGAAAATGTATCATGTACAACGAGCATGCCCAGTTGAAATCGGAATCGAGTCAAGCGTGGGGCATCGGCAGATCCTGCCGAATAGGAAAATATCGATCGACTGGCGAGTGTTGACTTTCCACCTCTTTTCTGTTTGTTTTGTGCTCCGAATTTCTTTTAGGTCTGGGTTTGTTTTACTTCAACGGTGATCCTAATTCGCGTGTTATGACATTATCTATGTGGTCTTAAACTTTCGTTTGACAGGCGCTGCGGCAAGTTTAATGCGCCTTGTGTCTCGTAAAAGTGGCCCTCAAAGTTTACTCTTCATGGAAGACCAGGATATTGTGAGGAGATCATCGCAGCCAGCGTTTCAGACGGCCCCGGGATTTCTTCAATGGGCGCCGCGATGTGCCGACCAAGAAGGCATCGAAATCAGGAAAGATCCCCAACATGACCCACTCGGGGCGCTATCCTAAAAGCAAATATGATCTGCAAGCCTCATTCCCCCCGAGCCGTCCTTCTCGGACCCACCATATCCACTGGTGGGACACTCCGATTGTCGTCACCATTCAGCCGCGTCAGTTCTAAGCGAGATTGGGCGAGACACGAGCTTTCCGGTCGAGGAAATCAAGGGAAGCGGATGTTTTCTAGTCACAATTAAGTGTTCATGTGATTTGCACGCACTCTTCCGAGTAACAATTCTATTGTCCAACGCGCTAAAGTGCGAAAAAACAGGGGGCAAACGGGAGAAGCATGCCCTCGTGCATGCAGCTACAGTCTAGCGTGATGGGTAGCGGAGTAACTACGAGTAGATGAGACACCTCCAAACACCATCACTCCCATCTGTACTCCGTACGAGAACTTCATACGCGCATGCCGATTTCTAGCATTGCAATTGAACTCCCACGATGCTTTCCATCCCTAGGAACTCCATTGTTTTTTGGAAGGAAATAAAAATATTCAGAGTGATCTTGAACGCAGCTCGCCTTATCGATCACCGTTTTTGATCTACATTCGCTATAAAAAGGACACCCTTGTAGACGAATCAAGGCGCAAGTCTTTCCAATCGCCTTGGCAATTGAGGAGGCGGGTACGCAGATGGATACTTGCCGGGGCAGAGGATCACAACCGAAGGGAAATGGGGGCATTGGATGTGGCGTGCACCCCCGAGTCATACTCATCACAGCAGGGTCCATCACCCCTTGTCGTGGTATTCCCAACAAGGAAGTTAGACGGGAACGTGGGTGGCAACGGCATCAAGTACTACTCCGTAGTGGAGAAGTACATCCGATGTCCATCGAGGAGGCACGATGATTCCGGATAACCGGGTTCCTATTCGAGAGCACCAGGCCCAAGAGTACGGCCTGTAATGCATTGACCAGTTCTGAGGCCCCGTTTTGGTTTGCGAGAATCGATTGATAGATCACCTGGGTATCGATCTAAGGTTAAGCATTCTCATAACATTTATCGGGCCATTTTTCTCTCTCCGCATTCCATTTAATAAAGGACTTAAGCAAATGAACACGTTCGTGAATACATATCGCAACGTGGCCGTGAAGACAGGTGGATTCATGACATTATGTTCCTAAATCCTGCAGGCAGGCGACAAGAAAACATCTCCTTCAGAGAGTGGATACTGAGTGGCACGATCCACCATTGCCCTAGCCTGACACTTGGCTGCTCCCCACCGAGCCTTGTACAAATGAGGCGAGGCAATGGGGTCCTGAATACGCCCTGTCGTGTGTCTATTCGTTCTAGGCAATTGCGACCTAGAATAACGATCATCCTTGTGGATATAACGGCATCGAACGTTCCAGGAGATTGCGTCGGATCCCCCCTTTTTTAGAAATACTTGAATCAAGAGTGAGTGACAGCTCGGACCCTATTAGAGTGAAAATCATTACTGCTTCAGCAAAGACCGTCGAGACACGAGTCTTGCGTCGTACCTAGGCATCTCGTAGCTATGGCTTCCAAGAAAATCATGCCCATATATCCACATGAGCTATTCGTGTCTCCAGTCGCCAACAGGGTTCGTGGAATTACATATCCACCGAATAATGGTGCCAACAGCGTAGTAGCCAAGCTAAGTGACAAAGTGGACACATTTAGAGAACGAAGGAGCACGCCTTGGTGATTTAGTTGGCCGTTAGACCCAGCGAGGCCTAGATATTCCCGAACTAAAAGCACTTGGACTCCCGCCCAGGGTGGATTGTCCATTGTGGCTCGGCACTGCCCACTCGACCAATGGCTTCGTCTCCTTTATCATTTGAATGGCATTGAAAGGGGATGGCGGGGGGGGGGACTCTCCGCGGTTATTTTGAGAGTCGTTTCTGCCCCTCTTGTTGCCAAAAGTTTCTAATCTCCAGATGCGGTGCATTTGAATCTGTCAGCCATCATCATGGGTCTTGCAGAGAGTGCGCTGTCACTGGTGTCAGTCACCAATGTCTTCCTCGCTCTTTTTCTCTACGCCATTTCGAAACTCGTTTACCAAATCGTGTACTATCGGTTCTTCCACCCGCTGTCCAAATTCCCAGGTCCCTTCTGGGCATCCGTGACCCGTCTTTGGATTGCGAAGCAGAACTTGGCCGAGACGGAATATCTTACCTTTCATGAACTTTCTAAGACATACGGTAAGATTCACGTGTGCGAGAAAGGGCTGATAAATATAGAGAGATAACTAATTGATTGCATTTCATTAGGACCTGTCGTTCGCATTACTCCCACATTGCTGCTAGTCAGCGACCACTCCAAGCTTCCCGAAGTCTACCAACGCAATGTGGACAAAACTGGACACTATATCACGGGTAGCTTCGGCGAGAATGAAAGTCTGTTCAACATGAGGTCCCACAAGACTCATGCAGTGTTCCGAAAATACGTTGCGGGACCTGTAAGCTCCATAGAACAAAATATGATTTACGAGACGAGTGTTGACAATTAATGCAGTATAGCTTCACCAATATCAAAAGCATGGAGCCAATGATCGACGCGCGCATCCGCGAATGGAGCGACAAGCTCAATGGTACTTTTGTCAAATCTGGCGAGGCTTTCGATTTCGCCTGGTGGGCAGTGTAAGTTTGGCACAACTCGTTTCATTCGAGCTTGGCTAACCTTTTGCGCCAATAGCTATATGGCATACGACATCATCAGCGAAATTGGTTTCGGCGCTCCCTTTGGATTCATTGAGAAGGGTGAAGATGTTGGTGGTCTCATCCAAGGTTTCCACGATGGCCTTCCTGCTTTCGGTTTCCTTGCCCGCCTGCATCCTTTTACATCCTGGATGAAGACAACTTTCATGAAGAAGTATCTCGTCGCCACTCCACAAGATAACACGGGCATTGGTGTTCTGATGCGCTTCCGTGATCGTCTCATCAAAGAGCGCGTGGAGGATATCAACAGTGGCAAGCCGGTCAACCGTGTCGACCTTCTCCAAAAGCTGATCGAAGCTCGCACTGACGAGGGCAAGCCTCTCGATTTGGAATATATTCGCGCAGAGGTTCTCCTGGTTCTACTTGCTGGAGCTGATACCACTGGTACCGCTTTCCAGGCCTTGATCCAGTTCCTCCTATCCAACACGGAATCATATGACCGCATGATGGATGAAATTGACAATGCCACACGCAAGGGACTGATCTCCAATATGCCCCAGTATGACGAAGTCATTGAGCACTTGCCATTCTTTGTAGGCTGTGTCAAGGAAACCATGCGTCTTTGCCCTTCTGCCCCGAACATTTTCCCTCGCTACGTCCCCGAGCCTGGTCTGGAACTATACGGCAAGTTTGCTCCGGCGGGTACTGAGATCACATGCAACCCCTATCTGGTGCACCGTGACCCGACTTTGTATGGCGAGGATGCTGAGGAGTTCCGTCCCGAGCGCTGGTTGGATGCGGAGAAGGCCAAGTCATATAACAAGTATAACTTCGCCTTTGGATATGGTTCCCGCGTGTGTCTGGGTCGCGACATTGCCATGATGGAGCTATTCAAGGCCCCCCCTGCAGGTAAGATCTTTCTCCTCAATGGCCGTATAGAATTCCTCATCTTACTTATTTTTTTCTTAGTTCTTCCGCCAGTTCAAGCCCGAGTCCGTGAAGGACAAACCGACTGCTCAATTTGTAGTGAAGGGTGGCGTTGGCTATTGGCGGGATGTGTGGTTGACCATCTCCAAGCGCCCACAGGTCACCCCTCCCGTCAGCCCACAGTAGAAAAAGGAGTGTCGCGAATAGTTTCTACTTCTTCAAAATATGTACAATTACCATTTGATCGTTTACAGAGAATTTAGTAATACTTCCCAGAATTGTTGAATAGATGGCGGCTTCTTATTATTCAGTCATGTTTCAAGGCATGGACTCCGGGCTGTACTACTGGAATCGTTGGCAGCGAGGAGAATCGTGCTGGTACGACTACACTCAAGTTAGAACCAATCGCCAAATTCAGATGAAGACCAAAATCAATGCTATTTATCGTAACCATATATAAAGAAAATCTGCATATCATCTGAAACATAAGTACGGAGTGAACCGAGACGAGCAACTTTTTCAAATCCTTTTTGGAGAGGGAACCGTCTGTAAAATACGGAATTGCATTGATACCGAAAGGCAATCGTACGATTTAGGCAGAACCATCACCCATAACAGCAGCCTTAAGACGAGGTTAGTATTAGAACAATCGGGTGAAATTTCAAATCATGAAAAAGGAGGTTCGAGGCATGACTTACTCGGGCGACGTGGTACAGAGGAGTGATTCCGGTCCAGTGAATGAACTACAAGAAGTTAGTAATCCATTTACTCAAAGAGCCATTGTCGAATACATACCTGATTAACGCCCTGGCCAGTAAGAACCTCAAGTCCAGGGATTGTCTTCCAGCCCGAGTCGGAAGCGAGCTGCATCAGCGCGGTTACCGAAGGCTTGTAGGCCATCTCGAGAAGAACACGGGGCGACTGGCCCTCAGCGGACTTGCCAATGACGGTGCCGTCGACCTGCTGGGCACGCTCGAACATCTGGCAGAGAGTTTCACGCATCATTGGGTCGATGGGCTTATCGGCAGGGATAGTACCGATGGCGACTTGGGGCATAGTGTCTAGCTGGCTGTAGTTGTCAACAATGCGGATGTTGTAGCTGGTGGGGAAAGTCGAAACCATGCCCTCGAGCTTGCTGGCAGTACGACCGATAACGTAAATGGGGGAGAAGCCCATGTGGTGTAGGGCGAAGATGGCAGCGCGAGCGGTACCACCACCACCGACAACCACGGCACTCTCGGTACCGTTGGAGCCGTAGACACCATCGTTACGCAGAGACTGAACCATTCCTTGCCAGTCAGTGTTGTAGCCAACTAGACGAGGGGCCGCATTGCCGTTGGCGACAGGGACAATAGTGTTGACGGCGCCGATAATCTCGGCCTCCTGGGCAACCTCGTCCAGGAGCGGCATGATGTCTAGCTTCAAAGGGATGGTCACAGAGGCACCGCCAAAGTCGGGAGCGTGGATAAATTCCTTGACGTCCTCAACATTGGTGGTCTCTAGGCGGCCGTAGCTGTGGGGAAGGCCCATCTCGCCGAAGAGGGTGTTGTGGAGCGCGGGGGAGCGTGAGCCAGAGACAGGCGAACCGAAGATGGCGAACTTCTTAGCCTTAATCTCACCCATGAGCGACAGACCCCTGCGGATTTCAGTCGCAGAGAGTTGGCCGGGAGCAGCCTTGAAAGGAAGGCTAGGGTGGGAGACGGGTGTCATGAAACCGTTCAGGATGCGACTGAGCTGGCCAGTGTCACCCATGTTGATGGCGATCAATGGAGTTTCGTGAGCCTCCTCAGCCCAGTTCTTGAATTTCCGCAGAGCGGTGTTGTCATCCAGGGTGTTGGCGACGCCAACCAGCTTGATAATATCACCATACTCCAGTGCACGATTGTAAGATGGAATCCAAGACATGTTGGACCACGACAGCTTGCCTTGAGGGTCGTGGTGAGAGGCAATAATCTTCGAGTGGCCCTTCATCTCAGAGACAGAACGGAGAAGCTCATCGGGGAAAGCAATCTCAAGATCAACAAACTCGCATCCCGAGCGGAACGCCAGACGGTATAGCTGCGCGGCAGCTTCATGGGCATCATCGGGGAAGCGACCACCCTGGCTCTTGGTACGGATGGTGAAAATGAGGGGAATCGTAACACGGCGACGGAGGAAAGACATTTGCTCAGCAACAAAATCCACGGAGGGGATATCGTTATCCGAAGCCGGATCCTTCAAAAGATCGACCCGCAGTTCCACGGCATCAGAGCCGATACAGGCCTCGCTGAGGATATCACCACATTGACGCAAGTCGGGCAGAGTCAAGGAGGCGAAGAAAGAGTGCTTCTTCTTCTTGATAATGTTGAGGTTATCTTGTCGGCCGGTGACAACCCGCATGAAGCGCTGGAAGTCTTCTGAAGCCAAGGCAAGCTCTGTGTTGTTGGAGTGTTGGCTGTAGTACTGAATGTTGCTGCATTCTTGGAACCAGGGCTTGCGACGCAGCCATACTCCCATCATATCCTCCACATAGGCAGGACGAAGCTTGTCAACCTGGAGGAAATCCATGACTTGCTTGATATCACGCATAATAAGGAGAACATTACCCTTGTTCTTGTGATAGTCAGCGAGGAGTTTACGGGCCTCGGGCATCTCAACTACACCGCCACCGCAGGCGAAAACATAGCCGGTAGGTCGGTCTTTCATAGCACGCTGAAGCACGGCAAGCTCCGCATCGCGAAATCCTTGCCAGCCACGCTGTTTGATCATCTCCGGAATGGTGATTCCCTCGGTCGTTTCTAACTCGGTATCAAGATCAATGAAAGGTCGGTCGAGGCTTGATCCAACCCAGTTTCCGGCAGTAGTCTTTCCAGCGCCACGCATGCCAATGATGAAGACGGAAGCACTGGCTTTCTCCTCCTCTGTGGAGGTAGCAAGCTCCTCTTCACTCAGCTCCTTGCCGTCAAGTTTGACACCGAAAAGTTGCTTCATAGCGTCCCACCAGCCGGGCCATGTCTTTCCAACGCACTCCTTCTCGAGGATGAGAGTAGACTTGGGAGCCACAAGTGACAAGACACTGAAGCTGAAGGCGACACGGTGGTCGTCGTAACAGAAAACGCCTCCGGCGGGTTGGCGGAGGGTAGATCGCTCAATGCCGTCGATCTCGATACCATCGTCGTGTTCACGGCAGACAACACCGTACTTCGCAAGCTCATCCTTCATAGCCTTGATTCGGTTACACTCTTTGACGCGCTGGTTGGCAATTCCGTAGATACGGGTGGTGTGGTTTGAGCCATCGCCACGGGCGACAGCGGCGAGAACAGAGGCAGTTAGGAAAGCATCAGTCATAGGCTCCATGTCCACGTTGGGCAGCGGCCGAAGAATGCCGCTAGCCGGACCAGTGACGGTGGTGGAGTAATCGGTTTGCTCAACGGTGCAGCCCATCGGCCTTAAGACATCAACGGCAAAACGAGCATCACCCTGAAGAGACTTAGAGCCAATGTTCGGAACAGTGCAAGTGGTACCGCTGATGGCTGCAATGGCAAGCGGATAAGTCGCAGAGCTTGCATCACTCTCGACAACATATTCGGCAGGGTTGACATAGTGGCCTTGGGGAATGTGGTAGGTGTGTTCCTCGGTGGTGGACTTCTTCACGTCAATGCCGAAAGAGCGCATCATGGCGGTGGTCATGTCAATGTAGGGCTGGGAGATGGGCTTGCCTCCGACCAGCTTCAGAGTCACAGGCTCCTTGGCATAGGGAGCACACATAAGCAGTGAAGAGACGTACTGCGAAGAAACCTTCGCGGCAAGATTAATACTACCTCCGGCGAAGCCACCGGAAGCTCCAATTTTAAGGGGCAGGCTGCCCTTGCTCTCCATATACTCGACACTAGCGCCGTTGACGGTCAGGGCATCAACAAGGTCGCCGATGGGCCTTTGCTTCATTCGGTTGTTACCGGTAAGGATGCTGGAGTCAACGGTGCTCGGGGTAGCAAGGGTAGCAACAGTTGTCAAGAAACGGGAAGCGGTTCCAGCGTTGCCCAAGTACAAGGGAGACGGACTGGCCGTGATATTACCTCCCATGCCGTTGACGACAAGAACTTCGCCCTCCTCTTCCCAGGAGAAAGTGGCTGCTCCCAGTCGCTCCAGGGCGTTCAACATAACCTCAGTGTCATCGGAGTGCAGAAGGTTCTTGATACGACAGGTGCCCGAGCCCAATGCGGCGAGAACAAGAGCGCGGTTGGAGATACTCTTAGATCCGGGAGGCGAGCAGGTCACATTAAGAGTCTTGGGGACGCCGGGGTGTACCTCGACGCTAGGTGCCAGAACAACACCGATATCTTCGTTGGCAACAACACTAGCCTTGGGCTCGTGGGTGCGTCCAATCGCTGACAGAAGAACGATCTTCTTCTTGGGTCCGTCGTTCTTCTTGTCCAGGGCCATATTGAAGAGCAGTTGATCCACTGAGCAATGCTTGCCAGCTGTCAATTTCCTCACTCGAGCGTCCTTCATGGAAGTGGGAAGGCCGTAGGCGGAGATGCACTTGACAACACGGGCCACGGCAACACCCTTCAGGATGCCCAGGTGTCGGGCAAGCTCGGCCTCCTTGACCATACCAATGGCAACACACTCGCCGTGGAGGATCTGTGGGGTAAGAATAGCTTCAATGGCATGGCCAATTGAGTGTCCCCAGTTCAGAAGATTGCGGAGACCACCTTCACGCTCATCTGCGGAGACAACAAAGGCCTTGTGGCGGGCAGATGCCAGAATTCTGGCCTTCAGGATATCACGAATGCCATCAAAGCGGCCTTGGCCAGGCTTAGCCTCGCCACGCACAGCATTGAGGATCAGGTCCGCATTATCTTCGAGTGCAGTGAATTCTTCCTCGCTTGAGATGGCGGCGGTCTTGATAACTTCGGCCATGCCATTGATGAATTCTCGGACGGGAAGGGTCTCCAAAAATTCGAGATCAATGTAAATCCTTGACGGTTGCCAGATGGAACCGATCAAGTTCTTACCTAGCGGCGTATCAATGGCTGTTTTACCTCCAATTGAGGAATCCACCATGGCGAGGAGGGTGGTGGGGACTTGCACAAAGCGAACCCCACGCATGTAGGTCGCGGCAATGAAACCAGTCAAATCACCAATCACTCCTCCGCCCAGGGCAATAACGACAGTATCGCGACCACATGGCGGGTTTTGGCTCAACATCCAATCTTCAATGTCGGCTTTAGTCTGGCGGGACTTCGAGCTCTCACCGGGTGCGGCATTGTAGACCAACAGGCGCGGGGCTGGGTTGACTGAGGCGGCGGTGGTTTCGAATGCTTTTTGAAAGCTTGGGGTATAGATGGATCCGAGGTTGGTATCGGTAATGAGGACATAAGTCGTGGAGGGCAGGCCGGTGATCAGGTCCTGGGCCACATAGTTGCGCCACAGGCCAAAATCCGCGACGATGCTCTCCCGACCCAAGATACTGATCTTGATGGGTTCGGTCATGATGATGGACAGGAACTGTGTGGTTTCGATATGTGCAATTCCAGTTTCCTGCTCAATTCATTCTGTGAATCTTAGTGTTTGGCTCTTTTTGGAGGGAGGGGGGGGTCTTCGGGGAGTTGGGCTGATTCCTCCCCCACAATCGAAGTTGAAGCTAGCGATTGTATGCAAGGCGCACCAAGGAGGAATTGAATGCCAGCTCTCAGCCGCAGAGATGAGCCAGAGAACGTACCTGGGACTTCTGCACCGAGAGTCAGCGTAAGACCTGGCAAAACGCAACCAGCCAGGAAGATGCTTGGAAGTAATGACTATGACTGTGACTTGTGACTGAGTCAATAATTCTTTCCCCTCCGATCTCGCGGCAGTTCTCTCTGACCGCCTTCGGTGAGTCAGTCCAGCTGAGCCACTACCACATCACATCCACTATTACTAGTAGAGACATATGGAGTACTACTCTGTAATATTGTTTGTTTTTGACTTGCTTTTTGTGATTCCTCAGCTTGGCTCGTCGCTGATCGTCATTCATTGACCACCCCTCGCGTATGCGTGGCCGAACCTGTCACTATTTTAAAACCCTCCGAATACATATACTTCCCCCATTGGTGAGCTACTAGTACTACCTCCCACATCTTTGCAGGATCTATTGCATGAGATGCAGGAAGCCAAAAAAATACAAATACTAGAAAGAACCTTCAAGTTGGAAAAAGGAACCTGAATCGAATGCGAAGCGAATAAACATCTTATGGTCGTGTGATTTCATTTTTTGTACATCTTGCAGAAGAAAGAAAGACCAAACGCCAATTCTCCTCAAAACTCCCCCCTATCCAGTCACGAAGATGTTATGAGGTACATATCATGTTGTAGCGCCGTGTGATAGAACGAGAAAAACTCCCCGTCTCATCAGCTATCGCTACTAGTAGTGGCCACCTCCGCCCCGGTTTCCACGGTATCGGCCACCACCACCGCCGCCGCCACGGTAGCCACCGCGGTGTCCACCATGTCCATGTCCATAGTGATCCTGCTGGTAACCCTGGTTATATCCATACTGGTTGGACATGCCACCACGTGGGGGTCCGGGTGGTCCTCTCGAGTAGTCACCACCGCCTTGTCCAGGGGGAACCCATCCCGGAGCCATGTTATTTTGTTGGCCGGGAATGAAACGGGGATCGAGATGGGCCGCAAATGGGTTGGGACGGCCGGGCCCTCCTTGGTTTCCTCCGCGGTCCGATCCGTAGTCCATCCGTCCACCGCGGCCGCCTCCCCTGAATGGTGCGCCACCGAAGGAGCGACCGGAGTTTTGGGCTCGGCCCTTGACGGCACGTACATCGGCCGAGTTCAGCATGGGTGTAGCAAACTTCACGCCTCGAAGCAGCATAGATTTGTGAACGTGTTCAGATTTCGGGATGGTATAATCGACGCTGTCAATTTGTTAGTGATCCGATCATAGTGAGAGTGGAAAAATACTTACGTGAGTGTTCGATCATCATCGAGGCTCGGCATGCCATATTCCTCCAGGTCAGACACCAGGGAGCCATGGGGAATATATGTCTCACTACGCTCGACAATACCAGCCAAGCCCTCACTCACCCGCATGTTCAAGTTGTACTCTGCAGGACCGGGCTTCTTGGAGTAGAAGTTGCCGACGAGGTCTTGATAAAGCGGATGTTGGTCTGACAACAAAAGCACTTCTGTACCATGAGTGTTGCGGTGACGTTCATCATCAGAAAGAAGGGGGTATTTCTTCTCCATGGCAGCAAGTAGGCGTTTCTCATCAATGAAAGGAAGCAAGATCACACCCTGCCAAGCAAACTTCTTGCCGTTTAGATCCAATGGGAAATCCTCGGGGTAGAAATCAATGATCTCACTGTTCGGATCGCTCATGAGGTCGTGGAATACCTCGGGTAGGGCATGGTTAGATGATGCCGGCAGGACACCCATCAGCTGCTCAAACGGCTTAAACGGCTTGCCCTTGTCGAAGCTGAGATCCATATCGGCAATGTCCACGAAGTCCGAGGCAAATGGGGCATAGTGATATGGGTAATACCAGGTCCAAGAAGGGCAGCCCTGGAAATAGTATAGCAGAACCCAAGCGAGACCTTCGGCATAAGCGCGAGCAACCTTGTGGCGGAACTCGTGGTCCTCAGGATCGACGCCGAATTTCTGCTCGTAGTAGCGATCGGCAAATCCGGGCTCCCAGAGGCGAACGGTATCCTCTGGCATCTCATCCTCCTTCTTCTTAGGAGGGGGTGGAGGAGGGGAGTCTCTGCCCGGGGTTCCAGCTTCTCCGTCCTGTTCGTCGGCACCACCAGTCTTTCGTTTTCCAAGAACCGATGGAGATGTTGGCTCCTCATTGCCATTCGATGCTTCTTCGGTTTGGGGGGGTGCTCAAAGCCTCCTCGGTACTAGTTTCGTTTTGAGGGCCCTTCATGAGTTTGCTCTTCAAGACAGCAGCAGCACTTTTGTTCTCCATATTGGCACGGTAGACATTTCCACGGTTACCGACCATGCTTTGAGTCATCTCTCTGTTCTCCTTGGTCAGATGTCCTCGGGCAGGAGTGATCAGCTCCAGGGCTGCGGGGGGAGCATCATCGACGCTGCCAGCACCACCACGGGAGCGGTTACCCGGCGCATTATCATGCGGTGGGGAGCTGCGTCTCCGCTTGCTGGCACGCTCTTGATTCCGAGCTTGGTCTTGTTCTTTGCGCCTCCTGTCGTTGGCCTGCTTTCTTTCATCTGCCTGACGACGACGAGCGAAAATCGCACTCTCTTGTTTGGCTAATCCTGCCAAAATGAGCTGGGCCCTTTTCAGGTCGACGTGTCCATCCTGGGTGAGATAGCCTCCCATAGCAGGAATATTGTCACGCCAAATAGCGATGAGAGTGTCTATGCCGTTCTCACGAATATCCAAGGAGGGCAGATGCGGCAAGAAATCGTTTCCGACGAAGAAACACATGAAAACCCAGTCATCGAGCGCGCGCTCAATGTCGAACGGGAACGGCTGCTGAGGGACATGCATTTCAGCGGCCAGATATTCTCTCAAAACCGAAACGTGAAGCCAAATAAAAGGCTTGAGCGGTGCAGCATGTTGCTTTTCATCGAATTCTCCACTCTTCTCCTTTGCTTTGCCGGTACATTCCTCGGCCTTATGTCCAGGCTGTCCACACAGCCTACATGTCCGGGGCTTTGACTCTTGGAAGAACACGTCCTCACGGAGAATTCGGAAATGAGGTTCATGAGTCGCCAGACCCAACATGATAAGATCGGCATCCTAGTAATTCAAAATCAGTATTTTGCAGATATATGTGTTTGTGACAGTAAGTGAGGCTTACCAGGCCATAGAAGACATGACGGGTGTTTGGGTCATGCTCCGGTGATGCACGCTGCGAGCGCACGAATTCCATAATCTTGTGCTCACCTTCTCCAGGAACAGTAGCATCTGAGATGATGATTTTCATCTAAGATCGTTAGAATGCATGATACCGAGTTGGGACGTAATGAATCGTCTTACCTTCTCCCAAGCTGGGTCAGTGTTGAGCTTATAGGCGATCCAATAACGTAATGATGCGGCGAGGATGTTCATGAACGGTGTTCCCGGTGTAATGACGTTGCTATCCCAGGTTTTCTGAATCACCTCCTCCTGGAGGACTGGGTCGCCGCCCTTCTTGGCATTTTGCCTAGCAAGCAACTTTTGGAGCTCTTCTTTCTTCTCGTCGTTTTCTCTAGCTTCTTGGGCGGACCGGAAGCGGCGCGCACGCTGCTGGTTCATCTTGGCTCGGGGAGCAACACCATCTAAGTAGAAAAAATAGTATGTTAGTATACATCAGACTCCAAGTATGTAATTAAATAGACTTGCGTGAAGTCTGGATTTGCACTTACCGATAGCGATCATGAGGAGCTTTCTCGGACGGACCATATTGACCACTCGATCAGTATATCTGAAGACCTCTAGCATCATCTCTTGCTCGTTCGCGGGGGGCGGGCGTCCCTCCGGATGGGTACATGGATGAACGATGCCGTTCATATCGAGGTAAAGGTTGTCCATTTCCTCGCCGTTGGGGTTTGGGCGCGTAGTATCGACTGGAATCGGCTCTCCATCCACCTCTTGCGGAAGCTCCTCAATCACCGAGGAGATGATCTTGGGGTACTTGTTGGAAAGCCATCGGAACAGCGCGGGGACACCCATATTGACGATGCGACTGCAGATTAAGCGTAAAGTCTTGTCAAATTGTCAAAATTGGCGTTGCGCTCGAATGCGGTATCTTGCAGACGCGATAGGTAAGCTGACGCGCACTGAATGTCTGTAGTTCACAGAGAGACTGTGAGTTGGAAACCGGGATCGCAGCGACTCTCGACGACTTGCGAAATCGGATCAAAGAAAAAGTAGGCCCCTCGTCAAGGAAATTGCGGCGCAAGTTGGGGAGGTTGCGAGAGAGAGACCAAAAAGTCTCTGCGGCGAAGGTGAATTGTTTCCGGGCGGTCGGGAGACTTTGAGCGATTCCGGCCTTTAACCCCCTTTGGTCATCGTCGGGAGGACAGCTTTACTGCAATCAGTTCTCTGCCCTCGGGGCGTCCACCTTTTTACGTTCTTGTTCTTCACTCTTCGATGCCTATTGGTTTCTACCTCGGTCGGAGGTGACCATGAGATTACGAGCTAGCTGCGATGTTTCGAATTCTTGAATCGCAAGCTCCGGCCAAACAAACGGCTACGGACACAATCGAGGTGCTCAGTAACAGACTGCAGAGTGCAACTTTGTTGGAGGATCGGCGGGCTGCTATCCAAGGTCTGAGAAGCTTTGCGAAGCTCTATCCCGCGTCAGTAGCCTCCGGAGGCCTACGGTCATTGATCAGTAGTCTTCGCAATGATGGCGAGGATGTCGAGACCACCAAAGTGGTCCTTGAGACCCTACTGATGCTCTTTAATCCTGATGAGAATAGCGTGGGTGCAATTTAGAGCATTGAAAGTCATATAGGTATGCTAATCACTGTGCATATAGCCCGAAGCATCAGATGAAATAGCTCTTTGGCTAGCGGACGAATTCACCCAGGTAAGGCACTGTGTGCATACCTACCCGAGACCTATGCTCACAATGGAGACAGCGACAAGACAATATCACGATCCTTCTAGATCTCCTCGAAACCAGAGACTTCTATTCTCGACTATATTCATTGCAATTGATGTCCCATATCAGCAGCGCCAGACCCGAGCGAACACAAGAATGCATATTTACGGCGCCATTGGGAATTTCCCGGCTTGTCAATGTACTTACAGACACGAGAGAGCCTGTCAGAAACGGTATGGATCCTATTGTATTAATTCCTTGTCGACCAGAAGAAGCTAACAACCGTATCTGTCAGAGGCCCTCCTCCTCCTTATCGCCCTAACCCCCGCCTCGGAAGAACTACAAAAGCTGGTGGCATTCGAAAATGCATTCGAAATCCTTTTTTCGTTGATCGAAGCGGAGGGCACTTTGACCCATGGAACAGAAGTGGTTGAGGATTGTCTATCCTTGCTCGCTCATCTACTGAGATTCAACGTTTCGAACCAGTCATTCTTTCGTGAGACTGGCTGTGTGAAGAAGTTGACGAAGCTTCTCTCCGATTGCGAACAAGAAATGGAGAGTGCCGACGAACCTGCGCCAGCATGGGCCCTCGTCCATCGAGAGAAGAATGTTTGGGGTCTATTGGCGATCATTCAGCTATTTCTGGTTCGTGGTGGTGTTGGGACACCCGCCAATCAAACAGCTTTCTGGCAGCATGGTGTTACGGAGCAGGTCCTCAGTATAGCGTTTGGCCAGAAATTCAGCGTCAATGTTACATCAAAGGTAAGACTTGCGTGGGCATCATTTTCATGCTTTGCTAACCCATCTAGGCCCTCTCGACTTGTGCCGATCTCATTCGAGGGAACTCGCCCTTGCAGGAGAGGTTCGGGGACATTGAGGTTTCATGGGGATCTCGCTCGCGGGACGACAAAGCTGCCAACGGACATGCGGAGCCAGAACGTATCAATGTCATTGAGGCTTTCCTAAAGCTCAGTCTTCAGCCCTCGCCCAACAGCATGTTAGATGCCCGCCTCGCAGCGTGCGAATGTATGAAGGCTTTCTTCGCTCATCACCCTGGAATCCGGATGCATGTCCTCAGGCGTGCAATTGAAGGACACGAAAGCGGACAGGATCGAATTCCGAACATCCTTTCAGTATTGCTCATAGCACCCGAATCACGAGGAAACGCCGACCCGTACCAAGTCTGGATGGCTTCTGTTTTGATGTTCCATTTGCTATTCGACGACAATGAGGCAAAGACCACTGCCATGAAAGTGACCGAGGGCGATGCTGAGAGTGGCGAAGAGGTTGTCACCAGTGTTCAGACTGTGATTGGAAACTTGATTACAGGTTTGCAACGTGGCGATGATGAACGCATCACTGTTGGCTATCTGATGTTACTCTGCGGTTGGCTTTTCGAAGACCCAGATGTTGTGAATGACCTGCTCGTGGAAGGAAGCAGCATCCAGACCCTTTTGCAAGAGATAAAGCACCAGAGAGCGCCCAGTAAGATAATGCCGGGACTCTGTACTGTTCTCTTGGGAATCATCTATGAATTTTCTACCAAAGATTCCCCTATCCCCAGAGTCACATTGCATAAACTGCTTCTCGAGCAACTTGGGAGAGAGCAATATATTGACAAAATCACTAAACTGCGGGAATGCCCTTTGGTTCGCGACTTTGAAGTTTTACCCCAGACCTCCGCTGGGCAAGTCGAAGGTGGGCTCCCTGAGGTCTTCTTTGATCGTTCTTTTGTGGAATTCCTCAAGGACAACTTCAGCCGGTTGCTGCGGGCCATCGACCGTGAACCCGGATTCGAAATCTCGGTCGTTGCCAACGGTGTTGAGAAAGGTGTCTCCCGTGAGCTCGTCGACAGTCTACGTGCGGAATTGGATGACCGGAGCCAAACAGTCCAGCAGCTGGAGTCGGACCTCGTTAATGTTCAGCGGAAGCTTGAACAGGAGCAATCGGATCACCGCAAATCGAAGGAATCAGGGTCAATGGAGGCGTCCAAGTCCCAGCAATCCCAACAGTCTCTTCGATACGCGCATGCGCAAGAGCTATCTAGAGTGGATGAACAGCACAAGCAATCGAAGAACGAACTTCTCAAGCAGCATAGCGAACAATTACGTGCCATCGACAACCAGCTGAAACAAGCTTCAGCGGAGTACGAAAAAAAGAGCGCGAAGGTGAAATCGCACCACGAACAAGAAGTTGCTGGTTTGCAGAAGACGATCCGTGGCTTGGAGGGAGATATCTCAAAGCTTAACGATAAATATGCAGGCGAGGTCGCGCACCTGAAGAGGGCCATCGAGGAACGGGAATCGACGATCAGTCAATCCAAAGACAGCCATGCTGCTCAAATTTCCGATCTACACCAAAAGCTCCAGGGCTTAGAAGCCACTCTTTCTTCGGCCAACAGTCAACATCAGACCGAGACTGCCGGCCTCCGAGCTTCGATTGAGATACTGGAGTCACAACTGGCCGCCGTCAAGTCCGAACATGACGCCGAGACTGCTGACCTTAAAAAGGCTCGGCAGACCCTGCAGTCTGATCTTGACAGGGTACAAAAGTCCACCGAGAGCCTCGAAGCTGCCAAGGGGCTGCATGATGCAGAGACTGCTGATCTCAAAAAGACCATCGAAAAGCTGCGGTCAGACTTGGAAAAGTCTCAGGGTATCTCAAAGGGCCTTGAAGCGGAAAAGGGCAAGCAGGAATCTGACGCAGCTGGGCTTCAGAAGAAGATCAAATCTTTAGAATCAGACCTCGACAAAGAGAAGAAAAACGCCGCTCAATCAGTTAAGACCGCCAAGGGACAACAGGATTCCGAAACTGCTGAGCTCAAGAAGACGATGAAATCTCTAGAATCGGATCTCGAAAAAGAGAAGAAAAATGCCGCCCAATCACTCGAGACCGCTAAGGCACAACAGGAATCTGAATCAACTGAGCTCAAGAAGACCATCGAAACCTTGCGATCGGACCTAGACAGCGCTAAGCAAAAGTCCAATAAGGATATACAGTCTGCAAAGGGCCAGCAAAAATCCGAAGCGGGAGATCTCAAGAAGACCATTGAGACTTTGCGTGCAGATCTCGAGAAGGCACAGCAGAAAGCCGCCCAAGAACTCAAGACTGCCAAGGGAGAATTCTCATCGAAATTGTCTGCGCTCGAGACACGTACTGCTGACGCTGAACGCAAGGCGCAGGAAGTTGAGTCGCAAGCCCAAAAGGCCACCCAGGACCTGAAAGATGCGCAGGCCAAGCTTGAACAAGCTCAGTCAGAGGCCAGGGAGAAGGAGGAGGCCCGTCAAGCCACCCAGACGGAATTGGACGACCTGCTGATTGTATTTGGCGATCTGGAGGCTAAACGGAGCGAGGATAAGGTATGGTTACTATCATTACATGTGGAGAATTGTCTAACATCGTCTAGCAACGACTCAAGGACCTTGGCCAAGACATTTCAGAGGACGAGGATGATGAAGACGACGAGGAGAGTGGAGACGAGTAGATGGTTCTGTGTTCAATCCGTGTATAGCGAAGCCCGACTTGTCAATTTCGAAATACCATTTCTTCCTCTGCTTGAACGCTGCTTTACATGTGTATACCATTATAAAATCTGAATGTTTGCTACATTATGTGCATTGTGGTACCTCTAGTGATCGACTCATACAACAGCTTGTATATGTTGCCAGAAATAGGAGGCGGTGAGCGGGGAGGGGTACGTTAGCGCAGGGCGCACTGGCAAAAAATGTCCAATGGCGGGGGTGACTCACGCTTTCTTTGACTCTCCTTCTTTCAAGATTGTCATTCCACTCGATATCACAATATCACCATGTCGATGGACTTCCCTGCCGAGGAGGAGATTGTTCTCCAACGGTGGAGGGAGATTGATGCCTTTAGGCGCCAAGTCGAGCTCTCGAAGAATAACAAACCATGGTCCTTTTCAGATGGTCCTCCCTTCGCGACTGGAAAGCCTCACTATGGCCATCTTCTAGCTTCCACCATTAAAGATATCGGTACGTAGGGCGTCACTTTATATCCGCATGTTACTAATTTTGCGGTTATAGTTCCCCGGTACTGGGCAATGAAGGGATACTATGTCGAGCGGCGGTTCGGCTGGGACACCCACGGAGTCCCCATCGAGTACGAGATCGACAAAAAGCTCGGCATGTCCGGCCTGCAGGCAGTTGAGAAGATTGGAATTGAGAAGTACAACGCGGAGTGCAAGTCCATCGTCATGAAATTTGCTGGCGACTGGAAGGTCACCATCGATCGATTGGGCCGTTGGATTGATATGGAGGACAAGCCGTACAAGGTAAGTCAGCCGTCTCCAATATTTCGTGGCACCTCTTGTACTATTACTAACTTTTATTTCTTTCTAAAATAGACCATGGACCCCACGTTCATGGAATCCGTTTGGTGGGTTTTCAAGCAGGTACATCGACGCATTCAAAAGCACCTTTTCAAGCAGAGGTTAACCTGTCTTTCTAGCTTTTTGAGAAGGATTTGGTATACCGAGGATATCGAGTGATGCCATATTCGACTGCGCTTGCGACTAGTGAGTGACTCGAACAATCTGCAAGTAGATGCATTGACTAATTTCTCTTTACTTTCGCCTAGCTCTGTCCAACTTCGAAGCCTCTCAAAACTACCAGGATGTACAGGACCCTGCGGTTGTGGTCAACTTCCCTATTATTGGACAGGAAAATACCTACGCCCTGATCTGGTCTACTACTCCATGGACGTGCGTGAAGCTCTCCCATTATGTACGGCACAAATGCTAACACAAAAGGCAGCCTCCCCTCCAACATCGCTATTTGTGTTCACCCCGACTTCGAATATATCAAGGTTTTCGACGAGGCGAGTGGGAAGAACTATATTCTGCTTGAGTCTTTGCTCCGAACCCTCTACAAGGACCCCAAGAAGGCCAAGTTCAAGATCGTGGACCGCATTAAGGGCTCAGACATGTTGGGATGGAAATACGAGCCCCTCTTCGACTACTTCTACGAACAGTTCAAAGACCACGGTTTCTGCATTTTGAACGATAAATATGTCACCGCGGATGATGGTGTTGGTCTTGTTCATCAGGCTCCTGCCTTTGGTGAGGACGATTACCGGATTGGTTTCGAGCACGGTGTGATCAACGACAAGCGTCTGCCCCCCCAATCCTGTTGATCCAAACGGTTGCTTCACTGAGGAAGTCCGGGACTTCGTGGGTCAACACGTCAAGGCCGCTGACAAGCCAATCATCAAGCACCTGAAGGCCACCGGCCGCCTCGTTGTTGACAGTCAGATTACTCACAGCTACCCATTCTGCTGGCGATCCGATACTCCTTTGATCTACCGTGCTGTGCCTTCATGGTTCGTGAAGGTCACTCCCATCATCCCTCAAATGCTCAAAGGTATTGAAGACTCCCACTGGGTCCCTTCTTTTGTGAAGGATCGCAGATTTGCCAGCTGGATCAAGAACGCTCGTGACTGGAACATTTCTCGAAACCGTTTCTGGGGTACTCCCCTGCCCATCTGGGTCTCCGATGACTACAAGGAGGTTGTGGCGATTGGCTCGGTCGAAGAGCTTAAGAAACTGAGCGGCTACGAGGGCGATCTTACCGATATCCACCGTGATAAGGTGGATCACATCACCATCCCCAGTCAGCAAGGCAAGGGTGTCCTCCGCCGTGTGCCTGAGATTTTCGATTGCTGGTTTGAGTCTGGTAGCATGCCTTATGCCTCTCAGCACTATCCTTTCGAGAACAAGGATCAGTTCGAGAAGAGCTTCCCAGCTGATTTCATCGCCGAGGGTCTGGACCAGACCCGTGGTTGGTTCTACACTCTGACTGTTCTTGGTACACACTTGTTTGGCAAGCTGCCCTTCAAGAATTGCATTGTGAACGGAATTGTTCTCGCAGAGGATGGTAAGAAGATGTCGAAGAGACTTCAGAACTACCCCGATCCTTCTTTGATCATGGATCGCTATGGTGCGGATGCGCTGCGTCTTTACTTGATCAACTCTCCCGTTGTCCGTGCTGAACCTCTGCGCTTCAAGGAGACCGGTGTCAAGGAGATTGTTAGCAAGGTTCTGTTGCCCATGTGGAACAGCTACAGGTTCCTTGAGGACCAAGTGAAGCTCTTGAAGAAGACTTCCAATGTCGACTTCGTTTTCGACCCCAAGGCTGAGTCCACCAACACCAACGTCATGGATCGCTGGATCCTGGCCAGTTGCCAAAGTCTTCTGGTGTTCGTTAACCAAGAAATGGCTGCCTACCGCCTGTATACTGTCGTCCCTCGTCTGCTGGGCCTGATTGAGAACACTACCAACTGGTATATTCGGTTCAACCGCAAGCGCCTCAAGGGTGAGAATGGCGTTGATGATACCCTGCACGCTCTCAACACTCTTTTCGAAGTTCTCTATATTTTGGTCCGAGGTCTCGCTCCCTTCACCCCCTTCCTGACCGACAACATCTACCAGCGCCTTCTCCCTCATATTCCGGAATCACTCCACTCAGAGGACCCTCGCTCTGTCCACTTCCTTTCGTTCCCCGAGGTGCGAGAGGAGCTTTTTGATGAAGTTGTTGAACGTCGGGTCGCTCGCATGCAGAAGGTTATCGAACTTGGCCGTCTCTCTCGTGAGCGCCGCTCCATTGGTCTGAAGACTCCTCTCAAGAGTCTTGTGGTCATCCACCAGGACCCGCAGTACCTGGACGACGTCAAATCCCTAGCGTCCTATATCGAGGAGGAATTGAACGTCCTGGAGCTTGTCCTTTCTTCTGACGAGGCCAAGTACAACGTTCAGTACAGTGCCAATGCTGACTGGCCGACTCTGGGCAAGAAGCTGAAGAAGGATGTACAGAAGGTCAAGAAGGCTCTGCCAAACCTGACTAGCGAGGCCGTGAAGAGCTTCGTCGCCGAAAAGAAGATTCTGGTCGACGGTATCGAGCTTGTGGAAGGCGACCTAGTCGTTAAGAGAGGCATCAAGGAGGACGCAGGCGCTTCCAACCTGGAGATCAACACCGATGATGATGTTATGACCCTTCTCGATGCTGAACTGTACCCTGAGTTGGCGCAACAGGGTATTGGACGTGAGATCATCAACCGTCTCCAACGTCTGCGTAAGGCTGCCGGACTGGTCCCCACGGATGATGTCAAGATGGAATACACCGTGTTGGGGGATAAGGACTCTATCGGCCTTGCTGAGGCATTCAAGTCTCAGTCTCAGGCTATCGAAAAGGCTGTTCGTCGCCCGCTTGATGAGCGTGCGGCTGTCGATGGCAAGGCTCCTAGCGCCGATGAGGAGGGAACCATCGCACAGGAGGAGCAGGAAGTGCAGAACGCTACCTTCCTGTTGCGCCTGGTGAAGCTGTAAAGCGCTAACTTGAATTATGAAAAGTTTGCCTCTGTGGATACTCTACTGCATTTCTGGTTGTTAGAAAAGAAATATCATTTCTATTTTAAGTTCAAAAGCTCATATAATGTAAATGGGCTACAACAAGGATCCGCTACGCTCACCAGTCACTGGCGCGGCCACACTTTACCGCCTGATGGAATTCAAGTTCAAAATTGATCCCGTTCGGAGGGAGTGAGGGAGTCAAAGAACCCCGAGGTCTTATACCACTTAGTAATGAAGGTCGGATTTATTAGCTAACCTTTTGGTAATATTTACTGCAGTAATTGGACTAGTAGCCGATTTATTTCCCAGTGACCAGCTGCTACAGGGTTAGGAGACCCTCAGTATGTAAGTTGGTAGATTGACATCATATGGTACATTTTTCGTATTATACAGGAGTTAAGCTAGCATCCTAGCATGTATTGATGCAAGCCTGTGCATCGCGATATGGTTGCCGCTGAATTCAAGCCTTCTTGGATGCGGCCTGTCGAAATTAGCCCGTGAATGTCTATATCAAGACCTCATATTCTTACCAGAACACAATCCTTGAGCTTCATAAACTCTTTCGCACACATATCCTTGTGCACAGAACTGTATTCTGTGACTACACACTTGCCATATGCAGCAGCCTACCTTGACCTGTTAGCGCTTGTTCATCTTAATGTGGAGTGGGGTTCGTTGATACAGACCTGAACCGAGCATTGAGCAGTGGCTCTGGCAAACTTCTCAACTGGACGGGTCTTTGTCGGCATTTCGGCCAGGAGTAGGGTAATGATGACCACGCCTTGAGCTGGGGGTTGTAGATTGAATAGTCGACAGATTCAAGACCAAGCTGCATGGGGGAATCCTCCGGCGCCCAGGAATGTTACCTAATGATCACGTGCACCCGGGCATGTTTCTGTCGCGACCACAAAAACAATCCGGATTCGCAGTCCATGGCGCCGAATTGATACCCCATTTTATTTGCTATTGCTATTCCTTTTTGGTTCGATCGCAGACTAGTTTCTGCGCATGTCTTGTTTTGAACGGGATTCGCCCGCCTTCGCCATGATTTATTTGGTCCGTTGTCTTTATGACCCAGATGCGACAAGCGCGCTTTAAATCGCGAATTTTCGATGCCTCCGATATCCTCGCAGCGACGCGCCTCAACCGAAGAGAATTCGTCCCTCTCTGACGATGGTATGTAATTGCCGCTTCTGCATGAGCCTCGATCTCGGAGTCTAACGTCTCTCTGCGACCTAGATGTCGGATTCCTTTACCAAGTTGTCATTCGCGCCGAGAGCCACCCCGAGGTTCAACAGCTTCCATTCCGAGCCCTGTTCGCGGCATATGACGAGGTTATTCTCGAACATGGCGTCAATGCCGATCCGGGCCATACATGCCTGCGATTCCTGTTCAAGATGGGAAATAAAGATGCGCTAGGGACGACACTCTTCGACAAGTTCGAGAATACACTCCAACGAATGGGAATCGTGATTGAACTGGGAGACGACGCCTCTACGGGAATCAACGAGACATTTGAAACTGGGCAATACTCATTTGAGGGCACACGCAGCCAGGCCGACGAGGACAGTCACATTCCTAAGACGAATGGAGTTCCTATCACGCCTAGGAGACGCGCTTCATTTAATACAACGGTAGATATTGGCGAGGATGTGACCCAGAGAAGCTTCATTGAGCGCCCGAGCTCTCGTTCCTCCATGTCACGACTTCAAACTGGGAAGCCCGAATTCGCTACACCCAGACTGTCGCCGAAACCTAAAATTCAAAATCACCTAAACAGGTCACCAGATCGCACGGATTTGATTGCTCAATTCTTAGAAATTGGCAGAGGTCTGATTAGTCGATTTGATAATGCGCAGAACAAGAAGGTGGAAAGAGAAGACCCACCGCTGACCAACGGAGTAGTGGCGCGTTCAGCTGTCAACCATGACCGCTCTAAGAGAATTGCAGCGGCTTCGAAACTTCAACGGTCATCCTCCCTAAGCTCAGCAGACAGCTTCCAATCGGATGAGTCCAAATCTGCTGTCTCACAGACCACTGAGCACGATGCTTTCCTGAAAGAAGAAGCTCCGCCTGAGCTTCTGTATCGCCCCCAGCTTTCAGATCTACTCCGGGACGCGTCTACTTTCAATATGTATCGCCAGCGGGCTATATGCCGTCGGATCCTCCCACAATGGTTCAGAGGGGCGTTGAAGACACGCCAAATTCGTGAAAAGAGGGAAACCATTGCGATAAACCATGATCGAAACACTCTGCTTCGGCAAGCATTTGAGCCATGGCGCGCTATCATTCAAGATAAACGCCACACAGCCAGAACTGAACGTTTCTTCAAACATCTAGATGAACGCGCTAATAGAGCCCGTGATCTTTACCTAATGACAAAGGCTTTCACGCATTGGGCTCAGCTTACATCTGAAGAAGTCGCCCGGACATCGACAGCCCGACAGCATGTCTTGAGTATCAAATATTTCAATGCCTGGCGTGAGATAACTGCAGTCAACGAACTCAAGGCTCAGCGCTTCGCATTGCGGAAACCTTTCAATAGGTGGCGGAAGAAAATAACCGACCTCAAGGCAGCGGAAGCCCAGGCTGTAACAACGCACAACGACAATCTCCGACATACTTCTTATTGGCAATGGTTTTGGGGCTTTTGCGATCGCCGAGCTCCTGAATGGTATGACAATCGCCTTAAACGGCGCTCGCTCCTTTACTGGCTTCGCAACTTTCGGACCAATCGAGAACGAGACCACGAAATCGACGTTCATAACAGACGCACTGCGCTAGCATCTGTTTTGCAAGAATGGTCTCAAAGGTCTAGAATTATGGCTTCGGCACATCAACAAGCTGAAAGCATCCAACGCCGAGAGGCTCTTAGAGAAAAGTTCGATGAATGGAGGATACAATCCCAATTAGCTCCTGCTGCTTCCAGGGTCTGCAACATGGTAGACACTAGGATTCTTCGAAATGCCCTTTCGCGGTGGGTTTCAAAAGCCCGAATGGTTGAGCAGGCGGAGGATATGGACCAATACCGACTCCAGCGTAATTCATGGACAGCCTGGAACGATACATTGCGTTGCCTTGCACTTCAGGCTCGAATCGACGAGCGATTGAAAATGGAAGCCATCTACAAGTGGATTTTGATGGAGAGATACCGACTCATGCGCAGGATACATGAACAACGTATCAAGCGCGAGATTTTCTCTCGCTTTGTGACGAATACGAGAGATACATACACACGACTATTATTCCATGCAGAAAGTCACGAAGATAGTCGGGCCGAGGATTTGGTAAGGTCTAAGTTTGCGGTATGGCGAGATCAACTGTCGATCCAACGCGAGCGGGAATATGCAGCTTTTGAGTTCTATGCACCACGCCTGGCACAGGAGTCTCTTATGGCTTGGAGATCGAAGCATCAGCAGATCGTCCAAATGGAAGGCTGGGCTTCTGACGCGGAATTCTACTTTTTGATGAAACGATCCATGAAACGTTGGCACCAAGCGACATTGGAGTCCTCTAAAAACCGACGGAAGGACGCATATGCTAAAATCAGACGAAAGATAAAGGTCAATATAGCGTCCAAGGCATTGTCAACTTGGTCATCTAAGACACGGGCTGTCGTGGATTTGGAGGAACAAGCCGAAGACGTCAGCAGAACGAAGCTACTGGGCGTTGTGTCTGTGATATTCCGAGGATGGCATGGCCAAATGATCAAGAGATTCTCAGACTACCAGGCAGCGGATAGGCACTATTTTAATCAAATTGCCTTTGATCAGCTCATACAGATGTCAGAGACATTTGTGATTCGTCGTGAGATGGAGGACCAAGCGGACTCGGTATACCGGTCTCACATCCTGCGCCAGGCGGGTTCGGCTTTCCGCAAACTCAGCCTCCGCATCTTCCAAATGAGAAGCACGGTTGAAACAGCGGAAGCAATGCGAGAAAGAAACCTTCGAAAGCATTCGCGAGCCCTATTCCGTGACTGGGTGGATGAAGCTCGCATCAAATTGGAGGCTCGCGACTCGGCAGGCCCTGCCTTAACGCCTGCGCGATATCCAAGCTTCGAAGGAGGTAGTCGCCCTGGGTCTGCTCTATTTGATCCATGGTATCAGAATCCATCAGAAACGCCATTCAAGATGAGTGATTTCACGGCAACCTCCCAGGAGCCAGTCTCTGCGGTCTCCGCAAGCCCATTAGCTACGCCCAGCTATCTGACATCGCCATCCAAACGCGCGGCTCGGGCCCGAGCTCTTGCCCAGATGTCCACCACCCCAGCTACACCGCTCCATACACCCTTCGCCAGTCGACTCCTCCGCGCTTCGAATTCCGCCGCCCAAACAGCTTCATCTTTTCGTCCCCGTACCGGCCGCCGAACCTCGATTGGAACCAGTGTTCGGTTTGTAGACGAAGAACTACCCGAATCCCCGACGGATGGCCGCAGATCCGCAAATCGACGACCTTAACCTCTTCTTTCCCGATATATGACGACACTCCATCCAATTTTCTACTTTTCACAGCACCTGTACATCAACGACCATTATATCACTGTCTCTGCGATGCTTGCGTTCAAGCCCTTTGTTTCATACCATGCATACCCGGCGTAGCAAATGGGGGAGGAGGAATGGGGGCATTCTGTTTGAGTAGCAGCCCATACTAGTACGTACTTTCGGTACATACATGAACTTGAATGAATATGAGGAACATTTTTCTGGAAACTTAAAGCTGTCTGTAAATACCTATATGACCTGCCCTGCCAGGTCACGTCGTCAGGATCTAGAAATTGAAGTAGCCCTGGACAACTTGAACTTAACGGGAATTACGAGTACTACTACTAGTTCAACATCCACAAGGTTCTAAGTGAAGATCACCTCGTTCATCGTATAGAACCAATTCGCCTGGTACTCGTAGTATCCAGAAATTGCTGCGCAATTTATAGTGGCAGGTGATTGCCGTATCGGTGCCAGTGGTTGCACTGAGTGGAGCGAGCGTAATCGCCCGCACTGTTCGGACCCGCTTGGATCCCCTGCGCATCATCAACACCCCCAGCACCTGATCGCTAGCATTGTCCCTTGTTTCTCCTCGCACCCTTTATCCACTTACCTCTAGGGACTCAACCGCTCAGCCAGGCAATGGTGTGAAGCTTCGCGCGCAACGAGCGTCCCCCCCTCTCTTCCCTCTATCCCACCCGCCTCTATGCGAGCGGTACTGCCGGGGAAACCCCCAGCGAATCTCCAGTCGTTCAGCACAGCGCTGTGGGATGGACTTCGTGTGATTGTGAGTCTCGTATTCTTGGGACCCCTCCTCAGCTTGGGAAACCTCACTGTCTTTTCTCATTGCTAATCTAAGCCCACGGGCGTACTCACCAGGCGTATATTTCCGGCCACGCGCTGGTCATCCTCGGCGGCCCGCAAGCGCTTCTCCAAACGATATATGTCGATGATACCGATACACTAAATGCTGTCGCCTTTGATGAAGAGTCGGGAAAAATTGCCGTGTGCGGTGGTCCAGATGTCTTTGTCTACCAGCCATACGGCATCCAGGGCGAGACACTTAAGGTGCGCACACCGGGAAGAGTGCTCGGGTGGAGCTCTGTCCCCGATCGACTGCTGTCGCATTGGATGAGTGCAGCTAGTATTGACATATAGACTCTTGACAGTGGTCTCTCGCCTACACTTTTCGCGCCGACGATGACGACGAACCGATCCGTACTCTATCGTGGGGTTCCGAGAATGAGCTTCTGCTAGGCAACTCTCGCCTCGCTTTGTGGTTTTTGAATGACAACCCGCGTCTGGCCTGGAAGAAGAAGCTCGGGACTCCCGTCAGTCTTGCATACTTTTCTCCCGATGCCGCCCTAGTCGTGACTGTTGGATTATACGATCGACTGGCCAAGGTGTGGAAGCGATTGGCGTTCGGCGATGAGGTACGATTCGAGGTCTCGTACCTCCCGCATCCGAGCATTATCACTGGAGTTCATTGGCGACTGCCCCGCCATCGGGGCCAGTCTATGGGGAACGTACTTTATACTCTATGCGCGGACAATAAAATTCGAGTCTGGGCTGCGACAGATCACCAGGCCCTTTCGCCATTGGAATTGTGGGCAGACATCGACATGAACGTCTCTGTACAGCCGCGTGATGCTTCGAATGTCGAACAAGGTCCCCAGCGACGATACGGCTTCATTTTGGACAGTCGAGATTTCTGCGCTGTGACCGAGCGAGCCGTTGAACGGAACACGGGCAGCAAGGACAAGCATGCGTTGGAACACCTTATTGAAGTCGCGAACAATAGCCCTGAGATCTGTGTGGTGATTGACGGTCAAGGCCACATGTCTGCATGGGCCTTGGAGGATATTGGCTCGAAGGCTAAAACCACCATGAGTGTTTTCAATATTCTTCACGTGGAGGGCCTTGAATTTGGCTTCATGTCAGATCTTACGGCGGAAGAGGATTATGCTCAAATACGCGTTTTCCAGCGTAATCCCGCGGATGACACTCTCAGTATCGTCGTGCACCATTTTGATGGTCGGATTGAGTGGTACGACTCCAAGGTAGATGTCTTATTTGATCCAGCGCCTCGGAGAACACGCATAGTTCCAAGGTCATCTTGGTCGGGACATACGGCGCCCGTCAAAAAGATTGTTCGCAATGCCATCGGCGATACAATCATCTCACGCACCGATGAGAATAAAGCTATGATCTGGAAGCAAAAGCGCCGGGAAAAAGGATCGATGATTATGCATAAGAGCACATTATTCTCCGAGGATCATATCCATCGCACGTGCCTTATTGAGAATGGACATTTTCTTGTCAATCTTCACCACAACGGAGTGTCGCTGTGGGATTTCAGCACCTATCACGCGAAGAAAATAGCCTCCTTACCTTTCACTCTATCGAGCAAGCCGCTATGCGTGCTCCCGCTCCCCACTCCAGATGCAAGCCCAGACAGGGCTTATGTGGCAACCATAGCGGCGGATTCGCATGGCATCGTCTGGGAGATTCATTGGAGTGGACATGGCGATCGGAACAGTGGAGATGAAGGAAAGATATCCTGCGAAATGCGTAAATTTTGCACATTTGACATGGGATTAACGGAAGATTTGGCATATATTCAGCCTGTTGACCCGGCGGGACACAAAGCAGAATATTCTGGCTTCTTTGACACCTTTTCTCCCGACATTGCCCTCTCCTACACCCACAGTGGTGTCGTTCGGACCTGGACGGCTAAGGTGGACCGAGAAAATGCCAAGGTCGAGTGGCTGCTGAAGTCTACCGTCGACACTGCCATTGAGAACCCATCACTGGCTAGTGGAAGTTCGATTCGTAAGGCTGCGCTTGTGGATCAGGATCGAACTCACCTAACGATCTGGGACACCAACAATGCCCAGCTGGAGTTTGAAGAGCATTTCGCTCAGCATGATAGTATTCGGGACCTGGATTGGACTTCAACTCCTGATATGCAGTCTATTCTTGCCGTCGGATTCCCCCACAAAGTTGTCTTGCTATCCCAGCTACGCTATGATTATCTGGACTCCCGACCATCTTGGACCAAAATCCGTGAAATCTGGATCCGCGATCTCACGCCTCATCCCATTGGTGACTCTTGCTGGCTCACAAATGGCAATCTTGTGATTGGTGCAGGCAACCAGCTGTTTGTCTACGATAAGGACTTTGAAGTGGCAGATCGCTTGATATCTGAGCTTCGTATCCCATCAAAAGGACAGCCAGCTGTTGACCTCTACGATGTTGTAGGCCGACTCAATGGTCCACTGCCTATCTTTCATCCGCAATTCCTTGCACAGTGTATCCTTGCCGGGAAGACCAGCTTGGTGCATTCTATTTTGATGAATCTCCATCGCAAATTGAAGTTTTACACTGAAGGAGATGGTCTAGATGGTTTCTTGGAGATGCCGCTGGAGCATTTCTATGATGAGAATAGTGTAAGTCTCTCTGCTGAATTATTGGCAGCAGTGCTAACCAGAACAGATATCCCAGGAGATTTCGTCGAAGGAAATGCGTTCATCCTACGTTGACGCTACAGTGGAAGAGGAAGTCTCCTCTGTTGTTGATGAAGATGTTGCGACGATCTTGAACGAGAATCTTTCTCGTATTGTGCTGCCTCGGCTGTCTAGCCATGAGCAGTTCCGCCTCGTTGATACGATCGAATGTGTCGCGACTGTCGAGAAGCATCGGCGGTCAATGGATGACAATGCCGCTCGCTATCTCCTCTTCTTCCGACAGCATATGCTAAGGAAGAGCCAAGGCGTAGCGAATAAAGATCGGGTCTCTTGGAGAGAAATTGTCTGGGCTTTCCACAGCGGGAGTCAGGACATTTTAACAGACCTCGTGTCGCGCCAGTTCAACGGCAAATTGACGTGGAAAGCTGCTCGAGAAAGTGGCATCTTCATGTGGCTTTCTGACTCGACAGCATTGGTATGCATCTGTCCATTTCAACCACCTATGTTCGAACTAACCTTTTTTTTAGAAAGCACAACTTGAAGCCGTTGCACGCAACGAGTATACCAAGACCGAAGAAAAGGACCCTGTCGACTGCACGCTTTACTATCTCGCGCTTGGAAAGAAGAACATTCTCCAAGGGCTGTGGCGCATTGCGCATTGGCATCGCGAACAGCGTGCTACTCAGCGTCTATTGGCCAATGATTTCAAGGAAGCACGATGGAAGACTTCCGCACTCAAGAATGCCTATGCCTTGCTTGGGAAACGCCGATTTGGTGAGTTTGCACCTCCGCCCAATTCATGATCACGTAACTAATATCTGTCACAGAATACGCGGCCTCCTTCTTCCTTCTAGCTGACCACCTACGCGATGCTGCCAATGTTGTCGCCACCCAAATGGGCGATCTTCAACTTGCGATCACAATCACCAGAGTTTACGAGGGAGATAATGGGCCCGTGCTCCGCGAACTGCTAGAAGACAAGCTTCTTCCCGAGGCCGCCGCGGAAGGTAATCGCTGGATGGCCTCATGGGCTTTCTGGATGCTTGGACGGCGAGATATGGCAGTGCGGGCACTCATCGTATGCTTCAAACCCCAAGCAATCTCTCGCATGCACTAACTAACATGGATTCAGTCTCCAATCGAAACCCTACTTTCACCAACTCCTACCACCCCAGGGAGCCCCGGACGAGCAACACTTCAATCCAAGTCCTACCTCTCCAACGACCCCGCACTGGTAGTTTTATACCACCAACTCCGAGAAAAAACCCTCCAAACCCTCAAAGGTGCCTCACAAGTCCGGCCCCGCGAAGAATGGGAATTCGTGCTTCGCAACGCCCGATTGTACGACCGCATGGGCTGTGACCTTCTCGCCCTGGACCTGGTGCGTCACTGGGAGTTCCTGGGCGCTCCTCCCACATCCAAGTCATTGCAGTCACAGCCATCCCTCGAGATCAACGAGAATGGAGTCGATTATCGGAAATTGCTTCGCCGGCGGAGCAGTCTGGTCGTCGCTGATATGCCGGTCCGTCTTTCCAATAAGGATGGCGCCGCAGATGCGAAGGATTCTTCTGCCATTGACGATTCCCAGCAGAAGAAACCTGCACAAAAACCAAAGCCACCACCAACCATGTTTCATGAGCCAGATTCGAACTCGCTGCTAGATAGCTTTGGGTTCTAGCCTGGATTTAGTGTTTGATAGCGTACTCTCAGCGAACAATTTTTTCATTGATTATTTGTGCATCTATCTATACAGCGACTCGGCATTGTATGGTTGTTTTTGGGTCTTTCCAATGTATGGGTCGTTTTCTTAGTAAAAACTTTGAACAGCTTGGCATGTATGAGATGACTGGTATCAATTCTTTGATTTAATATACAAAAGTCTAACTAAAGTGGTTCTTTTCCATGTCCAATAAATCGCTCATAATAATGTCCAATGCAAATCCTTTTAAACAAGTCGCGCCTTGCGGTTGCGCAGCACAGATAGCTTCCTCCTCGACATAACAGTTTGGTTTGCGGGGGCAGTGGCATTCTTCTGGTGAATCTTTGCATCCGGCAGGTGTCTTGTGGCGTTATGCTTTCCAGTGACCAAGTGCGAAGAGTGCTTCGCCCTCATCAGCTCCATGATATCATGAACGACCTTCTTGCTCTCGGCGTGACCAGCGCCATTGACACGGCTTTCGTCTTCAGGTCGGCGCTCAGAGTGTTGCTCCTGCGCTACAGACCAAGAGTTCGAGTTCGAGCCAGGAGTCTGCATATTGTTCGCTTGCTGCGCAGAGGCTGTTTCGTCCAGCCGGGGGATGTCTTCAGCTTGATCTTCCAAAGACTCAACAGCAGCACCGCTCTCACAGACCAACCTCACCCATACTTCGCTGTATGCAGCGAATTGCCTGGGCTTGCAGTCGCTTACTTCGACACCATTGTGGAGCTCTTGGGTGATCAGAGGTGGGTCGATGCACGAGGGGACCTCGTGGACGGTGATGTTGCAGTTTGGTCCTCCTTCGGGTGGAAAGGGGTGGCCTTTCTCATGGGAGATCAGCTCAGCATCTACTGAGATAGCGCTAACGAGGTTGTGTTCGTAAGAAGGGACGCCGATGTTGGCGCAACTTCCGACGGTAATTTCTTCAGCTGGGGCTGTTACTTCGTAGTTTTCGTATGTGTCGAGGTTGGAAAAGGGCTCGCCGGGGCAACTGGGGTAGAAATGCGTCCATACCCGGGCAATTGTGTTGGCGTGGATGGGGGTGGAAAGGAGCAAAAGGGTAGTAGCAAGAGAGGAATGCATGGCTGCCAAGTTTGAGATGTAGATCCTGAGATAAGATGGGTTTTCCTATGTCTTGAAGGAACTGAGTAGATAATGATTGATACTAGCTTAGATGAGGCTTTGGACAATTAGGGCTGCTCCAACCTTATATATATCCTCATTCCGTCTCATTAAGATCGAGATGGCGGGTAAGAATGACAGGCACGGGGCTGGCGGAGAGATGAAACGCGGCTCGCACGCTCAGCGAAGTAAGAATGGTCTTCTTCGTCATACTCGGTGGCGGGTGAATTCAAGCTATTCATTCAAGCGCAAGTGGGAGGCCAGATCGTACATTCTTTTACCCGAGTCATCGATTTTATGTCGATCCAGTACCACATGGGTAGTCCTGATTGCTCATTGTGGAATGCGAGCGCCCTTTGAACATTCCTGAGCATGGCGGTGTGCCTATGAGGTGAGTAGATCGTGAGTAGATTGTGGGTCGATTGTGTCAGTTGGCTGGTGGAGCCTGTTTATCTGAATCTTGTTGTCTCTACGACCAAGGGAAGGAGAGCATCATGAAGATGTAATGTGAAGCATAATTCGAGACCATCTGAGGTCATTGGTATATCGATAGGGCTGTAGAAGTTTTCCTGGATTCTATCCAAAAAGGGAAGACCATCTTACTTCTTCTTTTTCAAATCCGAGTTCTCCCTAGACCGAGGCTTGTACTTCAAAATGGACTCGCCGGTCTCGTATCCGCTCAGCGTATTCGAACGCCTTCCTCGGTTCCTAATGGTATGAATCTTTCGGTCGATCTCTTCCAAATCACCGTCTGAAGTTATGGTGCTCAGTCCCTTCATAATAGGCGCAGCAGCGGGACCGGTTGACCTGCTTCGGCTGCGCTCCCGACTCGTCGCCTCGCTAGGCGGCATACTCTTAAGGAAAGATTGATAAGCATCTGCTTTGTAGGGATCGGTGGGGATCTCGGCATCAACATCTGGAAGAATTCCAAATCCGAGATCATTGATAGTCTGTGTCACTTGCTCTGAAAGTGCTTCTCGATGATTTCTCAAATCTGAAAGCGACGAAGAAGCCAGTGGGTCAAGGGCCACGAGAAGTGGCATGAGGGATTTGATGATATCCATCCCAATTTCTCCAAATCGGAGCGCTGCAAAACTGACAAAAATCATGTGTGTAAAGAAACCGACTGCGAATGCCCACAGCGGGATGAAGTCAGGGATGTATGTTCTTGCTACCATCCACCATGGCGCTGATTGCGTATAGTAGCCGTCTAGTCGATTGTACCGGAGCCAGACTGTAACGATAATGGTGTAATAAGCGTAAAGAGTGGGCGCCAGTCCCATAGCGACAAGGATCTTCCAAGTTCCGACAACATCCCGCCCTTGCAGCTTGACGACAGAGGCAGCAAGTGCTTTTCGTCTCTTTTTCTCCGAAATGACTTTTGTTGTCACGAACACAGGCCAGAATAGCAAAACACCGGGAAGGACTCCGAAACTCAAGACAAGAAGTTTGCATAGGCGATAGATGAGAGTGATAAAGGTGAGCCACCAGGGCTTCTCTTCCACATTGCCCCACTCAACCTGATGGTCCTTGACTCCAAGCGACTCCAGGCGCCGATTGTAATCCTTGACAGATTTGCGGAGGCCCTGAATCCGGGGGTCATCATGATACTTCTCGTAGCCCTTGAGCAATCGTCGGTTAAATTCAATGACCAGGGGAAGTGGAATTTTCTTGCTGATTGGATTGTAAAGTTTTCGAGTAGACTGAACCAAGATTAAAGTTTCGTGGTCGGGACTGATTTGAGTGACAGCTTCAAGGCCTTCGTAAATCGTTTCAAGCAGAGAGCCCACGGCATTGCGCTTGCTAGTGCCTCCGGCTTTGAAAGCCTCAATTTGATCTGGGTGCACGTGGATGGGTCGGCCGAATTCAATGACACCTCTTGAACGAAACTTGTGTGCATGGAAATAATTCATGCCGCAAGGCACAATAGATAAACCACAACTCGGATCCTGAGCCAACGCACCGAGTGACATCAGGGCGGCGCCCGCCTTTAAAGGCAGCAGGTTGGAACGGTCGTGACTACCACCTTCAGGGAAGATACCTATACAGCCACCCTGGTGAAGCTCTTTGTAGACTGCATCGAACATCCGACTTTGGTCCACATGAGGGGCGAGCTTGAACGTCACACCCTTGCCGCCTTTTTCACTGGTAGGGGGGGAGGTGAAAGCCTTTTTGAGTCGAAGCGAATTTGGCCCCAGAACCTCATCAATCGATGCTGTTTGGGGTCCTTCAGGTCCTTTGACGGTGAGTTGTCCGCCAGGCATATACTCGGGTTGAGTGAAATCGGTATCAATTCCAATGATCAAAGTTGGATCGCTGTCCGGCTCCGCTAAGGCGATTGTGCCTTTGCCAGGTTTAGCCAAATCCATGGAGCGGACAACCGGAAGGGCACCCATAAACGATGCGAGGGTTCCGATATAAGGCTCGTTCATCGACTTCTGCGCAATCAGGAAAGAAACGCGACGCTTTGCCTGGGATTTGAGTAGGTGCATCAAAATCGCCGAATCAACGAATTGATTGGCGTGAGGGGCAGCCACAATCAAAACAGGGCTTTTTTCCGGGATTCGCCAGGCACCGCGAGGGTAGATCTCGCGGAAGAAGAGGTCCAGAGCGAGCGTGAAAAGCCACAGGACCAGGTCATACAGCCACGGGATCATCCGTCGGCGTTTGTCCGAAGGACCCGCCATGATCGCCAGAAGATGGAGATCCGGAGTTGTTGAAGCTGCAGATTCAACGGTCGCTGATCATCCAGATCATCCAGAGGGAAGAGGTTGGTGGGGGGGAAATTGATGCGTGAGCGACGTGTTTGTGACACGTCAAAGTGGAAAAATGAGGGGGCGAAGCGGAGAAGGAAAGAAGCGCGCGGGTAAAAGTGACCAGCCCAGATTTACACTACGTCAAAACAGAACATCATCATATATCACATCACATCATGCCGTGCCACTCGACTCTAGAGGATTAAATTGAGAGTATGCGAAATACAGAATATTCATGAAACAGGATCCGAATGAAATCAGGTCTTCCGTCTGCTTCACCAAGGGCCATCATCAGAGTCATCAGAGCCATCAGAGCCATCAGAGCCATCAGAGCCATCAGAGCCATCAGAGCCATCAGGGCCGCCAGGGCCACCGGCTCCTTCAGCTCCACCGAGACCATCGAAGCACTGCATCTTGAAGGAGACATAGGTCGGGTCGAGGATATCAGGCAAGCATTGGCCTTGGGCGACAGGGCCACCCTCGAAGGGCAGGAAGTAGATGGGCCTGCCAGAACAGTCTTCGTTATTCCAGACGGTCACACCGGAGCATAGCAGGGCATCCTTGGTGTCGAGGTGGGCAGTGAAGGAGTAGTGGTCGACGCTCCAGTCAAGGTTGACGGGGGTCTTGTCACAGGTGACCGGGGTAGCGACCACGGACTCCTGAGCCTTAGGCTCACCCCGTGGCGGGCCGCTAACATCGCAGTTCTCCCAGGATTGGAATTCAATGCTCGCGACGGGGAAACCGGCTTGGGTGCCGAGGGCCAGAGCAGCCACAGTAGCCAGAGTCTGTATCAGGTCAGTAGTGGCTTTTGTGATTGAAGGATAATCGCGATCGTTTTCTAACCTTGGAGAAGTGCATTTTGTTTAAGAGAATGGACGGTTTCTGCAAAGATGTCGGAAGCCCGGTACTTGTCTGGTATCAAAGGAGTGAATGGGGTCGGAAAGGATGGTTTCAATGAATCGTCCGATCCCATTGCATTTAAGTAGACTCCTTCAGGCATTCTGGCACGCGGAAACATACGACCCAAGTAAACACGAAAACACGACGAAAATTCGCCTGTCAAGAGTGCGGAATGCAGGCATTAAACAGGGATTGGCGTAAGCCTCGGAATGTAAGAGCCTTAAGGAGAAGTTTAGTTGGACTCGAGGGTTACGGAATGGATTTTCATCAAGGGACCGCTGATGCAGTATTGGCCAGCGTCACACCAGACATACTCTACACCGCTCATCATACTCCTTTGGGCAACCCACAAATACGCAAATCCTTGCCAACATGGCCATGAAGATTCACGAGACTTCTTATCGCTGTAGACAATCAGTCATTAATATTGAGGACCGTCGTTGGGTCCAACGAAGGGTTAAATGCTGGGTCGGGCTGGGCGAGGACCCCTTGCGGGACAGCAACAAACCTCAAAACTCCTCGCCACTAAACTGACACCGTGTGATGGATAGTGGAAACCCTTCAAGACTCAAATTAAACACTCTAGAGGGAGGTGAAAAGTGAACGGTTGGTCATTTTGGGAGTTTTATTCCGCGTGATACCGCGGGGGGACATTGCAAAGCGAAGATTGCATGAAGATTCTACTGGGATGGGGATCCATCTGATCGTATGAAGAAGAGAAAAGATGTTGCCTGCAAGAAATTCCGCTGCAGGAATATTCCGCTCATGTACGGAGCACAATTCTAGCCGCTGGACTTTCAGATCAGGCCCTCTACTTCCTATCTAGGGAAGTCCACACGCTGGGGCTCGTTTAGCTGGCTTTGATGCCCTCTATGCCCAAGAAGGTAAGCTGTACGTGCTAACATGTGATTTTCGCCTCACTCCGCTCCAGAATCCCCTACGTTGTGACGTTACTGCAAACCACGATTCGAATTCTGAATCTGTTGGGACGCGCTAAGGGCGTTCCCCGCATTTCAGATCGACCATTGGAGCGGTTTTCCATGTGAATCCGGGGCCAGTAACGCGTAGAGACGGTGTATTCGATGCACATCAAATAGCTGTAGCTAAGAGAATACACCTAGGCAGAATAAATCATTGTCCTCATAAACTTAAATTGGGACATCACTGTCATCTGTGGAATAGTACGTTGTGACAGCATGTGAGCACCATAGATTGTTATATATTTCAAGTTGAGCAGGTTGAATTACTCCGGGGCTAGTATAGATTCAAGGATCAGCTCGACTAGAAACTTGAACTTCAAACAAATTCAAGTTAAAGACAAATTGAGTCCGAAGTACTTCGTTAGAGCATATCACTCAAACCTTGGAAGTAGTACAAAATGTCTACTGCAAAAGAACGTCTCGTTCTTCTGGTCCCTTCTACCATTGTCGAGACTCTCCTCATCATGTCCATTGGTATAACCATGAACCGACCAGCGACTATTTTTGCTTACGCATTATCGGTCAATTTTGTCTTAATGTTTATATGGAATGTTTTCATATGGCCATTCTTCCTAAACCCATTGAGGCACTTGCCAACTGTACACGTATGGAACTATCTAGGGAAAGTCAATATAATATCACAGCTAACCATTCCTTGCCTATTAGGGTCCTCTGATTGGTGCGAAGGTGTTTCTGCGCCATCCTCGTGGCAAGATTGCTGTCGAATGGCTACGAACTATACCTAACGAAGGCCTTATTCACTTCCGCGAGGCCTTGAACTTTAGCTTTTTGGTCGCCACCAACCACCGAGCATTGATGGATGTCTTGCATACGAACAGTTATGACTTCGTGAAGCCTCCAGGTGGTCGGGCTTTCCTTGCCCGTGGCTTGGGTTATGGGCTCATTCTCTCTGAAGGAGATGTGCATCGTGCGCAGCGCAAGGCCGTCACCCCAGCTTTCACAATCAAGAATATCCGCAGCATGTACCCCTTGATGTGGAGCAAGACCCAAATGTTTCTTTCTCAGTTGGAGAAGGCAATCAGACTTGACCCTGCGCCTGGCGAAAAGTCAGGACAGGCTGGGTTTGTTGAAATCGGTGGATGGGCAAAGTAAGTAGACCTCGCATATAATACGATGAGAAGTATTCCTGAGAAGCGCGTAACTGACCGAATCGCAACTTCACTAGTCGCTTGACTTTGGATATAATTGGCCCTGCGGCCATCGGACGAGACTTTCAGTCACTTGAGAACGAAAACGACCCTATATCGCAAAACTTTACAGCAATTTTAAAGCCATCTGTTGATTTACTGTTCTTGTTTGCGGTGTCTATCATATTGCCTCAGTGGCTTGTGAAAAGCATCCCCTGCAAAGCAAATATTGTGCTTCCGCGCAAGGTAGGCTATTTGCGAACGGTATTTCACGACATTCTTCAAGAAAAGAGAAAACAGCTTGCCTTGGAGAAAAACCAGGATAAGAACATCGAAGGTGACATTTTGGGTACAATGATGCGAGGTGGAGAGTTCACCGATAACGAACTGGTGGATCAAATGCTCACAATTCTAGCAGCTGGGGTATTTCTCCCCAATTTTTCTAGCCGAAATAGAGTCATCGATAACTAACAGTCCTATTACAGCATGAGACGACGGCCGGTGCTCTCACTTGGTGCTGTTACCACCTCAGCATCGAGCCGCACATCCAAGACCATCTCCGACAGGAAATCCGCGATACGATTCCTTCTCCAGATGCTTCCGTTTCATGGCAAGATCTTGAAGGAATGCCCTATCTCAACGGCGTCTGCCAAGAAGTTCTAAGACTCTACCCACGGTCCCAATGACTGGTCGCGAAGCGATTCGAGAGACCACAATCGCGGGCAAGAGAATACCCAAAGGCACGACCATCGCTTTATGCCCCCAGGCCGTCAACCGCAGCTACGAATTCTGGGGCGAGAACGCAGACCAGTTCCTTCCGGAGCGATGGATCGACACTGACTCCGAGACAGGAAAAAAGTCTCCGAACAAGCACGGTGGTGCGTCGACGAATTTTGCTCAGATTACGTTTCTCCATGGGCCACGCGCGTGCATCGGCAAGGATTTTGCGAAGGCAGAATTTCGATGTGCGGTCGCGGGCCTTTTTGGGAAGTATCAACTTCAATTGAAAGAGCCCGAGCAGAAGATTACATATGGGGGAACTCTGACGAGTCAGCCTATTGAGGGTATGCATTTGAAGTTGACCAAATTGGAAGGCTGGGAGTAGTATAGTGTGCTAGACAGGCTAATGAGATGAACCCTTATGTTATTAATGAGAGAATCGAAATTGGCATTATCATTTTGCAACAGTCAACTTCTCCTCGACGTAATTCGACTGGTTCCCCTTAATCTTTCTTATCTTCGGAAATTCACGAGAGCAAGCTCGGTATCGTAGGCGACTCGTGCATTACATATGCTTAGGGAAGCACCTTCAAAGAATTTACTGTAAGAGGTTGAAAGTATACGAGTAGGGGAACTCGATCCACGTGCAATACTGTCAGTGCGTCAGCTTGATATTGGGAGATCATCATCCTTGGGACGCACTCTCCCTGTCCCCGCACTCCAATAATGGGGAACTCCACATTGCAAGGGGACCGCTGGGGGCCCCTCAACAGGGTTGATCGGTTCGTGTTCATAGATTGAGCGAATGGTATTCCAGGATGTCTCGGTATTGACAGATGATCTACCGGCGCCAGCACCGAGGTAGCAAGGACCGGCGCCCCTGTGATCTCGTTCAAGAGGGGCTGGCCGAGGCAGCCCTAATTTCAGGCTGTTTCGTTCATGTGGGCCGGGCCACTCCAGTATGAAACAGGGTCCAGTTATAACTCAAAATTGGGCCCTCGAGAGTATATATGATTACTATTTTTTGATTACAATCAAAAATCCGGGGCTCTCTTTTCAATTGCTCTACAATCTATCCAAGATACACCATGACCGTCACACCCGATTTGTCAACCGGGTATGTCGGGAACCTGACACCCGACCAAGATGTAAAGCTGCGTGAACTATGGATCATCCTGTTCACCTCTATCTCTTCTGTTCTCTCTAAGATATACGACGTACCAATCCCAAAGGGCTCGCCAAGCAAGCTATTCGAAGTTTTTGAGAAAATCAAGGAGCCTACTGTCGATGCCATCCTTAGTGCCCTAAAGGGAGATGACGCCGACGATACACACCAGTCAAATGGCACAAACGGCACCAATGGTACTACCAATGGTGCCAGTACTACAGAAGAGACCAATGGCGAAAACCAAGAGCAAAAGACGCTCGACAAAGTGGAAGACCTAATGAGCAATGGTGATGCCCAGAAAAACATTAAGGAGGAAATGGCGACTCGGAAGGTTTTACCAGAGCATTTTTCCGTTGTTTTCGATCAACTGCGCAAGTCAGGTGTCAGTGATTCGGAAATTCAGTCCATGGGAAAGATCCTTGCAAAATTGACACCCCAGGATATGTGCTTCGCTATCCTGAAGATGGCGAAACAGGAACATCCCGACAGCTTATTGCTTCGTTTCCTACGAGCCAGAAAGTGGGATGTTGGAAAAGCTTTCACAATGTTGGCAACCAATATCTTGTGGAGAAAGGAGATGGAGGTTGACGATGATATACTGCCTAAAGGAGAGTTGTATGCTCTTGAGCAATCTCGCGATGACAAGCTATCCACCAAGGAAAAGAAGGAAGGTAATGATTTCATTGCGCAGTTGAAGACTGGCAAGAGCTTTTTGCACGGCTTCGATAGACAGGGCCGACCGGTCAACTATGTGCGAGTCAAGATCCACAAGCCTGGGGCTCAAAGTGAAGAGGTCCTTGAGAGATACATTGTTCATGTTATCGAGTCAACTCGACTAATTGTGGTCCCGCCCGTCGAGACAGGAGTATGTTACTGCCATAGAGAAGCATACTTGGACAAGAAACTGACAGCTCTATAGACGATTGTCTTCGACATGACAGGATTTGGCTTGTCGAACATGGTATGTTCTTGTAAAAGAAGGTCGAGAAGCAAATGAACTGACTTCTACTGATAGGAGTACCAACCAGTCAAGTTTATTATTAAGTGTTTTGAAGCAAATTATCCAGAATCATTGGGTCAGCTGCTGATTCATAATGCACCTTGGATTTTCTCAGGTAAGCCAGTACCCATTTTGTTATCTTTTAAACAATCAGGATCTCACATATCAAAGGTATCTGGAGACTCATCCATGGCTGGATGGACCCAGTTGTCGCCTCCAAGGTGCACTTTACCAAATCTGTCAAGGACTTGGACAAGTATATTTCCCGCGACCAGATCCCGAGGGAGCTCGCTGGCGACGAAGACTGGGAATACAAATATGTCGAGCCCAAGGAAGATGAGAACGAAATAATGAAAGACAAGTCTACTAGTGATGAGATCATGTATGAGAGACTGATGATCGGCATCAAGCTACTCGCGTCAACAGCTGCATGGATCTCGGCTACTACGTATGCAGAGGGCAAACAGGATGCCATAAAGGTGGAAGAACTGAAGGTGCGACGGAGCACCGTCGTCGAGGAGTTCAGACAGAACTACTGGAAGATCGACCCCTATATCCGGGCGCGGGCGCTCATTGATCGGTCTGGGGTTCTCGAACCCGGTGGCAGAGTGGTGGTGACCCCAGAGACCACCAAGAAGAACGGCTCCAAGTAGGAGAGTTCTGTTAAGATTGAATGAAGCTGGCATTCTCGGCACTTTCTATTACATCCCCCTTTATGTATTAACCGATCAATGGAAATAATTGTCGCGAAATGTTGATGCTTTCCATATACCTTTGCCAATCGTATTCGTAGATCACTTGAGACTCAGCTCACGCACCATTGCCCACATGGTAAATTCTTCTGCTGCATCCCAGAAACCCTTTGGGCACTTTTGACTACCCACTACCTTGAAGCCTTGCTTCAACCAGTAGTCGCCGGAGTTCTCTTTAGCCACTCGGATCATAATCCGCGCTGGAACACTTCCCTTCCCATTCTCGCTTCGACGGCGTAAAAGTTCGTCTTCGCAAACTTTCACCAGACGTCCTGCCATTCCTCTCCCGCGGAATCGAGCATCGGGCGGAATGGCCACGACCGCGAGCTCATAGTCCCCAGGACAGGCATGTTTTTGGAAGATCTGGTCCACTTTGGCATTGACCACATCTTCACTTGATTCGTCGCTGAAATCTTCATAATCATGGGATTCCCACAGTCCATCGTCTTTCCATGGCTTCATGCTGGCCGTGCCGACCACTTCGAGAGAGTCGGGACTACTGGACGCGAATGCAACTGCGGTGAAGCCATCAGAACCAAGTTCTTCCGTGAGTTCAGAATCGGAGAACAATCTGATTTTGTCTTGTGAGAATTGAATTTTCTCTGTGTGCATAACTAGATAGCTGGCGTTGATCATCCGAGTCAGATCGGAAAGCCATGGCTGTGAAAGCAGCTCGGCAGACGTGAAGAGCGCAGTCTGGATGGTCGGCGCAGAGTCCATGTTCTTGTGATAGGAGTCAAACATGCGAAGAGGGGCGTAGCAAGCTAATCAGAAGGAGACCCCGTATTCAAAGAGGGTGTTAAAATAATGACTTTGACAGGGTATCTCAAATCTTCGCTCTCGTGCCTATTGAAGATTATGGTGGGGTCTGCCAAAGAGAAACGCACGTTCGTGGCCACTGAGTCATAGAAACTGATCCGAGTACTGTAGGTTCGGGCTGGACTTACTGTTATTTGCCTGGCGCATCCAGAGAAGAGAATGCGGAATGTCCCCGGTTCTTGCTTACCGAGTGGGGCCTGTCAAGCGGAGTTATCCGATCGGACAAGAAGCACTGGAAGAGGCCATTCGCCATCATGGTACATATAGAACTTCGAAATCTTGTTGTAGCAAGAACTCCAGGCTAGATACTCGTAGTCTAAAAATATTACCTAGACCCAGCCTAAAATAGATCTTATCTCGAGTGTCTCGCTTTTATAAGTTCCCAGAAATATACCTCACAAGGCGATCTGACAGTCATAATTGCTCTCAGCTAACCAGGTGTGACCTTTCAATTCCCTCATGGTATTTAAAGATATCTGATTTTCATATAATAGGACTCTCAATATCCTAATTCTACCAGGTCCCTTTTCGAAATCCTATCGCTTCATATGGAGTGACGAATTTAGTGCTAATCGATCACATCTCATAGCCGTCCTTAACAGTTTTGGCTTTGTAGAAGCGCTGGACTTTGTCGCGCAGGCCTTTTTCACGGGAACTCTTTCGAATCGGAACCTACTGGAGTACCATAGCCCATAGCTACTGGAGACCGACTATGTACCTGACTACTTTCTATCTTAAGGTAGTAGGGTTTAGACTCCCCAAGGGCCGGGTGACGTCAGGTGACCTATCTTATCGCGGCCGGGGATTACCAAGCTTCCCCAACTTCTTCCTTCCTCCTCCAAACGCTCCTCATGACGGATTTACTCGGCCAATGAATTACCAGACCATCAGCATGGAAGGCTATGCCTCCGAGCCCCGGCATCGCCCTGTTGACCGGCCGCCATCGCCAGACCAGCCAGCAGAGCCCATCGAAGACGTACTGCCGATCCCACGAACCCCGACCACCTCCGCGCAGAGCTTCACCCCACGCTCACTAATCGTCGGCCTTATAATTGGAGCCCTTATTACGTTCTCAAACACATATTTTGGTCTACAGACAGGATGGATCAGTACGATGGCTATGCCTTCTGCTTTGATCGGGTTCTCGGTCTTCAAGGTCCTAACCAAGTACCTGTCGTTCCCGTTTACGCCGATCGAGAATGTCCTGATCCAGACTGTAGCAGGCGCAGTTGGTACAATGCCGCTGGGATGCGGCTTTGTAGGTGTGATTCCCGCTCTCGAGTTTTTGCTGAAGGACGGTGAAGATGGACCGGCTGGAGATGGTGGGGAAGGTGAGGGCGGACCTCTGAGGTTAAGCTTCGGCAAATTGGTTGTCTGGAGTCTTGGGGTCTGCTTGTTCGGGGTGGTATTTGCCGTACCTCTGCGAAAGGAGGTTATTGTGCGGGAGAAGCTGCGCTTTCCAAGTGGTACCGCCTCCGCCCTGATGCTACGGGTTTTGCATGGTGCGGGGAAGGACGAGAAGTCTCCTCTAGCGGCGCAGCGTCAAAGCAATGATCTGGATGGCGAAACCAGATCAATTGATCAACACAATGGGGAGGAGGAGACGGGCCATTTACTTAAATATACCGATACCGAGGACCAGACAGAGGACCAGAAGGATTGGCGGTCCAAAATGCGCTTGTTGATCGGTGCATTTGTAGTATCTGGCGTTTATGTAAGACTCATGCTCACTCATTGATTTATTGGATCACTCGGAACTAACTCGATCAGACCCTCTTTTCCTATTTTGTCCCATTCGTCCGTGACATCCCCTTGTTTGGAGTGGGCATTGCCCATAATTGGCTATGGACACTCAACCCATCACCAGCTTATATTGGCCAAGGCATTATCATGGGACCTGAAACATGCATGCACATGCTATTTGGAGCTGTGATTGGTTGGGGAATTCTCTCGCCACTTGCCAAAGCTCGTGGATGGGCACCTGGACCCGTGGATAGCTGGGAAGACGGAAGCAAAGCCTGGATCGTTTGGATTTCGCTAGCTATCATGCTTGCTGACTCTCTAGTCAGCCTGGGATGGCTTGTCGCTAAGCCATTGGTCAATCGTGCCCCTGCATGGCTGGCATACCTCCGCTCAACTCGACTTGCTCGATGGATTGCTCTAAGACTTCACCCTGGCGATCATGCGTACATCGATTACTCGTCGCTGGACTCAGATCATGAGCCACTGCGGTTAGAGGACCATGAAAATGACCCTGACCACGCCACCCACTGGGTGACACCTACAACAGAAGACGAGGATGCCCCACCCTCGCAGTTGATATCCAATCGCACAGTCATGATCCTGCTACCACTAACCCTAATCCTGAACGTGGTCTGCATGCACTACGCTTTCGGCGACATCATATCCCCATGGCTATCAACACTAGCCACCCTCCTCGCAGTACTCCTATCTATAATGGGCGTACGAGCTTTGGGCGAAACAGATCTAAACCCAGTATCCGGCATCAGCAAACTAACCCAACTCCTCTTCTCACTCGCCACACCGTCATCCCACTTCTCCCGCCGAACCGCGTTAGTAACAAACCTCCTCGCCGGCGCTGTCTCCGAATCCGGCGCCCTCCAAGCCGGCGACATGATGCAGGACCTGAAAACAGGCCACCTCCTCGGTGCAAGTCCCAAAGCCCAATTCTACGGCCAGATGATCGGCAGCGTTGTCGGCGCTGTGCTTTCCACGGCCGTGTACAAGATGTACGTAAACGTTTACGAGGTTCCCGGCGACATGTTCCAAACACCCACAGCGTTTGTCTGGATATTCACCGCGCGACTCGTAACTGGCCAGGGTCTTCCTGAGATGGCGTGGCAGGCATCTTTCGTTGCGGGATCTATCTGGGTGGCACTGACAGCCGCGCGTATCGTCGCTGCTTCGCCTTCCTTTGCCCACAACGGTCAACCGCCGGCTTGGAGGTCTTGGATTCCAGGTGGAATCGCCGTTGCGGTGGGCATGTTCAATGTTCCTTCTTTCACTCTTGCCCGAGCTATTGGTGGTATCATTGCTTGGTGGTGGGCAAGAAAGCACGCAGCGCCCGCGAATAGTCGTCCTGAATCCAGTGGTGCTGTGGTTGGTGCTGGCACTGCAGAGGGAGACTCCACGCAGGACCAATCCCGCTCTCCTGAGCAGATAGCTGAGAAGGCGGACGTGGCTTCTTCGACTGTCGTTGTTCTGGCGTCGGGTCTGATTCTCGGCGAGGGAATCATGAGTATTGTGAATCTGCTTCTGGCAAGTGGTAAGGTGCCTCATCTTTAAATAGAATATGGCCTTCATGAACTTGGCCTTGAATGAAGCATGGGCAATTGAATTGCATAAGCTTATTTTATTTTCGGGCATGTATTTACGCATTATTATAAACTATAAATAGGTATTAAATGACTTTAGTTCGGGTTTATGAATATTCCAATGTGATGAAGCATTTTTGCGGGTTATCAAAATATCAGCCAACCAAGTAGCAAGAGAGCAGAAATTTTGCAATCGAATAAGTTATAGAATTTTAGATAGTTATCAAGACACGGCCTCGCAGATCCTCCTTAAAATGTTACAGGTTCCAGGGTATTCAAACTCATCACCGAGTCATTCGCAATCACGATCCATCCAAGGAAAGGAGAAGACGTAGGAACAATCTTCAAATGCAGAAGCCAAAAAAGTAAAGAGTAGGAGAGAAAGGGGATGGGGGAAATAGCGTAGGGCAGACATGTAAGCAAGTGTAATCAACTTCGAGACACGATTATATCCAATGCCAGGAAGCCATCGACGACGGGTTAAAGACACAGGTAAGATGGGATCGACGAAAATAGAAGAATAAAACATAAATGGACAGTGGTATGTAAGGGGTAGGAAGTTCGTCACGGAGTCGTACTAGGCAGGCTCGTTTCCGTCCAGCGGGGAAGGTTGTCAGGACAAGGCTATGTCTATGTTCTTGGGCAAGCCCTCATTCACGAGTTGCACACCCTAGGCCTCCTGGCTACCGACAGGTTTCCGGTTGATGGATCCCTGAGGGGAGATGGGAGGGGAGGAGCTCGCGGGAGGCGCGGAGGCTGGAATGGCAGGGAGCTGACTGGTAGGCGCCGGGGCAGGAGGCCCTGCAGCTAAAGGACTCGGCTTGGGAGGGAAAGCAGCGCCAACGTTGGGTGGAGAAATATTACCAGCACTGTTGCTGCGCTGGCGCTGGGTAGCAGGCATGGCGGGACGCTGCATGCCAGGAGGACCGTAGGGACCAGGGCTCATGGAACGAGGTACTGGCATGGCCGAATGACCAGGCGACATGGAACGTGGACCAGGTCGTCCTGGTCCTGGAGACATTGATCGTGGACCCGGAGACATGGCTCGTGGACCAGGGGACATAGAGCGAGGACCAGGGGACATTGAACGAGGACCAGGGGACATTGAACGAGGAACCGGGAATCCCGCAGGGGGTCCTCCGGGGTAAGGGCGCTGCTGGGGTGGTGGACCAGCGTATCCCGGACCACCAGGGGATCTAGGGCGTGCATCTCCAGGGTAGAATCGACCGGGAGGCATGCGGCCGCCAGGACCCATCGGCGGGCCGCGAGGGCCAGGGCCAGGGCCCGCACCAGGGGGCGGACGCGGGCGAGGCTTCACAGGGCGCGCAGAAAGGCAGGATCGCGGCGCCACTCCTTGCTGAGAACGGTCGAGGCGAACACAAAGAGCCTTAATAGGGGATTAGTACATATTTCTAAGGAAATGGATTTAAACAGGAAAAACTCACCCATCCATCGTCGTATTCATGAAGCATTCGCACCAGCGTACCGATACGGAGACCGATCTCATCCTCCGCTGAGGGATTGAAGTCCATTTGAACTCGGTGAACGTTATCAGCGCCAGGACCGGCACCAGCAACACCGGCAGCACCGGCAGCGCCAATTGCTGCAGCTCCACCAGCAGCCATAGCAACAGATGAGACCGACTCTCCGTCGGCACTGACGGGGCTTGGGGAGGTACCAGGAACAGAATGAGCGTCAGACTCAAATGAAAGGGGGCGACGAGATTGCTCATTAGATGATCCTTGAGAAGCAATGGCTGCAGCGCCAACGGCACCAACAGCCGCGGCACCAGCAGCACCAGCACCAACAGCAGCCGTGGGACTAGCAGTAGAGGTCTGATCAACGGGACTGAAAGGGTTGACGGGGTCATTGAAGGGGTTCTGGCTGCTACTAGCAGACTTGGGCGGAGTGAGAGGAGGCGAGTTGCCAGTAAGGTTACGCGAAGTAGCCGCTCCAGCACCGGCAGCTGCACCAACTGCAGCACCAGCTGCGGTAGCAGTGGCAGGGTTGAAAGAGGCGCCGTTGCTCAGATCCGGGGCGAATTGAGTGATTGGCCGAACGTTAAGAACCGGAGGCGTCGAAGGAGTCGACGGCTTGACAGGAGGCGGAGGAGGGGGGTGACTGAATGCCTTTTCATCCATAGGCTCAGCGAGTTCCTTGCTCTTCTTCTTCTTGCGGATGAAGAAGAAGATCAAGGCGGCTAAAATACCAACACCCAGGATAACACCAATGGCGACACCTGCCTTCGCACCCGAGGACATTCCCTCGGATGCAGCGCTGGCAGTAGACGAGGCACTCGCAGCGGAGTTTGTAGCCGATGCAGTTGACGTGGCGGCCAAAGCATTGATATCTGTGCTAGGATCGGCGGTAGTGCTGGCAGAAGTTATGAAGGAGGATGTCTTGTGCGTCTCGGCATTGGTTTGAGTAGCGGATTTGTCCTCGGTGGTCTTGGTCGCCTCTGCCTTTGTGGCATCCTTGGTCTTTTCGGTTTCCTTCGCAGTGGTCTTGGTCGAGGTATCCTTCTCGGTTTCCTTGGTGGTGCTATCTTCGGTATGCTTGGTTTCCTTGGCTGCTGTTTTCTCCGTAGCAGTGGTCTTGTCATTGTCGGTGGTCTTAGTACCAGCCACGGCAGCACCAACGCCCTGATTGCCATTCTTGGTCGCAGTCGCAGTCGCAGTATCGTCGTCATTATGGTCACCGCCCATCATTGTCTTGAAACCCCCCCACCGCGCCTTCAAAGTCCTGGGACAAGGTCTTGTAAACGTAGACCACATCATCGCCGAATCCCCGTTCCTCCAACGCCCCCTCCAGAGCCCGCTCGGCGAGGGCCTGGGCGGGGCGGTGGATGTTGTGGTGTGCATGCCCGTGCACCATGTTGAAAGATGATGCTTCTTGATATCGATCGCGAAGCAGTAGAAGTTGAAGCGACAATCGCTACTAAGGAGAGAAAGAGAGGAAACTGGGACCAGGCCAGGATTCCAACGCGAGTCGGGCGATTCCGAGCACCGCGTCCGTGGTAAGTAAGCACACCTCTCGCGTTATGTGGAATGTGGATAGAAAGAATGGACAACCGGATATCGAGCGCCGCCGATAACCAGTCGAGAGAAAAGAAGGGACAACGACTTCCAGGCCGTAGGGGAATGAATGAGGGGGGAGAGAAGGTGAGGGAGAGAAAGTAAAGGGAAAAAAGGGAAAGGACCAAAAGGAAGAGTCCGGCTCACCTCGCATCTCTCTTCTCTCTTGATCCAACGGAGTTCCCAGATGAGTAGGGTATGCAACGGGGAGGGACCCTGACCCGGTATTTACTGGTATTATCGATACGAGGCTAACCTATTTTAGTGAAGATCTTGGATTATGGCTACCATGAGTGGTCCAATATCTAACGGTACCTGGTAACAATTGGTAACACTGGTAACACTAGATATGAAATGAGGACCCCCAATACGAGGTGGCCGAGACCCAGCAGACCCAGTGCCATTCGGCGATTTTTAGTTTGCTCTCGCACTGGAAATTTGGATTGGAATTGGGATTTCTTGGGGATGGGGAGGAGAGGATCCACTACATACATTTTACAGAATCCAGGTCGCAGGTCGGCTTTTTGCGATCGAGGCTGGAATGCCACAATCCCCTTTCATCACGATGCACATGTACTCCGTACTCGTACGGAGTACACAATGATGCGATGAGATCAATGAGATGCAATGATACCCCGGCCCGTGGCCCCCATCTCGTGCTTCGCTAAGAACCCTGCGCGGGGCACGGACTCCTTACGGTTTCACCACCGTCCTCTCTCCATCATCATTTGCCCCGTCCCCTGCAGTGCTAATTTCCGGGCCTCCCGGCGAACCCTCGGCTCTCCAAGCGGTGTCAAATCACATCGTTCATCACATTCAACAGGCGATGGCCCATTCCTAACTCGTATGCCCACCCATCCATCCGATCCATTCCTGCCTTCGCATGGTGGTTATTTTTAATGGCGTGGATGCTCCCAAGACCCATAATTAAATTAAATGCCTGAGGCGAAGGCGATCCTCTCCCCCTTTGGATTCCATTTTGACTGTAACTGCCTGCCACCCTCAGCCCTGGAAATGAATGCCAATGCGGCAATGTCTGTGCCTGTGCCTGGCTCGCGAGGCTGATGCACGGGGCCGCCACTCCATCTAATTTTTGTGGCTGAGAGGGCGTTTCAAAACCCATCATAGATTAATGTGTGGAGAAGTAAGGATGTCGGAGGGCCTGTTGAAATTAACGTCTGTTCTCGAGCCACCTTTCTCTCTCGCGGTCGCTTACCTCTTCAGCGGAAAACCGTTGCTGCGATTCATAACAAAGCAAATGGCGTACCAGATCCCGCCCGTTGGAAGAAGTGCCCGGTAGGATCTCGTCCCAGGATTGACTTGGTAACGGGTGGAACTCCACCTTGCCCCAGTCCGGCAACTGGTGTATCTCCTATACTTCCTGTTAGTTTCGAGTCGTCATCTCCTGTCGATAGGTGTGATGGGGTTCATTCTCACAGGCCATCTTTGCTCATCAGGGGTCCCCAGTGCCTTGAAAATTGAGAAAATGAGCGACAGGTCACTCCCAATGGGCCCGGAATCAAATAGCTGCCCGTGCCCGACCGCAAGAGCTTCTGCCACGACACAGCCCGCGGACCACTGATCCAACGCGGTCCCATATCCCCTATACCCAAACAGTATCTCGGGGGCACGGTAGGATGTAGTCCCCACGTCTGTGATCTTCTGGTCGGCCGGCTCGGAGCCCGGGTCTCCTTCCTTCCAGGAGATACCAAAGTCGGCTAAGTAGGCCGGGCCCTCGGGTGAGTCCATCAGAATATTAGACGGTTTGATATCCCGATGGATAATGCCGAGCTTGTGAACATGCGCAAGCGCCTGAAATAAATCGTGCAGAATGTGTCGCGTCTGCGTCGCAGTGACCATATCTCGTCGCAGCAGGTGCTCAAAATCATACCGCAAGAAAGGAAGGACCAACACTAGTCGACCTCCATCGAGAGTAAAGGTCTCAATCAACGGAATGACCTTGTCACTGCTTGCTTCGCGAAGTAGACGTGCCTCCCGTGGCGCATCATGAGGTGCTGTCATGAGATGCGGGATGGTGATTTTGACGGCTCGTACTGTGCCATCCTTGGCTGTCGACTTATAAATGGTAGAATGAAGCCCATCAAAATGATGGAAGCATGATGCATATTGACCGAACTGTTGACCGGCCGACGGGTCTATAGATGATGATGCATCTGCATCTGCATCTGTATCTGCATCTGGTTGTTGGTCCGAGCTGATGGTAGCCGGAGTGGAAGATTTGGATATCTCTGCTTCATCGATGGCCTGTTGGCACAGATGGTCATACTCTTCCTGAAGCCCAACATGAGTGTGTGAAGTTCAAGTTTGTCTGTCTCTCAATGTAAAACAACGGACCTTGGAGGTAGCCTGGTCGTAGAACGCAGTTTCACATTTTCTGGCCTGTGCTTGAGCCTCGGTGAAGGCAGCCGACGAAGATGACTGTTGATAGGCGGATGTACTACGGTAATATGAGAATTGCGAACACAGAACACAATTGGGGTCATAGGGACTCAATTGACTGACAGCGACTGAATAGTCCTGAGACGATCCGTAAAGCCTAGGGCTTTTTTCCAGTCCATGTTGTGTTGATGAAGGAGAGTAGTAACCAGTAGTTAGTTAAAGTGTAGCTACTAGTAGTAACTAACGCTGGTAACAAGGTATCATGTGACTGGAGAAAACGGGGAAGGAGAGTCACACGATGCGGCACGCTGATTGGCCACCGCCCCAAAGGTCGCCCTTCCCGGCCATCGTCATTCCATCCCCATGTCCGCCCTCGGCGACACCCTATGATTCCCGCATTCATTGATTCCCCCGCATCCTCTTCCCAAGCTCCTTTCCTGTGTGCCCCCGTTCATCTGATTATGCGCTTCGTGGACTGTACACAATTTTGATCGCGATACCATGGAGCTCTCTCGGCAGGAGTACCCGGCGCTGCTGGTATGCTTGTCTCCTCACGAACCTCATCGAGCTCAACCTCGTCCTACCTGAATTCCCACTGACCGCGGAAACAACGTTTCCAATGGCTTAGGCTACTCTGCATCCTCATCAAGCAACTACCATCCTCAATGATCGCATTCGAGTGATCAACAAGATCCATACGGATATCGCGGACTTCCTCCAGGTATGACGGCCGAGGTCTGGTTTCCGCCAGATCCCATTCGATTTCACATTCTTGGGATATGCGGGGTGTGATACTGACCTGTATCCGACAGGAACGACGTCGCTTGGAAGAGGTTTACGCCCAGAGCTTGCGAAAGCTGGCGCATCGCCCCCAACTGGACAATGGCGCTGCACTGGGGTGAGTGGAATCGTCTTGGAGAGAACATTGTCGCCCGATTGGTAGCAATTAGAGTGGCTAATCGTCTTATAGTATATTCCAAATTCCCTGGCAACGAATTATCAACGCCACCGAGACCCTAGCCGTCTCGCACGAGACCCTTGCGAACAAGATTGAGGAGGACGTGGAACGGCCCCTCAGGGAGTACAGCAGCAAGAATCGCGACATGCACTCCATGTCTGGAATCCAGAGCAACCTGGCTGGATTGGCCAAGAATGTCGAAACTGCGCAGAAGAAAGTGGACAAGGCTAAGGGCAAGGGTACGAAGGGCGCAGACAAGCTAGCCAATGCGGTGGCTGAAGCAGAAGAGATGAACCAGCAATGGGAATCCCGCGCACCATTTGTTTACGAGCAGCTTCAGGCCGCTGATGAGGGCCGACTCAACCATCTTCGCGATGTCCTCACACAACTTGAAACACATGAAGTGGACCAAGTTGAGCGGGGTCGGCAAGCCGCGGAAAGCTGTCTAAATGTTCTTCTTAACGTTGAGACCGCCGATGAGATCAAGACATTCGCTGCCAAACACGCTGGGGATAGGGCGCCTCTCTCGCCGGTCCCATCGCGGAGACAACAACCCCAGGCGGAAGCTCCTCCTGTGGCCCCTGCCACTCCGGCTGCAGTTTCGACACCTGTCACTGAGCCACTTGAGCCTCCTCGCTTTCAGGATGATGCGGCCAGCCAACGATCGGAATCTGTGCAAACTCCTGTCCCAAGAGCGGAGACCACCCCTGCTTTTCAAACACCCCCAGGTATGCCCTTGAATCGATCTATACTCTTGTCAAACGTGACTAACATGAATTTACTTCCGCGTTGAAGCCCCCGAGGCAGTGCCCAGGAATACTCCTTTGGGTGGCTTGAGGCGACTCGGCACCGTGATGAATCGTCGCAAAAGTGTGATCGGGCCATCAGCTGGAAGTTATGAAAAGAAGTCCGAGAAAAAGTACCGAAGTCCATTTGGTCCATTCAAGAGAAGCGAGTCCGCCAGGGATATGCAAATCCCGGAATCGCCGCCAACAACTTCATCGGGTCGACCAGGAACAGCCTTGACCGAGGAATCAGCACGGAATCCCAGTGTTTCACAGGATCGCACTGGGGTGGAAGCCATTGTGCCTGCTCCAATTTCCCAGCGAGAGCCAACCACTATGAATGGCACTTCGCCAGAGGCCCAAGCTGGACTAGTTAGCAATGGCACTACTCAGGTACGTGGCATCCCTCTGAATTGATTTAGAATTTTGCTGACTGGATTCCCAGGCCCACGTTGATTCTGAAGGATTCACTGAACGGCCGTCGACCGTCGACGAGATAACGCGTGCGCAAAGAGAAGCATCAGGGTATGCAAGAGCCTGTTTTGTGGTTAAGGACATTATACTTACGAAACCCTAATCACAGATTCGATGATTCTGGTGTGAACTTGACAATTCGGGATCAACCTATCTTTGAGGATGAGAATCAGGCCCAGCGGGCAATGGATGACATGGCGAACACCTTACGCATGGTAAGCAGTACTCCGTGACACCAAAATCTCAACAGTCATCGTACTCATACATTCCATAGCGGGCTCCGATGAGACGGAACGCAGGCACCATTCGAGGCCGTCGTGACGTACGAAACACAGTATTCGTTCCGAACTCAAGCGCCGAAACGACAGCAACCCAAGCCGCGCCAGAGCTATACGCTCCGTCCTCGCCGATCAGACATGCCCCGTCTCCTAGCAATGCGACAGAGGAACATGCTATGTCAGACACCACGTCTATTCGCTCAGGGCACACAATCCAGGGGGCCGCCCCTACCATTCACCCTGAGCTCCATGAGCCTGGTCTGAATGCATCCATCATCGAAACAGTCAGCGCATGGTTCTCTGAAGGCAGCGTGACCAAATCTATGGTAGTTGGAGAACTGGCTTTGGCCCACAACCCAATCCCAGGGACCGCAGCAAACGCCCTGAAAATCCGTCTCGAGAATTTCCCAGTGTTGGAAAAGGTTGCCGCCAACCCGCACTTTGTTCACGGAGACACCGCGGATGAGAAGCGCGGCGAATACGACATTCAGCTCGGCAGCATTACTCGACCAATCCCAACGGTAGCTTTCAAGTACCAGCTGCACTTGGATCCCAATAACCCATCAGCATACTGTCCAGTTATCTTCAAGCCAGCCTGGAATCTGCAAGAGCTCCAAGCCAGCGCGATTATATTCTATTCCCTCAACCCTGCGTTCATCTCACTGTCTGCTGAGCCTATCGTCCTGAAAAACGTCGTGTTGACCGTCGGCTTGGATACCTCCACTGAGGATGAGGTAACCAAGCAGCCGCGCGAATCAGTCGCCCATGCGAGCAGCGCCGTCATGCACCCGAACTCAGGTGCCAGCTTCCGCCGCAAGACTTCCACGGTCACTTGGAGGATTCCTGAGTTGGAGGTGAAGCCACCCGGCTCCGGCGAAGAGGGCAGGTTCCTTGTGCGCTTTTCCACCTCTACCCCGGGACCTCGCAAGGGTAACGTCGAGGCAAAGTTCGAGCTCCGCACCAATGAGACCGGTGCTCGACTAGGAATCAGCCAACCTGTCTCTGACGCGTCCGCGAAGGAAGCCGATCCATTCTCCGATGCCGCGCCTCAGAGCCCGGCCCTCTCTGCTAGCTGGCAGGAACTCCCAACTGTCCGTCAGCTCGTCGGTGGGAAATACGTTGCTGCTTGAATGAGTTTTGTGTGATCCATCTTGTTCATATATACCCTGTCTCGAGTCGAGTTGTTCCTTCACATTTTGTCCTTTATCATGGAAGATGCGAGGGAAAGACGGAGAGAAAAGACTAAGGATGATTGATAATGTTTGCCCTTTTGCCCCTCCCTTGTTTATGGCCCTTCTATCGGCTTTCCGTTCCTTGCAAATAGCGCCTCCTTTCTTTTCGTTTGTGATTTTGGTCTTGTAGCTAGGCATTTAACTTGCGTAAGTACGTTGTGAAGACCTCGGTCTTACAGTTTTCGAATCGGATATTCTCTTCTTGTTTATTGGAACTTAGATCTCTTCCACCCCTCATACTACCACCTTGGGCCATAAGTTTGAAGACACCGCCTAATCGGGTAATTCTGCCATTTCACCACTCTACATTCAAATATATATATTGCATGCAATATGCAATATTATTGCACCAAAATTTGCTATAATATAGAATAATCAATTACAAAGTATATCACAGAATTTTAATTGCTAAAACCGAGTATAGTAGCCACGTGCCTTACGAGTCTCGCTTATACGCTGAGGCATCGATCTAATTATACTATCAATTTTATTTTGATCTAGCGCATCCCAGGCCTCCGATATACACTCCCTAAAGAGCTTCCAATCTGCCTCAGATGTACCACAATGTAGTAGATTAGGATAGAGCTCATAATTTACGTTTGAGCATACGCCACACGGGTTCAATAGGGTTGAGATCTGGCGAGCGTGGCGGCCATTCCATAACGTTTATACCATGACGTTCAAACCATCGCTGAGCAACATAGGAGCGGTGGATTTTAGCGTTATCTTGCTGAAATATAGTTCCAGGCTCATAGTGTTCAATAAACCCTTCTTCAAGCGCTTTTAGGTAGGATTTCGTTGTATAACCACCTCCGCGACCTCGCTGTCCTTCTGAAAAGTCACGCTCCATAATAACAAGTTTTGTACGCCCTCCGAGCCATATTCCAGCCCAAACCATTTGACAAATATCCTTCACATGAGCCTTAACTTGCACCATTCCCTGCCGGTAAGCTTCTCCTCTAAGCCGGGTAACGTATTGGCCGTTTAAATTAGGGATACGTTGAACGCTGCATTCGTCGGAAAATATAAAGCTTTGTAGTTGGGAATTGTAGCGTTCAGCCCTCCAATTTCGGCAAAATCGGACTCGTTTGCGGGCGTTCTCCCTCGAAATTGGGATACAACCTCTTGCTCGATAGCGCTGGAGGAATTTTGAACGTAGGAATCGCTTGATTGCTGATCGAGATGGATGGCTGGGTATACGGGCGCTTAGCTCACTAAGGCTTAGCCAAGGCTCACGACGTGCAAGTAAACAGGTATATTTAATAGTAGAGTACCTATAGACTTTAGGGGCACCTGAACGAGGCAGTGATTTAAGCGTTTGATGCTCTCAGAATCGTTTGATTGTAGAGTATATTGTTGAGCGTGCGACGTTGAACTCAGTAGCCATTTTAGTAGGCGATACACCACATTCATGAGCGTATATAATAGCTGCGCGGGCCTTAGATGAAAGCTCACCCCCTGGCCTTCGATTGCCACTTATTTCAGTGCCAAACCGACGCATATTGGTGGTGTAGGGGGTAGTTGAAGAAGATGAGTGGGGGGGGTGACGCGAAAATCGCGCTAAAAAAATAGCGCGATGTCTTCAAACTTCTGGACCGCCTTTGTAGCTAGCGTAAGGAATCGCCGATGGGCTCACCTGCAAATGTATTACTTGGCCCCCGGGCTGAATACTTGGCCTTGTCGGCCATATAAGTGCGATTGAATGGCGTGGGGCTGCTACTAGTAGCGATGGATAGCTACTTGTAGGGAAGATACTAATGTACTATGAAATGTGAAACTGTGAATTGGCTACTGAATTGGCTACTGAATCGACCAATGAGTAGAGCATAGCTTCGGAAGGTAGAATTTGGCTTCTTAATTGAAACTTATACATCATAACCCAAGTCCACAACCACCGAGCCTTCAAACAGACCAAGGTCGAACCGCATTCAAAAGATCCAGATGCACCTGTGCATCACCAGTTCTCTTCAAAGCCTCCTCAAAGAAATCTGGCCCAATGCGCTCACTAAAAAGCAAAACACTACCCCAAATAAAATCAGCATAGCTTATAGTCTCACCCAAGAAGAACGGCCCTTCAATCTGCTTCAGCAAAGCGGTAGTTTCACGAAGAACCGGCTCCGCCTCATTCCACGCTTTTTCCCCACCCTTCGTCTCCTCAAACTCTTCAACGCTCATCCCGACAAATGCCTTGCGAGTCCGGTACCAGTGTTCCAAGCTGGCGTCGTTGAGAATTCGCTTTGGAACTTGGTTCAGGAATATAGGCATAATAGCGCCCACGTATTTCCACCAGAGAGCGTCAACTTGATCCACGATGCTGGAGTCTAGGTGGAGCGAGGGCGAGGGGTGTTTGCTTTCGAGGTATTCTGCGATCGGGCGCGAATCCATCATGTATTTCCCCTCAGGTGTGATGATTGCTGGGATTGTGTAGCGTGGAAAATTCTCGTTGGGTGGAAGGCTGCAAGAGTTGTATGTCAATATAATGTGTACCTACTAGTAATTATATCTTTCTTATACTTGTAGACGTACTGGTTCTCCAATTCAGGTGCGATCTCGGGGTATTCCAGCTAGGGTGACTCATTAGCGATTGTCGTAATGGCTGGTTTGTTCAATGTACCCAGCGAGTGTTATAGTCAATTCCCTTGAAGTTCAAGACAAGGCGAGCTATCAGGTGTTACCATGTTAGCAAATTGCTACACAATTTATTTTTCCTGACTACTATGAGGTATTCAAGATTGACGACGCACTCTTCCAGGGGTTAGGAGTCCATGTCGAATCGGGCGACCTGCTCGCAAGATCGTAGAACGTATACTGGTTGGATGACATGGTTTAGGTTCAGGTACAGGAGTTACCGGGCGTAAATTGATTTGGGATGGAGTTGAGGAGATGGATTCCATGAACAATTGGAGGGGCATCGTTATTTATCAGCACGGGTGGAAATCATGCCGATCTTTCGGAGGTGGTGGATACTCTTACTGGCCAGGTGTAGACCTACTCTTACTGTATGGCCGAAATCCTGCCAAACAAACCCCGACAGTCGGGCACCGAATCTGGAAAGTAAGCATTGCGGCTTCAGAGAACTACTAGTACCACTGACACAGGCCAAAAGATTTGACGCTTCTTTCTAGTTTCTCCCTGGGAAAAGCCATTAAATGAGACGTGGTTGGTTTCATCTGTATCGTTGAGTGGTGCATGTTGCTAGAAGCTGACTGTAACCTTTAAGTTTGCATCGACGGGGTGGACAGTAGTACAAGTGGGGTGAAGTGACTATGGCTCTGACTGTGACTCGGACTAAGAGGCAGGGATTCGATTATACTAGTAGTAGCCTTCAAGTTTTGAAGTAGACTTCATACAGACAGCCATATATGGTACATAGTGCAGCGAAGCACATCAGATCACATCACGTTAAATCCTAGCCGCTCTGGTCGTCTTATCATAAAAGTCCAAGGTCATAGCAGCCAAGAAGCAAGGTATATCCTTCCGTTCCTCCACCCAGAACTTGATCAAATGCTTGATCTCCATTGCGAAAAGACTATTCGGTCCTCCGGAGATCTTCATCGTGCCGTTCTCACCATCGAAAACGATGGAGTTCTCACCTCCATCACCCATGCTACCAGCGCCGCGGGAGTTGGAGGGATCATCGCCATCGCCGTGTCGGTAGGCCGAAGAAAGATGGAACATAGAAGTCACTCGAACACGACCGTTCGGGAGGAAGTCGAGTTTAAAGCCGAGGAGAGAGGCGACTGCTTCGCGAAACTCGGAACTCTTGGCCGTCCAGATTTCTTTGAGACGACGCATGCGCTTCTCCTTGTCTGCGACGACGCGATCCATGTCCTGCATCTCGAGTTTGAGACTGTCAAGCGTGCTGACGGGGACAGCTTTCACGCCCGTGTTCTCGCCGCGGAGTTGAGCGAGAAGAGCCTGGTTCTCCGAACGTAGTGTTGCCAGTGTGGACATTTTGATCTTCTCGGCCTCGGCGGTCGGATTCTCTCGCAATTCGAGGACACGAGTGCGCGACTTAGATTTGAGAGACTTGATTTGAGACTTGGCGGCATCCAATTCTCGACGTCCAAGTGTCGTGGCCTGCTCTGCTTTAGAGAGGGCCTCCTGCAATTTGCGGTTTTTCCGCGTGAGTACCGAAAGACGTTCACTATCGACCTCGCCTTCTGCTGATGACAAGGGGCGCTTGGTACCCCGGGCCTGGCTATCATCCTGAGCTGGCGGAGGTGGTGCCTCCCTCTTGGAAAGTTCTTCGTGCGCCGTTTGGAGCTCATTGCGGTACTCGTCCACAATTTTTTGTAATTGTGCAATCTGCTCCGCCTTTTGTTCGTCATAACTCTTTTCTTCATTCATTGTGATTTCCTCCTCATCAAAAGCCTTGAGTTGAGCCCGAAGATATTCGACTTCCTTGACAGCCAGAACACGCTGTCGCTCCAGCCGTGACTTAGCTCGAGCCTCAGCTGCTGCGGGAGCAGCAGTAGAGCCATTGGCAGAGGACGAGGCCCGTAACTTTTCGATTTCTTGGCGAAGGGTGGCTTTTTCATTCTCCAAAATCTTAATCGCTTCATCCTTCTCGAGAAATTGCGCATCAACGGTGCCAAGTCGATCAACCAGCGTCGCCATTTCAATTTGTGTCTCTGCCAAGGCTTTGACAACAGCTTCGGGAGAATCGAATTCAGCCGATTGATTGTTATTTTCAAGCAGGCTGGTCCAAGATTGCCGTTCATCCTCGAGAACCTGTTTCTGAATCTGTAGTGTACCAACCTCCGCCTCCAAGTCTTTCATAGCCATCAGCTGGTTCTCGAGTGACCTCTTTTGCTCTTGGACCACCTCGACGTTCTTCTGAACCTTCCGTAGATATTGTAGTTCCGCGCCTTGTTCCCGACCCGTCGTCTCCAACTCGCGAATATGGCTGACTTGTTCAGAAAGTTCCCTTTTTAGAACGGCCAGTTCTTCGGCATCGCTCCCCTCCGATTTCAAGCGGATGTTCTCCGACTCAAGCTCCGCAACTTCGCTTTCGCGTTGAGTCAACTTTTCTTGGGTTGTCTGCTGGGAGGTGCGAGCAGCGTGGAGATCATTTTGAAATTCCTCAATGGTCTTTTGAAGAGATGCACGGACGGTTTCCAGTTCATTTATCTGATACTTAGAGTGTCGTTCTTGGTCGGATAAGCGTGCTTGTGAATCGTCTAGCTCCTCTTGTAATGTTTGTCTTTCATCCTGCAGTGTTCGGTTTTTGCGTTCGAGGCTCGTCCTGTCAGTGAGTGCCTGCTCCTGTGCCTCCTTTAGTTCCTTTGCCAGGGTTTCGCTCTTGTTAATGGCGCGGTTCGATGCCGACTCTGCTGCCTGTTAAATAACACCGTGAGTTAAAGAACACTGAAGAGTGTCAGGGTTAAGGGTAACGTACTTGCGCTTTTCGGAAGTCCGCATCCGCCTTTATTTGAATTTCACGAGTCTCCTTCTCGTGTTGCAAGGTTTGTAGCTCCTGTTCTTGCTTGATGTTCTCGAGTTCGTATCTCAGAGTGCTGACTTGCACCCGTAATTCATCCTTCTCCGCATCTGTATCTCGAAATTAATGTCTCGTCGCGTCTTGTCTTCGTTAATGGGTGAATGGTTCCTCACCGTGCAATGGGTGTTGCGGTAAAGGTTGGGAATGGGTAGTTTGAGTAGATTGCCTCAGCGACCTTCGCGCACTTGCGGGAGTAGAGGGCGAGGCAAAGCCAGCAACCAGCTGGGATGCTGGTCGCGTCGACTGACTGGAGTCCATGGGGGGCCGCCGGTGGTTGGGATGGTGATTGTGGGCTGTCTGCACAAAGAGCGTCAATGAGACTCGGCGGCGGACCAATTGTCTCGAGCCCCTTGAGGAGTCACACTTTCCACTCGGATTCTTAAAACAAAAGGATAGGATTGGGAGTGTCTCAAGTGTGTTAAGCTCACTGGCGACTGCGGCGGATGTTTGGGCCTTAGTCATCCGACCAGAGCTACCGGATCAGGACTAGCGTCTTCAGAAATTATTTCGGAGAGTTGCGCAGCGCACTTTTTCTCTACACACCATCAAACACACCCCACCACCTCACGCCCCCCGTTTTTTACACAATCGTCATCATGGGCAAGGACAAGGTCGAAAAGGAGAAGAAGCGCGCTGAGAAGAAGGAGAAGCGTTCCGACAAGGACGGCGTTGCCAAGCCCAAGAAGGAAAAGAAGGAAAAGAAGGACAAGTCCGCTCTCGCCGATGCGGTAGAGAAGGAGATCACTAGCCAAGTCCTCGAGGGACTGGACCAGGCCGCCGCCGCCGGTGTCGCCGACGTTGAGGTTGATGCCATGGCCATCGACCGCCCCGTTGGTGCCGTTGTGCCTTTCGCCAACCCTCTGGTTGAGGACAAGCAGGCCAAGAAGGTTCTCAAGACCGTCAAGAAGGGTATGCCAATCAATCCCAATTCCTCGGAAGAATCATCTTTTGCGTCTGTCATCTTCTCGTCTGTTTGTGCTTGTAGATTTGCCTTGCTTCCCTATGCAACATGCTGCATGGCCAGTGCAAATCGAACGCATATTTGGAAAACGATGTGGATTGCCATCCAATTGAACTAGTCACTAATCTATTTCTTGTCTTACAGCTGCCGTCAACAAGTCTCTCAAGCGCGGTGTCAAGGAGGTCGTCAAGGCTCTCCGCAAGTCCGCCATCCCCGCCGCTAACGCCTCCATCGATACTCCCTCCGCGGTCGTCATTCTTGCCGCTGACATCTCCCCCATGGACGTCATCTCTCACATCCCCGTTCTGTGCGAAGACCACGGTATTCCCTACGTTTTCGTCACTTCCCGCGCTGAGCTCGGTGCCTCCGCCGCTACCAAGCGTCCCACTAGTGTGGTCATGGTGACCCCCAAGTCGGCTGGCAAGAACAAGGATGCCGATAGCGAGGACTTCAGCGGAGTCTTTGAGGAGTTGGCCAAGCTTGCCAAGAAGGAGTGCGAGAAGCTGACCGTTTAAGGTGATTGCTTGCTTGCTTTGTCCTTTTTCGCTTTTGTACCCACCTTCCTGGTTTGCTAGTGGGTTCACGTATTGTGTACAGGTTATGGTTCTCGTCTGATAGGACTGTGCATGTCTTTGGGGGTTCGGCCTTTGGGTTTCTATATCATTTCTTTTACCATGTTTGCTTCTCTGCTGTTCGGCGTTCTATCAACGGTGTATGAAAAAAGGCAGGAAGAATTCCCAATGAGAAATCACCCCATACATCCATTTGAAATTACCATCGTACTTGTCAAAACATGACACCTACCTAAGTGGGCCTCCATGCGATTTGGCTTGTCGGTGGATGACATTCCATGTGCGCAATCTGCGGCCCTGTCCGTACCTCGGTCCTGCAGTGTTTTGATTTGATCTCCATTTCATAGATTCCGCTGGTTTTAGTACGAAGCAATCATCTAGTCACACAGCTTGACATTTTGTCGACATTGCACTACTATGTGCCTTGCCAGGTAGAGCGTGACAGCACGGTTACACAGCCACTGGACCTTAAGTTGCAATTGAACTTGCCTATCAGTTTCCGGGATCAATGAACAAAAGCTCGGCTAGTAATCCAAAGTGTCAGTGTCACCACTTCGGGTGGAGATAGAGAGAGAAAAAATGAGTGAAAAAGAATCACGAACTGCTTCAGTAATGGAAAATGGAACTCGCACTGGCCATTGCTAGTGTCGAACCTAGCCGATCGGCCTTGCATCCGAACCGAACTATCAAGCCTGTGGCGCTATCATTCCAGGTTGCTGAATCTGATCAATCCCTTTATTTCTTAAAAGGTCGAACAAGGGGGAGAATTACATACCACACCACAGATGAGATCAAAAATGGCCAATTAGAAGGAGTATAGGCTCAGAATCCCAACTAGCCGGGTACATCTATCTTTTGCCTCGCTCCTCCTAGATTCAAGACTTAGTTTTCTCTCCCAAATTTTTGGCGTATGGTAGGTTGTACGCGGTATCTTTCTCGTCTAAAACTGCAGCCCTTGCGGGGAGTCCCCCGGTCACCCTGCTGCCCTACCCCAAATCGTCATTATAAGAAAAGCCCACGTCGCCTCGTAATTGTAAGATCTCTTTTTTCCCCTTCGACTTTCTTTCTTGCATACTTCATATATATTATGCGCCACCCGACATTCGTTCCATAATCAACTTATTCTCTCCTTAATATAATCGATACTATTTCCGTGCCGTTGAAGATGATAGCCCTCTGTCCTCGGGCCTGGCCCGTGACTGTGCTTCTTTTGACAATAGTGCATATGGCCATATCTCATCCCATACAACCATCGCAATGGGCGGGGAGTCGTGATATCAATGATGCGAACACGCAAGACGCGCGTACGCCCTATGATGAAGCAAGAACCCTTTCGTCTCTCGAGTCAGCACGGGCCAAATTCAAATTGGTCAGTTTCGCATCTTTTCTTGCCCATCCTTCAAAGCTCCGACTATTCTAATACTCTGTGAAGTCGAACTCAATCAATAGTGACCCAGCCATTGAGGGGGAAGAACTCGACAACTCGTATACCCCAGGTGACGATGTGCCCACCAAACCAGTTGTATCAGTCCTGATCCCAGTCTCACACATCTCGGTCAACCCACATGAAGTCTACGGCTATGACGATGAACTTGAAAGTGATCCCATCAATGTGGTCGAGGTGACGAACAAGAAATATGGCCAAATGCTGGGCCACCCAAAAACACCATATGATGCGATTCATGGATACGAGTCTGAATTCTACTCGGCTTCGACACCAAGATATTCGTCCGGCCACTACATTTCGTTTCTCTCTTATCGAGTTTCCATCCCTCTTATGAAATTCTTCCCGGCAGCTTTCCCAGCATTCCCGCTCCCCGGTATATTTACGGCAATTATTGTTCTTCTCGCGTTGGTGTGGATTGCGATTTTTACGATTGGGTTGGTTGAGTTTGGGAATTATTTGTGGAACGGATATGATGAGGCGGATGAGACAGGACACCGCACCGTTGAAGATGGATTAGAGGATGACAGTGAAGAATATGAACTTTCTGAACATGGTGAAATGTCAAAATTACCTCTACATCCGGTCGGATTCCCTATGCCTGTGGCAGAGGGCCCCGATGACGAAGGTTCGCTTTTGATGTCAAACACCTCGGACTCGGAATCAGAATCGGGGATCGATAATTATCGAGTCATTTGAGTCAGTGCTTACTCAGAATAGCTAAGCGATGAAATACTCAAGCGTATATATGCTATACTAATTGGTGATCAATGGATCTTTGTTCAAAGTAGTTTAAAGTAGTTATAATCGTTTCGAAATTTTGTATAGATCTAATTTACATCATATAAATCCATGCACTCATAATCCATCGTAAGCCCAGCTCCAGGCGTGGGCTAGCTAGATTAACAAAACGCTTGCTAGCTCAGGTGAATTCAATAAAGCAGTAAGGATAAAACAAGAGCCCTTTTTTAAGCACGCTGGTCCCGCTCCAGAGCTTCAAAGGAAGTCGGGTTGCCAACGTGCTCCTGACGAGGAACACCAGCGTTCAGCGCGCTAGTGGCGGAGGTTTGCTGGAACTTGTGGATAGCAGCGCGACCAGGGTCATCACTGGTGCCAATATCGGAGTTGAAGCTGGCATTCTTCGCAGTAGAAGAGTGGAAGTCACCTTCGTGAATGTTTCGGCCGTCGGGCTTCTGGTGCTGATAACCATCGGTCACATCAGCGATGTATGAAGGGGCCTGGCCGGCATTGTATTGACTGCTTCCGCTGGCAGTAGTCTGATCTGCCTGACCCATCTGCTGCTTAGCAGCGGTCGGGCCACCAACATAGCCAGACTGTGAGAGGTGGGCACCGGGGAAATCACCCTGGCCGCCGAGAGCTTCAGGGTACTTCTCCTGACGCTCACGGTCATCACGCAGACCACCAACAGAGGCAGGGGGAAGCTCGGTGGCTCCAGAGGTGTTGGTATTCTTCAAAGAGGACTTGTTGTAAGATGTGGGCTCGGCGCCGCGGTTGTTGGAGAAAGCACCACCCTTGGCAACAGATTCAGCCGCAAGGGAGTCATTAGCGACAGGGCCTGAAGGCTCCTCAATGGGTTGCTGAGAGGCAAGAGGGTCGGTGGTGACCTTAGTGCTGCGGGTGCCGTGAGGGAGAGGAGTGCCCTGGAGATCCATATTGAATGTGTATGAAGTGGAAGTAGAGAAAAAGTGTGTTCAATTTCACTGAGTGACTGAAGAGTGACAAGAAGGCTGGTTGTGAAATTGATTAAATCAATAAATTGAATAGTATGAAATTGCGCGAGGTGACAGTAGATCTAAATAGTTCCAGGTCAAGACCTCTTAGCAACATATGAACACATAACTACTGACCAACTAACTAGCCTGCGACGTTCTCGTAACAGGAAGAGCTTGATATCACGGTGAGTGATGTCACGCTTACGGTTTCCTCATGGCCATCAACAGTTTTCAAGATGATCTTCATCAACAGCAGAAGTCACATCAACCAGTCTTGCGATCGAAGCGTTTTTATTGGCGGGTTCTCGAAATCTGATGAAGGGCCGGCGGAACCGCTACGTCTGTGTGGGGCCGTGTCCATCAATTTTTGCGAGAAATTCGTTGTCAAAGAGGAGAAAGGACTCCACATGCTTAATGCATCGTGGATCCATGAGTTCATGAGTTATGAGACTTTTTGGGTCTGGGATTGAAACTGGGCAGATATCAAAGTCGAATTGGCGGTTGACGTCAGGGCTACATAATTACTTCAAATTGCCACCATTCCCGAATAGGTAATCTTCCACTTGAACACTGCAATCGCCTGCCAAGGTTACGAGGATCATTCTGCTGGCTTATCTAAGCTTGATGATTTACGACTGATCTATCTGCAGACAATATGGATTCACAATTTGCAACAATTGCAACTAAGTTGTTGGCGCAGGTCGGTGGAGAGTGGGAACACTGAACCACCAGCAAAAGCAAGCTTACAATTTACATGCGATTGAAGGTCGAGCACAATTTTTTAGCTTACTTATATTATTTATTGTTAAGTGTATATTTTGAATTCATTCGCTCGTGATTGAGTGCAACTTGGAGTTTGTGCAAGAATGACTATCGTACATGTGATGATGAATACAGTAGTCCATCGCCCAGTATCCATCGAAATCATTCAACAACAAAAGTGTCGCCAACAGTGACCTTTTCAATTTATTTTAATTTCCTTTTAATGTCGACCTTATTGAGGTGCGGTGTTCTTATGCAGCTCGTCACCAGAGACACGAACGCTGCTGGCGGCGGTAGATGGCCCGCGTAGAGCGTCATCGGCACCGGTGGAGATAGGACCTTCAAGGCGACCGGAGCCGACGTTGACGGTTCGCTCGTCGGAGGAGTTCCAGTCACTAGCAACTGGAGGGTCCTCTGGCAGGGGCAAGTTGGCCTTGGTCTCGTCGATCTGCTTCGATTTGTTGGTGTTCTGGTCGATGATAGACTTAAGATACGAAATATTAACGAGGGCCAGTTCACTTTTTTTGATGAAGAACTCTCACCTTCATATTGGAAACATCAGAGTCGGCGGGAATCTTTCCACCATGCTGTTGGGAGACACGAGACTCTTCCTTGCGCAAGTCCTGGCGAGTGGTGTGGTAGGTCTGATCGGACATTTTGGAGGTATGAGAGGAATTTGTTCGTGAAAAAGAGTCACTTTCAAAATTGGATAATGTAGAATTTTGAAGGGACCTACTAGTACTCTTATAGTATTCTTACAGAGTGCTTATGGTATGAAATGTGACAGAGATGACGTTTGCCCTTATGACGACATAACGACAATCCAGACCATGGATACTAATAACAGATGCATTGGAATGCCCCTACTTCCCAGAAAACAAGTCTTGGCCTATTCGAAATGCCCCGCAGGACTTGAGTCGATGCTTCACTTTTTGACTCCACAATTGTAACCAGTATTCCATCCTTCTTCGCTGAATTGTCATGAATGCCAATCGCACTCCAAGCAATGAAATCATAGACATGTAATCTAACTTATGTCCTTACCAAGATTGGGTAGTAAATACACCATAATGTTATGAAGCTCATGCCTCAAATGTTTGGGCTATTCTACATACAGACCGTTCTATTCACCGGAAGATTTCATGATTGGCAAAATTGATCACTTTGATGTAACGAGTAGTAGGAATAGACATCACAGGTCTCAACCAGAAACACTGTTCTCGTCCTCTACGAGACAATTTAGCAGAAAACACTACCGTTACTGTGTGCACCTTGGATTTATATGAACTTATGCGCTAATGTGGTCTCAATTTCGATCTTAATCTATTTTCAATCCTATCTGGTTCATCCTCTTCAGTTGTATACTACAGGCTGTCGGCGACCAAAAGGGGAGGCGGTGGGTGCTCTGTGGTATTGTTGAGGGGCCCTGTAATTAGTAGTTACCGCCTTCTGCTTTTGAATGGCAGAAAATGATTCTTATCGCAACTCCGAAGTCTTCCAATCGCTTGGCTTGTGCAGGCAGTCAAGAGGTTTTAATTGTTTGTTGTTTTGGTTTCTACGCCAGTCGGAATATCTCAAGATGCCCCGTGATCCCTTAATTGGCCTAGTTGGCAAGGTTCGTCGTCCCATGCCCAAATCGTGACCCCGCTAACCATGGAGGGGGCACAGCCGTCGAGTGGGAAATCTACAACATTGAACAGTTTGACCGATGCTACTTCAAAAGTCGGTAAGTACATGCTCGTTGTGGTATTTCTATGATCGACCTTACTAATTTCAATTCGTCCTCTAGGCAATTTCCCGTACGTCCACCTTTTATTGCTCGAGCTAGAACGAACACACCGGAGTATCGAACAAACCTTGCGCTAACGATTGACGCTCGCCAGCTTCACAACCATTGATCCCCAGCGAGCCATTGGATACCTGCAGATCGATTGCCCCTGTCAAAGACATGGTATTTCCGACCGCTGTCAACCAAACTATGGCGCCTGCCACGAAGGAAGACGTTCCGTTCCGATTGAATTGCTAGATGTCGCCGGACTTGTTCCTGGAGCGCATCAAGGTCGCGGGTTGGGAAACAAATTCTTGGATGACTTGCGTCATGCGGATGCGCTGATCCACGTGGTGGATGTGAGCGGTACCACAGATGCAGAAGGCAAGGCTACTCGAGGATATGATCCCTCCGTGGATATTGAGTGGTTATACTCCGAGATCGTGCGCTGGGTCCTGGGTAATTTGATGGAGAAATGGTGAGTCTGGAGCCATGGATGGATGCTACTAGAAACGGCTGTTCTAACAGGTAATTTCAGGGGATCAATCAAGCGGAGACACGTCGCAACGAGTCAGTATAATGTTTTCAAGGAATATGCCTCATGCCTCAATTACTAACATATATATAGAGGCGAACCCTGTCGACACATTACAAGGTCAATTTTCAGGATACGGAAGTACCCACTCCGTTGTCGCTCGTTGTTTAGACAAGCTTGCTATGAAGGAACCTCTCGAGCACTGGTCCAATGAGACCGTGGAGCTTGTGGTTAAGACATTTATCAACGAAAAGTTCCCCACGGTGTATGCTTTGAACAAAATCGATCACCCTGATGCAGATAAGGTCCGATTTCTTGTTACCTATTCTTGGGATCCGCCAGTGCTAACCGAAGCCATAGAATGTGAGCAAGATCGCCAAAATGCAAGATCCCCAGAGCATCGTGCTTTGCTCGGCCATATCAGAAGTCTTCCTCAGACGGTTAGCAAAACAACAATATGTCAAATACGTTGAAGGAAGTGAGTTTGTGGACACGCGGGAAGATTTGATCGAGATGGGCGAACCAGATGGTGGAGGTCTGAAGGAGATGGACGAAAAGTTGAAAACGTGAGTTCGCAAACTCCCTGGCAGATAATGCTCCCTACTAACCAATTTTAACAATAAAGCCGGGTGGAGAACCTGAAAGATATGGTGTTGTATCGATTCGGTTCGACCGGAGTCGTGCAATGTCTTTCTCGTGCTGCTGAGCTACTGGGTCTTGTACCAATCTTCCCCGTGCGAAACCTCCAGACCTTTAGCTCGGGGTCAGGATCAGCGGTATTCCGCGATTGTGTCCTAGTCAAGAAGTAAGTGTCGTGTTGGCTCTTCTGTCCGAGTACCTGCTGACAATAAGCAGAAACAGTACAGTGGGTGATGTAGCCAGAAAGGTCATGGGAGATGTGCCTATTTCCTATATTGAAGGAGTCGGTGGTACTCGAGTATCAGAGGACGACATTGTCGCTGTTGGGAAACACGATGTAAGTATTTATTACTGGTTTCTGTATCAGAAGATCCACTGGACGGACATATTGATACTAATCACCATTTTCTCGCAGATCCTATCATTCAAGGTCGGCCGGTGAAGCAATTACTATATACCTATTCATGAAATACAACAATTTTAGAAGCACGGACACGCGCTCCGATAATGCGGCAATGATCTGCCGGTTTTGAAGTACAGAGTAGATCGCAATACCACTATTTATGAGTGCTAATTCAGCCCAATATGGATCCAAGAGACATGAACTTCCAAGGTTGATAATTAACCGCCCTTCTGAAACCAAAAATTAGGTCAATACTTTGACAATATGTTTTGTCGGGAAATAGTAGTAGGAACTCACTCGAGCTCGCTCGTCATTCATTCCGATGATGGGCTCTGGTGCAGCAGGGTGTTCTCTTTTGGCCTTTGCAGCATGCTTGCTCCCACCTCTTTCTGTTGTCGCTCCAGACTTTGAGTCATCCGCGATCCCTTCATTGGCCTCCCTCTCCTCCAACCCGCTGGCTACTGCTGCGGCTCCTGGATCACTCGTGTCTCCTTTCTTCGCCCGCTGGACAGAACCGTCCTTGATATCGTCACTCCGTCCACTAGACTGTGTGTAACTTTGAGATCGGACGCAGAACCAGGTGGTAGTATCTGATGGCCTCCGATTCAGAGTCCTCAGCTGCCACCGGCAGTGTGGTGCCAGTGCCAGTGGCAGATGTAATCGATTTCCATGGAGATATATATTCCAAAGTCGTAACATTTCGAGTTGAATATTTATTCAGCACGACTCGGACGATCGTGTTGTGCTTAACAGTGCCCAAGTGCTCAACCGTGAAAACCCTGTTCTTAAAAGAAAGAGAGATTTCAATCAAGTTGATTGAACCTTGGGATGTGCATCTAAAGCCGAATTTGTGACTGGCAGATGACAAGCTGGTTATGACGTCAAATACTGTAATAACATCCCAGGGAGGCCAGGACAGGCTGGGAGTTAATATGCATACTGCACACACACAGAAGATTATTTCCTGGACCCATCGCCAGGGACTTAGCGTAGACCAATCATGAAGCGGGTCATTAAAGAGACATTGTAGAATGCACATCCATATTCTACTAAATAATATCACAGGATACGTACTTTCGACGGGGCTCATGGAAAATTATAGCAAAACCCGCCCCACTCGTATTATGGGGCGGGGCAGTAGTTAATAATCAGGTAACTAGCGGTTGGTCTAGTTATGTACTCCGTACATAACTCAGCTCAATTATATACTATCTGAATTCAGTAGTAGATATATAATCGGTTACACAATGAGTTACGCTAGCTGAATATGCGAGACTGCTGACTTCGTACTTCGCCTTGTCCCAACATGTAAAGCTTAGACGGTATACAAAGGCCAGTCGATGGTATGCTAGACCTCATCACAATTCATTCTTTTACCACTTGCCAATAATCTACGCTCCACCTTATCGTTTGCCACAGGCTCTCAGGTGCTTCTGAATAGAGACTTGCAGCCACAAATATGCAATTTACTCTACTCATTTTGGCATTTACTGTTGGTGGTTCGATGGCCGCTCCACAGTTAACCAAGACCCAGAAAGGGAGGCCCAAGCCGCTAGGTATTCTTGTATAACGAATTGCCCAGGAGAATGTGTTTGGGATAGTCTTGAGTGCTACCACGAACCAGAGGTAAGTAACGGAAGTCCAACAAGATATATGACCAGACATATAAGGAGCTAACCAGTTCTCTAATAAAAAGAAATAGGGCTGTCAAAAATGTGGAGTTGATATTCAACGTGAACCTTCGGAAAAAGAACGTTGTCATTTTGAAGATGATCAGAATTGTCTTGAGAAGAGCACAGTTGTAAGTTATGAAACCTATCAAAAATGATGACTGCCCAGTGACCAGCTGACGGGTACTATGTCCTGTAATTCTGCCACCAGAATGAGGATACGATACATCCACCACTATGTTACTTCCAATATAATTTAATTTACCTGCATTCCTCATATTGCCACTGGTACATACTAGTGTCGCTGGAGCCTCCGATGCAGAGTTCGTGTGCCAGCTGAACTGTGGAGACCAATAGGTAGGGTGGGTATGGAGGTGTTGAATGTATTTAATGTACAAGTGAATACCTATTTGAAAAGAGATCAAGACCTATAAATTGAAGAGTAGGATATGATTGAGAACTTGAACTATTTCCAAGGTTTTGATGGGCATTAAAGCATGGACCTAAACATATAACAGTACTATCTGATATGTTCAGGTCCTAATTTGGATTAGCGTTGTGCACCTGCCCGCGCCTCCCGAGTCCGCGGGCGCGCCGATGTTAACACCGCGAAGTGCTATCTTCAAGTTGTTATTGTCACAAAGCAACGCATCATCGAAGAGAAAAACTTGACGAAGGATCTTTGTGATCGAAGCCTTTCATTTTTTTTACCTAAAACCCTACCGAATTCCCCCTCCCCCTTTGGCGCGATGAGGCGGGAATATCTTCCGCTTCAGTCCCTCCCGGCCTGGGCTAGGCTGAATGGGATTGTCACGAATGGCGTTGCTTTTCAGAATCTAAGCTCCTCAGTGAGTGATACCGATAGGGGAAATGCGATCGTGGCAACAGAAGAAACGTCTAGCCATGAATCCGATTCTCTTCCACAGGTTCTCCTCCGAGTCCCGCGAGACCTGGTACTATCATTGGAAACGGTGCAGGACTATTCGAAATCCGATCAAGATTTTCGGGAAGTGCTTGAGGCTTGTGGTGGATTTGGAAGGGTTTGTTTCCTCTTCGTTCCCCATGCAATTGGATGCAACCTGTACTAACAAGCAACAGACGACCAGAGGGGCAATCATGTTATTCCTCTTGGTTCAGATCACACATTCCAGCCCCGACACGAAGCGTCAGGTGGGGATGTCTAGCCCATGGTCTGAGTATATCAAATTCTTTCCACCATCATTCCCGCTGCCTACATGCTATAGTGATGAGGAACAGCAATTGCTGAGGGGAACATCGCTCGCTGCGGTCATCGAGGCCAAGATTTCCACACTAGAGCTGGAATTCAGGCGTTTACGCCAGTGCACGGAGAACATCCCATGGTGTCGACAAGTTTGGTGGGAGGAGGGAACGGGCAGTTTAACCGAGGATGATTGGAAATATGTTGACGCTGCCTATCGGTCGCGTATGGTCGACTTGCCGGGTAGTGGACATGCAATGGTTCCCTGTGTCGACATGGCCAACCATGTCTCTGGATCAGATGTGCGGGCGCTGTATGATGCAGACCCCGAGGGCAATGCAATTTTGCAGCTGCGTTGGGGTAAGACCATGCGCCCGGGAGAAGAGGTGACGATATCGTGAGTTCTTCTACATTGGCACCCGTCTGGCTATTTACTGTTTTGCTTTGACTTGCACAATATGGAGCTTTTCTGATATTGCTGGCTCTATTCTAGTTATGGCGATGAAAAGCCCGCATCTGAGATGATATTCTCCTATGGGTTCCTTGAGAGCGACAGGACCGAAGAAAGCCAAGTGCTCTTGGATATGCGCGTGCCAAAGGATGACCCTTTGGAATTTGCCAAAAACTTCATGTGTAGCGAAACGCCGGGAATCCGTTTGTCGATAGTCTCTGATGCTGAATCATCGAGCCATATATCCTGGGACAGTCCCCTCGTCTGGTTGGCATGTGTGAACGAAGAAGACGGTCTTCATATTAAAATGAGCCAGACTCATGATGGGACGGCAAAGTTGGAAACTACCTGGAAGGAAGAGACCCTCACGTCACCTCATCACCTCCGAGAACTTCTCGCCGCTGATCCATCTTGGGAGATCTTTCAACTCCGAGCTGTTGTGTTGCTGCTGGAAAAGCTCGAGACACAGCTTTCCCATGCCAGAGAAATGAACGAGATTGTGGAAAATATGCACGAGGAAATGATCCAGACACTTTTCCGCCCTGAGATCTTCAGTTTGGTATCTCGATTGAGGAAACTTGAAGGAACGCTGTTCGAAAAAGCCGTCATAGACCTGGAGAAACAGGTGAGTGAATTACTTGCAACATTTCCCAGCCTCCCTTCGAACAGTACTATCCTCTGGTGAATGTTGCGCGCTAACTGCCAAATTTAGAAAACCGAATTGATGAACTCAGAAACGGTCGTTAATTATTTGTTCCAACAGTCTCAATCGGAGGAGGTCGAAGACTTTTCATGACATAACTATGAACACAGAGAGAGGCAAGAAACTTGACAAGAGACGAGAGCATCACAAGGACGATCCCCGCAAGATCTCTCAGGAAGCTAGACTCGCCCTTCAATAGCGTTCATCTAGTTCAAACACTATGTATTCAATACGGAGAAGACACGCCACTAGGACAAGTTTGAGTGAGAACAGGCCCCAATAAAAAGACCTCTCTGCCAATGAGGCGAGGCTAAATGGCGCTATGACGTGGGCCGTGGGTTCTTTGGGCTTTTTTCAATACATAGTCGGCGGGGCCTAGAGAGGACTGATCTACGAAGTACGAAGGACGGAGGTTGGAAGACCTTCACCCCAGCTCCAGCTTCATTTGCGGAGTCTCCAGAGATGCGCAACCCTTGCCAATCCATGGCAAAATATGGTGTGGGGTTCTCCAAGGAAACTTTGGAGATTTATTCCATTCTCTTCCATTCGCACGCTGCTGCAAGCAGCGCATGCATACGCGTATGTAGAACAGGCTCGATCACGACCTGTTTGTGACCGGGGCTCCTTATGAGCTTGAATGGGCTCGGGTGAAACATCGGCAGTGAGAAGTGAACGGAATAGGAAACAGTAAATATTCAAGTTCCAGTTGCTGGACCCTGCAGGAGCGTGAAGAAGGCAAACCCGGCAGCGGCGGATGCGGGCGCAAGTGGAGTCGATGAGCATCAAACACCAACATGAACCGTGGTTCTGGGAGTCTCGCAGTTCTCTCGGTCAAAACTCGCTGTACTTCGTAGCGATCCCTGGAAACTCTCCTAATCATTTCACAACCATTGGCGCCCAGGTTCTCCAGTTCCCCAGTACCCCGGTGCCGTTGCCAACTTGCCATCCTCCACGGGGATTTCACTGCTGAAACAAGATCGGATGATCATCTTGAACACAAACCGGTCGGGGGAGCGGGGGTTCGCCACGATATGCGCCATGCCACAAATGCGACCATTAACCGCTCGCGTTAGTGCCGATGATCGGGGACAGACAGAGGGACAGAGGGGTCTGTGACAAGGACAAGAGGCGTGCCGTGTGTGACACGGAGGTCCGTCTCTAGATCATCCGTTCCCCTTTTTTGGAGTCGCACACGGCGTCATGTTCCTAAGCTTGAGAGAGCAAAGCTGGGGGCAAATGTTGAAATGAATTGAAACTGAACCATGGATTGATGCCGATCGGATGCCTGTGGGTTTTCGTGTGTCCAGAGTCAGACACACTTCTCTGTATGTTCTCTGTATGGGACCGGGGAGGATTTTCGGATGCGGCAGCGCTAGATGGCTATGCGGATCCGAGAGACTCCGGGGGCTGGTTACTTTACCTTTACGAATGACGAAGGGGTTCGATTTATTCCGCGCTGTTCTCGTCTGGCCAGTTGATGGGTAGTCTACGATACCCCGGTGACCACATCGTTGAGGATCAGGATCATATGTAGCCAAGGCGCGCGAGTGTGGAGTCTGGGGACCTCGGGAGATCTATCATGATCATTTGCTGGAGATCTGGAGAAGCAGATGCCTAGTACAGAGAGCATGTGCTCCGTATACTCTAAACTTGGGACAACATACTCGTACAAATCCATGAGAATACGGGGTAGACGGTCCCTCTGGACGGTAGATACCCGGTCGATCACCTCCGAAGCCCATACCCACCATCCGCACTCATACCGATGGGGAAATGATACCAAAAAAAAGGAGACAATTAACCTTTACGTTGACGGAGATTGCCCCCACCACGGAGCAGACGAATCCTGACACTCGTAACCTCACTGGATTGGGCGGTTCGGCGGGTCGGCATCGTCTTTCTCCACGCTAACTGACTCAGCCGTGAATCCCCCCCTCTCCCCTTCGCTATTCTTCTGTCCTTCTGTCCCTGTGAGGCAAATCTCGATTCTACACATCCTATCCTATCCGTCTTGTTCGACTGTCGAATTCGAACCCCCCTCTTACATTCGTCCTATCGCGACACCCGTCCGAACACCACCCAACAACTCTACCGCGGCGGCCGATGTGCCCGTCTGCCCACACACGATGCCTGGTATCCTGCCCATGAAAGTGATCAAGGTCGGTGGCACCGGCACCTCAAGTCGAATCGCCCAAGCCTGTGACCGATGCCGAAGCAAGAAAATCCGCTGCGATGGCGTTCGTCCCTGCTGTACACAATGCGCCAACGTCGGTTTCGAATGTCGAACGAGCGATAAATTGAGCCGCAGGGCTTTCCCTCGTGGTTACACCGAGTCTCTCGAGGAGCGTGTGCGAGCTCTCGAAACAGAAGTCAAGGATTTGAAGGATTTGCTGGATGAAAAGGACGAGAAGATCGACGTGCTGTCCAGGATACATTCCTTTTCGCCTCCGTCACAGAGAGCTGCCTCGGCTCGCTCGCCGACAGCGTCAGCATCAGCATCAGCGCCCACGCCGAATAAATCCCCTAGCTCGGATGCCTCGGAGGGAGTTGTTCATGTCGCACGGACTACTGCACACCCATCTCCCGAGAATCCCTCTACGGCCCTTTCTAGTACCCATGGCTTTGCTGGTATGTTTGAAATAGTTTACGATACTGTCGGAATGAGACCAAGATCTAACATGAGACAGATGTATTTACCAATAAACTTGTCAGCCAAGAGAAGGCGACATCCAAGATTCCCACTCAGACACTAACGAAACTGTCGCCTCCGGTATCTCGGGGATCTTCGGGAGCCGTCAGAACTCCCCCGCGGCTATTGTCCGATCAGCTCATCAATATTTTCTTCCAAGAATGGGCACCGCTTTACCCAGTGGTGCACAGACCGACTATCCTTAAGGCATATGAGCAATATCTGAATAAACCCGACTCTTTGAAACAAGATTTGCCTGGCTTGGCTCAGTTAAATCTGATTTTCGGAATCGCGAATCTCTCGTCCAATGTAAGTCCTGCAAATCTGCACGTCTTAAGAGACGAATGCTAAATAATCACAGTCGAGAACCACTCAAGACCCCATTTTCTTCGAAGAGAACTGGACTAGTACCCTCGATACGTTCATGGGCGAATCATCTATTGGTGCCCTGCAGTGTTTTGTCCTGGCTCAAATGTATTGCATGACAAAGGGTGACTATAAGAGTCTCCTTCGCTATCGTGCTTTGGCTGTGGACATTTGCCATCAGCTGGGGCTGTACGAGTCCCAGCTGAATGTGACATCAAACCGACTTGAAACAGAAACTCGGAAGAAGGTGTTTTGGTGCCAATATGTCTTGGACCGGTATGCATTCGCCTGCAATAAAAGTCATCGATCCTTGCTGACAGTGTTAGATTTTCTTCTGCCTTGACTGGCATGCCCATCCTATTGCGCGAGTCTGATATCCAGACCGAATACCCCGTCGATGTGGATGATGAGAATGTCACAGAATCTGGATTCCTGCCAACCCTCCCTGGCGAATCTACTCGCCTCTCGAGCGCTCTAGCGCTTTTTAATGTGTCGCGTATTCTCACAAAAGCCTTGGAAGACCTTTATCCATCACGATCTAGCTACGACATGTATATGTCGAAGATGCGCGCTGTGTCAGGACAGCTGGACGAGTGGCTCAAAATGCTGCCTGCCCATCTCCGCCTCGAGTTCTCTCAAGATAAGCCTAGCACCAACGTCACAAGCAGCAGGTCTCCTCTATTGGTTAGTACCAGCCTAACTCTCAACTTCCTTTCTATTGGCTTTTGATGCTAACCGCCTCTAGTCGCTCGTTTACTATTTTATCCGATCGTTGATCCACCGCCCTGCTGTGTGCTTCGCGGAGGAGAACTTGCGCTCCCCATCAATTTTGGCCATGTCCGATTCTTCGAAGCATATCATCCAAATTCTGCAGTTACTGGATGAGCGACGACTTTGTCTCTCTGTCAGCATCAACCGGAAGGAATTGGTGTTCCTTTCGGGACTAGGACTGCTATGGCAAACACTCAGCCTGAAACGGGACAGCAAACTGTTGAAAGACAGCCAGAAGCTGCTCGCTAATGTCGTAGAGCAACTCGAGCAGGAATCGCCTGTGGCAGCCTCTGAGTTTACTTCGCTTGCCAGTACCTTGGTCTTCCTCGACACGAAAGCGCGAGGAGTCGCGCAACCTGGCAAGGCTTCCCAAGAAATGGTGGCGCCGACTCAAAAGCCATCCAGGTCACCGAAAAGGCAACTCCAGTATTTGAAGTCTCGTCTCACGTCGAACGTCAATCGTGAGGAATCTCCCAAGCAGGCTGCATCTCGTCGAAACACTATTTCCGGTGCTAGCCCTCCGCTTGGGGCCCAAGCCCTTCGATCTCCGAGCTGGACCAGTCTCCCTCCTCAACAAGATCAGTTCTCTTCGTCTCAATACCCCATCGAGCACGGACGTGCCTCTCTAGATCTTGGATCGGACCCTCGCCTCACATCCTCGACTTTGGGTTATGATTACCAACGGGCGATGTCGACTTCAACCGCATCGGATGTTACTAGTGGCACGAATGGTGCCATCACCATGGCGGATTGGGAATACGTGCTGAGCGATATGGATCGCGGATATTCCAATATTTTCACCGGTATCTACGGAGGAAGAGAATGCGGCGAAGACCCGGGCCCATTCGCCTCAATCACGGCAGAGTACGCGCAAAAACAAAATGACAGTACCCTGTCGATCCCCCAGCCAGTGACGGATGTGCATGACCTGTCTCCTAAGGCATGGTCTTCGAGCAGCGGCGATTTCGCCCCGTGTCAAGACCATGTTGCGCAGAGTGTTTTGAGCTACTCTGGTGAGAGCATGGGAAGTGCCGAGGATGCAAATCTACATCACTTTGGCGATGCTCCGGCACATCCGGATGATCTTGGTCTGATTGACCCCTTCCAGGCTATTGCCATGCCGGTCGAGGGCGAACTTGATGAATTTTCTTTAGTCAATGGCTGGGATCGACGGCTGGCCGTCTGATTTTTTAGGATGCCTCGAAATTGAGTCGTTCTCCTAACGGAGGACAGAATGATCTTCTTCTTTTATGCGATATGATGATACCTTGGTGGAGTTTCAATATCTTCTTTTGGATGGATTTGGAGTTGGCTGCTATCTTATTTCCTTGGACATATATCACCTGAATAGTATTCAAAATGCACATTTTCTTGATACCTAACCATGCTTTTTCCCGCTTACATGACTCCTTCCACCGGACTCACTCCTTCCGCATGCAGCCTCACAAGACACTTCTGAGCAATGAATGATTCAAGTTGCCCAGGTGCACTGAAACACTTCCGGGGCATCCCTAGGAACTATCTCCTGGAGACTCAGGTCATAGACAGGAACGTGGCGGAACATCCGTCACCACGCCGGCCGAACCAGCGGATTGGGGGGGGGGGTGCTACCGAGGCTCTTAATCACCGATCTCACCACTTACGATGAAGACCCAGGAAGCCGTAGAAACCGCCACCCAGAATCTATCCCATCACGCGGCACCCACACCTTTCACGCCACCCCTACTCGTGGCCATGAGGTCTAGTTTCGCTAAATGTGTGGATGTCATGGTCTCAACCATGGACGAACCCCTCCAAATAGGCAGACCTTTACAGACCTGCCAAATGCGCTTCCCCACTTCCCCGGATTCTCGCTCATACGATCAGTCCGTACGGAGATGGCCGCCGGCCGTGGAATAGCACCGACGAGGGGTTCTACAAATGAACGAGTCATCATCTCCCCAATCAGTCCAATCGAACGATTTACCTCCAAGGAGAGCGCCAAGGTCCAAGAAATCAGGAATCCCCAGCTATGCGCAGCCACATGCGTATCGCTACCAAACCTGGTCCTTGGATTTCCTATAGCTGGGTGAGGTATTAAAGGGAAGATCCCGCCTTTTTGACAATCTTTTTCAATTATACACTGTTTATCTTCGCTTTACAATACATCGTTCAGATTAAGATATTGGGTTCAATCTTCCAGACTTGTCTTGATAGACATCCGACATCATGAACTTGAAGAACATGTTCCAAAAACGGCCACAGGATCATGATACCGACCACCAGCCGCCGAGAGAATCTGTCGGGGAATCAGTCTCCACCGTTGATCGCGAGAAAGCCCTTAATAGTAGCGATGTCGTCGATACACCTATCCCACTACTCACCTGGCGCTCCTTGGTGATGGGCCTTTTCGTGTCCATGGGTGGATTTGTGTTCGGCTACGATACTGGCCAAATCTCCGGTTTCCTGGAGATGCCCGACTTCCTTCAACGATTTGGGCAATTGGGATCCGACGGGACATATCACTTTAGCAACGTGCGCTCTGGCCTCATTGTTGGCTTGGTAAGTGTGCTTTGCTTGAAATGACTTGCTAAGAAGAGGCTTGATGCTTACTTTTATGACAGCTTTCCATTGGTACTTTGATTGGGGCTTTAGTCGCTGCACCTATTTCTGATCGTACGGGACGGAAGTGGTCTATCAGTGGTTGGTGTGTCATTCTATGTGCTGGTATCACTGTTCAAATATCGTCTCCTGTCGGGAAGTGGTACCAAGTCGCCCTGGGTCGTTGGACCGCAGGGTTGGGTGTTGGCGCATTATCTTTGCTTGTCCCTATGTATCAAGCAGAGTCTGGCCCTAGACACATCCGAGGATCACTGATCAGGTATGTATAGATCTGACATGTCACTAGCCAGTCTATCTTGCTCACACCATACCAATATAGTACATACCAACTCTTCATCACCTTGGGAATTTTTGTCGCAAACTGCATTAATTTCGGAACCGAAGCTCGCAATGATACCGGCTCATGGCGCATCCCTATGGGTATCACCTATTTATGGGCCCTGATCCTCGGAATCGGCATGGCATTTTTCCCAGAAAGCCCTCGTTATGACTACCGACATGGGAAAGTAGAAAAGGCCATCACCACCCTTTCGAAGATCTACGGAGTACCACGCAACCACCGGGCTATGAAGATCGAATTCGACGAAATCAAGCAAAAGTACGACGAGGAAGTTCGCAATGGCAAAGCCACCTGGGTCCAGCTCTTCAAAGCACCAACAATGGCCAGACGCGTTGCTGTCGGAGTCGCTCTACAAGCGCTACAGCAACTGACTGGCGCCAACTACTTCTTCTACTACGGAACCACCGTTTTCAAGGGCGCTGGTATTCCAAACAGCTACGTCACACAGATGATTCTAGGCGGTGTCAATTTCGGAACTACCTTCCTGGGTCTGTATCTGATTGAGCATTACGGTCGACGTCGGTCTCTGATCGCAGGTGCTCTGTGGATGTTTGTGTGCTTCATGATCTTCGCTTCCGTGGGCCACTTCTCTCTTGATCAACAATTCCCCGAGCGCACCAAGTCAGCCGGTGTAGCCATGGTTGTCTTCGCCTGCCTCTTCATTCTCGGCTTCGCGAGTACATGGGGTCCAATGGTGTGGACGATTATTGCAGAGCTTTATCCCTCGCAGTACCGAGCGCGCGCTATGTCCCTCGCCACGGCATCTAACTGGCTCTGGAATTTCCTTCTGGCCTTCTTCACGCCGTTTATTGTTAGTGCGATCGACTTCCGTTTTGGATACGTCTTTGCTGGATGCCTCTTCCTCGCTGCTGGATTGGTCTATTTCGCTGTTATTGAGGGCCAGGGCCGAACCCTCGAGGAGATTGATACCATGTATCTCATGAAGGTCAAGCCCTGGAAGAGCTCTAAGTTCGAATTCCCGGCTGACCCAAATGTTATGCGTGGGTCTTTTGATAAGGCCTCGGGGGCTGGTTCGGCGGCTCATGTTGAGCCGACTGGTGGTGTCCAAGAGGAGGTGCCTACGATCCTGGAGACTCGTGCCACAGGTGCCGGAGAAGAGTTGTAGTTTTACTTTCCATTTATTTTTTGTTTTATGCACGTTTTGATATGTATTTTTAGTGCTACTAGTATTTTCTATCTCTTTTCATTTTGCCTCGTTTTTTCTAGGTCTTAAGGGAAGACATGGTCTTTTTGGGTGCAGACTTTTAATACAATGATATACGTGTATCTAGTCTTGAGGAAATCTTTGCCAAGTTCGAAGCAGGTTCAGAAATGAGGTCTATTTTCCCTTAAACTCATAACTACGGATCAAATTCCCTAGATTTCAGGTGTTGGCATCTTGATAAGCACACCATCTAAGTAGTCAGTCATATCCTTCACCTCCTCCAACTCACCCACCCACCCAATATACTGATCCGGTCGAAGAACAAGCATTGCACCTCGCGTCCTATCAACTCCCCATTTCTCGTACCCCTCACCTCCACAGTGCGGGTCCCAAGTACAAGAATTATCACACCAAATATCATCGTATCCCCAGCCCATGACAGGGTCGAATGGACGAAAGATTTCCGGGAAATCAAAGAACTCCACCTCCTTCCACGGGGCACTATGTATAGTAACGACCTGGATCTGATCCTTCCTTCCCGGAATAGGGACGTAGCGATGCAAAGGAGAAACCCTCGTCTTATCCTCTGCCGACAAGAACCTACCAAGAGCCTCCACCCGTTTCTTCTGCTCCTCAACCCGAACATCACCAGCCAGAACAATAATTCTGTAGGAACCATCACTTTCGAGCAATCTAGTCGTCCACCTCGAATTACCCTCCGCCTGGTTGCGCAACTTAATCGGCGAAATCCGTTCTCCAGGAATCAAATTCCGCGCAGCCTCAGGACCTTCCTCCTCCGAGACTTTCCAAACAAGCGGACTAGCAGGGTAATAAGTTCTCAAACCGTCCGCGAAATCCATATATTTCTCCACGACATGAACCATTCGATCCGCCTTATCAGGTGCCGCGGGTCCATCTGCACCCGTTGTCTCCGTAAACTCGTCCGACCAGAGTCTATCGAATTCAAGCAACATTTCTGCCAACGGATGTCGCTCGGCATTATACGTATCCAAGATAGCAGGATTCGCCGCACCGACTGCAACCATGGCTAACTTCCATCCAATATTGAACCCGTCCTGCATACTCATATTCATACCCAGTCCTACCTTAGGTGAATGTGTATGGACCGCATCGCCGGCAAGGAAGATACGGTTTCCCTTGTTGAATGCTGGGGCGACGCGCTGACCCACTTGGTATGCGGTCCACCAGTCGCAGATCTGGAAGTCGAAGGTGTAGGGGCTCATTATTGCTTGCACGCGGGATTTGATCATTTCGAGTGTTATTGCTGAGCGGTCGAAACGGTTGGTTGAGGTGCTGTCGACTATTTGGACGGGGACATAGAGTCTAACCAGTCTTCTTTCGCGAGGAATGACTAGGATTGTTCCGGAAGAATGCGTTATTGTTCCCAGGCGACGCATGTCCGCTGGTGAGATGAGATGGACAATATATCAACTAGCTGGGGGGCGTTATCTGATAATGGGGAGGTACCTACGGAAGTTGGAGAGAGGGACAACATCAATGACTCCCCTGCCAACATCATTTATTTTAAGATCTTGGTTTAAATGGACGGCATGGAGATGTAAGATTCGGACTGGACATACCATATGTGCTCTGAGCTTGACCCCTCCAGTGGGATATTCACCTGCTTCCGGGTCCAACTATGAGCGCCATCACAGCCGATAATGAATTTTGCTTTCACGATATCTGTCTTGGTCTGACGGAGTCGACTTTTCTGTATTAGTTCCTCCCAGTCATCAGGTAGTAAGCTCCCTCTACCTTGTCCATTGGCCGGCTGTGATCCAGATCCATCTGTAGAGATATGACCCGGATTCGCCTCTTCATCACTCAAAGTGCGAAGCTTAACTGTGATCGGGTAGGCATCGAGGTCCTTTTCAATTTCCTCATCATATTCAAAAGACTCGGCGATGATTCCCCTCTCCACTTCAAGATCTGAGTATTTGCGAATTGTATCAATGAGGAATCTCTCGATGCGTCCTTGGTTTAGTAGCATGTTGTGATTATTCGACTCGTTGATCTTTGAACTGCAATGAGGACCTTGTCTGGTCAGTTTGCCGGCTTCATCTGGCACCTTTATACTTCATCAGCTAGGTTCTGCATTCCGTGAATCCCTCAGTTATTCAAGTCAATGAAGAATTACAAACCCAAAAATTAGCCTCAACAGCCACATGGCCTTCGTGGATAACACGATGCTGGAACCCCATGCTATCGAATATCTCCAGGGTCCTAGGGCGTAAACCATCGGCCTGGCCAGTGAAGACTTTTGTGCCTCTCTTGTCGATTATTCGAGCTTTTACACCACAAACCGCCATCCAGTATGCCGCCATTAGGCCGGCCGGCCCTGCGCCGATGATGAGCCTGGGACAGTATGAGTTGGATTTTTATCTTTTATTAGATCAACGTGCTTACACATCTGTCTGAGACTCAACAGCTTGGACCTTTTCGCCCGCGATAGTGTGACCCATGATGAAATACAGATATTTACTGACGACAGTATGGAGATGGAATTTTTTTTAAAATGTATATGAATGTTCTGGGTTTCTTTGGCACTACAGTGGGGGTTGTATTCCTTATATTTTGCACCATCCTGGCTATATTCTGCGCGGTATATTAAGAGTGTGTAACCCGTTCTACAGGGTTGACGGTGTTGCATGCTGCCAAATGCCCAATCAGTCCTATCTCTGCATGCTGACTCCCTGGCCCCGCCACCTGATGCAAGTTTTTGTTGAAATAGATGTTCTTTGCATGACTGAGACGAGGCAGGCCGGGGGCGGGGTATGACAAGGGGTAAGGGTATAGGAGGAATCATTTTCTATAATATCCCGTCGCTTATTAGATCTTGAAGAAATCAGATTATTCTCCGGAGTAGTTTAGTCCGTCGATGGATCTTAGTTTCCGAACGGGTATTTTCAAAACCCGGATGAGTCCACTCTTTGCTCCACTTAATGGGTCAGATGAACGAAATGAAGGGCAGTGGTGATTATTATTATGGGCGTCGCGGGTGATTATGAGAGCAGAGATGGATAAATTTGGTCTGGAACCCGAGCGTGGACGGAACCAGTAGGTGCAGAGCCAGCGTTTAACTATTTCGGATGTTTGTATAACCTAGCGGGGCCCGTCTGGATCGGCAGCTGTTCGCCTTACCTGAATCAACCGGCATTGAGGCCCCATCCTAGTCCAACGATTGAGCCAGTGGTTACACGAGGCACGGACGAATCGAGTACGATTGTTCTTCATCTATCAAGCTTACCCCTGCATATAAAGATGCCCACGTACACCAATTGCAGCGAATGGCACGATGGAGGTACAATAATTGAAGTTCAAGTTCTGAGAATCTGATCATCCGAAAATCTGAGTCAGCGTGGGGGCTACGCTGCTTCTGGTACACCGAGCAATGGCAATGGACCTCCCGCAATGCCCGGTGGAGATGCCAGGATTTTCTCTTGGTGATTAATTCCGGCGGCTGCACGCTGCACGCTGCAGCGGATTGACCTGGGGATCGGATCGACCTAATTAGGGAAAACCGAAAGAGATCATCGATATCCGCGTGGCAGTTGGGTATATACGGAGTGCATACTCGGTACAGTAGGATGATGGGAGGTCGGCTACGGCTAATTTGGCTGCAGGTCGGAGCAGGGTCCTCCGGGTGGTTCCCGGTGTGTACGAGTAGAAGCTGGTGGACATGGCAGAACCAACGGTTGGGAAAGCTGGCAGGCCCGGTTCCAGTCTATTGTGGCCCGCGTTGCCATGCTGATTGCACGAATGTTGTGTCGTTGAGGATCTCAGTGCTCCGGAGGGAGTATAGTGCTAGGGAGTACTATACTAGTAATAATAGTAGTAGTAGTAGTAGTACTTTATATGCGAGTAGTGATTTTGATGCCGTGCCCCTCGCTGAGTCAGCTAGTGCATGATGCAACCATTCGAGATAGTCAGAATAGACAGTAGATGGGAATATTGCCTGGTAGATGATAGAGCAGAAGTCAAATGGAAGTACCAGTAAGCACCAATAGGCAGAGGTGACTGGAGTCGGGAAGGAAGAGGAATCCGTCATTGGAGCAGAGTCCCCCTACAGAAGTACCTCCCTCTCTGTACTCTGCTGCACTCTGCTGCTGCTGTTCTGCCCCACCGACATCATACCCCACCAACAAATACATTCCCCCCCTCCTCCTCCTCGCCTCCCACCTTCTCTCTTCCCTCCTCATCTCCCTTTTCTACCCCAATTGTCTTTTTTAAATGTGAGTCTCGGATCCAGCAACTTCAGTTCCTACTGCTCTTGTTACTCTTGCTAATCTATTTGCCCTCCAGAATCTGCCATCATGGGTTACTCTGATCTGGACAAGTTGGCCATCAACACCATCCGTGTTCTCGCGGTATGTTTCCCCCCTCCCATGCTTTCCCGGAAGGTTTTTCATGTGCAATTGGATCCCCTCCGATAAGCACCATGCGCTGGCTGCAACTCTGCTGCTCCTACAAAGCTCTACTAGACCATAACTAACCTGGTTTCACAGGTTGATGCCACCTCCAAGGCCAACTCGGGCCACCCCGGTGCCCCCATGGGCATGGCCCCGGTCTCCCACGTTCTGTTCAACAAGTTCATGAACTTCAACCCCAAGAACCCCGACTGGGCCAACCGTGATCGTTTCGTTCTCTCGTATGTCTAATCGCCTTGATCTCTCATCCCCCCCGAGAGGTCAATCAATTACCAACTCCGCCGCTCCCCGGCGGCTTCCCCCGCTTCTCAAGGCAGGATAGAACGGCCCTAACTAATTTCCATCCAACAGCAACGGCCACGGCTGCATGCTGCAGTATGCTCTGCTGCACCTCTTCGGCTACGCCCTCTCCATGGACGACCTGAAGAGCTTCCGTGTACGTCATCCACATGCATCTTTCCGTGGCGTTGCGCCACCCCACTGGACGTCTTACTGACTCTTGCCTCGCAGCAAATCGACAGCATCTGCCCCGGTCACCCCGAGTCTCACGATACCCCCGGTATTGAGGTTACCACTGGTCCTCTGGGTCAGGGTTTCTCCAACGCTGTTGGTCTGGCCATTGCCCAGGCCCACTCCGCAGGTGTCTACAACAAGTCCGGCTTCGACCTCTTCAACAACTACACTTACACCTTCTTCGGTGATGGCTGCGCTATGGAAGGCATCGCCTCCGAGGCCGCCTCCATGGCTGGTCACCTTAAGCTGGGTAACCTCATTGCCATCTACGACGACAACCACATTTCCATTGGTGAGAATCGATCCGACTACCTCCGCCTACAACGAGATCGAAGCTAACACTATTCCCTAGATGGTGACACCAAGTGCGCCTTCACTGAGGACGTCATGAAGCGCTTCGAGGCCTACGGCTGGCACACCGAGTGGGTCAAGGACGGTGACAACGACCTCCAGGCCATTGAGGATGCTATCCGCAAGTGCCAGCAGGTCACTGACAAGCCCTCCGTTATCAAGCTGACCACCACCATCGGTTTCGGCTCCAAGCTGGCCGGTACTGGCGGTGTTCACGGTAACCCCCTCAAGGCCGATGATGCCCAGCAAGTCAAGGCCCAGTTCGGCTTCGACCCCAACCAGAGCTTCGTCGTCCCCCAGCAGGTCTACGACCTCTACAACCAGCACGCCGCTGATGGTGCTGCCAAGGAGCAGGAGTGGAACCAGCTCTTCCAGAAGTACCAGCAGGCTCACCCCACCGAGGGTGCTGACCTGGCCCGCCGTCTGTCTGGCAAGCTCCCCGAGGGTTGGGAGAAGAGCCTCCCCACCTACAAGTCCACTGACGCCGCTGTTGCTTCTCGCAAGCTGTCCGAGGCCGTCCTGGAGAGCATCCACGATGTCATCCCCGAGCTGCTGTCCGGCTCTGCTGATCTGACTGGCTCCAACAACACCCGCTGGAAGAACGCCGTTGACTTCCAGCCTCCCCAGTATGGCATTGGTGAGTGGTCTGGCCGCTATCTCCGCTACGGTGTTCGTGAGCACGCCATGGCTGCTGTCATGAACGGTCTCGCCGCCTACGGCACCGTCATCCCCGCCGGTGGTACTTTCCTGAACTTCGTCTCCTACGCCGCCGGTGCCGTCCGTCTGTCGGCTCTGTCCCGCGTCCGTGTCATCCACGTCGCTACCCACGACTCCATTGGTCTGGGTGAGGATGGCCCTACTCACCAGCCTATTGAGACCCTGGCTCACTTCCGTGCCCTGCCTAACTGCATGGTCTGGCGCCCGGCCGACGGTAACGAGACCAGCGCCGCCTACTACATGGCTCTGACCTCCAAGCACACTCCCTCCATTCTGGCCCTGACCCGCCAGAACCTGCCCCAGCTGGAGCTGTCCACCATCGAGAATGGTATCAAGGGTGGTTACGTCGCCGTCGACACCCCCAACGCTGCCGTCACCCTCATCTCCACCGGTTCCGAGGTCAGCATCTGTATCGAGGCTGCTGAGTACCTCCAGAAGAACCACGGCGTTGCTGCCCGTGTTGTCTCCGTTCCTTGCTTCGAGGTCTTCGATTCTCAGGACAAGGCCTACCGCCTCCAGGTTCTGCCCGACGGCATCCCCGTTCTGTCCGTCGAGGCCTGCTCCACCATGGGTTGGGAGCGTTACTCTCACGAGCAGTTCGGTCTCAACCGCTTCGGTGCCTCCGGCCCCTACAAGCAGGTTTACGAGGTATGTGTTTTAGAAGCCCTCTATATCTGGCATTTGATACTAACTCTTCACAGAAATTCGAGTTCACCCCCGCTGGTATCTCCAAGCGCGCTATTGCCACTATTGACTTCTACAAGGGCCACACCGTGCGCTCTCCCATCAACCGTGCTTTCCAGCAGATTCTGTAAGGAACGAGATATGTCAAAATGTTTTTGCTTTTTAGTCAAGGTGCGACAGCCCTTAGACACGATATTTCAAGAAGACAATAGAGCGATGTTTGTCACAGTTCATTCTCGTATGCAATTGTAGTTGTGCACTTTGCACCTGTAGGATCGATCTATATTCACGTGGGCACTGGAGCTTAACTTTCGGCAATACATTCTAGCACTGTTCCTTCTGCAGCGCAAGAACATTTCTCAGCATGGCTTCTTTCTTCGCCCGTGTCTCAGCCGTCGTCGAAGGACCATACGCCTCCTCCGTCTGACGAACCACCTCCGCTCTCCATTTCAACTTCTCCTTCTCCTTCTCCAAAACATTCCCATCGACCCCAGCCTGCTGTCTCTCCGCCTCAGTAAGAATATCAACCTGCCCCAACTGACCCCAAACACCCTGCACAGTCGGCGCCAACTTCTGCAAAAAGGCGCCAATCCCACCCTCCCCACCACCAGCATGATAGCTCTCAAAAATACCACTCCCAGCCCATCGCGGCCCCAAACTAGAAGTAACAATCGAGTCCAAATCCCGCGCTGAAACAACCCCTTCGCCAACCAAATACGAAGCTTCCCGCAACAGCGCAAAGGCAAGTCTATTCCCCACGAACCCGGGGATCTCCTTGCGCAGAATAACAGGTCGGTAGTGCTGCACGAATTGGCCCGTGTCACCCTTCATCTCCTCTCTTTCTAGTTCTGAAGAAACAGCAGCAGCAGCAGCAGCAGAAGAAGAACCAGGCAGAGTCTTCGACGGACCAGGCGTATTCTCAAAATAGGTTCTCACAAAATCCACCCGCTCCGACCTCGTCACTGGACTAGGAACAATTTCCACCAGCGGCATGATATGCGGTGGATTAAACGGGTGCGCAACGAGTAATCTCTCCGCAACCTCAGCCGGGCACTTCTCCGCCTGAGCCGAGGGTAAGATTCCCGAAGAACTACTCCAAAGATGCGCATTGGCGGCTGCGTACTGAGCAACCTCGGTCCAGAGCGCTTGTTTCGAGTCTGTCTTTTCGGGACTTTGTTCTTGGATGATGGTTGCTTTTTCGACGGCGGCGGCGAGGGTAGGTGCTATGACTAGTCGGGATGTTGATATTAGGTGTGTTATTGGGTCTTCCGAGCCGTCTACTCCGGTAGTAGTAGTAGGATCTAGGAAGGCGGGGAGTTGACTGCGGAGTTGTGAATCGAAGTCTGGGCGTGGGTCGTAGATTGTTACTCGTGTGTCGGGTCGGCGGAGGTGCATGGCTACCATTGATAGACCGATTGTTCCTGCGCCTAAGATGGCGATGTGGTGCGTGTATTCCGGCATGACTGGGGGTCCACTGGTGCTGTTAGGAATTAAGAAGTTGGTGTAAAAGGGAAGAACGAAGTTTGGGGTCCATGGGGTTCAGTTCAGGGCGGGGAATGCGGGGATCCGAGGTTGTCCCAATCTGGAAGTATACCATCCACACGCAATATTGCCAGCCTCCAACCACAGAGATATGCTAGTGAGTATGCTCTGAGACGTATCAGACTTTCTAGATTTGACTGTAGCTGAAGATATATGTGCGGGTTAATATCGCTGAGCGTCCTGATACTACTAGTCGCATATAGAGAGAGAGAGGTGAGAGCCAGAGAGATTCCATGGATTATAGTACTCAAATTTCGGATGAAGAGGCACTAATATTACTACTATTCCAAGGTCAGTAGGAACAAGTACCTGATAGGGCCCATCAGCACGACCTCGCTACCAGTGCCTCCGAAAGCACCCAAATTCGAGTTATCATTGATACACTACACAAACACAATATGGAGAACGAAATTCATTCATCATGATATAATTCATAACTCTAACTTTTCAGAGCAAGCCCATCTAAAGGAGACCATTTAGTTGTTCAGAGCCTTGCGAGCGAAGTTAGGCAGGACAAAGCTGGCGCGGTGGATCTCCTTGTTGTAGTAGCGGCACAGACGCTCCTCCTCCTCGGGGGACCAGGAGCGGAGGGGCTCCTTGACGTTGCGGGTGGCGTCCTTGCAGCAGACCATGAAGCCGATCTGGCCGGAGGGGTAGGTGGGGATGGTGGTGTAGGCGTACTCGGCGATAGGGAAGACCTCGTTGCAGGACTTCTTCAGGTCGGCGATGAGAGAGAGGTGGAGCCATTGGTTCTCGGCTGTGTAGAAGAAGGCACAGTTCCGCGAAACCGAGCCCAAAGCGGGTTGGTTGCGGTGGTGGTGCGAGAAGGTTAGCCTGGGTTCTTTGTGGGGTGGGAATAATAAAAGAAGCAGAGATAGAAAGCAGATTGCAAAAGAACATGCAAAATAGAGAAAAATAGAGAAGAAGAAGAAGAGAGACAGGAGAACGCATTGAAGAATTGGGGCAGTGGAAAGAATGGGGATAGAAGATGGGTAATATGTAACGAAACAATGCAAAGGAAAGGCAACGAACAACCTTGGGTGGTGATGACACCGCCATCGCGGAGGGCATCGTTGAGAAGCTCGAAGTAGGGCTTCTGGAAGAGAGACTCGGCGGGACCCTCGGGGTCGGAGGAGTCGGTGATGATAACATCGAACTCGTTCTTGTGGGTCTTGAGGAACTCGAAACCGTCACCGACGTACTCGTGGGCGTTGGGGTGCTCGAAGCCGACGGCCATGCCGGGCAGGTACTTCTTGGAGAGACGGATGACAGCCTCATCAATGTCGCAAAGAGTGGCGGACTTGACGGACTCGTGCTTAACGACCTCGCGCAGGACACCACCGTCACCACCGCCGATGACGAGAACCTTCTCGGGGTTGGGGTGGGAGTTCAGGGCCAGGTGGGCGATCATCTCCTGGTAAGAGAACTCATCGCGCTCGGTGCACTGGATGACGTTGTCCAGAACGAGGACGGTGCCGTAGTCGCTGGAGTCGAAGATCAGGACGTCCTGGTACTTGGACTTCTCGTGGTGCAGGATACGGTCAACCTTGAGGCTCATGGCCTGGCCGGGCCACATGCCGGACTTCTCGGAGAACCAGCCATCTATAGCCAGGGAAAGAATTGGAGGTCAGTAAGCTATTCAATTGATCGAGGTGAGGTGTATAGGTCCTCAGAGGGGCAAGGTGGGATGAAGATGCGGATGGTGGGGTAGCAGCAGGTAAGATCAATAGATCAATTCGGAGTTTCGAAAGGAGATATGAGATATAACATACCCTGGATAGTGGGGTGAGTGATCTCGCTCATTATGAAGGATGAAGAAAAACGACGAGGGAGGGATCTAGAGAGACGTAAAGGTAAAGATAGAGAGGGAAGAAGAAGTGAACGTAACATGCGAAGAAAAGAAGGGCCTGGCGGAAGTTTGGCTGTTTTGGGCCGCGAATATTTTTTTGCACTGGTTTGAGTGGGGCAACTTCTCACTTGTTTGACCTGAAGAGGCCAACCATCGAGCTATCAGCTAACAGAAATTGGCTTTCGGACGGGTTGACCAGTTGACCAGTTGGTGCTAGCCCAGTTGGCCATTTCTGCCCAGTCCAGTCCAGTCCAGTCCAGTTGGTGCGCTGCCTTCCGGGAGTGGAGTTGAGGCATTTCGGCCAATCGATCTCCCTCAAATCCCGCTGACCTTCACATTTACCTCCAATACACACCTAAATTCTACACAAACACTCAATGGACAAAGGAAAAGCTAAGTGGTTGATTGCTTTCTACTGTACAAATGATACAGCTGCGCCGGACTCTACCGCGCGACTTCCGACTTCCGACTTCCGACTTCCGGTATAACCCAATAATTCCATTCATTTCCCAGGCATCCCCTCAATTTCCATTGTAACGCATAAAAGAAGACGAATTTACTCAGAGTCACCCTCAAGCATGCGGCCGGGCTTGGACTGCAGGTAGTGGTTGCTGCGGATACAGTCAGTATAACATACTACAACATTTTCACGGCCCCCCTCCTGTGAGATATATCTTACCGCTCAACGGCCCAGTTCAGGGCAGCGTAGGCAATGACGAAGGGAGGAACAACGTAGAGGACCTGTCCGCGGAAACGACGGAAAGTGTTGAAGATGGCGGCGTGGAAAGCACCGGCGAAGGGGCGCTGACGGTTGGAGGAGAGGGCATAGGTGGCGATGCGCTGGGGGGTAGGGCAGCCTGAAGAGGTCGTGGGTCAGTATTGACGAGTTCAATTTGCGATTGGATCAGTCGATCAGTCGGTTAATCGATCGATCCAGTCCCCATCCCGTCATCTATATCGGGGAATGGTCGTGGTGGTGATCGCATCTCGTGGTTGCGGGATCGGGGATTCAAGGGAAAGTGACTGCGAACGTACCGAACTCGCCCCAGGTGCCAATGTAACTATTCGATATGGTTAGCATATATTCATATATGATCTTTTTGGCAAGAGCTAGTCGCGTGAAGACAGAGTCTCCCTTCTCTAAGGCCAGCGGGTGCGTCCGGGCGGCACACACATCCCCAGCTGCCAGGGGACTCGGGGGCGAATTTAGGGGACTCACTGGCCGGTCTTAGGATTGACGGAACCACCCATAGTGAAATAGGAATATCGCGCGAAGAGAAGGTGGTGAGGAGAGAGGAGAGAGGTGGTGGATAGAGGTTGAAAAAGGATAGCAGGACAGGATAGGCTCGGGTGAAGTTGGGGGGAGGCCTGGGACTGCCACACTAAACCCAATCGGGTTCGGCCATCCAACTTCGTCTTTTCTGGGCAGCTCAACTACCACCTCACTCACCTCCATCCCCCCCCCCCCTCTATTCTCCCCCCATCGCCATGGCCAACGCCCTCTATAACATTTACCGGCTGGCTGGCCCTGTCGCCGCCGGTGCAATTCTTTGGAACTCCTCCATCTACGATGTCCGTGGAGGCACTCGCGCCGTCATCTTCGATCGCTTGTCCGGTGTCCAGGATACCGTTGTCAACGAAGGCACCCACTTCTTGATTCCCTGGCTGCAGCGGGCTATTGTCTACGACGTGCGCACGAAGCCCCGCAACATCTCCACAACAACCGGAAGTAAGGATTTGCAGATGGTCAGCTTGACGCTGCGTGTGCTGCACCGTCCGGAGGTGCCGAAGCTGCCGCAGATCTACCAGGTATGATGAGCTGAACCACCACCCCCGATCTAAGCATCGCGGCATCTATCACAGTATCTAACATAGCACCCATCCGAATAGTCATACGGTACCGATTACGATGAGCGTGTTCTCCCCTCCATCGGTAACGAAGTCCTCAAGGCCATCGTCGCCCAGTTCGACGCCGCCGAGCTTATCACACAACGTGAAGCCGTCTCCAACCGTATCCGTACCGACCTTCTCAAGCGCGCCGGCCAGTTCAACATCGCTCTGGAGGATGTCTCCATCACCCACATGACCTTCGGAAAGGAGTTCACCCGCGCCGTCGAGCAGAAGCAGATCGCCCAGCAGGATGCTGAGCGGGCACGATTCATTGTTGAGCGTGCCGAGCAGGAGCGTCAAGCCAACGTTATCCGCGCTGAGGGTGAAGCCGAGAGTGCCGACATTATCAGCAAGGCCGTCGCTAAGGCCGGTACTGGTCTGATCGAGATCCGCCGCATCGACGCTAGCCGTGAGATCGCCCAGACTCTGGCCAACAACCCCAACGTCACATATCTGCCTGGCGGCGAGGGCAAGGAGGGCGGCAAGAGCACTAGCCTTCTCCTGGGTCTCCGGAGCTGAAAAGAGCAATAGGGCCTGGATGAGGAGGAATTAAGGATTTGAAGGGCGGTGTTTGGCGGCGCCCCGTTTTTTTTTCTCGTTTTTGTTCACTCGAGAACTGTACCATTTAATCGCCAATCCGCGTGACCGAGGGGTATCTTCGAGCTTTGCATGTTCCCTGCGGCGCGACAGATGGGCTATGACTGTCCATCTTGATTTTTTTCTGAACTGTAGCAATACCAATACCTCTACTCCATATCGGAACGATATCATTGATACTCTACATTCAATGTAGTCATATATTCATGATGTGATACCTAGTAGTACTAGTATATGCTAGTCCTCCGCCTTAGAGCCGGCGGTATAGATGTAACTGGAATCGCATATCTTCCAAACCCGCACCCTCCCCAACCTTATACCGCAATCGCTCAGCATCACGTCTCCACCACCGCGAATCTTCCGTATAAACCCTCTCCCACTTCCCCTCTGCCACTGAGAGCAGCGTATGATCCAGAAGGAACTTCATGGGGTAATTCCTCTCCACCGGAGCCCCATTTTCATCCTTACCCATCTTCAGAGTCGAGTAACTACCCGGACTATCAACCACCAACAGTACCGCATTCGAAGGAAGAATTTCCGTCATGCGAAGTAAAAACCCCGTCGTCTTGGCCATGGAAGTAGAGAACAGCTCATTCAGCGTAAACATAAGCGTTACGAGAAGAGAAGATGAGCCCGTATCCAAAAGCACATCTTTCAACTCATCCTCCGAAACACTCAGAACATCATCTTTTCGAAAGGAGACGGAAAGCCCTCCACCATTATCCCCTTCTCCTTCAGACGGAACAAGAGGCGGCTGATACTCGGAACTTCGCAGTTTGTACACAGCATCGGACTTAATAGTCCTCTCCAATCGCTGAACAACACTCGACCAATCCGCAATATCAACCGCCGCAACCGAAAGTCCCGTCGTCGATAGAGAAGAAGAAGAGGCAGCCTTAGCATCAACCTCATTCTTCTCCCCATTCTCCGAGTCATCCAAAGAAAGCGACCCCAGCTTCAATCCCTGATCCCCTTCCAACTCCGAGTCCACCCCCTTCTGGCCAAGACTTCTCCAAGCAGCAGCAAGCGCAACAATCTCCGCCCCAGCTCCACCACCAACACAAACGACTCTCGTCCGATCATTCCCAGATATTAAATCATGTTTCTTTCCCACATTCCCATTCCCATCCCCCATCCACCTCAACACAGCTCTAAAAAGACCCGCATACCCCAACGCGCGCGCCGCGCTCCACCGCAACGCATAAGCGCGCAACAAGTCCTCGCCCGCATCCGTGAACGCGGAATCAAAGTCACGCTGGTAGAGGTGTGTCTTTATCGTCTGGACGAGTGTTTTTATGTCCAGTGGTTCTTCGATTGTGGGGTCGTTGCGGTCTTCTTCGGGGTTATCTTGCGATGCGCTTGCGGGAGCGGGAGCGGGGTTGGATGGGAGGAGGGCGGTTTTGAAGACGTCTAGGACGAGTTGTTGTAAGGGGATTGGGATTGTGGCGTTGAAGTTGAGTGAGGACTTGGTTGATTGGAGGTTTCGTCTGTCATTGCTCGGTTTACGGGCAGGATGTTTTGACGGTTGGCGGGTTCGTTGTGATTGTGATTGGGATTGAGATTTTGCTTTTGAGCCTTTTCGGCGGTCGGATTGTCCTGGTGGCATGTTTTGTCTTCAAGTTCGTGGGATGTATATATATATATATATACTATGTTCAATGGCTGTTGGAAATCTCTAGAAGAGCTGAAGATGGTGGGGAGTGAAGTGGGGGTGGAAGATGATGAGGTCAAACTATGGAAATGCTGGGACGGAAACTTTTTTGCTTATCAGAGCTTATCGGGTCAAATTGCTACATCAGGTAGGGCACCCAGTACGCCAAGGACTAAATACACACCCACGCCGAGAAAATTGAATAGAATCATGGAAATATATGAAAAAAGAGGTCCCCTCCAAGATCGGGGATTAAGAATGTTATTTCAGGCTACCCGCCATAGAGAGAAAAGAAAGGTAGATAAAGTGAGAAAATAAAATGAGAGGTCCGCAATGGGACAGCGATCGTAGAGAAGGTCAATGAAGCCGTGCGTTAACTCACGCCGGGGACATGAACGAGAGACAGGAAGATGACAGCACGTCGTACTCAGGCAACAGGTAACAAAGTGCCTGGGGGTAAAGAGATTCGTAATAAGAAAGTCTGTCATGAGACAAGAGAGGGAGGGAAGGAGGGAAGGAGGGAAGGAAGGGCAGAAACAACCGCCAAACAGACAAGAATGAACAATCAAGGTCAAAAGAAGAAGAATGAACAGGAAGTCCGGTGCCAGATATGTACAACGCAGTCGGAAAGAACGCTTGGGCAACCGGATGGGGAAGAGAAGGTAGGTGGGATGAGATGCGAGAGAGAAAAGCAGATAACTCAGACAGGATATCGCTATGCCGAGATTGCGCCAGGAAATCAAATTAAATGCATTGGGATCAAAGAGTAGACAGACATTGGTCAAGGATGTTCAGAGGGAGTCTCCGCCTCGGTGATTGTGCTTGTCTTCTCTTTGTCCTTCAGTTTCCAGAAATGCATCAGTCTGCTTAGACGGCGGCCCTTCTTCCTGCTTTTGTCGGGCGAGTCCCCAGGAGGCTTCTCTTCTTGATACAACTTGCTCCGCTCTGAGTGCGGGCCGCCAACCAACTTGGACAGACTAGCAAGGCTAGACCTCTTCGATGCGTTGGCCTGACTGCTACGTCGGTTGACCGCGGCGGAGAAGGATGCGGCTCGGTCAGTCGATAGGCGAGCTCGGGGGAAGAATGAAGCAGAAAAGCGATTCATGGTGTTGGTCATTGTCGATGCACTACTCGTCAGAGATGGAACATCTTCGACTGAGGCATGATTATAGTAATCAGAAGGAAGGTGGTGGTATGAATGGCTCGAGAAATAACGGTCGTTGAACAATCGTGGCGCATCGGGTGATGGAAACGACGAATCCGAGGGCGAAACTCCGGCAGAAAGAGACAACGGGGGAATATTAGGTTGAAGTTCGTGGGGAGAAGTAGCTGGACGCTTATCAACAGCTAAGAAACCAGGCGATACATCGGGACTTGGAGGTCCCGGTGCTCTGGCCACGGAATCCTCTGACCTGAGGATTTCCACAGGGCTGCGAGGCGGCCTCCCGAAAGGATTGGCACTGTGCGAAGGTTGTCTGGCTTTCTGGTCTGTTGGCGCAAAAGCCGGGGGAGAATTGTACGCCTTATCCGGCGCCTGGATTCCAAGGCCCTGATGCCGAGGGGTTCTAGGCTTGGGCGTAGGCTCAACTGTGGTTTCAGGCAAGGGTTCGGCAATGGGTGCAGGTACGTTTGCGGGGGCGGGGGTTGTCTCAGTTGTAGATTCTGGCGCCCGAGTCAGAGTGTCGCTGGTATCATCGCTTTTGACGGATTGGATATCTTCCTCCGAAGTAGATGAAAACGCAGCTGCGATCTGACTCGAAACAAGTTCGCTCCTGGGTGACTGATTGGCAGCCAAAAATTCATCCTCTTCTTCCTCGTAAAAAACATCTGGGGTTTCGACGCCAGTAGCGCCGCCTAGGCGGATGGGACCTAAAGAACTGCGATCGAATGGAGTCATAATAGGTGCACTCTCGGTGCGGCGATGGTATCGCATTTCCGGACCAACAAATTCACCGCGTCGTCCACCACTATACATGCGCTGAGATGCCACAGTGAACTTGCTCAAGTTTCCTTTTGCTGGTCGCATATCGGGGGTGTTAAACGGTCCAAGTGCAGCATCAAGGTCGATAATTGGGCTACTCAAGACTTCATCTTGCGCAGTCTGTTCGTAGAAGCTTCGGGGTTTCCACGCTGATTCGAGGGAAACGGTGGGGACAGGTGGTATATCTTTATCACGTTCCTCGGCCGAAACTGGGGCTTCGGTGCTGGTGGGGGTTCGAAGAACGACAACGTCGTCGTTATCGAAATCAACTTCCATGAAGGACCCGACTTCTGAATTGGTTCGAGTGAGTGCAGGAGGGCGCGGCGCTTTCTTTTCCTTCCGTTCGGGACTCTCCGACTTCTCGGCCTCTGGCTTGGCATGGCGTTTGCCCTTGCTCCGGCCTAGAAGGGAGCCAGCCCAGTGACGAACACGCTTCTGCTTCTTCTTTTTAGATCGCAATTTTTTCGTCGCATTGGGATCGTCTCCTTCGTCTTCTGTGTCGCTAGGAGATTCGGATCCATCATCGGAGAATGAGGGGCGAGATGTGTCAGTCGAGTGCGCATCGGTTTCAGTATTTACGTGAGTATTAATATGCCGAGCAGATACACTCTTGCGAGCACGAGTGTGTCCAGTGGATTTCGAACGTTTAATTGCAGCAACATCCGAGGTATTCTGGCTCTGCATCAAATCGAAAGCTAGCGAAGCGTCGGCGGTTTTCGGCCTCGGCTTGGTCGTGCGCTTCCGGACCGGGGCCTGCTCTATAGGCCCAGGATTATCCGAAGGTTGAAGAGGAACATCTGCTGGAATTCGAGAAGCTTCCTGGGATGCTGCTGAACCAGGTCGGCCAATTTCAGGATCTTCGGTCTTCGGAGCAGGCTGAATGTGAATGGTGCTAGGAATAGGAGGAACAGGAGGAATAGACGAGACAGGGGGGGAATTGGGGAGATGCTGGAGGCGTTGGGCGGCCAATGCTCGTCGCCGAATAAGAGAGCGGGCGTTGAATATCTTCATGGCTAGAGTCAAAGGTGCGGTCGCCAGGGGTAGTCGGAGCACTTGGAGCACCCGGGTTGGACCCCAAGGCCTTTTGGATGGCGTTCAGGTCGACGCCAGAGACCGCGGCCGAGCGACGATGGGCATGATGCCGTCGCCCAGGGCCTCTGCCAGGTGGAGGGCCTGACGGGACAGCGGGCTGTGGTGTCGGAGACGGAGGTTCATCCCGCTTCTCGGCAGCAACCCCTGTATCTGGTGTCACCAATTGATCGCCTCCCACGAATTCACTCGGTCGTCGTCGGTGACCCCCACCACGAGGATTCGGATGGGGCGCGGGTGAAGGCGACGGTTGTAGTGACTTACCCACGCCGGGGTTGAAGGAAAAGGCCGGAAGAGCGGGCGGCGTTCGACGGTCGGTCTCCTGGTCGGTAGCGTCCGGATCTCGAGCAGGAAAGACGAAAGGCGGATTCGGCAACGGAGGCATGGTCAAGCGACGGGTGGCGATGGTGTCTGGTTGAGGAGAAGAATCGAAATGCTGTGCAAAGCCCGCTCGAGGCTGCGGGGGAAGAGAAATTGAAGCCATCAATGCTGTGTGCAGTATAAAAGAATTTGAACAAGAAAGCGGAAAAGAAGAAGCGAATCGAAAGTAAATAAGCGGTCGACAAGATCCAGATGGACACCAAGACCTCCAGACCGTTTTGACTTCCCTGCGACTGGAAAGTCCAAAGAATCTGGAGGTCAGATTTAATTACCTCGAACGAGGGACATGGGATCTTTCCGCGCCAGGCAGAGATGGTGTAAAATCAGGGCGAAAGCTGAAGCGGAGGGGATTTAAGGAATGGACGGCCACGACGGAGGCCAAGGAGGATGGTGGGGGGGGTGAGGTGGTGAGGGTGGTGGGTGGAGGGCGAGTAGAGTCGTAGAAGTGAAGATGTGAAAGGGAAAAGAGGAAGGCAAAGCAGAACAAGAACAACACTGGAGAAGGAGAAGGAGAAGGAGGGAGAGGGGGTAATACGGGTACAGTGTATTATTACCCGCCCCAGCCAATTGTGATGGGGCAATACCAAGATACCCTCAAATACGGGAGATTGGCCCTATCTAGCGTACACTAGTTCACTAGTACAACTCCTGCACTCCTACACTCCTACACTCCTACACTACTGCACAGCAGAGAAGGGGGACCTGTTCTTGTCTAGTTCCACCCTTGACTCGGCCAAAAGGACTACGATTGGCATAGTCATACTTAACCATATTTTACCAGCATTCCAACGCAAGCCACACAAGGGCCCAGATCGGGCTGTCAGAAAAGAACCTTTGGAGAACAATTCCTCAAGAATGTACGGTCTGCGGAGTACACCGTATGCTTGGTTCTTGTCAGTGAACAGTGAACGTCATGACTTGAGTTGCCACTAGTCAAACCCAAGCAATTCGTGTTCGGACTCCTACTCGTACTAACTCCTTAGCAACCCTGGGGCCGCCCTCCGTACTCCGTACGCCCTCCGTACACACAGGATCCTGGGGTCCAAGCTGACGTGCCAATGAACATGCGCACGCATCCGGAGAAAAAGTGGGCTACAGGCACCAATGAGTCTAAACTCGGCATAACCTGTCGGGCAAATCTCGCTTGGTGTGGTGGGTCTCTCAAGGACGCCACGCTGGGGATGCAAAAGCCAAAGAGACAGGGAAGAACATGCAAGTCACTGTGGAGGGGAGGGAAACTACGATACACACTAATCCTCTCGACTCCTCTCTCCAACTGAACTGTCATCGTCAGAATACCAGTTTCTTTGCGATCATGGTGGGAATTAGCAAGCCCATTGAGTCCACAGGTGGGGAGATGACCACCATCCTCCATCACCCGGGAGATTGCCAGGTTGCCTTTTCTCGCAGGCAGACTCCTTTGTGTCTGGCTTGGCAAAACCCAGTCCAATCGGATATAAATAGGCGGCCATCTTGAGCGCCAACTTGACCAAGGATGGAGTGGGGGCAGAGGGGGCAGAGGGGGCAGAGGGGCCAACTGAGATCATGTTCATGTTCATGGCAGCTGAAGCACTCCCTGCGCGCCATCGGGCCAAGGCACTGAAACAATGAAACCCTCACTCTCACCCCCTGGCGTCCGAGGGGAACGAGTGCATTGACAAGGGGCCAATGACAGGAGGGTCCGCCATGCAAATTGCATGTGGGTTTGCCCGTTCAGCCAAGTTCGACGTGGGGCCGATCGGCGTGAGGCCAATTGGGGCGGCAACGGGAGATCCGGCGTGCAGCAATAGCCTGGGTCCGATTCAATATTCAATCTCGGAGGTCGAATATTGCATCAATGGTGTCCATTGTCCCATTTTGTGGCATTCTCGTGTGGCTTGAGGGTTGCATCATTGTGGCGATGCAAATGATACTCGTCGTGAAAATCAAGACTGCCCCTATTCACCGGCATCTACAAATGTTATACGTATGCATATAGGTATACACAGTAAGTATCAACAGATGTACTGTAAGTAAGTACAATACGGGAGATGAAACTCCAGCGATACGCGTGTACACTGCCAAATTCTGGTGGATCTGATTCGCGGACCATAATGCAATCGCCACTCGCAATCATTCCAATTCTCGTTTGACAGTTTTGGCTTTGTCAATCAACATCTTTGAAACTTGAGAATCTAATTCAAGTCTCGATTTCAATCGCAACTCGGAGTTGACGGATGTCCTCCGTGTCCGACAGTTCCTCCGGGATGCCGAACTGGACCATGGATTGTCGCCCGAGGGGTCCACGGACAGTTCTGTGGAGTGTAGCCCTGTCCAAGCAATCCGACCGATCGGTCAAATCCGTTTTCCACGATTCGGTCGATCGGGGAGTAGTCTTTTTTTGGTTCTTCCGGAGAGTTTATCGCACAGCTGGCCCCTTTAGGAAGGCGACCACTGTCAAACTTTTACTTCTCCCGGGCCGGCTACAAATGTCAGTATGCTATGCAATGCAGGCAGCACACATAATGAATCCTAGATAAAATTCTACACGAAGTAAGCTGCAATCCCTGGATGAAGGATTGTGGAGACGCCAGGGTGAATTAACGTCGTGGTCAGGGCTCTCCCTAGGGGATGCCCTTGAAACACCGGACTCTTGGCGTCCGACTATAGTCACTGGCAATTATGTTCTCCAGATCCTACACAGCTCATGATCAGCATCAAGGGTAGCAAAAGAAATGGCAAAGTCTAGATTGATCTACTGGTCGCGATTGAAATTTGTTTTCTTTCTTGGCAATTCTAGAACCGTGAGATCTTTCCGATCCGTACCTTTCGTACTGACCCTTGTACAGCATGTCGGCACTCTTGTTTCACATTATGCAGGAGACCTTTTTGGACAGTACTCGGAAGTTCATCTTGATAACGTCTCTGGGCAAAGGCTGGGCACCCTGGGGCAGTCGCAAACTACGAGCCTACGATTACCGACCTTAGCTAGAACTTAATTAATCCAAGTTTTGTGCGTGCCCAGGTGTGTGGGTAGTACAGAATACTAGTAGTAGTAACTATATATTAACGTCTTGCCTAGGTATTGAAATAGCCCTTTATATAGTACTACTAGGTAGTAGTTCCCAGCCAAAATCTTACAAGCCCTCCCACATTGAATAAATACAATGGACCCAAACACGGTATATACATACCTACTGAGCATTAGGGCATTTGCTAGTTGCTGCAGGAGAAAGCAGGAATCCAAGATGTTCTTATAGGAATTGTGGATGTGTTACCCATCAGTTGCACTCGGCCGGAAGGATGATGAAAGCCGGTCATCGGATTCTGGCCATTTCGTTCTGGTCTGCAGATGCCTCTAAAGGCACGTGGGGGTGAGCTCGCAAAAAGAAAAGAAGAAAAGGAAAAAGGAAAAAAAATTAAGAAAAAAAAGAACATGAAGTAGCCCCATTCGCAATTTCGCGGTTAATTTCTAGATGGGTGTTGCGAGCATACTCCGAAGGGACGATCTCGGCCCGGTATCCTCGCACGCCAGGGGATGGATAAGCTTCGACGGTCTAGATGTCTAATCCTGCAGCGGAGACCCATCAGAGTCCTGCTTCAGATATAGGTCGTTCTGGAAAGGATCGTAGAGATTCCCAGTTTAGTCTGCTCCAGAGTGAAACATTAGGAGGCATGCTTAGTATCTCAAACAGCTATACCTCGAGACGAGCCAGCTTCTCCATCAACCGGGTCTTCCTATCTATGCTTAGAGATGAGCATGTTCATGAAACGGCAAAATGAGGCAATCCTGTCGAAAAACAGAGCAGAGGTGCTTGACGACCACACGGAAAGGCAGGAGTGAATCCGCGTGAATTAGCCGATAGGCTGGCTTCTTCTTCTTCTTCTTCTTCTTCTTCTTCTTCTTCTTCTTCTTCTTCTTCTTCTTCTTCTTCTTCTTCTCCTTCTTCTCTTTCTTCTCCTCCTGAAAAATGAATGAGCCGTGCCACAAATTCTAGTAAGCACTACGAAAGTAAGGGTGAAGCGTCGTAATTAAATTCCATCAATCAAAGAAGGGAGAGCTCTCATGGAAACATCAAAGACACACCCAATTGATCAGAACGTCGCCAATCACTGAGAAATGCCTTCATACAGCAGGCAGCTGTTGCCGCGGCATACTGCTGCCATTTTTTATTCTTATGGCTGTCCGCATAATCACAGACACTCTTGATGACCACCGTAGGAAAAACATCCCATACGCCAGCCCCTTCCATCTCAAATGCAATCACCTTTTCTTGGGAGGCAATTCGATCTCGGTGGTATCCCGATTTCATCACGAGATCCCCAGACGCAATGAGACCAAAGTGGACGAGTGGTTTTGGTGCTTCTTCAGAGTCCATAAGAGTGTCATTTTTGGCATTTTGGACTCGGACACGCGTGATCAGCTCTGCATCTTGACAATGCAGTTCTTGACAAGATGACTCCATTGCAACACTGCAAACCTCGTCATTCAAATTATGACAGGCCGCACAAATATTGCAAACAAGAGGATCTCGATGTTTGTGGCGATATTCAGGATGATACAACCGATCATTTTCTGCCCCGGGATACTGATATTGGTGGAGCTCATTTTTCCCACACAACTCTGTAAGATAAGAAGATGTCTTCTCCCTTAGGATTCTGCGGCTCCTCGCACCCGACAATTTCGCAAGGAAAGCGCGAATTTCTCGATTCGGTCGGCCGAGATTGTCCTCCAAAGTATTCTTGCGGACGACTTTGTCAAGGTACTGTCTGCCAAAATCAAACTGAACTAGGCCTGTGCTAATTACCACATCGCCCAGAATGATCTCTGTCTCGTCATCCGTTCCCTGTGGTAAGGGTACGCCTCCACAAATACCTACGACTAGACCAACTTTGATCCCGCTGAAGCTTGCTCGAAAACTGGCTGCTAGGCTCGCTGAATTTGCTTTACCCATACCAGGCATAAACGCCAACACGACGTTATGATTCGTTATTCGTCCGACGGTATATGCATTAGGATCGCCGGCAGACTTTCCAAATGAAAAGTCGTCTTCATAATACTCGTCGAAAAGGGCCTCCACAGCATCGAATTCAACCCTCAAAGCACAAATCAGAGCGATCTCGAAGTCGCTTCGACGCTGAGGCCGATGGAATGTTGAAGCCATATCATATCTATGGGGAGCTTGACGGTATATTCCAGATTTTTGGTCGAATGCTTCCAGGTCGAGTCCCATTATGCTGGTAGGTTCTGGTGTTGCTCCTCTACGATATGGAGTTAGACTGCCGGTACTGGCTGACACTTGGTTCATGGGATCAGAACTAAACTCGTCCAGCTTTCAGTTAGTCTTATCCCAGGCGCTGACAGTAAAGAATTAACTCACGCACTTTGTGTAAAATTGCTGACCATCAGGAACGATAAATTGACTGACATCAGACCCGACGGGTTTTCGGTAGGATCCTACGATAGTCAACGATGAAGAAGTACACTAGTATTCGGGAGGCCTTAGGAACCTTGCATAGAATATCCTGTTTCCGGGTGAGATGGAAAGGGGGCTAACATGGGTTCGATGGTGGTGGTAGATGGTGGATTCAAGTACATTTCAAATTGTCCGAAACTGCTGTGGAGTTCTTGGTCTTGGTTTAGGAATAGTTTGTCTGGTGAGAGGTTCTCGCTATTGACCCCAGACGATAATTCGATGATCTCGTTCTGCTTCGCGCAATATAATTTCTTGATTGTCTCTGCAAGCTGTGAACGCTCCTCATCTCTCAGTTTGGCCAAAGAAGACGGAGGATGTCGTTTTTGTGAATACGAAAATGGCCGGTTAATAGGAGACTGAATGACGATCAATCTATCCTTCCATTCTGCCTTGATAGCCTCTGGAACTGTTTGGGTCGTCCCATAACTGATGAATGCAACTTTGATACTATGCTGAGTATTGGTGTTATTGAAAGACTTGAAGATATCCAGAAGCTTTGTCGACCAGAAAATGGATGATAGTCCGACCAGCTCTGCCATAGAATCCATAATGATGAATATCTCCCCAGAATTGCCCAAAACTGATCCAAGGCAGACAAAACATTCATCCTCAGAGACCGATTCTTTCAATATTGCAGAAACAGATGTCATAAGGGTCTGGTTCCAGTTCATATGTGGTAGCTGAATCAACTGTAGGATAAGATATTTGAGAGCGGCAATTGCAGTTGGGTGTTGACTAGTCTCTTCTGTTGAGTCGGCTCTTAGCAACCAAACGACGGGCGATTCCTTCTCTTGAAGTAAATCAATAAGGTCTATACACAGCTCTTGCATATGAAGTTTGTTAAAAAGTCCTCCATTAATAACCACCAAGGAGGACCCAGTACATGACAACCACATCTGAAGGCTTGGAATTGTCCACTTATAGCCTCCTACTCGGGCACTGCTTTTCAACGCCGGCATTGTCATTCGACGCCGGCATTGTTCCAAGGCCTCTTTTGCGTCGAGGAAAGGAGAATCAGAAGCTAGGCCTACCGATTGTCGGATGTAGGAAGGATCGGTTGACATTCTATACTTATTTCACTGTGGCATAGGTTTTGCTTCGGTCGCGATAAAGGATTGAAGAGATAGCATTCACCTTCGATATAATTCCTGATAGACAGCTATTCCCGTACTAGATGAAAGCGATAAATTATTCCACGATACAATCTAAGGAGGGGTAAGTGGCGGCTGACCTGACGTGGCTCCTTTTCACTGGATCCCTTAGCGCCGTGAGACTGGTTATCAGCTGAACTCCATTCCTGCTCCGAAAACCTTCACCAAACCTGCAAATCACTTACACTGTTCGTTTGTGGCCAGGGTTAAGACCCAATAGTCTGCAATATTTGGATTATGTATGTACAAATAGTACAATGGGTGTGTCCGTCTAACATGTTGATAGCAGGGCCAACCCTCCGATCGCACTCTCCTTACTTCAGAAAGGCTTAGCAGCTACCTCTTTTGAGGAGGCTGAGGAGATTTGGGCACAGAGGCTCAAAGAATTCAGTGGTTCTGAAAACTCGAACGATCCAGTACCCGAGCAACCTATTTTGAATTATCTCACTATATCTCGTGATCGAACAGCGAATAGCAACTACCAAAGCGAACAGCTTGTTGTTCTAGCAGGGTGTCCTCCTAGCGCGATCGAGAAAGCTGGAGACGAAGGCTCTAGTAAAGGAGACGAGGACTTTAGCGAAAGCAAGACGGTGGACTGGGATCGAGCAGATCTGTTACGCATTCTAGACGACAGTTTATACAAGACTAATGAGCTCAGCCTGTATTATCGGTCTTCCGCTTCGCAGCCACAGATTAATAGCGCATCCACCCAGCTATCCAGCAGCAGCGAATCTATTAGTTCGGATTCATCCCGTGATTTGCCCAAAATCCCTTCTCCGGACAGTTTGAGGGAACTTACTCGTCAATATTTCCCTGAGGGTTCTAATACTCTAGAGCAACCCCGAGAAGCCGGGTTCACAATGGACAGCGAATATCAACCCGAAGACGGTAGTGCTTCAGAAAGCGATGAAACAGCCCCCTTGCGCAAACTCCTTCAGCAAATGGAAAAGTTCAGATCGGAAAATCGTCGGCTGAGAGAACAAATATCACAATTATCTGCTGGTACAGCTGCGACTAAAAAGCTGCCTCCTGGCTGTCAGATATTTCATCGTCTCGGCCCAAATGAAATATCTCTTTATACGCCAACATGGATGATCGGCGACAAAGACCGAGAGTCTGTTCTAAGATTAGATGTCCTTCTAGCAAGCCTAGATAAGCATCTTGAAAAGCATCCAGAAATAGTCTTTGCCGTGTTCAAAGATTACAAGAAAACGGCTCAACATGGTTTCGATGAAGCAACGAATGAGACAGAAACAGATACGGTGCCTTCCATCGTCTCTCATAGGGAGTCAATCAAATTAACATCTGATGATATGGTATCCGCCTTCAAAGCTTTTATGGCATTACAACCCGACTTTTCGTCAATCTTTCCTGGCTTCGACGTTGATGCTGAAATCCATGCACCATTTCTGTTTTGGTATCACTATAGGTCTTCCTACGAGGGCTTATCTGCAAAGCTCAAAATACAAGATCGAGATTTGATGAACCTTCTCACCCAATGGATTGAGGAAAGATATTGCGATGAGTACAACATGGCAAATGCATGTCTCGCAAAAGGCCGCGTGACACCTAAGATAATGAAGTACCTGGTGCGCCCTGGTGATGTGCTTGTCTCGCAGGACGACGACGGCACAACAAAAGGCTATATTTCGACATCTTGGCTAGAGCTGAATGCAGCCTCGAAAAGTCTCCGAATTACTAGTATCGAAGGTGCCACAGATCGTGGTGATAACCCAAACGAAGATGGTTGTAGCACACCAGCGCAGAAGCTGATTATCAAAGACACATATGATTTTTACGGCTGGTACTGGGAGTACGACGGGTCGTTTTATTCTCGTGACAAAACCATCACCATAAACATTGAAGCCGATTCATCCGATCAAGAGATTATGATTACTACGCTCAAGTCTTTCCCCCTTAAATACGCGGACAAAATCATCACAGATCGTCTACGGAGACGAGGAGAAATGTTTTGGGACTGTCGTTCCCAGAAGCTGGTAGAATATCAGACCGAGAATCACAAAACGCTGGCGATAGTAAGTTTTGCCCTTGAAATATAATCGAAAATCTCACCAATGTACTATATTCACCAAATCAGGAGATTGAGCGATATGTGATCGATGACAGTACATACAAGAGAATCCACCGTGGAAAGGGGGCCGTTTTAGACGAGAAAGAAAGAAGGTGGCCTGGCGCGCGAGAGCTATCCGAGAGCCGGGGCCCACAAGACGAAGAGATCTACGTTTTCCCTCTCAAAATTACTGGTTATAGTTTGGTTCGCAAAAGCTGGGGTATGTTTTCCACATCACACTGATTAAGTTATATAATGGCTGATGAAGAATTATAGTCGATCTGTGGGTAGATCAGATTTACGAGGTTGGGTGGAACAAGATTGCGTTTGACAATTTGGTCGTTGACAGAGATACCAAGGAGCTCATTCAAGCTCTTGTGATGAACCAAGTCGAGGCTGAGCGAGGCACTGATGTCATTGGTGGGAAAGGCAATGGTCTCATCATGCTTCTGCATGGCGGCCCTGGTACAGGAAAGACATTTACTGCCGAAGCTGTAGCAGAAATAGCTGAGAAACCCCTCTATCGAGTGACCTGCGGTGACATCGGAACCAAGCCAGAAGATGCCGAGAAATATCTTGAATCGGCGCTGCATCTAGGGAAGATCTGGGGCTGCGTTGTTCTTCTTGACGAAGCTGATGTGTTCCTTGAGGAACGTAGCCTTGACCAACTCGAGCGAAATGCGCTTGTTTCAGTTTTCCTTCGTGTCCTCGAATACTATGAAGGGATATTGATCCTGACCTCCAATCGCGTGGGAACATTTGATGAGGCGTTCAAATCTCGGATCCAGCTCGCTTTGCACTACAAGAACCTCTCCGTTGACCAGAGACAGCGGATCTGGTGGAACTTTTTGGACCATCTTCGGGTAATGGAACGAGGCGAGAAGGCAACTATTGACATCGATGACATACTGGACCATGTCTCTGAGCTTGCAAATCAGTTTGAGATGAATGGTCGACAAATACGAAATGTCATCACTACAGCTCGACAGCTTGCGAAGCATAGAAGACATATCATGAATTTCTCTCACCTTCAGCATGTGATCAATGTCAGTGCTAGGTTTGAGAAATACCTCCAAGATGTAAAGGTGGGCCTTACGGATGATGAAGTGGCTCGCCAATTCGGAAAGCGATGAACTACATAGGGCTTCACAGAAACATGGGACCACTTTTGCACGATGAGTCATCAAATCAAGGCAGTTTGGCCGAGTGGTCTAAGGCGATTGACTAGAAATCAATTCTCTTCGGAGGCGGCGGTTCAAATCCGCCAGCTGTCGGTTCATTTTTTTTATTGACTGGATCTTCAGTCGGTCTTGTTTGTTAGCACGCCTACGGAAACCTCTGTTTTCCATCTTTATTAGTCAGAGCTATCACTGGAAATACAATTGTCAGAACTTAGTTCCAATTAATTTGAGAATTCTAGTTTTGTCCGGCGCGTTTGGAACTTCACGTATATGAAAATGGTACTACTAGTAGAATACCATGGACTTTTTAGTCATAGGATTTATAGCGCCATGTATTCCAATGCTGTAGTCTGCGAAATGCAACATTCTTAGAGACAAGAGTTCAAGATCCCATATATACTGTACGGTTCGTATAAGACATGGCCCAAAGACAATGGTGGAAAATCCAATAACTCGCTAATATAACAACACAATTTATGAGACAAAAAAAAAGAAAAGAGAATCCGACAAATTCTAGTGGTCTATTCGTCGCTGTCCGACTCTACCTGGTCGTTCTCCAGATGCTTTTTGCGTTCCTGGCTCATCTCTCGGTACGTGCTCCAGCTCAGCATGAAAAATGCGATCATGATCAAGATGCCTCCGATGATTGCTGCGAATGAGAGCGGTATGCCTGTGCGGAACCAGTCCACAAGAGCAACGAGGAAAATCGTCAGAAGAGCGGCAACTGACGAAAGTACAGGGGAGGTGAGGGAGATGAGCACCAGGAATGAACCGGAAAATGCTAGATGCAGAGTAAGTTAAATATAGTCGTCAAGTGAAGGGGGTATTATTGCCAACTTACTAGCATTGGCAGCAATGGATATGAGGAGCATCCACCCGGCCTCGCCGGTAGGGAAGCGGAAGGTTTCCCAGCCAAGATAATGAAGAAAAGGCAGGGGGATCCACAAGACCAAGATGGTGAAGCAGCCGATCAAACTGCCAAATGTATTGGCAAAGATGGTGCCACGGCCGGGACTGGTGCCTTCTGGTGGGCAGGCGAAACGCTTATACAGCACCTCGTAGAGGCCGTACAGCACACTCCCAACACCAATCACAATGTTGCCCAGGAGCCGACTATGAGCCTCCTTATCATCCTTTGTCGTTCCACCTTTTGAAACCTTCTTGTCAGGGCGGTCTCCGTAGGCGACCACAAGGACTCCAATTATTGCGATGCCCACTGAAAAGACCTTATCCCACCGCAATTTCTCTTTCAAAAGAGGGATCGAGAAGGCATATGCGAAGAAAGCCGAGCAATTGTAGATGGCCGTCAAGTCACTAGCCGTTGTCAAATTGACAGCGACGTACCATGAGCCTCCCGCGATGGTGAGCGCGCTGGTCACAAAAGCAGTGGTTTTCAACATATATGGGATCGGCGAACGGTGGTAGGAACGGGAGTGGAGGTGGACATCCTGGGTCTCTACCATCTGGGCAGTTGTCTTTAAGAGGAAGACATGACGGCGCCAGAATGCTTCCCATGACATTTTGCGCCTCTGGATTCGCAGGATGGCGAGCTGGACCGGCCAGAGTAACGCCCAGGAACCGTGAGTTATATAGCTGCATTTGGGAGAAAAGAAAGGGTAAGCGATTACGGTCCAGGATAAGTAGCGATGGATTATAGGTGCATGGGGGTAATTCAGGTCAATCTCATCACCGGCGGGCGGTGCGGTTGCGTCCAAACTTACAGCATGCAATACGGCTTGTTCCACCCCAACTCATGTTGGATGTAGACGGCGGTTTCTGTCTGGACAACAAAGCTGGCTAGGCTGAGAAGAAGAAATCCCGATGCAATCATATACTTTTTGCGAGTCGCTTGGGCGGCGTCGTGTTCCGGGCTTTTACTCCGGATGGTAGGGCGGCGGGTGTGGTGGTGCAACATAGGCCGGCCTTCTGTATCGTTCCCGAAGCTTGATCGGGAGGGTCGTCCCTCGCGATCATCTTTGAGTAACGGTTGCTGTGACCGGCCATCCGTTGGGCGGTGCAATGGGGGGCGGTTAACCACCATGTCGTCGTCGTCAGAATCCTGGGAATAGCGATTCGGCTCCGGGTCTGGGGTTATTTTGGCCCTGCTCGCTCCCAGTTCAATGTTTTCCGAAGCCACGCTGGCGTTGGATTCCCTCCGGGGTGTTGTGGGTGCTTGGGGGGGGTTGGGGTCGGATCGACAAGATCCTTAGGAGCAATCAAAGATGTCCTCGGCCACCTGATTGCCCGGGATGTCCTTGCGGCGACAGATAACAGATAAGAACTAGGGACGGGGCTGCTGGGGTTCCACTCATTCAGAATATTCCATGCCCTGTGTGATGGTTTGACAGCTGACGAGGTGAGCCTAACTGCCGGAGATCAGCCCTGTGATCAGAATGTAAATCTGCTGTCCTGAGCGCATGCGATTGAGATGTTGATGGGGTAGCTGCGGCCACGTAATGGGGAAATCAAACAAGGTTCAGGGGGTCACGGTATGCGGCAATGTCGGTCTTTGAAAGGAAACTTGGAAGTTCGTCAAGAGTTCAGGTGAGACAAGCAAATTAGACACGAGGTTGAATGAAAAGCCATTCGAGGAGCCGGGGAAGCACACGATGCCCGGGGAATGGACGCCTTCGTCATGGCCCCTACCGCTTCGAGGCCGGTGGGTATCGTACACGTGACCTCCAGGGGGACAATGGCGGCGTGCTAGTCCGAAAGCGGTCTAGCCCAGGCGTCCGGCTGGGGTCAAAGGGTCAAGCCTGGGGTCAACTTGGACCAAAAGCCAAGAGCCAAGAGTTAAGCAGGGCTGGTGCTCACAAGGGCAAATGACCATGACTAGTAGAACTAGCCATTTCTAGTAATAGTCTACTAGAATCGACTACTGATTCACCTCGTCGATTGCATGGGGGTTGATTGGAGTGCTCTCGCAACTGATAAACCCGGTGCTTTGCGTAAATGGGGCTTTATGCATATGGTCACCCAGAAGTACATAGATGGCCAATTAGGGCGGTACCGAAATTAGCACCTGAGAGACATGCAGGAACTAGATTTCAATGTAGTGGTCTTGTATGAAGTAGATTGTCCACAACACCATTTGGCAGAACAAACTCCAGGGCTCTTTAATAACTAAGTATCCGGTATGGAGAAGATCGAGTGACGAACTACAAGGCTAAATATTGATTGGTCGAATAACTAAAACAAAAAACAAAACGAACCCGAACCCTAATCAAAATCAAATCAAATTAAAATCATTGCCGAATGAATGGTGTTTTTATGATATTAACATCTGAGTTGATTTTGTTATAGACAGACCTAAGCCTTAGACTTGGGCTTGAACAGTGCCTCCTGAGTATTATAAGTATACTTCAGATCCAGATGCCAATAGTTAGGAGAATTAGCCTTGGCAACCAACCAAGCCTTATCCAAAGCTTCCACCACCTCTTCTGGAAGGGGCCCCTTCTGCAGCTCCCGAAGATTAGTCTCAAGCTGACCGAAGCTGCTCACGCCGACCAGTACACCATCGCGGCCACCGTTATCCATGTTCAACATAGAGTGATGGCGGACCCAGCGCATAGCCGTCTCAACAAGCGTCAGGCCGTGCTTAGCAACCACGGGCTCAATAATGCTCAAAGCCTCGAAGTTTGCGTCCCTAAAGTAGCGACTGCGGTAGTTGGTCCCCGTGGAGCTACTATCAGCAAACCGGCCTTCTTCGGGGACATCTTTTGTCTTGTATTTTCCAGAGAAAAGTCCGCCAGCAAGGGGGTTGTAGATGACAATGTCCAAACCGTAGCGCCGGCAGGCATGGACCAATTCGACTTCAATATTACGGGCTATTGTTCAGTTAGCATGGGCTGGCCCAAATCCCAGGGATATCAGGGCTATATCGGTGAGTCATGTCTAATTGAAACTTACTGATGGCATTATACATGGCTTGGAAGATCGTAGGACGAACCCAACCACGCTCGTTGCAGAGAGTTACAATTTCCGCCACCTCAAAGGCCGTATAGTTGCTCAGACCCAACTGAACGAACTTGCCCTCCTTGTGTAGCTCGTTCACAGCTTCTAGAGTCTCTGCAAATGGCGTCGCGCGATCTGCTGCATGTAGGTAAAAGATATCGACCTGATTGGTATCGAGCTCCTTTAGGGATAGCTCGAGCTTCTCGCGCAGGATAGCGGGTTTATGCGCTCCAGCCTCCTTGGGGTACCACTTCGTTGCAATGGTTAGGCCGCGTTGCTTCCAATTGGCCTTGGCAGTGAACGCTTCTTGCTCTCCATCGACATAGATGCGGGCAGTGTCGATTTCGTTGAATCCCTGCTTCTGGAAATAGTCCAGACACCGATTGAACTCGTCGAGGGAAGTGATACGGGCACCCGCGGCCTCATTGGGCCCAAAGGTCATGAGCCCGAGGATGATTCGGGGAAGTGGATTCTGTGCAACAAGAGGCATGATGGATATGATCGGCAGTGTTCAAGTTGGTTGTTGGAGAGAAAAGCGCGGGGGAGGGGCAGACGTGAAGGGTTCCCGTGGTTTATGAGTACGGAGGGGTCCGATCTGCGATAACGGCGGGGGACCATTGCGTGACATTCTCGGTCCCGTCCGCATTTCAAACACGAATCTATTTAATAATCTTCGAGTTCCTGCAGGGATTATACGAGCTTTACATCTGTCTTCGAGTCGAACTTCAACCCAGCGTATCCCCCGACAACATGGCTGCATTCCAGGACAATGGCCCATTCCGAATTCTGGTTATCAACCCCAACACCTCCACACATATGACCGAGGCCCTCAAGCCGATCCTACAACGACTCAACTACTCTGACGTTCAATTTGACTACTTCACCGCACCGAATGAGACTTTCACTCTGGATGGGCACGTCTGCGAACCGATTGCCAGCATCAACAATGGCGAAGAATCCGCACAGTCGGCGTTGAATTGTTCCTCGGTTCTGGATACGATTGCGGAATACGATGCGTTTCTTGTGGCGTGCTACTCTGCCCACCCACTCGTGGGCATGATACGCCAGAAAATCAAGGCACTAGATGGAACCTCCTCTTCTACACGAACGAGATATGTAACCGGGATCTTTGAGGGTAGCATTACTGCTTCTCTGTCTTTGATCAGTGGGTTCGATTTTGTGGCGCCTGGATCATTGAAAAAACAGCAAATCGGCCAGTCCTTTGGTATTGTTACTACTGGCAGCGCTTGGAAGGACGAACTCAACAAGGGAGTCACCGAAATGTTGGTTGGAGCAGGCTTCCAGTCCTCGCGATTCGCAGGCACTGAGACTACGGGGCTGACGGCCGTCGAACTACACACTACGGCACCGGATGAGGTGAGACAAAGGATTATCGCCGCCACACAGCGACTTCTACTAAGTGCGCCGACTCGTGTTGGCGCGGTCTGTTTGGGCTGTGCAGGCATGGCGGGTATGGAGGAAGCGGTGCGGGAAGGTTGCATTCAAGCATATGGTCCAGATGAGGGGTCTAGGGTACGAATCATCGACGGAGTAGTTGCTGGAGCTGGAAACTTGGTGACGGCTTGTAAAGCGGGATTTTGAACCGGTGGATCTGATGGGAACTGGACTGAGGCTTATTTTTGGAGGCCATGGGAACAGGGAAAGACAGCATATGATACCATTGAGTTTGTTCATTAGAGGAAAGAGAGGTCGCAAAATTGAAATAGAGAAGGAGGAGTTCAATATCGAGATTATTTTCGAACAAAAATCTCTCCAATTTCCCCAATTTCACCCAGAAGTGTATGAGATGAGATGTTGATGTCCAAACCCAAGCCCGAGTGGGTACGTACCTTGCGTACCTGAGGCGGTCGACAGCCAAAATGTTCCCCGCGCCCAACGCGCTACGCGTGAGAACTAATCCATCTCGACATCGCCCGTGGACAACGATGCCTAGGTATGTGTCTGAGCTGCTTTTTGTGGAATTGTCCCTCCGAAGAACCTCTGAAGCTGACATGTGCTCAAAAATGCAGGGAAATTATCACGATCCAAGCCGGCCAGTGCGGCAACAGCGGTATGTGAACTCCGCCAACCTCGATCGACCTCCCAGCACCACAGCTCGTGATGTGCTCAAACTCGCCTGAGCCGATCATATGCACTCTAGGGAACTCGGAACCCGAAGGGACTGAGCCTGATTCGCTGACAATGTCTTCCTTTCTTAAGTCGGTAGTCAGTTTTGGCAGCAGCTGTGCCAGGAGCATGGAATCAACCAAGACGGAAACCTGGAGGATTTCGCGACCGAAGGTAGCGATCGCAAGGATGTCTTCTTCTATCAGGTATGATTTGGGCAAGCAATACTCTGGAGCTTTGGCAATGGTGCGCGATCATCTACAGAACCAATCTAACGAGCCGCTACACAGAGTGACGACACCCGATACATCCCCCGAGCGATTCTTCTCGACTTAGAACCTAGGGTAAGTATTTCTCCTTCTCAGTGATCACGTTGACCAAGGCAATTACTGAGACACGAATAGGTCCTCAATGGCATCCAATCCGGCCCTTACAAGAACATCTACAACCCCGAGAACTTCTTCGTTGGAGAGCAGGGCGTTGGCGCTGGAAACAACTGGGGTCTGGGATATGCGGCTGGAGAAACTGTGCAAGAGGAGATTTTCGACATGATTGACCGAGAGGCGGATGGAAGTGATTCATTAGAGGTAGGGTCAAAAAGTCGATCTACCCGCGGCTGTCGCGACAAGTTGACTGACAATTCTGGCCACAGGGCTTTATGCTATTGCACTCGATAGCCGGTGGTACAGGATCTGGTCTGGGTAGTTTTATCCTGGAACGGATGAATGATCGCTTCCCCAAAAAGCTTATCCAGACGTACTCTGTCTTCCCGGATCTGTATTCGGATATTGTCGTCAACCCTTACAACAGTCTGCTTTCCATGCAGCGGTTGACCCAAGACGCTGACTCTGTGGTAAGACGGCATTTTGAATATTTAACCCCTTGTAAAACCAAAGACGCTAAAAATTCAATAGGTTGTTCTGGACAATGGTGCACTTTCAAGAATCGTCGCCGATCGACTTCACGTGGAAAAGCCATCGTTCGATCAAACCAACCAGCTGGTAAGTGGCGGCCGTGCTTTATGTACTGTGGGAAAGTGGGAATTTCTAACTCAGATCTGCAGGTCTCAACGGTCATGTCGGCATCTACGACCACTCTTCGATACCCCGGTTACATGCACAATGACCTGGCGGGCATCATTGCTTCGCTGATCCCGACGCCGCGCAGCCATTTCCTGCTCCCGTCGTATACACCATTCACAGGCGACAATGTTGAGCAGGCGAAGACAGTGCGTAAGACAACCGTGCTGGACGTGATGCGTCGACTGCTACAGCCCAAGAACCGCATGGTCTCGATTACCCCGAGCAAGTCCAGCTGCTACATCAGCATTCTTAACATTATCCAAGGCGAGGCCGATCCCACCGATGTGCACAAGTCATTGCTCCGCATTCGGGAACGCCGCCTCGCATCTTTCATTCCATGGGGCCCGGCCAGTATCCAAGTGGCGCTCACCAAGAAGTCGCCGTATCTGCATCATTCCAACCGTGTGAGCGGATTGATGCTGGCGAACCACACCTCCGTGGCAACATTGTTCAAGCGGATCATACAGCAATACGATCGTCTGCGTAAGCGCAATGCTTTCTTGGATCAGTACAGAAAGTCTGCGGCATTCTCCGAAGAGTTATCGGAGTTCGACGAGGCACGGTCCGTGGTTATGGACCTGATCGGCGAATATGAGGCAGCCGAACGCCCGGACTACTTAGATCTCGATGCTGGGAAAGAGAAAGAGGTTGGGGCTTGAATGGAATGAGGATACGGAGTAGCAGGAGAATTTTTCCATGTCGATTTCATTTTGCTTTGGCAGGGCAAGGGGTTTCGGGCGCATAAACCGGGTGCGTGCGTAGGGCCACTGGCGTTCTCTCGCTTTTTTTAATTATTTTTTGTTCTTTCATTTATTTTTTTCCCTTGCTCTTTTTAAGTTTCTTTATTCACCAATGCATACTGCATACTACTCAATTCCTTTTGGCGAGGGTAGGTAACCCTTGTTGGGTTTACTACTAGTTAGTATGTAAATGTAAATTTACTCCGTACCCAAAGCCAAATACTCCACAAACCACGCCCAAAGCAGAGCAGATACAAACCAATCGAATGCCAGCGCACCTCCGAAGACCAACGACCAAAGACCGGGGGACCACGTAGCGGGCACACAGCGTTGAAAGTGGATTCCGGCAGACCCGCCGAACAGATTGCAACGGGCCGGGTTCTGCAGTGGAGCATGGGTTAATCGGCTGCAGGCGATAGAAAGGGGACGAGATGGGAGTTTTAAGGAGAAGAGCGCGGTGTGTTTTCCGGTCTCCAAGGCTGTGGTTGCCCTATCACGAGTACTGTACTTTCGTAGAGTCGACTAAACTAGGTTGGTTAGGCGGCGAGATCGACCACGAATCCACCTCTCCTTTCGACCTTACTTGCTGGGAGGCGTTCGCTTGGGGCTTGGGGACTCGGTGGCCTGCTTCGAGGCATGTACTCCGTACGTGGTGCGCGATGCCTGGTCTCATACTTAGTTGGACGCATGGGCCCAGGAGACTCGTCCGATTCACACGGCTTTACATTGCAGGAAGAGGGCCTTAGCAGAGGGTTGCCAGTTCACCGGCGTGTCTCGATCGAAGTGTATGGCGCAGTAGTCATTCATTACTCTGTCCTCCGTAGACGAACTCCTTCTTTGCCACCGGATCCAAGACGTCCGATCCGGTGGCACGCCATGAAGTTGAAGGACTGGGTGGAACCACGCCTCGAATTAGTGCCAGAGTGTACTCTGTAGATTGAATAATGCGCCTAGACGGTACGGAGGAGCAGTATCCATGCTTAGTAGCCACGTGAAAGGAGTCAAGTGGAATGGGGTGAGATGGGACAGGGGGGATGGGAGGACGAATGGAATGGCACGGACACGGGTCGCGTGGTCTACTAGTAATACTAGTGATCATATAGTGATAATCATAAAAGGAATACTGTAACTAGTCCTATCTAGAGGATAGAGGAGTATGGGAACTTGAATGCAAAGATCTCCACTAGATCGAACCTTCTGGTGTAGCCAGTCTCCATACCTAGTCACTACTCTGTAGTGGTAGTGTCCGTCTCCACCTGGTGGTCTCTGGCGATGGCTGATTCCGTCACTCCCCACGCCTCAACTGACTCAGCCCTTCAAGTTTCCATTTAATTCCCTTTCCCTTCATTCCCTGGATCTCATCCGTTTGACTTTTATTCTCCCGCCCGTTCCGACTTCCATTTGCCTATATATTTCCAACCTCCCCCGTAAGTCACTCTCACTCCTTTCCCCTACATTTCTGCCCCCTTTATCATCAACGTAACTGCGTCACTGCGTCACTCCCGTCCAACGCTCATACCTCCTTTAGACCCTCGCCTCCTTCTCCTTCTTCTTTTCTCCTTCTCCTCACCTTCTCTCCTCACTCCAACTCTCCTCTCCCACCGCCTCAACACTTCTCAACCACTCAACCGTCGGAGACTCCTCTTGGCAACCACTCGTTCTCGCTTTTGCCATTCCATCCTCTACTATCTCGCTATCTCGGCGCTTATCTTGAACCAACAACCGAGGCCGCCTGGACCCGTCACACCATTGACTTGAAGCAACACCCTTCACTCAGCCTCAACCCCCAAATACCACACACACGCATACATACAACCATGCCTCCCCGCAAGCCCCGTTGCAATTTCAAGGAGTGCAAGGAGGCCGCTCAGCGGATCGTGGGTGACTGTAGCTTTTGCCACGGCCACTTCTGCTCGAAGCACCGCATGCTAGAGGCCCACTCCTGCACCGGTTTAGAGGATTGCAAGAAGGAATCCCACGCCCGCAATGCCGACAAGTTGAATAGCGAGCGGACTGTCGTTGTCAAGGGCGTATGAGGAGGGCCACTCATAAGTGAGATGAAATGAGTTGCTTCATGGGAAATCCCCTTTCTGTGATACATCGTGCCATCAACTTGAGGTCTTTTCCCCCAGTTCTGGCCTCGGTCTTCGATCCGATCTCGGACCTCTTATCTCGCCACCCGGTGTGATCTACAACGTGACCCCCCCCTGGTGGTTATCGCCATTCAGCCGGTTGAATTTAGCGTGGTGTTCCTGTTATTCCCATTCTTATCGGGGGTGTTTGTTCTCGATCTTTTCTCTCCTTGTCGCCGCGACCTCTTTCAGCTCTTTGTTCTTCAACATTCTTGATTCTACTTCGTTGGGAGGGTGTTTTGTCTTTTTCTGCCTCGTCTAATCCCCATCTACATTGGCGTTTGTCGCTTCCGCGACTATTGGGATTCCTTTTTTTGTTCACTGGCCTTTTATCTTGCATTCGCCTGGCATGTTCTCAATCTGCCCTTTTGATTGTCTTGGATTTCTTTCGGGCTGCTTCATAGAGATCCTACGGGACTCCCAGGGGCATTTACTTCTTTGAGCAGATTTGGATTTATATGAATATACCACCACTCTGTCTTGTCCATATGATACATGAAATGGCCAATCTCCGCTATCCTTGCGGTGGTCATTGCGTAATTCCTTTCCTTTCCCTTCATTCCCTCTCTAACCAGGTCCAATCTTAGGCCTGGGCAAGAGTTAGCTTTCCAAGTTCCAAGCAGGACCAGTTCATCAAACTTTTGGACATACATATCGTGATGCTCACTCAGTCGGCTGAGGTATTTGTTCAAGTCTTCTACGCGCTCCTTATGGGTCTTGACGCCATCCCGCTGGAGCCGTTCACGTAACTGTCAATATCAATTTAGTTAGTATATCAAATGTCACGCCATCCAGTCCCACTGTCCTCCTAAAAAAAGGAATTGAATGAATACATACCCGCTTGCGCCTCACCTCCTCATATTTCCTTTCTGTTTCAGTCTTGGGCCCACCTTCTCTCTCATCCCGTTCGTGCTCTGGTGATTTGGACTTCTCTCCCTCTCTCCGCTCAACGGCCCCATTATCAGAATCATTTTCAACAGCATTCTTCCCTTCTTGCTCCGGCTCTTGCTCCGGCTCCTTCTTCTTCTTCGACTCCTTCTTCTTTTTCTTCACCCGTCCATCGGCTACTTTGCTCCCCTTCAACTTGAGCTTCCCGCCCCCGCCAGTGGAGTAATCGTCTGCTGGCGCCATGGGAGGGGGTGAGTGGGGGGAGGACAATCAAGTCACACAGTCGCAGCAAGAGGACCCAGTTGCAGCGTGCGGAGTAAGAGGGGGGAAAGCAAAGAGGAGTGGCTTTTCCCGGGTGGGTCTTGTCTTTTGCCGCCGCGTGACTTTTCCTTTTGCCTGTCTCTTGCCCGGGGAATGAGGCGAGGTTAGGTTAGGTTGTAGGGGATAGGGAGGCGAAGTGAAGGCAGGCGCCGAACCGGTGCCGTTGTTCTTTTTCACCCGGTCCTGTGATAATGGCGGTGTGGCGTAATTGACTCTGGGCGCTGCTGCTGGTGTGAGTTGTTTGGTCTTGATGAGTCTTTGCGGAAGTTAGGTTGGGCGGTGGAGTGGGCCAATCAGCGTGGTGATGTAATTCGACTTAAGTCGTTTATCACCTCTGTCCCATAGATCGGCGCTGATGCGATCATGGCGTCTACCGTAGAATCGGTGTGGTTTCTACTAGTACTAGTAGTTGCGTTGTCATAATTTTGGTCATATCATTTCTCATTATGTAGTTTTTAACCGTTGTCTGAATTGTAGTCTAATCAAATGGAATCGGACGCAATCCCGACCCACCCATTCGTTTACGCATTTCGGCGCCCGCAGCAACCGTACTGGGGACCTTGATACCACAACAGTCCCCAAACCAATCTGCATGTGCGCCATGTCCTTGGGGATGATCGTGTGTGCAATCATGATCATGCTCGTGGTCTCCATCTTCGCCAGAGAGCTCGCCCATACCTTCAGTAGCAGGCAGGAGACTGCCGAAAAGGAAGTGTTGCATGATGGGTAGCTTACCCAGAACTTCCTTGACAAACATCTTCTTCATGCCACTTTCCACCTTAAACCAGTTCTTTGCTCCAGAGATATCATCCAGCATAGGACTATGCCAGCGGAGACCCTTGACCGTCTTCACACTGTCCACCCACCGCACCTGGTCGAGGTAGAGGTACTTGTCGCCTTCCTCATCAAGCAATGCGGTGTTGTGAATGCCCAGCGGTGTCACGTAGGGATGGTCCACGAGTTGACTGGCTCCGAATAAGAATGGCAGGAAGTGGTAGTCGTCCAGACCCCAGACACCATGAGAACCGGCAGGCTCCAAGTAATACGTTGATTGAATCTCGCGCATCAAGTGGACATACTCAAGATAGACCTTGGACACCACGGCGGCGAACTCGCTCACTGGGAGTTTACCCAACTGGTACAGAGAGAGCAGCCACATGATAAAATTCAACTCGTGGCCTGATCCATAGTCAATACGATCCCGCGAGCCAAGCGAATTGATCAAATAGGTCGATGTCTCTTCAATGGCCCCGGCATCAGTAAGACCGAGGATTTGCCGGTGCCATGACGAGCTTTGGGCGGCGACTTGGTCAAACAAGACGCGGAATGCGGGATTTCCGAATCGCGAGCCACCTTGGTCTTCTGGTGGACAATTCTCCACGAGTGCCCTTATCTGTCCTACGATCTGGGCGATTTTCGAAATGGCGTCGGATTCGGGACCTTTTATGTCGGTCAAGGCTCGGCCGCGTACTGAATCCGATAGGCCGAATGTGAAGGCCAAGACCAGTTTGTAGGTGGGTGAGGAAAGGAACAATTCATGATCTTTGGGTGATAAGATGCGACGGACGGGACGGGAATATTGGTGGGTGGAGAGGTCGGGGGGCGAGGGTAGAGGAGGGGTTATTGGCGTTGGATCTCGGGTCGATGCAGCCTGGGATCGGCGATTTGTGCTTGAGCGCAGTTGCGATAATTTCTGAGAGAGGTCGACTTTGCCACTGGTGGCAGGTCTGGACCCTATCGAAGTCGACGCCATTTTGTTGATAGAAGGCGTAAGGGAGGGGGAGATGAAAGATAAATATTCCGCGAGTCCGGAGAGCAATCGCGACGGAAGGACCTCAGAGAGGTTACCGCCTGCCAGAAACAGCAATGAAAATGATGCAATTCGATTTAACACCGAATCGGGACTAGCTCAGTGGAGCATGTGATCAGCTGCATCCCCGGACTAGCGATCACTGATCATCCAAGGGTTTTCACTCGTCACATACCGTGCAGTCCACATGATGAGCGCAGCTGAATGAAGGAGGAGGGGCATAATCAACTGAACTTTGAAGCAAATCTGAAAAACGCCTCGAACCATGCCCATTCCCACGATCTTGTCTTCAACGCCTTCATTCTTCTAGTTTAATACCCTTTTCGAAGGTTTTGTACCCTTGTCGCGGTGCCTGGCGTGTCTGTGCTGCACGAGCCCTGTCCAGCCAGCCTGGCTATTGGACAATATTCTCAAGTCATTGATCAGGGGAATGAGCACGCCATAATGAATACTTTCGACTCATCGGCGACCACTCCGACAGGTTCCAGCAACGCTGCGGGAGCCCGAGATATCAGATCTCCATCGTCACGCTCTCCCACACATGCAGACTCCGACCTGTCATCATCGACCGGTAGCAGCCGGTCCCACTCGAGCTTTCCATCCCGAAAGTATGCTGGCTCGCAACACAACAAGCACTCTACCGAGTCGACCCCGATCAATACAGGGGCTGCTTCGGCACGCAACTATCAAGCCACAGCCGGACCGAACTCCCAGGGCGCCCCGTCCGAGGCAAGCAAATGGGATCAAAGTACCCCACGCCTCGATGGAGGCGGAAATGGCGCCCATCGCGCGCAAAGTAATCAGGAAGACTCGCCCACCGATCCGCACCAGTCATGGCCCAGTCGAATGGTTGATCGATTCGGCGCTCTGGAGTTGGAAAACAAAGGAAGTGTCGCTCGCGATCATCTTGCTCTTGGTATGGTGCCCGTTTTACTATGATATCGTGATATTGATATCCCCTGAAATATGCCACTAACTTTCTTCCCGCAGAGCGAACATTCCTCGCCTGGATGCGCACCTCTCTCGCCTTCGCCTCGATCGGTATCGCCGTCACCCAATTATTCCGACTGAATACAGTCACCGCCACTACCAACAATATCCATAACTCAGCGACCCTCCCACCCCACCTCTCTTCGTCTATGTACGTCGCTACATCTCCCTCCGCCCAAGACTCTGCCCGTCTACGCAGCGTTGGAAAACCGCTCGGCTCTACCTTTATCGGTGTGGCCATCCTTATCCTCATCGTGGGCTTCCACCGCTATTTCGAAAGCCAGTACTGGATTGTAAGAGGCAAGTTCCCCGCAAGCCGAGGAAGTGTTGCTTTGACAGCGGCCGTAGCGATGGCGCTGATCGTCGCGGCGTTCGCGGTTATTTTGGCGGTTTCGCCAGGTGCCATTGAAACGTAAACACATCATATTGAATGATGATTACGACACCTTTTACTCTCTCGGTCATGCCCCTTCACGCCTTTCGCATCTGTTCAATGCATAGCTCCAATGATTTGTGTTTAGCATTGTTTATTTCGTCGTTGGAATGCATGGAATGTTCTTTTTGAACATATTCTTTGAATTCACCTTGCTCTTTTCTTCTAAGCCTTGTTGGAATAGCCGTGGATTTTCTTCTTCTACTTTGTTCTCAAAGAATTATACGTCTACACAGACTGGAAAGAATGGTTTTATGCTGGCTTGCTTCGGTGTAACCACTCGTTCCTCGCAGGCATTATCTTCAGGCGCAATTTGTTAATCTATTTTATTCAAGTTTGATCTTGGAATTTGTGCACGCTTAGTCTGTTCATATTATCACCAGAATTTCGGGTATCTTTAAGGAGGTCTTTTCTCCATCATGTTCAGAAATCTCAGTAAGCCATTGTACCATCATAGGATTATTTGAGTGGCTTGTTCTCAACCTGTCTGGCAACAATGCCCCACGCTCCATCAAGGCAGGGAATCACCATCGACAAACACCTCTCCCTCTTTATATGCACCTGGTAGCTCCTTCGGTCCCGGCCAGCCTGGTCGGCAATAGTGTATCCATGTCAAGGTCTTGGGTGCAACGTTCATGGGTGCGGCGGGGGATTCCCAGGAGCTGACGCTTTGTCATATCATCGGCGATGATCAGTCGTGAGTAGCCCAATCGCTGTGCAAACACGGTAAGAGCATAGATATTGGTCTTGCTGTCTCTTTGAGGGCCCTGTTGCGCGATGGACTCGAGCAGACGTCTCGAAGTGGACCATATCTCCACCTTGATGTTGTCTGGGTCGATTGGAACAAGACTCTCCTTGCCGAAATAGTACAGATCATGTCTCCACAAATCTCTTGAAACAGTCTCTTTTAACTCACTGACCAGCCTTCCTTGGCATCTGTCCTTCAAGTCGGTCAACAGGACGAGAAGCCATGGTGAGTTTGGCGTGAAACTTTCTTCCTGTAACGGCTGGGGGGGTGAGGTCTCGAACCATTGCAGAACGATGTTGGACCTCGGAAAAAATCCAAGGAAAGCAATAACAATGAAATGAACGGGTCCTGGAAAATGATAGGGCGAAGGGTAGTCAGTAAGAAGAGTGCAACAAGTCAGCATTCAAGTTGTAGTTTGAGACGCAGTGTGAGTCCGACGAATTTGGCTGCAGAGGCTTGTTTGTTCCTTCCTCTTTTTTTCGTTTGCTATCAGTACATATTATGGCAGCCTAAAGCGTCCAGGAAAATAAGGCAGTTTTTTGAAGGGCAGAATCCTGATTATAGCAGTGGGTAATACTTCCTGCATCCAAGAAAGCAATCGGACAATAGCTACCAGGTACTCTATTTTGTATAAAAAAATATAATTAAGCAATAGCCACAAAGCACTACTAGATTTTGTATACAAGAAAAATAAGTGGGCAATAGCACTACCTAGGTAGTAGTAGTATTTATTACAGTCTTTGTGGTCTATATGGTTTTTGAGCTACTAAGACCATAGTAACTTCCAAGGTTGAACCACACTATAACCTTAGAATTTACGGTCCTTAAAAATCGCTTGGTTTCTACCGCAATGTAACTACTATAGATAGTGAACTTGAAAGTGTTTACGCAGCAAAAACAGTGGTAAATTGAATGGGAGAGGGAGAGAGAGCGGCGGCTTGAGAGGTGTGGAATTACTTAATATCATCCGCCCTGGACGCTTCAGGCTGCCATAGTAGCATAGACTAAGAAGTAGACCTGTCCCCTAAATTAACTTGAAGGTAATCCTTTTCAAAGACGGGGAAATATGTGTCGATAGAAAATGTTCTTTCTTTTATTTCAGCGGCTCCAAGTCCACCCGCACCAGACTAGTCTAGACACAATATAGAAGAGGCTGTAAGATACGGAGAAAAAATGGGAAGGATATCGACAGAACGAGTCGTGGGGGTAGAGGGGGAGAAAAGGACATGGAAGAAGTAGGGCAACATGGCTTGCAGGTAATGCGGGAGAGTGCGAAGCAAGACAAGAAGAGAAAGAAGAGAAAGGAGACCATAGAGAACAACCGCCTAAATATACTTGCTTTACCGCGGACCAAGCTTCGCCAGAGCACGCGCGCCCTGTTCCTGCCACTCCTGCTTGGATACCCACATGTCGTCCTTGTCGGCGATCTAAGAAGAAGAAAAGTAAGCATGGAAATTGCAGATTAGGCTCAAACGCGGAAATGATGGGACGTACCAGGTTGGCAAGCACGGCACCACCCAGGAAAACCATGTGCCTCCGTCGAGGAGGGTCCTCGATGCGGACCTTGAATTTCTATCGAGCTGTTAGCTACCAATAATAGCCAATCAAAATTTCACCCTAAACTTACATTCAGGCGTTCTGGGTTACCGCCCAGAACCCGGGTAAGCCAGAGCTGCTTCAGCTCCTTCTCCAATCGAGAGGGCAGACCAGGGTACATGCTGCTACCACCGGAAAGCACAATGGCCTTGTATAGACTGGATCGAACATCGACATCGGTGCCTTGAATGGTGTTGAAGACCATTTCCGCCATACCGGGTTGATCGACATCAACAAGATGAGGTTGGAACAGACACTCAGCGGCCTCGAATCGCTCGCTACCGACACGGATAACACGGCCATCGGGGAGAGTGTAGGATTCAACGAGAACAGTGGTGTCCTCGGAGAGCTGCTTGTCAAGCTCGAGGTCGTAGGAGACGTAGCACAGCTTCTCCTTAATCTGACGAACGGTCTCAAAATCGGCGGTTCGGTTCAGCGCATAGCCCCGACGCAGGAGGAGGGCGATGAGGTTACGGGTAACGTCGCGACCGGCGACGTCCAATCGCTTAATGTGGTGGTTCAGCACGGTCGATTCGTACACGGGGATGACGTGTGTCACGCCGTCACCGGAGTCCACAACCACGCCGCTGCTCAGACCTATAGTTCCAAACTGATTAGTCTATTTCCTTCCCAAATGTGTATATCCAGCTGAAGTTGGTCGCATACCCTGGGCATACAGTGCCAGCACCGCCTGGATCGCCACATAGACACCCCCGAAGTTGTATCCCTCCAACATGACCTCGGCCATTTGCTCGCGGTTCTTGAGCGGGTTCATCGGGGGCTCGGTGAGGAGGATCTTGCGGCCTGTGGGGTCGATCTTCATCTTGTCGTAAAAGGTGTAGTTCCACAGATGTTGCATGTCGTCCCATTTCTTGACGATACCATTCTCCATCTAAAGCGACCCCGCAAGGGACTGCAATTAGCGACACGTTTCTGCGGGGTAGAGAAGGCGCAGGCTGGAAGATCGAAGGTCCTTGTTGGATATCGACTTACCGGGTAGCTGATCTGGAGCATGGAGCGAGCAGCGGCAGCTTCATCACCGCACATGATATCCTTCACCACGATGTCGCCGGACTGCTCCTCCGTCCGCAAGATGGGCCGCCCCACTATCGAGGGGAACTGGTGCTCTGGGAAGTTCTGGGGAAAGAGGTAGGATTAGGGCGATGCTCAATCGTCGAATGGGTATATGCGACATACCTGTGCTGCATATCCGACCTTGAGGAAACCGGTTCCTCCGTCGAGCACTGCGGGCTGTTAGCTTGGGAGCTGGGGGAACACGCGGTCTGCTAGAGAGAAGCAGGCAGGGGGGGCCACGTACCAATGGGCATTTCTCCCGCCATGGTGGAGGAAAAGGTATTCGAGTGCTCTGGAAATTGGTATGCACGGACTTTCCAGAAGGTGCGGAATTGGAGGTGTGAATGGGGCGCGGGGGAGTTGATGTCGGTAAGTGAGCATCTGCCACAGCGGAGGTAACTGGCGCCTGCTGCATCATCGTTATTTACGTGACAATACCGTACTGGCGCGGCTCCCCGCAATCCGCGCCAACGTGAGTGTGAGCCGCAGCCGCGTGACAGAACGTGACAACCCCAACGGCTGTGGACATCGTGGCTTGCGAGTGTATCAGATGATGTTGTTATTAATAATCTTGAAAAGTAGAAATTTGAAAAAAAAGAAACAACAAAAACAAGAGCCAGATGGATCGTAGTAATAGGTTTGGACGAAGAAAGGGTGGTGCGGTGGTGTGGCTATATTTAGGTTAATTAGGCAGACCCTTGAGGCATCCCGAAGTCATCACAAAACAACGTCTCCAATGGAACCAAACCACAAATTCCAAGGTATTAAACTAGATCCGGCTATAATGTCTTCCCCAGAATATCATCACCCCGCATATGAGCTACAGATCCCCCTTAGCCTTTTTTAGTACCGAGGGCCACATGAACAGTAGCTACCCTACGGGAGGACGAGGCCAGCTATCGGCCGACTCCGATTCCCCTCGGGAAACGACGAAATCCCCCTCTTCACCGTACTATTAAACGGGCATGGCCGCTGGATTCTGGGGAAATTAGCCATTGACAACAATTGCATCAAGTAATAGACTGTGCTAGAACATTGAACTTCTTCGAGGTGATCGCTAAGAACAACCCTAGAACTTCGTTATCAAAACTCGTTATCGGACCATAGCGTCCGACCTCACCCTATCCTACATCCAATAGCCTGCTCGCTTTCCCGGAAGGCCAAGGGCAGATCACTCGCATTCAAACACAATGACTCAAATCGGCTGGGTAAGTTTAAACCTGCGCGGATTCTGTGGAGGATCTTTCGTATCCGGAAGAAAAAGAATAGAAGCTAATGCTCAACACAGTATGGCCTCGGGTCCATGGGCCTGGCTATGGCCAACAATCTGCAGCGGCACCTGGCAGCGAAGAAGGCCCTCAGTCTGCTGTACACCAATCGCACCATGGCGCGCGGCCAACCGCTGCAGTCTATTGGTGGAATCGCTGTGCCTGGGTTTAACGATCTGGTGGCTCACAGCAAGATTATCTTCACTATGGTATGGGATACAGTTCCCCCCTTAATGCCAGGCTCGATGGCGAGCAATATACTTTTCATAATGAGCCCTGCAAAACTGATTCGTGTACTAGGTCTCCAATGACATGGTTCTTGAGAGCCTAGTATCCTCCGCCCTCGGATCAGGGCATACCCTCAAGGACAAGATCTTCGTAGACTGCTCAACCGTTCACCCGGATACAGTGAGCTCTGCAGCCGCGCTGCTGAAAGACCAACAAGCCGCTTTTGTCTCGGCTCCTGTCTTTGGGGGAAACCCAATCGCCGTGGATGGCAAGCTGGTCTTTGCCATTGGCGGTCCTAAGAGTGCTACTGAGGTCGTGAAGCCCCTTATCCAGGACATCATGGGCCGACGTGTGATCGAGTGCGGAGAAGACCCGGCGAAGTCTTCCTTGCTGAAAATTGCTGGGTATGTTTTGCTTACATAGAACGGAACTTGAACTGTTATTGATAGATACTTAGAAACATTGTCACTGTCAACATGATGGAAGCTGTTGGCGAGGCCCAGGTATTCGCCGAGAAGACCGGCCTCGGAACTGGCCCCATGGAGGAGCTGATTGCCGAGGCCTTTGGCCCTGTTGCTGGCGGATATTCGAAGAGGTACGTGCGAAAGCTTATGCTAAGTGCAACAGGATTCAGCTCACTGACTATACAGATTGACGACTGGTGCATATGCCCCGTCCCTGGATTCTCGTCCTGGATTCGGCGTGTCATTGGCTATCAAGGATGCTAAGCATGCAATGGACATGGCTCAGGAATTCGGTGTCAATCTCCCTGGCCTCGAGCTGGCTCGTGGTAACATGGAAGCCGCTAGAGAGTATGCTGGTGAATGCCTTGACAGCAGCTCGATGTATGGTACCCTCCGTCAGCAATCGGGACTCGAATTCTGGAACGAGAAGAGCAGAAAGGAGTAGTATTAGTAGTAGACAAATTAGAAATAAATGCCAATATATGATAAATGAAGTAATATTATTCCCTGCTAAAGATCCCTCTAAGCAACAGGTGTATTGCGCTGATATGTCATCGACCTCTATCAACCTTGCGTATGATGTGGCATGCACATCGCCGTGATCAGCATGAAGTATAGTATGTCCGGCAAATCATCCAAAAAAATTAAACATTTCCCATTAATCCAAAATCAAAGACGTAGGCCAAAGGACAGTCAGTCATGAAGAAGCGTAGCAGTAATACCGACTGGGCCTAAGACGGAGCTTTGCTCGATTTATGATCTGGCCTGATTCGTGTGGTATCTACTAGGTTGGGATAGGTCTCTGCAAATAGAGGACCCAATGACCAGTTGGACAAATTCCGTAGATGTCGCTCAAATACGGGGTTAATAAGGAGCTCATCTGAGCTACCGGCTGACAAGAGACAGTCCGTGTCCTCGTAGGGCCAGTTCACACTCAGGCCTCGCGTGAAGGGAATGAACCAATTTTCAAAAGGATAGTCCTGGTGGGACATCGCAAGTCGGTCGCGCATTCGAGGCCAAGGGACATAGTCCATCCATGGAGGGTGTGCGGTAAGAAGCTGCGTGGGCCGCGGAGTATGCCAGTCGGGCAGCCGATCATAATTCTCTTGCGTCGGGTATACCTGCCAGCGCATGATGAGGAACATGGTGTAGAGCACTGCCACTTGCTCTGGAAGTGAGGAGATATCAGGGAAAGTGCGCAGAATATCTGTGAACACCTTCGACACTGGATGCGAGTATACGCTCTTCTCCGGATTGAGTAAAGAGGAAACACTGGGATATGGAGGTCCCGCGAGTTTCTGTCTCGGTATCCCTTGTGCTGCTTCTTGCTGCTTACTGTGAAGGAAGTCTAACAAGATGCTGTCCAAGGTACATGTCGGTGCAGTATTTCTAATCGGCGTCGCAAAAGCGGGCCGCTCCTGGTCGGCCGGGTAGCTCAGTGGTTGAGGGCATAGTGGTGGCTCGGGATTCGGCTGTGGGCTGCGAAAGTTCTCCGGACTACTACGCCGAATCTGGTCGACCTTTGGGACATTGTGGGAAGGGTCCAGGAGGAAGTTGAAGCCGAGCCGCTCTTCTAAGCTGAGGTCTAAGCCGTGGGCGTTATTGTGGCGTTGGGTATCCAATGCGGAGCGAAATGCGGCTGACTGAGGGCCACCGTTGGAACTGTTGCGGCGACTTCCCAGAGCCGGCGCTGAGTGTGTAGGAGAAGGTGTGTCAAGGCTTGCAATTGACTCATCGTATGACTTGTCGCCTATAATTGCATGCTGGGTGTTTGGTGTAAGGTGGTCGGAATCGGGAAAGGGAGATAAATTAGATGGTGGGATCGATCTCGGTTGACAAACGACGGGTGGTAGATCTATTCTCATTAGTTACTGCATACAAACCGATTTCTCATGCTAGCGTGTTTGACTCACCCGAGGCTTCTGGTCTTGCTAGTAAGGGTTGTATAATGTCCATCACCGTTTTGAGGCTCCGGCGAAGCTCTTGGTTTTCCAACCGGATGCGCTCATTGTGCTGAACGGCAGCCTGGAGATCGAGGACCGGTTTCTGGGAAGCGAGTTCTCTCACTTGCTGTTCCAGGGCCTCGATATGGGTTTTGGTGCGCTCACGAATGGCGCGTTGTGCTTGGCGGTCATTGGCACGTTTCTTCGCCAATTGATCGGGGGTGAGGTTGGCGACACCTCGCGACGAGGTGCTGTTGAGTTTGCGCTTCCGGCCGGCGGTAGTCAATCCGTTATTGGGGTCGTGGATATCTGGAATGAGGGAATCGGGATCTAACGAGGCTGAGCGCGAAGGCACCGGGGATTCCTCGGGTTTGGCGCTGGTGGCTGGTAGTGAGCGGCCGTCAATCACCGGCCCAACCGGCGATGGCGCCGCATAGTCGCTGATGTCGTCCGGGACGCGGCTGGCCATGGCCTCACGCACGGGTTAGAGATTGAAGGCAGCCATTCAAGAATGGAAGTAGGAGAGAGCAGGGGGGGGTCGGGGTCGAACAAGAGGGAATCAGCATTGGCAATTTGAGTGGGTCGAGGAATAAGAAGAAGTCGACCCAGTGCGGTGGTTGACTTTTGGGTCGTTCGGGTGACGAATGACAGACTTCCTCCGGAGAAGTTGCCCCGAACCCTCAGAATGTGTCCCCCCCCCCTCTCTCCTCTCTCCTCTCTCCTCTCTCCTTTCTCCTTTCTTAGTCGTGGCATCATGATCTACACACAGATCTTATAGCATGGCGTAATCTTCCCCGCCCGGAAAAGGCATCCTGGCTCTGACTCCATTGTATGATCCCGAAGGACTGTGTATTGTGTTCAACTTGTAGAAGATATATGAGGGTCATTGCCATGATCATCATGTGTATGAAAAAGTCCACCCTCCTTTTCCCTTTCTTCCCTAGGTTTATCGTAACAGAGAGAAACGATCATGTACAAAAAAGACATTGCGTTCACAAAAAAAATAAGAAAAATTATGCAGCAAGAAAAGACTGGTCATGTCGATCGTGTGTACAAGGGTAGTTCACTTTCCAATGCAAGAAATAAACAGATCACGAAATGCATCCCGTGGGAGGGAAAAAGACAGCAGATAGAGCTGCAGTAACGAGTGTCGATATTATTGGATCATATGGCCCATTTTCGAGATCTGTAACCAAGCGCATTAGCACCCTTCTCCAAAGTTGCACAGCCTGATTATCCAAAGGGAGAGAGGGGGAAAAGGGGGGAACGAAACTAACCTTAGTTTTCAGATAGCCTTCGATTTCAGAACTCTTAATTCCTCGTTCTCCACCAGTACGCCAAGCAAGAGGAATCATAGGCACCCGTTCTTTAACCAATACTTCACGATTCAGTCCCTCAATGGCCCGGACCTTGTCAGGGTTATTGGTGAGCAAGCGAACACCTTCTGGGTTGACATCTGCTCCGCAACCCAGATCCATCAGCATGGCCGTCGCCAATCCATAGCTTCGAGCATCCGCCGGGTGTCGGAGCAGTAGGTTCGCTTCGACTGTGTCAGATCCTAGATCCTGGAGATTATATGCCTTTAATTTCTCCCCTGAGACCGATTCCTCGACCTTCCTGTCGCAAGTAGATAATGACGCCGCCGGCAGAATGCGATCGCAGGGACTGTGCCTCGGGAGGTGCGTCAGAAGCCAAGTCCTCGACCGGGAAGGACATCAACCGCGCAGCTTCATCCAGCTGTTCACCACAGTCGCATCGGGCTGACCACGCCGTCTCGCCTGTGTAGCATTCCGAATGGATTCGTACCAGCGGCGGCTCTACCCTCGTTGAGCCTTCTGCTTGTGATTCATCATCGTCAAACCAGCTACTCACTCGCCCCGGGTGCAGTTTGCCCACATATGCGCCTCGGATCATGCGGTCCATCTCAGTTTCCCCGGGATACACCCGATCTAAGCTGCGGCTTCGGATCTTGTTACCGAATACAATGGCCAGGTGCTCTTTGTTGTCCAGGTCGTTATGATAGAGGTGAAGGAACATTTCGGCCCCGTTGGTTGTTGGAATTCGTGCTCGGACAAGACACTCCACTTGGGGAAGCTGCGGAAGTAACTTGGGTGCTTTGGCGTGTTCGCCATGGTGTCGGATACTCGCGGATTGGCTTTCATGGAGGGCTTTGGTTGGATTCGAGCTCAGATTCAATGTTCCGCCGGGAGTTGCAGGTGGGGTGAATGCAGGTGATAAGAGGGAATCTGGGAGTGCTGGGGTTTGTTCGCCTGTCGCGAGGCCACTGCCCTGGCTGGTGTCGTCTGGCAGGCCATCGAGGCCGCTGGTCGGAGCGAGGGACTGCGGGGGAAGTTTTGGCGAGGCGTGCGCCGGGAGGTCCGCCATTGCGACGGTCGGTAACGGAATGAAATATAGGAGGGGTTGCGGTGTGGTGGTGGGATAGGCTGCAGTGATTATGGGATTGGGAAAAAGACAAGCATTGAGGTGGAAGTCGGAATTAATCACGGTGGCACCGAGAGTCTCATGGCGTCAATTATCTCTCCCTCGGCACCGGCCATGAGGGGAAATTACTAAACACACCACCGGAATTAGACTGGCCGCACCATGGAGCGCTGAGTCAGCTCTATATCCGCAACACGACTTTCATTGCCGCTGTTTCAAGGAGAAAAGAGGGTAAAAATAAGTGATGCTGTGATTAAGCAGCATACTAAATTAATTTGAAGCTATTTGGAGCTATCATCATGGTGCAGATGTTGAGTTATAGTTTTAGCAGAGCCAAGTGATAGACCTTTTATATGAAGGTGGACTGGCCGAGTTAGCCGTTTGTCGTGGCATTAGCAAACTCTATGCTGTGGGCGGATAAGCCCCCGTTATGGGGACCTGAGTCATCAAATTGTCAATGCTTACTCTAGCAGCTTCCATCACTCATTTCCGAAACGTCCAGAGTGGATCGCATAGTATGTTAGTTTGCCGTACGTGATTTTTAAGTTTGTAATTTGAGATGGCAGAGATACCAGTTTGGCTAAAAGAAAACATAAATCGTATGGTCTATCCGCCTCAAGTGGCAGACCTATTGAACTCCAGAGTAGCGCCTCGCTAAAGGGTATCAAATCAGATCAAGAACAAGATCGTGGGAACATCACCGCCGGCCCTATTTGTTCGGGATGTCCAGGACATAGCGACGGTCGACTTCCATCTCCTTATCGTCCTCCTCGCCCTCAAATTTGAGGCGATAGACGTCTTTCCTCGACCCCATCACTTCTGCCCGATAGAAGGTAGTGGTGTCGGGGTACCGGGCGAGAACCTGCTTGCCGACAGTAAATGCAGGCAAAGAGGAGCTCACTTGGGGGATGGGAATGAGCGATGATGCGGTAGTCTTATAGACAGCGCCTTGTTCCCCGTTCTCGTTAGGTTCGGGGTCTTGCACATCGTACCATCTGTCGGAAAGGAATCAGTCATGAAACTAATATCGAGATTTCAGGGGGAATATCATACCGCTTCTTGTGACCATCGCCAGATATGTTCTTGATAATGCATTGTATACCCTCACCTTCCACTCCCTGCTTGTTCTTGTTGTGCTTGAAGACGACTTGTGCTCCGACGACGAGAAGCCCACTACGCTCAGCGACAGCGCCCTTAGTACCTTCCGAACCTTCTTCGATCTTCACCGCGACCGCGGTTCCATCACCGCGACCCTCGCGCGCCTGGGTGCTCGAGACACTGGCGCTGCGCGGGACACCGCCTTTGGAACGACTAGACTTGTCCGCACCCGAGGCACTTGGGGAATCAGTCGAGCTCTCCATATCTTGTCTTTTTTTACGAGATTTTGAGAGGGCATTGGATCGGTTGGGAGGGGCCTCTGCCTCGGAGGCTTTGCGAAGCGCTGTGAGTAGTTCCAAGTTCTTGATCACATCGCATGGCTCGTCCTGCATGATCGATCGTTCGTCCTCGCTGAGTTTCTGGCTCTGGCGCAACCATGTATCCAGTTGGTCATGTTCAGACATGGTGGGTTCTTCATGAATCGAGGATCAGCTAGGTACGCGGGGAGGTTATAGCTCACACGTCATATCTCCAAGCTCGCATCAAGTGATACGCGTGTTTCACCGCGGCAAACGCGATGGGGTGTGACTTACTGTTTCCCTCTCGTGTTATCTTATCCACCAACGTCTTTATCTGAACGGAAAGGGATGCCTGTTGATCGAACTTCTCCTTGGACTTGTGGATGTCCTGGCATATCCGGGTCCACAGCTCCATCTCCTCATTGTTACCAAGCCCATTGTCGCGGGGCCGAGGACGATTGCGGGACATCTCTGTGTGGAGGAAGATCGAAAGCTACCAGATCGAAGCAGGCTCAAAAGTGGGCACCACAAGGGGTGATCTGGGGAATTGACGACTGGAAGCTGGGGGAAGCTGATCGAGGATCGGGCGGTGATAAGCCCAAGGCGGTCGGCGATAGACGCGCGCCTAGGGTTGGCGCCAGGGCGGCCGTTCTATACTTCCAGATGGGGGGGGGGGGGTGAAGGTGATTATAATCTAATATGTGCATGTCTGGGCTGTGAATGAGATTATTTCTTATCTGCTACATACTAATATTGATTCATAAAATCTTTTGTAGGCGCCTTGATGGTCGACAGTCCTCGAATGCGGGGTTGGTCAACCCTGCTCTGGCAGAGAATACCTAGTTAGTACCGTTATTGTTTGATTATTTGATGACCAAATCGATCGGGAAATACAACATAATGATAGCAAGAGAATCGCTTCTCTGACCATTGGTGACTGCTCCATTTATAGTAACCCCCTTTGGCAGTCGATATGATGAGCCTTTCGAGTTCCGGTATTTGATACTAGTATCAACACTGCTATAGATTTTGATGCGAATGAGGAAACGCTTGGCTTGTCGGATGGAGCATTCCAAGGGTTGAGTGTTGTTCTATCTCAATACCGGAAACAGTTTCAAATTTGCAGGCGGGGACCAAATGCAGACCCTGTTGCAATGGGCAGCCTTCACCGGGGAGGGTCTGAGGGGTCTTGGCGTGGAGATTCTGCGTAATAGAAACCCGCTGAGGCGCCCCCCCCCCCTCTTATCTCTTCTACAAATATTCTTGAAAATGCAGATTCCTCTACTTCGGCTGCAATGCGGTATGTCTACTCCCTGAAAACTTACCCGCCAATTCGCTAACCCGTCCAAAAAAGGCGTCAATAGTTACGATTGGGGTAAGTTCGTCTCACTAATGTTGTTTGCCCCGCACTCAACCCCATCATAGGCAAGGTCGGCCAAGAGTCGGCAGCAGCTCGGTATGCCGCCACTACGGCTGCCCCGGATTTCAAGGTTGAAGATGACAAGCCATATGCAGAGGTGAGTCCCCATCGTGGCCCTAGAGCTACTTCAAGTCCTGCCGGTAGCCGCTAATCAACCCTACAGTTGTGGATGGGCACTCATCCCTCGCTACCCTCGAAAGACGTCGAGACCCAGCGCTCTCTCCTCGATCTCGTTCAGGATAACCAGGCTCTCCTATCGACCGAAATCAGCGAGCGATATGGCAGTCGTCTTCCATTTTTGTTCAAGGTGCTCTCCGTCCGCAAGGCTCTGAGCATTCAAGCCCACCCCAACAAGAAGCTGGCCGAGCAGCTCCACGCACGGGATCCTAGAAACTATCCCGGTATGTGGCACGAAGATGAACCTGCGCTTGTCTGAATTGGAGGCTTGCAAAACACTGACACTGCTTTACTCAGATGACAACCACAAACCCGAGATGACCATTGCCGTCACGCCGTTTGAAGGACTTTGCGGCTTCCGCCCACTCGCCGAGATCACCCATTTCCTCCATGCCATCCAGCCCCTCCGCACACTCGTTGGCACCCAGGCTGCCAGCGACTTTGAACAGGCCGTCAAAGGCAACGAGGACTCGGAAGATTCGTCAGTTATTCAGAAGAACAAGGATGCCCTGCGATCTTTGTTCACCATCCTGATGAAGTCTGCCCCCGAAAAGGTCGAGACCGCCTGCAAGGAACTTGTTGCTCTCGCGAAGAGCTCCCCGGACAGCTTCGGTACTCTTCCCGGTGAGGTCGAGACCAATCCGACCAACCCAGGCGAGCTGGCCGAGATCATTGGCCGACTTGATCAACAGTTCCCCAACGACATTGGATCTTTTGTTTTCTTCCTCCTTAACTTCGTCAAGCTCGAGCCCGGCGAGGCCATGTTCCTGAAGGCTGACGACATTCACGCCTACGTTTCGGGAGATATTATCGAGTGCATGGCTTCTTCCGACAACGTTGTTCGCGCCGGCTTCACACCCAAGTTCAAGGACGTCGATACTCTGACCAAGATGTTGACCTACTCGTACGCCCCTATTGAGGAGCAGAAGCTCCGACCAACAGACTACCCATATGCTATCCTGAACGCAACAGCGTACTCGAGTGCATCCGAGTCTATGCTTTACGACCCCCCGATCGAGGAGTTCAGTGTTGTCAAGACCGATTTGAAGCGTACTGGCGCCAAGGCGACCTTTGACCCCATCGAGGGCCCCAGTGTCATCATCTGCACTCGTGGCAACGGAACTATTACCGTCGGAAGTAAGACCGAGGAGGTGCGTGAGGGCTATGTGTTCTTCGTTGGCGCCACTGCTGAGTGTATCATCCAAAACACTGGCAGTGGGGAGGGCGAGGATGATGTCTTTACGACATTCAAGGCATTCTGCGAACTGGACGGTAAGGAGGACTTGACCAATGGCAACTAGGTCCTCGATTCTAATCTGGATATGTTACAATAGAGCGTGCTGCACGTAGTGCGAATCTGTGACATACTACCCCGAGTCTGTCACAAAGCCAGTAAAACAATGAAATTGCATGAATCTACGATGGAGATATTCCTATGCCAACTTTCTTCCAACATTTCCATGTACTTTTCAATAATTCCCAATCATTCAAAACACCAAATCAACCGAATCAGCACTAGTAGTAGTATATAGAGTTCAAGCTCGGAAATTCAGGCGGCCCCACACGGGCCAGCCGAGGCTAGAATCGAAGGTTCAGCCTGCGAAAGCGGGGATGCTTGCACACGTCTGGGGTATCTTCAGCTCCAGATCACTCCCATTCAGCATATTACCGATCCAAGCTCTCCCTCTCTCAGATCATCATCAGTAACATTCCTAACATTCCGGATCTTTCACATTTCACTCAAATTTGAATCTCAGCCATGCCGGACACCAAGAGGGACCCCATGGTACCCGAGCTGGGCCTCTGGGAGCGGGCTGATGTTCAGCTTGGTAAGATCACCATAGTCGCAAATGTTCTTTATGCTGCCATCACTGGCGTATTCCGGGGAAAGAGTAGTCCGAAGTTCTATTCGAGTCATCTACTGGCCACGGCGGTTCGGACATTGGTCGATCGGCTCTCAGTCCGCCAGAACCAGTAGGTTCATTTCTGTCATCGGCTCCTGTTATCAAAGATGAACAATGCGCTGGAGATATGAATCAGAGATATGGGAGAAAACTAACAATCTTCACAATATATAGATACCTGAATGCCCCGACACCAGCAACATACAAGGCCGTGATGGAGAAACGAGGCTTACAGCCTGAGACTGTTCCTCTACCTCACGACGCTGAGGGATACTGGCTAGGAAACAAAGACGCAAAGAATGTCTTGGTCTTTTTTCATGGTATGTAAAACTCCATCTCATCTCCAAGTCCCGTATATCTGGGACGTGTAACCAAGCCAAGATATACCCCACGCACAACCCGGAAGCTAATCTAGATCCTATTCCACCACACACAGGAGGTGGTTTCGCGCTGCCCGCTACACCCGCGCATTTTGAATTCTGGCTGGATCTATTGAAGGTCGCCAATGAGAACGGCCATGATATTGCTGTCTTCTTCCCTCGATACACACAGAGCCCATATGCTACTTACCCAACCCAACTGCGTCAAGCAACCGGGGCCTTGCGTTACATCCTCAATGAGACCGGTCGGTCCCCGCCAACGTAGTCGTGGGCGGCGATTCCGCCGGAGGTAATTTGGCCATGGCTATTCTACTGCATCTTTCTCACCCGCACCCGGAAATCGAGCCCATCTCACTATCCACTCCCCTGGCCGGTGTGTTTGGCCTTGCGCCATGGGTGAACTTCAGTACCAACTGGCCTTCCTTCAAGGACAATGCTTACAAGGATCTCGTCACCGAGCGGGCACTGAGCGAATGGTCCGCGTCTTACAATCCTGGAAAGGAACATGATGCTTGGAGTGAGCCTGACCGGGCTCCTGCCGAATGGTGGGCGGATGCGAAGACAGAGCGCATCTTACTTCTCGCAGGATCGGATGAGCTTTTGCTATCCCCTATCGAGTCTTTTGCGAAGAAGGTTAAGGTATGTTTAACTTCCTTTTCTTCGTCATTCCCTGGATGGATTAATGATTGATTTTCTTGCTTTTAGTCTGTCTTCCCAAACACTACTTATATTGTTGGTACCGATGAGGGTCACGACATTATATTTTATGGTAACCCCGGGCCCGAGGGGGTACAAACTGGCAACGAGCTCCGGCAGTGGCTTTTGTCTCGTCTGTAGACGTGGTGAACTACATGTTCAAGTTGTTTTAGCCCTTTCAAATATTCCTATCATGCAAAGCTACGGATACGAGTGAGACTGTAATTAGTTCAATATTGTACTTTCACTCCGGATTTTGATGATTCTTGCGATACTGTAGCATGTAGAGGGGGTGCGAAGTCATCCTCATCTATACTGCATCATACGAACAAAATTCAGATATGCCCAGGCGAAAGCGAGTATCAATTAAGAAGTCTAGCAAGCTCAGACGCAAAGAACTATTCTCTATGAAGCGTATATGGGCGTTAAAGTGTCTATTGAAAAGTCTCGATAACGCACTGATAAGATAAATAAAAAAGGACGATTCGAACAATTGCACGTTGGTAGTGGTCGTGTCAACTCATGAAAAACAAAAGAAAGAGCAGGATATCATGAACCCCGGCTGTAAATAACTGGCTTCACAAAAATATTAAAGCAAAGTTTCCCCCAACATTTTCTCTCCTCCATAAACAATCCACTCACCGCCTCAAGACGACACCTTCGGCGAGTACTTGGACGCGGCAGTATCAAAAAGAGCGCTCTTTTCCTGGATGTCGGCGAGGAGGGCATGCGAGGGCTCGGTCTGCTGCAGGAGGCTGTAATTGCTTTGATTAGCTATGTGGCCTGTTTGTCATGTGTGAGGGAGAGCGCTTGAGGGCGCTTTTCCCACGGGGCGTACGTACGATTCCAGATCCGCGGAGGGCTTTCCGGCCAACACGTTCAGGACAATTGTGTTGGCGATCAGCTCAGCGTCGGTGGGGTATTTCTCCAGGGCAGTAGTGAGAGCGGCTTCGGCTTCGGGGAGACGGCCTAGGTGGAGCTCTGCGACGGCCTGGCCGACGATGGACAAGGGGGCGGAGGTGCTGGGGCCGGTGGCGAGTTCTTCGTAGACGTAGAAGGCAGACTGGTACTTCTCTCCTCCCTGGAGACGAAAAATAGAGTGTTAGCAAACGGTTCGCAAATGATGCTGCAATGATCGAATACGTACAACACGCAGACCAACCCATGACTCGGCGATGTTGACAAGCAGCGAGTCCTGAGCCCATCGCTTGGCGGCCTGGACTTCCTTGAGCGCAAGGTCAGAGCGGTTCTGTTGGAGGTGAATCTGGACAATCAGGGAAACACTAAATTGCGCGAATAGAACTGTCAGAGTCTTGATTGTTTGAGTTCGACTGCCATGGCGAAACACTCACGCCTCGAGGTTACCCTGGTGCTTGGAGAGCACGGTGATCGCCTCCTCACTATGTCCTTGTGCCTGCAGCACAGTTGCAGCAAGCACTTGCACGGTTGCATTGTCGGGGTAGTTCTCTGCGAGATCCTGGGCCAACTGCAGAGCAGCGTCGGTCTTGCCCGCCACTTGTTGGGCAAGGGCCTTGGTGGCGGCCAGGTCGGGAGTATCCTCTTCGCTGGCAACAGCGGCCAGGACCTCGTCGCTCTGACCAAGGGCAATTTGGGAACGGAGCTTGAGCACGCGAGCAGGGAGCTGGTTCTCGGGGGAGAAGGCGGCGGTCTCGAAGTCGATTACGTTCTGGTATTGACCGGAGTGGAAGGCATTGTGGATGTTGAGGAGCTCTAGAAGGGGGATCAGCAGGTTGTAGAGGACTGTTAGATAATTTGGATATGCTTACCGCCCTCTGCTGAGAAAGGATCCATGTTGAAGTGACTGGGGTTGGAGAAGGGGGGTAGATGTTTCGGTTGATGTTTCTGGCCGCAATTGACTGCTGTCCTAATCGCGGAGCTGGCAACTCTCCCGAGGGCAAGTGGGCCGACCGCCCTGTACAGGTGAATGGGGAAATCATCCATTTGGTTAACAATGTATATTTTAAAATACATTAATTCTAGCGAATATAGCTCTATTTGATTCATTTGATCAGTTTTGATTTTCATCTCCCATTCAAATTATGGTGTGTTCTTTTTATGCGCAATTAGCAGATGCAATGGTACTAGCTCGACTGATCTGTAGTGAAGCATCATCTACCAAAGGAACAAGGATTGGTTTGAAAGTACTATGTGTTCCAGAATAATTGTATGATAGAGTTTTAGTGCATATAATGGAACCAAGAGCATGGTATGTTGTCGTTCTCTTCACACCTCCAGCGTCTATCTCCAAGACCTCCATCACCTCCAACACCTCCACGGCTACCCTTTATAAGCTACGTCACCAAGGCGAACTTCTTTACTGTGTGATTTTTTTTTTCTTTTCACGAGATATAAACCCAAGTTGAGTCTCGGATTAAAAAAGACTGGATATGGCTACTTCTATAACAATCATCTCTTCACCATATCATGTTGGTTTGCGCGATCATCGCGTCGGCAATGGCCCGCACCGCATCCGCTCTCTAGGCGTCATCGACGAGCTCGAAAAACTGGGCATTCGGATTCATATCACCGAGATCGAGCCAGTGGACAACTACGAGGGCGAAATAGGAAGAAGCTTCGAAGTTATGCGACGTATCTCGAAGGCCGTCACTGCCGCCGTGTCAGGCAACAGCTTCCCGCTCATTCTGTCGGGGAATTGCATGGCCAGTGCCGCCGTAGCTTGCGGCTTGGGGATCAAAGATCTTGCATTTATATACTTCGATGCTCATGATGATCTTGACTCGCCAGACGTCAACGAAAACGGCTATTTCGACGCTATGGGTCTTTCTATGCTTCGAGGAGAAAGCTGGAATGCGTTTATGAAGACTATTCCGGGCTATGAGCCGTTTTCTTACGATCGTTTTCTATATTGCGGCCTACGAGACCAATCTGAGGTCCAGAGGCAGCGCGTTATTGATGCCGGGATGCATTCAGTATGGGGCAGTATTGAACGAAAGGTCGACTTTGCGAAAGAATTTGAAGCCCAGCTTGACAAACGCTCTTACAACCAAGCGCTGGTTCACCTTGACCTTGATGTCTTGGATGAATCGTATGGTAAAGTGAATGACTTTCCATCGCCAGGAGGACTATTTGAAGACGAGTTGGTGGCTTGTATGGGAATGTTACCCAATAAAGCGGTTCCAAAGTCACTGACTGTTTGTTCGTTCGATCCTAATTCAGGAGATGGCGATAAGATTGCTCATATTGCCATCCGGGCGATCAAGACCTTTTTCCAGTCTCTTATTGAAGCAAATGCCTTAGTAACAAAGTCTTAGAGCCCGCAATGTGGCGTGTATCTTTATTTCATCTTTTCGATAATGTTCAAATCTACTCAAACTTGTCCAGGTTTACGGAGCTATGGTGGAAGTTCTCCTATTGGCTTTTTGGTGTGATAAAAGGTCTATTCCATTGTTTGAGTACATAAAGAGCTCTTCGAGCTCAGATACATGTAGGACCCCAACCACATACATGAGAAAATCAACTGGCATATTTGACTGATCAGTCTTGTGACACAGTATGAGCGTCACAAAGAATCAGATAGAGTCGGCAAAGGTACAAATTCAAACAATAGAGATTGTATCAATCTGAGAACATGAAACGAATACATAAATGCCCGAAATGGTATCAATCTGGTGGCATGAAAAGGGCACAGACGTGTAGATGGTATCAATCTGCCCAGGTGGTATATAACAGGAATACAGATCACAGGATATACTAGTAGTCATATACTAGGACATTGCCTCAATGTTTGAACATTTCCTTCAATTTCTTACATGCCGTCGTACGGTGAGATACCACTTGTCGCACCTTGCCCGCGATGAGCTTGCCAATATTCAGTTCCTCAGTAGAGGCTGTGAAGGAAGACGTGGATACGGTAGAAGACAAGGTCATGGAAGGCACCTCGATGTCTTCGTATGGCGAGTACATGTAGTCATCTTCGGCAAATGTCGCATAGGCAGTCTGATTCCGTGCTTTTTTGGAAGCACCCGCTTGGCAAATTTGATTTCGCAAATCAAACAGAGTACCAGTTGCTGGCCTCTGTTGAGGGAAGGGAGGGACGGCCTCAAGTTGAATATCACTGTCGATGGAGGTGCAGACAGTGGATGAGGTGACCGAAGCGACATCACTCTGGTCGTTTCCAGTGATGTCGGTATCGGTGTTGTTGTTGTCCTCGGATTTGCGAATGGAAGATTCTGAAGTCTCCCGTGCCCATTTTGAGATGACAGCCTTGTGGTCTGTCGAGGGTAGAGTGGCGAGAGCTCGGGGGTTTAGTTCCCCGGAGCAAGAAGAGGATTGGCGAGGTCGTGGTGCGAGGATCGCATCAGTGTTTACCTCGATGGTTCTATGTATCATGTTAGAGAATAGATGAAGCCAAGAGAGTATAATGGTATTCTACTTACCGTGGGTCGAAGAATGTTTTATTTTTCGACATGGCGTCGAGCCAGTTAAAGTCCTGGGACTGTTCGTAGAAGCGAGGGTAAGAAGTCATCTTGGCTATATGTATTTAACAAGATGGGAAGTTGAAGGGGAGATGGATGAGGGAAAAGAGAGAAGCATGGGAAAGAACGACTGGAAAAGACTTAAATAGAGATCAATAGAATGGTCATTTGGTGCTCATTTATTGATCATCTTCAAAGCCAAATGGGCTTAGTAGATATAGATGCAAGGCCGATCATCGATTTGTATACTTCTTTCCATTTTGGGAATACACAGAGTTCAATCCTGACCGTGGTAAGCATAGAAGCTCTGTAGCTTGAAAGGTCAAGTATGACTATTCTGGCTTAATAGATCATGACCTCGTCCATGGGAACAGGAGCAAATCCACGGATATTCTCTTGTTTTTCAATCTCAGACTATATCTAGACCTCCGACGACATTTGTAGAATTGGTATTTAGACCATGACGTCATAATACAGAAGTCGAACAGATGAATAGGATCACTTCAGGATATCAAAAAAGTGTTGCAGTAAGAGGTCACTATGAAAGAGAGGCCCCTCAACTGGATGAATTGTAGGTGTCGCAGAGACATGCAAACCCTAAATTCTGCCCGGACGATCCCAACTTGGCCATAGCGCGGGATTGTTGACCCCCGCCCCTCGCGTAGCTGACACTTCATATCCGCTTCATATCACTCCATCGAAATCAGTATCAGTACTCCAACGACATGGCTGACGATAAGGAGACAACCGCTATCCCGGTACCCCCACCTGTAAATGATGGGGAAACCGGAACGTCGGCAGCGCCTCCGCTGCACGACGATGCCAAGGGTACAGGAACCAAGAGCAGTGGTCCACAAGCAACAGAGGAGCTTCCAACCCCCGAGACCTGTCGAAAGATCGAGGATTACCAGGTACTGGATCGCGAGGGGAAAAAACACTCATTTAAGAGTCTGTATGATGGCCCTACTTCAGCCGACCGCGTGGTGGTGATTTTCATCCGGCATTTCTTTTGCGGTGTAAGTACTTGCTAAAACTTCGTATTTTCGATTTCTGCAGGTGATTTTGCGACAAGAATCTGGTAGTAGAGTACTGACACCATATTTATCTTACCAGAGCTGTCAAGAATACCTTATCGCCTTGTCGAAAGCTATTCAACCAGCGGACTTGCTAAAATTGCCTACCAGTACATCGATCGCCATCGTCGGTTGCGGCGATCCAGGCTTGATAGATTTCTACGCCACTCAAACGGGCTGTCAATTCCCAATATATGCTGATCCCTCGCAAAAGTTGTATGGGGACCTAGGAATGGTCAGTAATCTGGCCATGGGACCACAGCCGGAATATATACGCAAAAGTATGTTCCGAATCATCGGTGAATCGATCGTGCAAGGTTTGAAGCAGATTCCAAGCGGTCTGGCACACAAAGGGGGACCAAACAGTCAGAATGGTGGTGAACTTATTTTTGAATCCACCGGAGAGGGACTGCCAAAGCAGATGACTTGGTGTCACAGAATGACAACGACGCGTGACCATATCGAGGTCAACGAGCTTATGAAAGTTCTCGACCCAAGTCAGAAATACTTGCAGAAACCCCGGGAATGATCTCTATCATACTTCGCATTTCTATCTTGCGCCAGTACTCTGGATGTTATATTGTTCCTCGCCGCCAAGTGCTACAAGAAAAAACCTTTGAGATTTCATCAATATACGCGCTCTCACTGTATCTATTTCAATATTGATTCCTAATTGATAATACTCAGTCGAATTAGTCATATCTACTTTTTTTTGAGCTGAAGCATCCTTCAAGTTCTTACGATAAGAGCCTAATGTTTGCCTCGCGTGTTCTTCTCTCGTTGCCAAACCTCGAGCTAGACATATTGCAGAGGGACTCGGAGAAAGGCATATCAACAAACTATTTACGTCCTGATTCCAAAAAGGCGTAGATGGTGAGTAATAGCAGCGATCAAGGTCCAGAGAGGAATGTCAAGCGGGTTTTATTACTATTTCAAGAAAGGGTCCAGCCAAGAAAGGGTCCAGCCAAGAAAGGGTACAGCCTTAAAAGGCCTCGGGTAATTTCTTTTTATTGAAAGAACCATTCAGTGTGACTTATTGCGACGTGATTTCCTAGATACTGCCTCGTCAGTCCATGAAGTTGGGGGGGTGGGATTTTATCTGGCCGAGTCATTTTTATGATTTGGTTATAAATTCCTAGACGGTCTCGGAAACACCTGAAAGTCTCATTATGATAGCGCTACGCGAAATCCCTGTCTCTTTGACGCGCGGTGAGACGAATCCTTGTTCTTCTTTGTATGTATCAAAAGTTTCATCCTTTGTTACATTTCATATTTTGTATACCATGGAGTTATTGTTCAATCTTCTTTGTCATAGTATAGATAAAGCTGCGATGAGCCGCTAGAAGACAGCCACTCGAGAAGTATAAAAGGGTCTTGAAGTCTAGCTTATATTATAGATCCACTATTCCAATATCGTCTTGTGTCCCTAGATATACACTATTTGACTCAACTATAACGCACTTACAATACTCATTGACTCACGCCAAACATGATGTTCTCACTGAAAATTTATTGGACGCTTCTTGCCTGTTGCTCTATTTCCGCAGTTTGCGTTTCTGCAGCAAAGAGCGATGCGACGACGGCATATGGTTCAGACATGGAATGGGGGACCCCAGAATACTATGTTAGCAAAGGTTTCAATGCCAATGGGCTTCCAGACCTTTCCATACTCTCAGATGAGATAAAGCAAAAACAAGTCTCTATGAAATGGGCAAACCAACTAGAGAAAAACAGAAGCAGCCGAGAAGCACAGTGGAGCGCTGCCCTGCATGAGTTTGAAGCTCTGCCTATCGGTACTAGTAAACGGCGCAAATCTCGATTTATGCAGATCTTGGACATATACAGAGCAAAGGTCGGGAATTTTCGAGAGGAGAACGTTCAGAATTATCAGATCGTAGATAATCTCGAAGAAGGGAAAATTATCAGCGTATCAGGAGGTCGATTTATAAAGACAACATCTGTACAGTTTCGGCTTGACGGAGGAAAACTAACAACCGTGAATGCTATGCTCAGCTGCGACCCATACAATACTATCTGTAAGGATATGCTCTTGAAGCTTCATCCTTCTGTTAGATCGATGCTTGACAATGTCATGCGATATCTTGTCGCACCTATGGCAGCTCAATATCGCCATGTTACGGCTTACCCTCTGTCACTTCATATAGATATTCGACTGGAAAGTCCTTACGATCGTCGGCATAATTCGTTAGCCTCTGGACTTGTTCCCGCATCTTCTACCAGCGGCGGCACTAGGGTGATAACCATCCAACTCCCATATGTGAACAAATTGGCACGATCTTATTCGAAAGATGCTATCTGGCGGGAGATTATGGGAACAGTGACACACGAGGTTACACACCTGTTCCAATGGTATAACCATAGACTTCAACCTACGAAACAGCCAGGTGTAATCCACTTTGGTTCCCCATTGGGCGTTTGGCCATTTGGTAGGTCAAATAGTCTTAGCGATAACAGCTTTCAGGCACCGGCCTCAGTACCAACAGAACTTCTAGAAGGCATTGCAGACTATGTTGTAGTTCGATCCGGGCTGGAAAAGCTTCACTGGAGACGGCCAACCTCATCAAAGGAATTGGCTCACAAGTGGCAGACGGGAACTTACCATAGAGCCTTCTTTTTTGAATGGTTAGAGATGCGGATCGGAGAAGGCACTGTTGGCAGATTGATGGGCTCCGTCCTAGATTCCGGATATGCGGGAAGTTATCCAGAAGCAGGAACCCCCTGTGGACTTGAATACGGCACTTGGGAGTCTGTGACTGGTATGAGTGCTCAGGATCTGTGGAAGGAATATGGTCTGTTTGTTGATACCACTATGCGACAGCGATCAAATCCTCACTGGACATGGGCCCAGGTCTACTTCATTCTTTTCGTTTTAACTACCTGCTACTTGATTTTCCGCGACGTGAAGTGGCATAACAGCTGGACTTTGAACCAGTGGACCCCTGATTGGGAAAAATGGACCCCTAGCTGGGCTACCACTAGTGTTAAGTGGACATCAAGCTGGAATAAATGGACTCCCAACTGGAGCTTGAAGAATTGGGCTTCTAGCCTTAGAACTGGGATAGGGGAACGCCGAGCTGGTTGAGACAGCCACCTACTAGTACGAGTTATTGACGAATTTGGATTGCAAGTATTTCTGCAGTTATATATTTCGGCATTCAAAAAGAAGTAATTTCACCCTTGACGGCCGTACTAGTAGACAATCTAATAGTACTGCAATGAAATCCACCATTGTGTAATATTCTTCATAATCGTCGCGAATAGAGTCAAAGCAGCAGCAAAATACTAGTAGTAGAAGCGGTAGGTGCTTCTTGATCATGACAACCGCTTCTGGGAGGAGTGCAGCATTCCTGTCCGAAGGTCCGAGCCCCGGAATATTGGGGGCCTGAAGCTGAGAAGTGGGGGCCGAGATTGAGGGGTTAGCGACTGCCAGTGACTGAAAGAAAATCATGGCAACCAAATAGTAGACTAAGCATCTGATGAAGAGCAAAATGAGGTCGTGAAAGATCGAGGGTGAGTGGGGGTAACTAATCTAGTTCAAGTGGCACTATCAGTGTCTTGGCAATATCAGAGTGACGATGAAGCCTGGAGGGTGCATAAATTTAGATGCATTCTCCGTAATGCTTGAGGGTAAGCTTGGAATATCCGAGTCATCCGTCAGAGTCTATTTCGCAAGAGAGCCTATCATGCAATGCCAGTTGGTCACACATACCTATTTACTCCTATCTAGGCAAGTAGTGCGGAGAAATACTCGTCATCAAGAGCGTTCGCTCTGGTTATAAGCACCGGCGAGTTCTCCCTGCTTCACAAAATCTACCTAAGTATGGAGATTGCCAATACCAGCAAGCTTGAATTCGAGGGCGTTGGCCTCAAGCATAGAGGAAACGGGATTTGGTTCAAGTACCTGTTTCTCGGCGACGAAGATGATCCTACGAACAACTACCTCTTTGTTCTCGCTCGTCAACAAAGCTTCTATTCACCTGTGCATCGCCACAACTTTGATCAGTTTCGCTATCCCACGCTGGGCAACATTAATATACTCCCAGAAGTTGACGTCCGTCAAGGCGAACTTTGTTACCACCCCGAGGGTGTCCACTACGGCCCACAGGACGACGGCGACGAGCTCAAAGAGGTTCTGGTCCTCCAGTTTGGCGGCGCAAGTGGCCAGGGCTTTGTGAGCCATGCAAAACTGGCAGAGAGTCAACAAAGACTTGCCAGCCATGGTCAATTTGAGCGTGGCAAATTCATTCGCCGAGCACAAAACATCGATGGAACTGGTTACGATGAGTCGGAGCCCGTCGACGCTTTCCAGGCGCTATGGGAGGACCAGACGGGCCGGTCGCTCGTATATCCAGAGGGTCGTTATGACCGTATCATCAAGATGCAGCCAAATGCATATGCGTGGACCAAGATGAAGGGCTACAGCGGGGTCTGGAAGAAGACTCTCGGGGTTTTCTCCGAGCGCGAGACAAGAGTGGAAGTGATTAAGATCGAGAAAGACAATTGGAAAATACCAGCTGAGGATGCTACACACCTGTTTTATTTGTTGAAAGGGGAGGGACTTGCTGACGGTAACGATATCAAAGCCGAATGGGCTGGTAGAATCCAAGCAGGCAAGGCTGCAGAGGTTAGCACGGATATCGAGCTACAGATACTTCACTTCAAGTTACCCATGCTAGCGCCGGAGAATAGCTAGGGGAGTGGTTAGATCCAATAAAGCTCTATATATTATTAGTCGGCTATTCAATAGCCTGGAAGCGGATCAGAGTGGTTTGAAAGCAGGCGAAGGGGTATAAATTTGTATCTTAACTGCTTAGTAAAACATTGACTGGCAAAGTACATCCTAATCTAAAGTCCATTTCCCTAGCCCTGCCACCTGAAACGCCCTTCCTTCAACGTTTTCACCACTCCAAGAGGCATGAACTCCCGGTTAACAGCCGCCAGACTTCCGTAGGTATGCACCATCTCGTCATGGTAGAGCTCCGCGACCCAGCGCCAATAAGGTGTCATTATGCTCCATACCGGACCGATAGTCCCTTTGCTTGCTCTGCTCGTGGGGCTCTTGAGACCAATCATATTTTTCCTCAAGTCACCAGTGTTCGCAACACTCTTTTCCTCCGGGACTTTGATCAAGTCGCAATAGGCAGAATAAAACCAGTGGCTGAAGGTCTCTGGGTACTGGTTATGCTCTTCCAGTGAAGGAAATGAAAGAGGTTGGCCATTTGAAGCCCGAAGTGTTGTTTGGAAATTCGACCCCTCTTTCTCGAACTTCTCCCTGGCCCCGTAATAATGAATCTCGTCCGCTAAAATCGCCCTCTGGAGTCTTCTGTGCGGTGTTTGCTTGATGTTTTCACGCATGGAGAGAAGATTGACAAATGGATTCAGTAGTTCGAGGCCGCCCAACTCAACAGGGTAGTAGAAAAATCCTTCAGGAAGGTCATGAATATCGAATCTTTCTGCGATGAGTCCTCTCAGATAGTTGGTGACCCCACCTTTTTGTTCAGCATCTCCATGAGAAGGTTTTCCGAAAAGGGCAGACTCAATGCGGCTGAGCGTTGAAATCGCCATATCAATGTGGTCTCGGCCGAAACACAAGGCAGGCTTCGCAAAGTTGTTGGCGAAGAAGCGCCCAAAATATCCATTCCACGCCTGGACCCATTCGAAGATGCTCTTGCAAGATGAAAGCTGGCGATCTAGCTCTTCGATATGCTGGTCCACCTGTTTCTGATCGATGACGAACTTACCCTGCTCTGCATCGAGAACCAAGAAGCCCCAACGAATCTCACCGGTGGGGAGAATTTGACTTTTTTGGGCTTCACCCATCTGGACTGTGCCGGTTTTTTCTTCGTTAAATTCCAGCCCCATCAAGTTGGCAAACTTGGTCATAGACCCCCAGGCTTGTTCACAGTCCTTCCCTGTTCCCCAGAACCAAAAATCATCATGCAGTCGATACAGAATATTTCCGTTTGTACCCTGGTTCACAGCATAGTCCATACAAAAAAGTACCGACTCCCCGAAGAAGTCTGAAAGAGTGTGGCTCATAGGAATTCCACGCTTGCGAGTTTGCACCTGAGCAGCAGGGCCATCTTGCACAAATCGCAGTGGAGCCTCGAGGAACACTTTGAAAAAGTTCAGCCACTTTCGGGAAACACCAAAGTACTCCAGAACAGTTAAAATGGTTGTATGGGACAAAGATGGACCAAACCACTTGTAGTCGGATCGAATCGCAGTGAACTCGCCCCTCAAATTCTTTTGAATGAGGGACTCGGTAATCAATCGGTGAAGGAGAGAGTGCTTTGTGTTTAAGGCACTTTTAACTTGGGAACTGTCGTCATAGTTTCGAGCGCCCTCGTGAATAGATTCAGGTAGTTGACTCATAAAGTATTCTTCCTGGTATGTAGTCTTTCGCAAATAGTTTATGCACCTGCTTTCAGACGTGGGGACTTTCCCATAGAAGTATTTGCGTCGTTCAATGTACTCCTCAGGAATCTTCTCTTGAATGGGAGTCCAGGCACGTGAGCGTAGAAATGATGTAAACACTTCACGCAGCTCGACGGCCCACTTCGTGCCAAGATACTGAAGCATGAGGCTGTCGAGAAGATCCTCATCCATAAAGACGCGGTATTTTCCATTGAGTTGTCGCCGCATTTCGACGGGAATTCCATCCTGACTCCAGCTCCAGCTTTCCAGAGACGACAGACGCATGTTGAGCACATCGGCGACCTCCTGTGTAACCTCCTTGTTACGCATAAATTCCTTGAGAACTGATGTCTTTTCCGTGCTGAGAAGGTCGGTCTGCATCAATGCATTTGAAACCCACTGAAGCTCATTCGCATCCAGCCAATTCCCTTCTGTGGCCAGATCATTTCCAAACCTTTGAACGCTCTCGCGAAGCTCCTTGAACGCTTGTTTGGTCAATTTGTCTTTGTGGAATAGACCGTCAAGATAGGAGCGAATGTCTTTTGCTTCAACGTGGTTACCGGTAGAAAATACCAGTGACTCCCACTGCGCTCGTTGGTTGTGCATTTCCGCCCGGCCCACCCTTTCAAAACCAGTTTCAGACTTGCCGGAATCCGATCCACCATCCTTATTAATATCAGATACGTTCTGTGCATCTAGCTGGGCTAGCCACTCCGTAACCAGCTTGCTGTAGAAGGAGGCATGGTCGTGCTTGAGTTCGAGGTAGCGAAGCTCATTTTCAAGTTGACCGATCCATCTCTGCAAGGTCTTCTCCGAGATAGAGGAATCGTATCGACCCTGTAAAAGAAAACGGCGGATATTGGAGTGATCTCCGTTACGGAGCTGACCCATGTCTAGGTTAGGCATTTCACTCTCTGAATCATCGTCAGAAGATTCCATATCCAGGTCCATGTCGTCTTTGTCGAGTGCATTTTTTGGGTATCCCTTCAGGCTTGAGACACCATTGAGAAGAATTTGAGCGCGAGTGTGCAGATCGGTAGCTGCAGCTGCATTTTCGCGTATTTCAGCCTTGGCCGTGTCGAAAAGAGTGCGTTGCTTGCCAAGCTCATTGATCTTAGTGGCTGTGATAGACTTGAGGGTTTGCGGAAGTGCTCCGGTGGAAGCCATGTTGATGGATTGGCGAGTAGTAGTGGCTATGACAATCCCAATATGAAATTTGAGGAGATGTTCAGGACGGCGATGAAGGTAAAAAGAAGGTGGAGATGGCTGGTTGAATGTGAAAAGGGAAGATTGAAGAGCGGCGAAAATATTGTTTAAGTATTGCTAGGCAGCAGCTAGTGAGAAGCGAGCCGCCTCAGATTTGAGCGAAGTATAATGCGGTGAGTAGGCGGGCACTCGAATTGGCAAGCGTGCAGTTGTTTTGATAAAGGGAAGTGAAGCCGCAACGGGCAAGGTTGCGGACCCCACTACATCGGAAACCCAATCGGGTCAAGTGCCCCACTTTTATAGATCAACCAACACATCACACATCACACATTACATTGGTTTCCATCAGTTCACTACTAGCATGGGCAGGTTGGTGGCAGGTTACGAGCATGTGAGGTCAACTCTTTCCTTCCTGGAAATATTATAGGGAGAAATACATTTCAATGCATAACTAATTCAAGGGCATACAGCGAGAGTTTACCCAATCTCCAAGGCTCCTTCAATCATCTGCTATTATACATCCTCCTAGCCCCACTGGCACAGGACCTTGGGAACAACCATCATAGCATTTGCCACGCCGTAGCAGGTTGATTGGCTTTGATCACCATATTCCGTGCACTGGACATCCTCCGAAAAGTCAGGGCAGCTCAGAGTACCAGCTGTTTCATCCGAGTCGGACGAGTAAGAGCAATCACTCTTATCGTCTACATCAAAGTCCAAATCATTGTCACCGTCAGGATAAGGGACGTTCTTCAAAGATATGTCACCACTGGCGCTCCACTGGCCAGTACTGCCATCACACCAGTCAGGACTATCGTCAAAGATGTCGGGCGTATATACACTCCAGCTGTTGGACCAGCCATTGACAACATAAGCGACAACTAGCTGAGCGGTTGGAAGTAGTGGTTCTGTGGTTGTGGGTATGGGATCTTCCGTCGTAGTGGTAGGTGCCTCCGTCGTCGTGGCCGGTGCCTCCGTCGTTGTGGGTGCCTCCGTCGTTGTGGTAGCTTCTGCTGTTGTAGTGGTCTCATCGGCGGTTGTTGTTTGCTCCTCAGTTGTAGTTGTTTCCAGACTCGGTGTGGGTGTTGAAGTAGGCTTCGGAGTCGAAGAGGGAGTTGGGCTAGTCTGTACCGAAGAATAGGAAGCGCTCGGTGTCGAAGTCAAAGTGTTGGAAATGGGACTACTACTGGAGGGAGAAGTGCCTGAAGAGGTTGAACCTGATTCGAGTGCTGATGATAGTGGAACTTGTCCCCCTGCAGTTGCATCGGCCGGGCAATCGCGCTTTTGATTACCAGACTGTGCAACCTTTTGGTCATCATACGCAATCCAGTATCTCTGATGGACGTAGCGAGGCTTGTCTTCCACCCAAACTCGCACCATGGCTTGTTGAATAGAGCAGCTATCGGTGGCTTGGCGAGCTTGAACAGGGTCGTACTGAAAAAGTACCTTTCCCAGAGGTGTGAAGGTATTGTCGGCTCCTCCGCCTCCGGCGCGACTGTAAGTGATAGGAATTGGAGGAGTCGAAACCCCCAAAATATCCTTCACCTTTTCCACGATTTGGTCCACCTTTTTGTCATATGCCTTGTCATAATCCGCTCGGCCCGAACTACCAGGTCTAATGACATATGCTGCAGGTCTGTATTGACTAGCAAATGCCCCGTTAGATCCTGCGTACTGTCGCAAACCGGAGATTCCAGATCCGCCATCGCCACTTTCAAGAGGAGTGAGGACTTCTTGTTCAAATCTCTCCTGTGTTCCAATTCCCCAGTTGCCCTGGCTAAATCCAGGAACCTCCCAGAAATGAGACATGTATACAGCCTTCTCGGATACAACCACCACCGAGGTGCAACCATATAATCCTTGGACAGCCATGTCATACTTCACCTTCTTGAGCTCATGATAAAGAGCTGTGGGGTTTGACCTTCCACCAGTTCCAAGCGGCACCCACTCAGCCCAAACATACTGGTCGACCAAGAATGCACCGGTGTCGCCGTTATAAGGAGCATCTTGTGGGGATGTGAGAGTACGCTTGGTGAGATCCAGATCCCTCTTTGCCGCTGAACTAGCAGTCGGAGTAGAAAGAGACATGCAAGACGAGCATCCTGTTCCACACTGCCCACCAACACTGGAGCTTGGTGTTGTTGTTGTAGTACTCCAGCTAGTCGAGGTAGATCCAGTGGTGCTGCACGCGGTTTCCGTTGAACAGGTGGTGCTGCAGCTCACCGTTACAGGAGCACGACCAGCCAGTTGGGATTTTGGAATAGCAGTGGTTGGGCACACAACATCACAATTTGTAATCGTTTCAGTTTCCGAGCAAGAAATCGTTGTAGTTGTTGTAGAGGCAGAGATATCACAGCCAGTCACTGTCTTTGTCGACGTGGAGCAAGATGTTGCTGCTTGTCTCTTACGACCAGGGGCTGAGGTGGCAGAGCATTCCACGTAGATATCTTCGGTGGTGGTGGAGGAGGAGCAGGAGGTCGAAGTAGTAGAATCATCTGACGATGACTGATCCTCGTCATTGGAGTTCTCGGCTAGGTCTGTGATGCTAGAAACCGTGCTCTCCAAGCCTTCGATGTTAGAAAAGTCGTCGTCGATACCTTCTTCAATCTCAGACTTCACTTTGTTCAGTCCATCATCGATACAGGTGACAGCGTTGATCAAGTCCGAGAGAAGGTTCCCACCGTCACTGCATGAGCCTGTTGATCCTTCTGAGCTCGGATCAATCTTGTTCAGAAGATTCTATGAAGCTGGTTAGCGATGGGAGACTCTTGCGACATTTTTAGATGGTTTTCTTACCCTAGCCTCCGGCTCTACCTTCTTGAGTTTCTCGATGGCATCTTGTGCCTTGTTTTTGTCTGGCGTGTCAATCAATTTTGAGAAAATTGGAATGAGTGTGACCGAGATCTCATTTTGTAAAGAACTGACACTCGAAGTAGCTTGTGGGTCATCGGTGTTTAGAGTTATAGGAAATGGAACCGTTGAAGATGTAGTAACAGCACTGGTTATGGTGGTGCTTGGATTAGTGATCACAGTTTTTGAAGTAACGGGAACCACTGTATTCCCAGCTGAAGAAGGAGGAATTTTGCTGCTTGAAGGCTTTGGGTAACCAGGTGTTGAAGGTGAGCCTCCGGACGGCGAGCTGGTATCCTTGGTCCCTGGGTTGGAGCTCGGGTTGGAGCTAGGATTGGAGCTAGGATTGGAGCTTGGGTTGGAGCTTGGGTTGGAGCTGGGATTGGAGCTGGGATTGGAACTTGGGTTGGAGCTCAGATCGGAGCTTGGGTTGGAGCTTGGATTGGAGCTTGGATTGGAGCTTGGATTGGAGCTTGGATTGGAGCCTGACTCGTGAGCCGTGCCACTGGTTGTCCTCTGGGTAGGAATCAAAGGGCGGCTTGACGAGCTAGTAGGCAAGCTCGAAGGGCCGGGGCTAGGCAGGCCAGGGCTTGAGGTGGCCACGGAGCTACTTTTCCGAATGGTGGTCGGCGACGATCCAGGAATGGTCACTGTACTCGATGGAGGATTTTCAGACGGCAGTGTAACGGATGGAACTGGGGTTGAGATGGTCGATCTGGATGTGGAGAAGCTGTGATGGCTACTGGCATTTCTAGATCCTGACTGCAGACCTCTTCTCGCTATCATTCTTTGCACTTCGTCCGATGCAGACGCTCGTGGAATCCCAATCGCAATCATCCATAATGCCCATAGCAGGACAAGCCATGAGGATTGTCCCGCAAATTCAAAGCGCATTATCAATGAAGGTTCTAGTTTTGTTTCAATGAAATGAATAGAAAAGATTGGAAGTGTCGGGGGTGTACAGTTTCAATTCTAGCTCGACAAGATTCTGAGGCGCCTAGGCAGTTTAAATATCTTCTATTCCTTCCATTCATCTGAATAGGAGCTCGGCAACGGCCGTCATCTGGAATATGCCTCGTAAGAAATGGACGATCTATATGCTGCTTACGGGCGGTTTCATCCTTCCTTCAAGTTCTTGGAATACTATTTTAGACCAATACAATTGTACGCGAAATCAGTTGAAGTGGAAGCGAACGGTCCCACGTATCCCGATTCAGTGAACGATCAACACTGACTTCCGCCTCCCCCTGCATTGAAATGAGTGGTTTTAATTAAAGGCCCCACGAGGGCCGTGACTTTTGAGAAGCAAAAGTGATCCCTCCCAATAGGCTTGCATCTTCCGTGGTGCAGAAACTCTGGCCCCCAAACGCCACTGCCCGCAAGTGGGCCCTGCCTATGTTAGTTCACGCCACCCTGACGATCTTTATCGGCGCATACAGCGACACTTAGACCCCCCGTGGACATCGGCAATAAGATTTTCAGTCTATATTCGTTTTAGCCCCATGTGGCATTCTGGGCAATTTGAATCGGCCCTGTCAATTTCCAATTGATAGACGGATGATGCATTTCATATGTACATATTGTGCTCTTATTACCGATCCCGACCCCTGCAATTGATTGATCCTTCGGCTTTCTTCTTTTGTCCTATAGCATTGACTCTTCAACTTCCAAGACTCATCTATATCAGCTCTTTTTTCCTCCGATAAGTTTGTTTAGCCACCCCCATCCATTGCTATAAAGGGCCAAATCATACAACCCCCGCCAAGCCTCGGCATTCGGTTGAGTTTCCTTCGTAAAACCGTACTTTTGGATCTCACTCTTATCCCAGTCCGCCGGCTGCTCAATGTAATCGCCGTCCGAACTCCCTTCCAGTTCGCATTTTCGCAAGGCACCAGCATCTCGTAGAATTTGGATAACTTCCGGAAAACATCTATAAGCCTCCGCCGCACGATCTGGCGGGCCTTGGTTGTCACCATACACAAGATTTTGATCAAGTGCATTAGTACGTGATTTACCGATTTTATAGGACGCTAGTGCTTGGATGTGATCACGACGAATTAGTTCCGCAGAATGGAGGGCTTGGTCCAGTGGTGTCCGTGGTGGCGATTTGGTTGTGTCCAGGATATTGATACTGCTTTTGAGGCCCAGCGAGAGCAAAAGAGCTAAAGTACGGGGCTTTCCATGACTCGCGGCAGCAAATATAGATTCGCGGCTGTTATCTTTGTTACCAAGGTAGCATTTTTCGAAAACTTGTTGCATGTTGAAGCCAAGGGCATGCAGGAAATGCTCAATAAGATCGTGGCTGGGTTTATCGCTGAGTACTGCGTTGTTGGCAATTGAATAGAAAATATCTCTGCCTCGGTCATTGATAATAGTTGAATTGGCACCTTTTTCAAGTATAAAGCGGCCTCGTCGTCCAGGGTCAAGGTGAGTCTCCAAGGCTATCGACAATGCAGTAGCCCCACGGCGTGTCACTCTGTCAATGTCTGCTGGTGGAGAATGACCAAGTAGAATGTTACACGCGGCCTCGAATTCGTCCTCGGTGTGATATGTTGTCGTCAATGTGTGCAGAGGTGTATCTTCTTCATATCGAGTGGGAATATCAATATTCGGCATGGCACGAACTATCCTGTTGAGGGTTGGGATATATGAGTCAGGGTAATCCAGTCGGGGTGCTGTGACGGCGACCCAACAATGCAAGACTGTATCTCCTCCCGCAAGAATTGATTCTTTCAAATCGGCCCCCGCTTCTAGCAGGGCATTTATCATTCCTCCATCCCAGACCCCGAGCTCAGCAGCAGCAGCAATCGGTGTCAGGGGAAATCGCCCATTTTCCTTGGCATTTACATCCGCTCCGCCCTCAACTAAGATCTTGACTAGATCTGTGAGCTTCTCAAAATGCTTATTCCAGTTTCCATGGCGGATCCAATAATGCCATTGATGAGGGAGATAGCCATGTCGATCAGGAAAGTACTTCGTGATCTGGTGCAACGTATTTCTTCCAATCGAGTCGAGCAGCGTTCCATCCGCACCCCGAGATAACAAATGTCTTGCTATTTCAGGCTCGCCGAAGTATGCGGATAGCGCAAGTGGAGTGGTTGACGAGTCTAAACGGTGGTACATTGCGTTGATATTCGCTTGAAAGGAAATCAGAGTGTCTATTGCAGTTCTGTTTCGAAAGAAGCATGCCCAATGAAGCGGTGTTCCGTGGGGTAGTTCGAATGGGCTTATAGGGTGTTAGCTTAGGATTCAATGCGCACGACAACACTTACTAATGAAGAATCTGGATCTTCTCTGGATATCCGCCACTGTTGTCCTTGACCACAGGCTCCATATTTGCGTCAATATCTGCACCCCCTTCAAGCATTCGCTTTGTGATATCGTGAATCGCGTCATCTGGAATGGTAAAAAGCCAATGCAACGGGGAGTTCTTTTCTCGATTTCTGCAGGATGCATCAGCTCCATGATCGAGAAGGATTCCAATCACATCTTTCTGTCCCGCTTGGAAAGCTTTGTACAACGGTGTCTCTTCATTCTCATTTTTCACGTCCACTCCAACTTCCGCAGTCTCCAGTATAGCCCGTACTGTATCGCTAGCTCCGAAAGCGGCGGCGGCGTGTAGTAACGTGTTCCCTTTGCGATCAACAACGATTCCTCTTTCTCTCATCCAGTTCAGCACTTTCTGTCGACTCATTGCTGCTTTCACGTCGGATTTTCCTAAGAATGGATCCGAGCAAAACCCTCCGTTCATTCTAAATCGTTGCTTTGCATCTTCAATTTCGTTTTGCAGTCGCCCTGGCTTTGCAAAGTAATATCCTTCAGAAACAGCTTGCAACATCCACTTGTCTAGCACGTTTTGGCTGAAGTCTGACTCCTGCCCATGAGCCTCCATAATCTGTCCATATATAGCTCTAGCAGGTGAGGATCCTGCTTTGGCAGCGTCACCCAGATATGTCAGCAGACGATCAAGATACGTAGGCTTTTCCCCGGTGATTGTCTGGGCTATTCCAAGTAGAACATCACCTGTAAATGGAGGCGCATTTCCTTCTTTGCTAAGAGCGTGTTGCGTTTCAAGCTCTTTGCGAATACTCTCATCTAGTCGGTACCAGAAGAGCGGGCCTTTGTTGTAGATTGGGTCAATAACACCCGTAGGGGTATTTGTGGAGGCGCTAGATTGGATTGAAGAAAGCCTATCGCCAATATCGCCAATATCGCCAACTGTCAGATACTCGTATGTGAGAAGAGGGGAGGGTTTCCATACCAAGATGCATATGCTGGCGTATCAGTCTTGAGTAATGCCTGGTTTGGCAAAGGGCGACTTCTGGGGTCTTCGGCCAAAAGCTTCAAAACTGCTTTGCGAACCTCCATGCGAATAGCGGATGGGATATCCTTGCGGTCATTGAGTAATTTAGAGACCCGATCAGAGATCCCATCGAAACTTTTGTTGAAAGTAAGGGGTTGACCGCCGGCCGTGAAGACAGACAGCAACACCAATGCAAGGCTATAGGAATCAAACCTAAACATCATGTCGGGTGAAAATTTGCCAAATTTGGAGATATCCTCAGCGATTACTTCAGGAGCCAACCAAGCCGGGGTACCACGATAGTCGTTCAACTCGAACCCGGCATCGGGCGCTTCTAAGTCAACGCACACTCCGAAGTCACTCATCTTGGCCCGAAATGGGACCTTGTCATTCGGACCCGGAAACACAAGTACGTTGTCTGGCTTGACATCCCCATGCACGATGCCGAGATTGTGTAGTGCCTCTAGCCCGTTCACGACATCAAGTGCAAGCTGGTATCTCACATCTACCCCTCTCTTCTCAGTGATGAGAAAGTCACTCAACGGCATCAGTGCCTCCTCCATGAATAGGACTGGTACAGCCATATCCGCAAATGGATAGTCGAATCCCCACGCCAGCAGACTTGTGATATTTGGATGTGCACGCATGATGGGATTGCAGAGCGACAGAACTTCAAGACAAAGTGTCCTCAGCTGAAGACGATAGTCCATAGTCGCCGCGAAGCGCTGGTCGGCTTTATTGGAAAGGGGAACATTAACGCGTTTTATCACCTCTCCTTGGAAGGAAGGGTCTTTGAAAACGGTGAATTGGGCACCGGAGCCAATTTTGGTACCACGAGTCGAGAGGTTAATCGTTTTCAGGAGACGAGGGCCATGGATTCCAGTTTGGGATAGAATAGCTGTGAATTGGGAGAGGGTGCTGAGGACTGGAGCGGATCCATTGCGGGTGGCTGTGATGGCGGATTCTAACGGGTCAACCCATGATGAATCGGACTCAGAGAGGTCGAGACTTTCGAACTCGATCTCTTCAAGGTCCTTAGGGCTGGACCAGTCTTCGAGGGTGGGTGAGAGGCTCCCTCCATCAAATGACTCGAAGGCATTCTCGTCGAGGGAGTTGAGGATGTCATCGTACGAGGAAATCTCAGCCATGCTGTTTTTCAGGAACCTTGTCAAATTTACACGGATGAATCCGACGAAAAATGAGGTATCTTCAAGTTCGGCTATCTGCAGAGGTGCGGGGCTATTCTGTCGAAAGCTCTTTGGCGTGTAATTGGGCTTATTCTATATTAGTACCAAGTTAGTGCTTACGGGGCCTCATCTCCAGCCCCTCCTTTGTTCCTTTGTTCTGCTCAATTATTTCAGTTCCCCCTAAAATGCTAAATTGATCTTCAGGTCAAAATGGACTTCTATGGCACAGCTTCGACAGCTATAACCCAGCTTTACCAAGTCACCGTCTTCATTCAAGGTGTCATCTCAGACTATAAATCCTTCGATGATGATCGGGCCGAAATTCGAAGCAAGTTGAACACGCAACTCGCCACGCTCGTATTCTTCAAAAGGATCTGCTGCCATCCAGACCATGGCTTGATCCTTACAGGGAAACCGGACGATTTCATCGCGAGCACAGTGAATGATCTGTTGGACCGGATGCGCCTGGCTCTAGCAGCGTATGAGCGTGTCGCTGTCAATTATGGCCTCGGGTATGAAGAATTCACCATCGAGTCGGTGAAGCCCAAGGTTGAAGAATCATTAATCAAGAGATGGAAAAGCAAGGCAGAGGTTATTAAGCACAAGGCAGTTGACTGGTCCCTATTCGACAAGAAAAGGCTGAATGTCATGCTAGAGACGTATACCGGACTGTCTGGAAATCTACGGGATCTTATGCAGCACATATCCCAGGAAATGCTAGCTATTTTTCTTGCAGATCACAGAGAGGGATTGAAGGGTACAGGCTTAGAGCCAGTTTTGACGCGGCGCAATCTGGCTGAGAATAAGGCACCGGCAGACTACCATGAACTGGCTGGTACCATTACCAAAGAAGGAAAGAAAACTGAGGGTTTTCAGCTTGGAAAATGGTCCGCTCTGGGATCCGAAGCGACTCAAGTTGTTGTTGAGTATCATGAGTACGAAAGCGAGCTCAAACGGGATGATCTAGAAAAGGATGAGATCGACGCACTCAAGAAGCCCATTCACAACTTGGCTTGGATTTTACAAAATTCCACCTTTACTGGCACAGAAACAGAATCTCTCGATCAGCCCAAGATTTATGCACTTGAATGTCTTGGGTTCGTCGATCAGCCCACAGAGGAACAAACTGTTTTCCTGTATAAGCTACCCGAGTCAGAGGGGGAGGTGGGAGATTCTCTTACGACTCTTCACGCCTTCGTCAACGCTGTCGATGGCGACAACCGATTACTTCAGAAGCCCTCTCTGAATGACAGATTCAGCATGGCGTACACGCTCGCCTTGAGCCTTTCCAATGTTCATGCCTCATGCTGGGTCCACAAGAATATCTGGAGCAAAGGAATCCTCCTCTTTCTCGAGACACCATCAGGAGTCAGCGCCAAAGATCTCCACGATCATCGTATCAAGCCAAGGTCTGGAAACAAAATTGTCTCATATCTTAGTGACTGGGGGTATGCACGCTCTGATCAGCAAAATACGGATATGCGTTCCGACTTCAAGGTCGAGCCGAATCTCTATCGTCATCCACGTCGACAGGGTCGACCGACACAGCAATTCAGCCGCGTGCATGATATATATGCGTTGGGCGTCGTGCTTCTTGAAATTGGATTATGGGTTACGCTATCCCGAATAATGCAAACGAAAATCCGCGATGCAGAGGTTAATGGGCGACTGCCGAGGCCAAAAGCCGTGCTGGATGAGTTGGTGGCGAGAGCGGCTCTCTATCTACCAAAGGAAATGGGAATGGGATACACCCAAGCGGTGCTTGCTTGTCTGAGGGAAGACTTCCGCGGAACTGATGGGCCTTCTCTAGCGGTAGACTTTCAAGAAAAGGTGATAGATGTACTGAAAGGAGGTGTTAAAATGTGAAGACACAATGAGGACGACGGTGTTGGATGAAGCAAGTATGGCCACACTCGCAAGTTTCTTTAACAAGCACACGTCTATAGTCTTGATATTTCGTCACAATTAGAATAGAATTGATCATGATATATGCCTATATGAATAATGCTTTCCGGGTCATTTATTCGTGATATTGCGCTGTTGTGTTCTCTTTGATTAGCCAATGGACAAAGTTGTGCGCATCATAGTTAGTTAGCTATGAAATGGACTCACTTGTAGTAGCTCCGCGACTGAATATCAGTTTGAAGCAAATTTTATCAACCTTCCCTTGAGTCTCGTCTTTTCCTGCTCTCCTCCGAATATTGCGTCCACGGACTTTGTCGCAATGTCAAGCAAGTCGGTACGATCAAGTCCAAAATGCTGGGCCGCAAGAAGATATTCGTTCGAGACAGGACTGCAGAAGAACCCTACATCATCCGTCTGTACCAGATGTGTCAGCTTTGGCCTCCAACAAACAGAAAGGAAAGAGGTCTCAAATATCGAGGGACAAACGAACACACAACGCAATCGGACAATCAGTATGCCTCCACTCCCCAAAATGATGGTCCAAAAAGTCCCCGTCAATCAGCTTCGCATGCACATTACAAGACATGCACAGCTCCAGCCCAATCCGGCGCCTAATAATCTCCCGTTTAAATTCATCAGGAACATGGATGACGTGCCCAAGCCGATCGGGCTGGAAGGAAAGCAAGGTAGCTAACTCGGCCGGTGTCCCTGATGCGCGTGTCTCGGCAAAGTGCAGGGTGAGTCCGAGCCCGTGGTCCTTTGCCCGGGCGAATGCATCCCGATATAGGGTGACGTCGCCCCGCGTCGGGTTCCCGCAGATGTCGACGCCGACAACCCCGCGCGGTTTGTTGGCGATGGCGAGATCAATTATCTCGCGTGCTTCGCTGGTGGTGGTGTGACCTCGGTCTAAGGCGAGAATGAGGAACACGGACATTTCTTGAGTTCTAGCTTTGAATTTGTCGATGGTGTCCAGTATGGTATTCAGATAGTCTTCTCTGGTTATGTTGGCTTCTGGGGATGGTCGAGGGATTGTTCGGAGTTCCAGGTAGCAAATTCCATCGTTGAGAAAATCTTCCAAGACGGAGTTTGTTGCATATGCTAGGCTTTCGAGGTCATTGCATAGCTGGTAGATAAGCCTGGAGAAGACTGAGAAGAAGCTGTGCTAGTGTTGTCAGTCATATGCTGTAGAGATGCAGTCGCAGTTGCAGTTCTATGTAAACATTGAATGCTTGGGATATTCACCTACGTTTGCAGGGTAAAGTCGACTTTTCCCGGGGGCATAAGCACCAGGGGATCTGCCACTGGAAAACTGGCGTCTTCAGTCTTCTTTCGCTGCCATATTTCGTGAAGGCATTGGCGACTGATACTGCCACTCAGATGGGCATGCAACTGGACTTGGATCAGCCTCGATACCGCCCTCAAGATCAACATAGATCGTGCATACTTCGACCTTTGGTAAAGCCTTTGTGAATTTGAGGTTAACTGGAGTAGAGAGAGACATAGTCACAGTTGATGGCATGTACGTGCCCCGCAGTATTCAAGTTGAGGGGAAGCGAAGTAGCCCGGAAGGAACAAGTCAACAACACAGCCACTGGCCACTGGCCACTTCCCACAGGTGGTCACCTGGCCCCACTGGAACCTGCCATACTACAAGTAGTACTAGTATCTACAAATTCTAGTAGATCACCACATTACTGGTATAAAATATCTAAAATATAGAAATACAGCATATCATCTTCGCCTCGTATAGACGACGAATTTGGGTCGGCCACCGAAGACTAGACTGAAGTAGGCTACGCCGTAGCTTTGGTAGCGAGGAGCAGGCGAATCTGACAGGTAAGACAACCTGTCAGTCTTCCCCCAAGGAACCGTTTCCCCATCCCCCGTTCCGGCGGTATTCTTTACCTGGAAGTGAAGCCGGTTTACCCTTTTGTACCTTCGTACCTTCGTAACCCCTTCGTATTAAGCTTACCGGTGGGATCCGAGCCTTTCAAATCTCAATCCAACCCCGGCCAGTTTGTGTGTAATGACGTTTCACATTAATTGGACCGCGGGTTCCAGATAACGAGATGAAAAGTGGAGCGATTAAAGCCGGGTCAGGAGGGTTTTCTATCTTTTATTCCTTTTCTTTCAGGGTTCTGTTCTCTTTTGAGTCCTACATATCGTGTGATTACCTTGTATGGAGTAAATAGATGATTGTTTTTCCTCGCTAGAGCTGGCGCAATCTTACGATGAGCGATACCTCACCTCCGCACAACGGTTCATGCTGGTGTCCCGGAGTGCCGGTTTCGCATGTTTCAGACGCACTCCTTGCCAGCTCCTGGGTATGCTCTTATGCATGCCATCAAGAATGACAGGGGGGGGGAGGAACCACCGAACATGATGCTAAGAATAGCGATCGGACAATCCTGGCGATTAAATGCCGTGACCCAGCTCATGAGTACCGTAATATACTGAAGACCCTCCATCAGGAAAAGACTGCCGTGGACAGAACAGAATAAGGTCCACCCCGTTGATCTGATACGTCTCAACCGTTGTATGGATCAAGCGAGGGCCGCCAAGACCGCGGGTGAGAGCGTTGAGAACGATCTGAGGCTATCCGGCCGTCCCGCGCCGCGTCCTTCATTTATTTCAATTTCAGTCTGGTGCGAATACCAATGCGCAAGCTAACTAGTTTTGCGTTAAACAAGATCGAAACAAGAAACCTTGCAATGGAAAACAGGTATTTCGGCATTTTTGATCCGACCGAGCCTCAGCTCGTGAGGGGTTACAATGCGCTGCCAACGCATCTTGTTGTCCGAATGACAGTATCCATTTCTGCAAGTCAGACGTAGCGGTGGACGAGGCTGCTTCTTTCGATCGATTTCTGGAAGCCACGTTGTCCACAGCGGGAAGCTGAGTGGGCATGGACCTCTCAAGAGGAGTATCCAGCTATTTTTCAGCCCCAGATCCACGATAGATCCACATCGTGGACCGTGATAATATTTCCGGCCCCAGCCCTAGCACTCCCATTGGGGGCAGAGACGGTCCTTGGTAGTGTATCGTACATAACCTAA